CCAACCCCAACCCCAACCCCAACCCTATTTATTTTTATAATAATTTAAGTAAAATTTCATTTATTTTTTAGTTATTTTAATTTTTATTTGTAAATTTACAAACTTCCTAAAATTAATTTAATTATTTAAATCTAATTTAAAATAATTTAATAAATTCAAAACAATTCAACACTTAACATTTTCAAAAAAACTATTTGTGATAAAATATTTTTTAGATTTAAGAGAAGCATAAAAGAGTTTTATGATGAAACAACAATAAATATTGAAAATAATCATTTTAAATTTGACAAAAAAAATTTAAGAATGTTTTATGCAATATTTTTTTATTGAAAGATTTGAGTTAATAATGAACAATAAATAAACATCCTTTTAAGATAAGAAATAAAATAAATAGTATTCTATCAAAGAAGTTATTAGATATAAAGAAGGAAAATATAAATATATACAAGCAGATAGCCTTAAGATATTAATGTTCTTATTAATTAACATAAGCAAGAAAGCTTTTCTTTATTAAATATTGAATTAATTAAAATATAAAGATAATTATTTAGGTAATTAATAACAATGGCTTTAAGAAGAATTTTAGCAAATTAAGCTAAGCTTAATTAAAAGTTAGCTTAAACTAATAGAAATTATCATTATGATTTTTGCGGAAGAGCCTATATGGGTATTTAATTTAGCATGAAAAATATGAAAAAATTTTCTTTGACAAATTTTTTAAATCATTATTTGACATGATTTCAATCTATTTTATTTGCTGCAAATCATTTCAATATTTTTAATTTATATTTTATTAGGTAATCCTGCTGTTTAAAGCCCTCCTAAGGAATTTTTCAATTATCATTATGTTCCTGATAATTACCCTGATGCTCTTTCAGGTTTTAGAATTGCTTATAGAGATCCTTTTGAAGTTTAACACGTTTTCGCATACGAAAATTGGGAATATCAGTAATAATTTAATCACACTTCTTAAATAAATAAGGCTAAATGAAATTGATAGTTTGAAAAGCAATAATAAAATATATAAATTAATATGTAGAAAAAGGGATATAAAATCAATTTAATCAAATGGATGAAAATTAATTCATTTTATTTAGCAGATATTTAATTTATCAAACATAAAATTTATATGCTAACTTAAATTTTCTATATAACAGATATGATGGATAATGGTGGAGCATGGGTTCATTGGCTTGTAATGTTTTATTCTTCTGCACACCTCTTTTCTTATACCTTATTCTATAAGTTGAAGAAGTAAATACCATTATTTTTTAATATTTAAATATTAATTACATTCTTTTTAATATTGATAATTAGTTAAACTCTGAAAAGAGAGGAGGAACTTCAAACAAATTTTATCACAACAATGCTGGTTTCTTCCACTTCTAAATCTATGACAATAAGCAATGATAATTAAGTTATTAGCAAATATAATTAACAAATACTATTATAGTTTGATTTCAATTAATTGCATTTGTTAGTAGCTTGCATTTATTTTCATTAAGATCTTTCAATGACTCACTCTTATTGATTCAACAGCTATATAAATAAACAACAAACTAACTAACTAACAATACATACAAAAAATAACTAAATAAATATATTCACTTTCATCTTTTTTCAAAAATAAATTATTTTAATCCTTTTCTAATAATGTTTATTTCTAAAATAAATATCCTAATATTAATTTTACTTACTAACTTAATTTTTGAATTATTATCGATGATTATTTTTTACTTGTTATATACACTAGAATATTAATTTAATATGATAATTTAAAATCTATAAAGATCTTTAAAGTTGTTAATACTACTTTAAAATTATAAAATATATTTTTTCATATATGAATTTTGGCATACATACTTCATACTATATGCATAGTGTATGTTGTTTTGTCTTATTTACAATACTTGCAAACGAATTAATGTATCTTGAAATATAAATTAGAAGAAGCAGAAAAAAAGTCAAAGAAACAAATAAATTTAATATTGATTTTCATTGAAGGGTAATATTAATAAATCTTTATCAAATAGTAATTGAAATTAAAAGCAAACCACATACTCAAAAATAGGAGAAATGTTTTAGGCTATTAAAAGCATAGAATTATAAACTAAGAGCTTGTTCTGCTAACTTTAAAATGGCTTCAAGAGAACAAGTGCATCCTAGAAGTTAAGATAAAAAATTAAATATCGTTCAAGCCGCCCTGATAAATTTAAATTAGTTAGTAAACTCGGAAAATTTGATTTCACAAAGCCAAATCTTAGTTTCCCTGTTAGCATCCCTCTCAAATTAAGCTATGTTTATCAACCCGCAAAGCATACTCCTAATTTGCCTACTCATGATTTTTTAAATTTTAAAACTATGACAGGAAACGAAATTTTGTTAAATCTTGAAAATTATGAAAATTTGAGACCATCTGAAATTTGCGGTGCATTAATCGAACTTTCCAAAAGAGAAGGACATGAAGGTAAAATATACTTAAATTAATTATAAAACTATAGATTTTCAGATTAAAAATAGCTATTATAGTTTTATCAATAAATCTGCAATCATAAACATTAATTAGACATATTTCAGTAGCTAATAAGACTTTAAACTAGTCAAAGTGCAGAAAAAAAAGCTAGTTTATTGTATAGCTAAGTAGATATATTAACAAAAAAGTAGCAACGAATTAAAAAAAAGCATATCAAATTAATTTACATAATATCAAAACTTTTACTTCAATTAAAATTTAAATCTGTTTAATATTTAAGTATAAAAAAATAATTGTAATAAGCATTTTTAAATGAGAATTAAATCATAAAATTAATTTAATTTTATCTAAGTCAAGTGATCAAAACGTTTAAAATTTTAAATAAATCTAAAAAAAATAAAAAGAAATTAAAACAATTTTAAAAGATAATCAGTTATAAAAATAACCAAACAATAGAAATAATAAATAGATAAAAGTCTATCAAAATAATTTCTAAAGCAGAACTAAACATGAGTAACTAAATTTAGCAAAAGATATTAATTGAATATGAATGCAGGTTTCTTAAAAAAACTATGCTGTTTCACCTAATTTAAATTGTTTAGTAACATACATAAATAGTAAATCAACCAATATAACAAAATTGTTATAAAAATTGAATTTTAAATTATGGAAATTCAACTTTTATATTAATTAAGCATAAGCTTACCTATTAATAAAAATGATTAAATGAATATTTTTGATTAAGATGTCAAATTTATTTTAAGGATAAATATAATTATTATAAAAAATTAAATAACTTTTGAAGTAATCTATATTTTAATTGATGATATTAAATTATAAATAGAAATCAATTGGAACGAACATGAATGGGTTGCAGCAACAACTGAGCATGTTACCAAAATGATGCCTACTTATACTCCTAGTGTAGTTTGCTATTTAATGGTTGCTTTCTAAAGATTGAGAATCACACACGAAAAGTTATGGAAAAATCTCACATTTGCTATTGAAAAGACCATTCATAAATTTAATGCTAAATCTTTCGCTTACACTTATATTGCTTACTTAGAAGACACTAGCAGAAGTTCTGAAGAATTCCGTAAGAAACTCGTTGAATTGTTACCAATTCACTTACATTAAATGAATCCCAACTAATTAACTAGATGCTTCGAATTAACTTTCGAAAGAGGTTACATGAACGAGTATCTTTTCGAATAACATTTCCATGTTTTATATTGGAGAAGAAACGTCTGGTTCGGAGTCAATAACATTATTAAAGTTCTTGAAATCTATCCTAAACTCAATTTTGTTGTAAGATTTACTCTAATTATTTTTTTTAAAATAATCAAACTATTTTTCATTACAAGGATGATTGCGATTTCTTTGAAGGTGCTATTCTAGCTAATATTCCTAAAGTTAAGACTCAATTAAATGAATAAAATACTAAAGCCTTAATTGAAGCAATCTAAGCTCTTGAATCTAAATACCCTGACTTAAAAATTAACAGCACCCTTAAGTTCTTAAATACTCATCTTACTTTCTGTCAAACAAAGCTTAAAGCTATCGAAAATTCTAAATTCTATAAAATAGTTCTTAACGATTTCGAATATTACAAGATTAAGGAATCCCAAAGATTAGAAAAAGAAGCCAAGCAAGCCGAGAAAACCAATTGATATTTAAAATAATTTATTTACAATAAAGCAAGCTTTTCTAATTGAAAATAACATTAAATATGAAAAGTTAGCTCTTGGCTATTTAGTTAGTTTTAGTTTGCAAAATAAAATATTAGAATTAGTTATGCTATTTATAAACTCTGTAATATTGTAAAGTTAGTTATGCTATTAATTTAATTGTGACAATTGTTATTTAAAAATAAATATGTTTAAAATTATTTTGTTAACACTATCGTTAAATTCTTTATGTAATTTATATTTACTTATCTTAAAATAATGATCTAGATAATTATTTCTTGCTTTTATTTCTTCTTAATTTGGTTAATTAATAAGTATTTCTACTTTGCTTTAATATCTTATTTTTCATAAGAAAATAAAAGTATTTGATCAAACAAACTCCAATAATAGGCATAAAAAAATTAAGCAAATTAACAAACAAAGAAATGGAGTAATTACTAAATTGTTTTATCTTTTCTTGCTTTGTAGATTAATTTATTCATTTATCTTTGATTTTAAATTAAGTAAAGACTCTGACTAAAAGCCGAGACTACTTAAAACAGCTGAGAAGCACAAATAGGAGTAGAATTAGGTTGAATTGTTGATCTAAAAATTAAAAGATAAATTTAAGTATAAACAATTTAGAATTGAATCATTAAGGACCTTTAATTAGTATTAATAAGAGTAATTTTTTTTAATGGTTAAATTTTAATTAATCTTGAACCAAAAGTAAAAAACTCAAGTTAAAAATGGAGTAAATGGAAGAAACTTACCCTCTAATAATCATAAATAGTTTTGCTTTTACATATTACATAAACAGAAAGCAAACTAATATTAGAAGATTAGGATTTTCAGTTGGTAAAACCAATTAATTCATTAACAAAAACATTATATTTTTTTCAAATTTATATATTAAAGGAGTCATGTGCACTTGCTACTTTTTGATGGTATTTTTTGGTGAGGAGTAAATGTTTTATCGAAATCTTTTATTGCACGATAGTCCTCAACAATCTTATTTAAGATAAAAGTAATTGTTAATTTTTTAATACTTGAAATTAAAAAATAATTTATTTATTGTCTAAGCTTTCTAGATGTTTCCCATAATGATTTTATTTTTTTACATTTAATTTAAAAAGATTTATAAATGTATTTCCAGACTCTTACTATACTAAATCTCTTATTGAGATAGAAAACTAGAAAAAAAAATTAATATAAACTGAAAAGCCTTAGCCTATTTAACTAAATTGAACTTCTGAGAAATAAATATAAAAATTTATAAATATGTATGTACATAGATTATTTAATTAAAACAAGTTTATTAATTAATTAACTAAGCAGTAGTAGTAATTCAATTTTCATATTCTTCCCTTTGCTCTTCTTCATGTTCTTCATTATACTCTAAATCTATTGGTGGATATCCTATAATAGCATCTCTTCTATCTATTAACACTAAGCATTTAGAATTCTTATTCCACAACACCTTATTTACACTGAACTATTTTCCATCTTTATTTATTTATTAATTGATAAAAGAAATATTATCTTTTAATCCTAATTTTGTTAGCTTTTAATTTACATTATGGTAATTCGCAAACTGATGCTCCGTCAAGTGACCAAAAGTATATTTTGTTAGATCCTATTTTATTCAAAACTTAATATAAAATAAGATTTTTATAAACAAAATACCTGCATATATAATTAAATTATTTGAATTGTGTGACCATAAAAAGCCTTTGACAGGATTTTAAAGTAAAATGATATATCTGAGTTCAAGCAGAGACACTTCCCAAATAAATACAGCATTAGGGAAACTTGCTATTAATTTTGATAGTAATAAATAATAATTTGAATTATTGCAAATATTTAAACATACCTGATTTAGAAGCTATATAATTCGCATTAAAGCTAAAAGTAACATCAGTTACACCTGATTATTACGATTTATCTGTAGATTGTTTTGCTCCTGGTAGTTTATTTATTGACTCATCAATTACAACTATTAATTATTAGTTTCAAATTAAAAATGCATTTGTTTTCATATTAATTTTACATTGTGTTGTAGTTCTATCAACTAAGTGTTAAGCATTTAAAAGGGTGCTATTTTATTCTCTATAAACTACCTAATATATTATTTTGATTAAAGCAAATTTAAGATAAATCTTTATAAAATAAATTACTGCATTAGAATATTCTTTAATATTGGCTTTATGTTCAAGTTCAGTGATTATTTTCCATGTTAAAGTGTTCACTAATCTGATCTATTTAATTTAAATATCTTACTCATATATAAATATACAATTTATATATTACCTTCTCATCATAACTTCCTATAGCCACAAAGTTAGGAGTATTTGACAATTCTACACATTTAATTCCCAAAGCATATTCATATGGTTGAATCCTTTAAATGAGACCATTTGAGGGGTGATAAACTAAAAATTTATACTTATTTAAAAAAAGAATTTCAATCAAACTATTTTTCACGCTTTAAACTAATTAATTAACTAACTTACATTTATAGAACTGTCCCAAACCAATATACTTCCATCATCTTTAGACCATTAAATATCGACCAAGTCCATAGTATCAACTTAAAAATGCTAATATTTTTACTTATATTATAGCTGAAAAATAATAGTAAATATTTACATTAACCAATTTCCAATCTTTAGTGTAATAAATCCCAATGTAATCCTTAATATCTCTCCTTTCTGCTAAAGCCATAAACTTACCATCAGAAGAAAAACTTAAACCTTTAGATTATTTTAAGTATATTTTTAATAAATTTGTAATACTTTTAGTTACCTTTATCAGTATACTTAGGATTTTTTATGAGGTATTATTGTTTATCAGTTAAGCTGTAAATAGTTGCTTTCATCTAAAATATATTTTAATATTTTTGATTATTTTAAAGACTTAAATGAAATAAATACTTAGAAATCTGAGAATGTAATTATACTTCTTGAGTCTGGTGCCCAAACTGCATGCAACAGACCACAAGCTTAGTCTACTATTTTACATATCCATTATTCATCATTAAAATTTTTAACTTCAACTGTATTGCTATTAGATTATACAACTAATATAAGCTAATTATCAGGAGAGAATTCCATGTGAGTAATTATATCTTAGAATGAGTAAACATTTCTATTAATAAGCTCTTAATTTATGTCTTTAATCTTTTAATTTTTTTAGAATATATTATAAATATAATAAATCAGCTAACCTAAAGGAGCTTTAATCAAAGTATTTTACCAAAATTTTAGATCCATTTGATATAGCAATCAATGATGAATCCTATGAAAAAATAGCAGAACAAGCTCCTTAAATTATGTTTGAAAATTGCATTTTTGTATTTTTATATTAATGTCTAAATTGAATAAATTCTATTTTTATTAATTAATTCACTTATTTTGAAAATTATTGTTGGATTTGTTAGCTAATGCAAATTAATTAATAAAAATTTTAAATTTCTAAATTTTTTGAATTCAATCCATCAATTATATCTATCTATCTATGCTTTCTAAGATATATAGTATTTTATTCGCTAAACAAAAACTGGACATATCAGTTTTTAAAGTAAATAAAATTTGCAATATAATCTAATAAATTTCTATTTTTAATCAAATATATTTTGCTCTCTTTGAAAATTAGCTAGTTCTTAATATAAATAATAAAAAAATGCATAGTTTTTTATATATATAGATCATTTTTAAACATTTAATAGTAGTGTTAACTACATATAAGATAATAAGACTTGTATTTCCTGAATAAATAAAGGCTTTTTATACACTTCTCCTTTGATGTTGTATGAAAACGTCAAAAAATCCATCTTTCATCTTTAAATATGGATTAAAATGAATTAAATGTGAGAATTTGTTAGTTAATAAAACATAAAAAATAATTGATTAAAATTGGTATTTAGAAGTAGAATAAGTTCAATATTATATAAAAAATTTTAAATTTCAATATTTAATTGTAATAATATTAATTTTATTTGTGAATTAATATATTTATATGAAATTTTAATAAAATATTTTTTTCGAACTTTATTAACAGCTTAAATAAAATTGCACAATGTTTGAATTTTATTAAAGTTTTTTTATTAAAAAAAATGATAAGCAAAAAATTTTAATGTCATAAAAATAAAAAATATTTAATTATTTTTAAATAGTTTGTTTCTCCTCTTAATATATTACAATAAAAAAGAAGTATTGTTATTTATCATGATTTGATTTTTTTTAAGGTAGTAAAATTGGAAAAAATTAGATGAAAATATATAACAATTAAGAAACTCTTTAAATATAAATTGAAGATAATATTATTAAACAGCTAATCAAAAAGTTAAAAACTTAGAATTTACCAATACCAATTTTAGATATTAAATTCTGATAAATAATAATATTATCAAAATTTCTTTTTATAATTTGATCTTTTTTTTAACAAAACACCATTTTAACGCTCACATTTAAAAGAAAATAACTTAAAAACGTAAATTTTAAAATAAATAAATAAAGAAATATTTCTAAAGAAATGGTTAGAGGCTAGAGGAGCTACTAAAAATATAGTTTATTTTTTAAATAAATCAGCTTTATACACTAATTATGAAATAATTTCAATCAATTTTATCTCATTTTTTAATAAAGCCATATTTATTTTAAAATTTAAAAATAATTATTTTTCTACTCTCAAAAATATAAAAATATGGAGTAAAATTGCACACAAAATAAAGCATTCTTTCTATAAAACTATTTAAACTTATAACAATACTTCTTAAAATACAATATTATTCATAGTATTCAACTCTTATAAAGAAATGTAAATAAAACAAAATGATTTTTAACATGATATTAATTAACAGTATTCTTTGTATTCCTTTTTATTTTAACTACTGTTTTTGTCTATTTTTACTCTGATCTCCCTCAAATAGAAAACAATATTAATAAAAAAGCTTCACTTAATAGATATATTACACAAAAAAAAATAAATTATCTCCTAATATGTATTTTTAAAAAGCAAACTACCATTGTCAGCTATTAATTTTCCATGCTTTCTTAATTACTGAAGAATCAGATGAATTTTATGTGAATTTAAATAAAATTTACATTTTAATTTCTTTTTTTATAGAAAGGAGATAACTATTATTATAAAAGAATATAAATGGCACTTTATATTTTACTTATATAAAATATAATTTGACAAGAAATAAAGCTTTTTATCATTTGAGTAAAGATATTTTGAATTTAGCTGCTAATTTTAGTTGAAATTAAATATTTGGACTGTATGTGAGATATTTCTAATTTGATTTAGAAGTTTTACATGAATTTTACTTTTCTTCTAGCAGATTTTAGGTATTGTCTTAAGGAAGTTGTTTAAAAAAGTTTACTTATATCGCGACAAATTATTTAATTCAGAAAAATAATTAATTATTTATTGATCAAAAACCAAAATACAAGAAAAAGAAAATAACATAGAATCTTACCATAAAAAAGTAAATATATACATACGTTTTAAATGTAAATGAGGAGATAACAAAGTGATACAGTAGAGAGTATGCAAACACCAATAGCTGCAACTTTTATTGAGTGCGAAATATGTTTTAGTGATTTTCAAAGCAAATTATAGCCAGGATGCATTGAAGGCGACTATGAGTGTACTAGTTAAATGTGCTAATAGTGTTTATCTTAATGGATTATAAAGCAAATCCATGACCTCAACTTTAACATAGAGAGCAATATCTTTAAGTGTCCTAATTAAACATGCAAAAAGCAAATTCATGTTCTTGACAAGTTTTTAGAAAGCCAAATGGATGTAAATGAGAAACTCCAAATTGAAAAGGAAATGACACAGAAATACTTATAGATTAGCAGAGATACTGTAAGCTGCCCAAAGTGTAACACATATTTCATTGGGACAGATGCTTTCTGTAAAGGAGAATACAAGTGTTTGGAATGTCAATTCTAATGGATCGATAAATCAAAAATAGAAGTTAGCCTTTTCACTTAGAGATTCTATCAAGAAGTGTTTACATACATTTTTTAAATAATGTTTACTCAATACTGCCCTAAGTGTGGAATTAGCATACAAAAAAATGGAGGATGTCTACATATGACCTGCAAGAAATGCGATTTTGAGTTTTGTTGGTTATGTAAATAAAATTATAACACTCATGAAGATTTAAGATGCGTCGCTTACATTTTTACGATGAAGAGTCTAACTATATACGTTTTTTTCAATATACTTGTTATATTTAACTCAGAAATGATCTTCTACTCATCTATATTTTGGATAATATCTGCCTTCTTTAAGTTTATTTATTACAACCTCTTCATTTTAATTGCTTGGTTTATTCTAAGTACATTTTACAGTTATATCAAAATGCTTTAACCTTCATTGAAAATAGGAATTTACTAAAAAAACGAAAAGAAAAGAAAATGCTTAGCTTTGTGTTTTATAATGATAATTTCAATGGTTGTTTTCCTTGGACTGACATATTTCCTCGAGCATTCTCTCACTAATGTTTTGACATTCTGCTTCTATGAGTGTATAGCACTCGCAGCTGCATATTTGCTTTATAAATCGAGATAATTTTTCCATTAAACATGGTTGAAATATGTCTATTGAATTGAAAAAAGCTAATTAAATCCATAGAGTTTATTTAATATATAAAATAAATTATTTCAACAAAATTAATTAAATCCCTAAAAATAGTCATATTACCAAAGTCATTTATTATTAGTTGGTTTAAACTGCTACAATTATCTATTTCTCAAGCACTAAGCTAACTAATTAACAAACATTACTTACTTAATAAAATTTTACTTTATTATGTTTTCAATTAATTATTATTATTATTAATTTTTATTAAATAATAAATTTTCACTTTCATATTATGCGTTTGTATTTCTAATTAAAGTTAAAATACTAAAAATTAAAAAAAATGTATTGTCTTCTTTATCTAATTTTAAGGTGTAACATTTATAATTTTTTAAATTTCAATCCAATAGTTCATATTAATTTTACCCATTCCTAAAAAAATTACAAAATATCTTTCAATTTTTGGTATATTAACTTTTTATTTAATTAATTTTTGTGAGAAAATAAATAAATAAACAAATAATTTATAAAAGTTTTTAATATAGAGGAAAAACATAAAACCAAAAAAAGAATAACAAAGAAAAGATTATTTTTAAGTTTTTGAAAGCAAAACTGTTGATTTCTCTCCTAAATCCTCCTTAGTTTTTAAATATTTTAAAATGATTATTATGATTTAAGTTGATCCCAATTAAGTATTATCTTAAAAATAAAATAAACTATCATATAATCAGATTAACAGTTTTAATGTTAAAAAATAATCTTTTCAAATATTCTAAATATCTTTCTATTCTTAGAAAGGGATATTTCAAAAAAATAAAATAAATGCATGCTAGCAAACAATAACGCAAATTCTCTTTTAGATTTAATAAAATATAATTAGCTATTATTTAAAATATAGGAAGCTTCATAGGCTTGAGAGGATGAATGTGTGTGAGATTGAGCTTCTTTGAAAATTTTTGAAAAAAATAAAGATAAAAATTTAAATAAAAAAATTCAAATAAATAAAAATTAAACAAAAAAATTCAAATAAATTTAAAAAATAATTAAAAAAATTAAAATAATAGACAAACAACAAAAAGCAAATTACAAAACAAATAAACAGAATAAAATAAAATTTGTAAATTCAAATAAAAAACAATATATTATAAAATTTTTTATTTTTATATTAAAGCCAAATTGCTGTTAAAATTTTTAAATATTTATTTTCAGAATTATTTGAAATAAACGTGAGAAATGATTAAAAATACAACATTGAAAATAATTAAACTATTTTGATATCATTTAGAATTTAGAAAATATTAATTGATTTTTACTTATTTTTCATTTAAAATATGATATTTTTTTTAGTTTACAATGATAAATATTTTTTAATCACAAGGAAAGAAAAAAAAATGATTTGCATTTAATAGTATTTTGACTAGATTATATTAGTCTATTTTTAAGTTTTTATCAAATAATTTTAATGTCTTTGTCTTGTTTTATCAAATCAGTTAATTCTACATCCAAATAATATCCTTTAAGAGCAAAAAATTATGGCTTTAACTTTAGTTTGACAATTAATATATCGATTAGTAAGTCTATTATAATCATTATAGGCACAGATATTGCCCAATTAATATAATTTTAATCACTCCAATTTTACATTATTAATGAGCTAACTATCCAGAAACATATCATCAATCCCATGCAAATCGTATAAAATATGTATGTGTAAGTATGAGATTAGAACTGAGATTTTTCAATTTATTGAATAAATTCTTCATCATCTTTGTTGTGTTCAGAAGCTTTTATAATTTTTATCTAAGAATCCAAAATTATTTTAAATTTTTTATAGTTAAGAAAGTTTAAGTATCCTAATAAAAAGCAAGGAGGCCAACTAATGAAAACACTTACAAAGCTAAAAATTACAAAAGAAAAAATCTATGAGCTATTCTATTAAATTAAGATGCATTAAATGAACATCTAAAATGTGATTTGAGTAAATAGTAAAGTAGTCCTACTATTTTTATTAAAGTAAACTCTATGCTCTACTTTAAAAATTGAATACAAAGGAATTTATGTCTTTTAAATTAATGGTAAAAATGATTAGTTGAGATATGTTGTTTGTTTAAAAAAAGAAAATTACTTTTAAATTGTTTCTGTATTCATTTTAATAAATATTTTTATAGTTAGGCCTGAAATAGGCAGAAAAAAAGTAAATAGTTAATATCACTAAATACCCCCAAAAGCCATAATTACTATTTACATAAATTTTTTCCTATTATAAAATAAATGCTAAATATATTAATTTTTAGATGAGTTAACTTACATACTGCTGATCAAAACACCCAACTTTAATGATAGGGTTTTTATTAAACTGCTAAACATCTCTCAAAGCACCTAATAAAATATTTTATTACCCATAACTTTAGTAAAAATATTAATAAACATCATCTTGCAGTAAAAATATTTCATCGAAAACAAACCAGTTAACATTTTCTTAGGCACAGTTTACAGCTATTTATGACCCGTGATATTAAAAAAATCCATGATTATATTTCAGGCTAAAGTATTTTTGAAAATCTGTTGAAGGATTTATATTGATAGTCTATTTATTTTTAGTTAAATTTAAACAATCAAATATTTAAAAAACGTTTTTACTTACTTATTAATTATTTGCAAACGGGGACAATAAAAAACTTCCTTCTAAATACCAGCTCATATTTTATTTTCCTTATCTGTTAAATAGAAAACTAACAGCTGCTTAGGTTATTGCTTATCCATTTTCGCTATTTTCTTGCTAATTAGTTGTACTTTATGCTTTCATATAAAATACAAGTTCAACATCAGGAATAACAGACTGATATACATCTTCATACATGTTTTTATATAATCTTCTATGTCGTCCCGGTGTGTATATTTCAATACTTGTTAGATTAAAAGTCTAAATTTAGTTGTTTGTGTCTTTGGCAGTTATTGAAATACCTCCATCGCTAACTGAATACTATTTAATTCCTGCAAATTAATATATATAAAGTATCCAAATTTATACCTTTTTATGGTAGTCTGCTTGAGAGACTGAAATTTTGATATCCCTTTAATCAAAAATAAAATAGAATGGATAATCAACATCATTTTTGCACGAATAATCTTGTTTTATATAAATTGGAGATTAATTTTCACCCTTTTTTATAAAAACAATAGGTTATCAATTGATCAATTTTTTATTTATTTAATACAAAGCATTGTATGTTAAGTTATCCTTACGAATTAACAAGTAATGGTAATTAAATTAGAAGCAATGGTAGAATATATTATTTAATCATTCTATTTAAATATTTAATAAAAACTTCTTTGTTATATTAATTTCAAGATATGTTAATTTATTTATTTATTAGAAATATTAAATGCAAGTAATTTGATTTTATTCCAAATTCAAAAAAAACCAGAAAATTTAACAAAAATAATAATTTGCAAACAGTTTGTTTACTTAGCTTTAATTATAATAATCAATTTTAAAATATCTATTTTATAGTAAGGTTAATAAATATACTTTTGATATGTTTTTGATGAGAAGTTGTTTAAGCTAAAAGCGAAACCAAAAACTAATAGATTTATTTATCTATAGAAAACTAAACAAAATATTAATATCAAATATATAAAATAAATATTTAATAATAGTAATTAATATACATATACACTTTTGCTAAATAAAGATTTCTTTTAATTATTTTACTAAAAAATTGGATCAGTTATGCTCTGATTTTTTCTTTTTTATTAATTCTTCAACTATCATATTAAATATTCTATCTATTCCTTCTCCTGTTTTGGCTGAACACTCAGTAAACAAGAAGTTTTTCTCTCTAGCAAATTGCTCTGCCTTCTATGTTGAAACTTTTACCATTTCATAAGGTGAATCTATTTTATTACCAACTAGAGCTATAATCATGCCTTCTGTTTTTGCTTTATCTTCAAGCTCGTTTATCCATAATTACAAACTATTGAAACTATCTGCATCAGTCACATCATAAACTAAAATGGCTGCCTAAGAATCTCTATAAAACCTATAAATTTAATTATTTTTATTATTACATAAAATCTCTTTCTCGCTCTTTTAAAATAATCAAAGCCCATTTCGTATTTTTACTTACTTTGGCTTCCACAAAATATTGAGAATTAAAATTTACATGGAAAGGATTGAGCCTATTTTTTTTTTAGAAAATATTGTTAATATTTTACATATATTTTTGAAAATTTATTAAACAAATCAATAAAACCGATAAAAACGTGTAAAATGATAAAGTTCAACAATTTTTTTGTTCTGGTTTAAGTAAAAGTTAAAAATGATTAATAATTTACGATATCTTTCATCTCCTGCTGTATCCCAAATATGCAAAGACAAAACGGAATTATCTTATAATGTAATATTTTTTTCTATGTATGCTGCTCCTAATGTTGCTTGGTGGGCTGGATCAAATATTCCTTATTTAAATCTTTGAGTGATTGCAGTTTTTCCTTTATATTAGATTAAATATATTCTATAAAAAATGTTTCAAACTAAAACTGCTAAAATAGCTGTTTAAAATTAATTCTAGTTGCTATTTTAATTGAATACCTACTGCTATATTTCCTAATAATACTACTTTTGCCTATTATGCTGGTTTTTTTTCATCCCTTAATCTTAATGCTCTCTAGCTTTTACTACTAGATGATGATTGTGAAGATCCTCCGCATACGTTTCCCATTTTTATTATAAATCTATAGCTAGTATATTTTAACTTTACAAAGAAATATTCTATTTTTAACTTATTAACTCTCTCTTGCCCTAAGCTTAATTTCTTTTTCGTTTTTGTCTTAAATTTTTTTTTTCTAATCAAACCTAATTATTTTTTGTTCAAAAGCAAAAGCTATTTTTGTGAATAATATCCTTCTTCTAAAAATGTAAAAAAAAAAAAATTGAAAAATTAATCATCAGCTAATTTGATGTTTTTGTTTATAAAAACAATATAGTTAAAAAAATTGGTTGATTTCTCTTTAAAAATATAATAATTTGCAAAACAATAAAAATATAATACAAAAATATATTTTAACAAATAAATACTACAAAATTAACTAAGATATTATTTTAGTTTAATACGAATTGAATGCTTTGCAAATATTTAATTAAATTTATTACTATTGTTTTTTTCTAAAATTTTTAATTATTTATCATTCAATTATTCATTTTTTGTAGTGTAAATGTTAATAAACGATCTAAAATTTTAAATATTAGTATAAACTACTTAATTAAATATTTAGTAATATATCTGCCTCCACCATTTATTATTTAAAAGGGATAAAAAATAATTTAACTTACAAATTGATTATTATGATAATTATATTTAAAATTAATATATTAATTAATACATGTAGTTAAAATAAAAAAGGGTTTGTTTACAATACACTAATTAATAAAAATTTAAAAAATATTTATTATCTATTTTTTAAATTCATTAGTTGATTGGAATTAGATACCAAGGATATTATAAAATTCTATTAATATATTTTGAATTTCTCTCATAGTATTTATAAATAAGTTATTTATTCCAAGAAAATAATTAAGATTGGCTTTAAGAATACTCAAGTAATTAATACCTATATGTAAATGGTAAACAGTTATTTTTCAAAAATTATCTTGATGAAACTGTATTTTAAAAGCAGAAAGGTAAATTAAAATTTTTAGTTTAAAATTTGAATTAAAATGAATAATTAAATTGATTGATCCATCCAAAAACTAAGGCTTTAAATTTATTTTTGAGTCTTTAGTAAGTTAATAAGAGCAAATAATGGCTAATCCTTGATTAAATTATTGAAGCTTTTATAAATACTAAGTAAAATTAATTTTTAAACTAGAATACTAAAAGAGAGTACTAAAAAGTATCAGTGTAGATTATTAATATTTATATGTTTTTAATATTTATTTTCATAGCTTTAATAAAGAATTATATAAGCCAATAATTTAATTTATTTTAAGCTCTTTAATAATTATTAGAAATTATTTGCTGATTTATCCAAACATAACTATATCTTGATTACATTTTTGAAGCTTGCTTTTATAAATAATAGATAAAGTTAATTTTTAAAAAAGAATACTAAAAGGAGGATTTAAAAGTAAATAATCATTTTTTTCATTCTTTCTTTTTTTGATAAGTTTTTTTATATCAAACGTGCTTATTGGTTAATTAATTAATAATTTATTTATGTGACTAAATATAAAAAGATTTTATTTTATATTTTTTCCTTCCGTTCATTTGTCTTATTTTTGCAAACTTATTAGAAGTTAATTGAATTGAAGTTATTATTGATCATCTTTACATATTTATTTAATTAATTAATTATTAATTTAAATTATAAACTTTTTATAAAAGAAAAATAATTTACTTGGTTTAGTATATTCAACCTTCTTGATTAATCCAGGAGTTGTTTTTGAATCAAAGAACTTTGTATCAAATTTTTTATTTTCTTCTCTAAAATAATAAAAAATTTAAAAATAATTTTAATTTAATTTAAATTATCAATTTCCAAAAATTTTAAAAATTAAATGAAATAAGACTTAAATTAATGAAGATGGAGAAAAAATAAGTATTTGTGAAAATAAAATAATAATCTTTAATTCTTTACTTATTACAATCTTAAGGTTTCAATTTTAAGTATTTTAAACAGTTTTCGTCATATTAAAATTATTCTATATTATAGAGTAGTTAATCTGGGTCTAGTCTTTTTTCTGCTACATGATTAACCATATTACTTAAAATATTTTGAATGAAATTTTTGTTTTCATGGTATTTTAATTCAGGAAAAGCCTCCATTAAAGACTATGTATGCAATTTTTATACTTTTAATACATCAAAGTTATTTTAAGTTAATATTTCAAGTACTAATACTCCTATTGAAAATACATCTACCTATTTATTTTTTATTATTCTTATTAAGTTAGAATAAATTTATAATTTATTTTTAAGTACTTTAAGAGTATATGGCTTTTAACCATTATAAACTTCTGGAGATTAGTAATAGATGTTTCCCATCAAAGTCTGTATAAAATGAATAAATTAATGAAGTATTTGAATAAAATTTAAATTACATAATTTGTATTCTATAATTTAGGATTTTTGAGTTAATGAGATAGTCCAAAATCAGCTTTAAAATTAATTTACATTAAATAATGAATAAATATATCAGTTTTTAAATAGCTATTACATAAAACAAACATCTTTTTATCAGAGCTATAAAGGATATTAGCTGGTTTAATATCGCTATGTATGACATTTTATTAATTTAAGACTTGTAATGCTTTCAACAGCTAATAAGTTAATGCTATCACTTGGATAAAATTAAACTTATTTAATTTTTTGATGTCTTCCAGACTACCTATTTGAAATAATTGGGTTTATGATTTTTCTAATTTTTGTATTTTTTAAAAATTTATTCTATACAATCATATAATTCGGTGACAATAGCTTTCATTTTTATTTTTTTATCAACAATTTGATCTACTTTCTGAATCACATAATCCTGACCTTTTAGTTTTTTTAAAATTTCATTTTCTTTTTCATAATCATCCTTGTACTATTTATATATTTTAATTGCTACAGAAGTGTTATCTTTCGATGCTTTGTAAACTAATGAATAATCACCTTCACCTAAAATATTTTCAAGCTTATATCCAGGTTTACTTAGAAATTAGGTTACTTTATTTTCATTTGTAACATCGCTTTACATTTATTTAGAATTTCCAACACAATTCCCCATATTCAAATATTTTGATAGGCTTGACCTTTTAGAATATTGATTAAGCTTTAGAAATATATCTTTAATTGAATTTTAATATTCAAAGAAAGTATCAAAAGTTAATAAAGTAAATTAAAATTTTTAAATTAAATTGATGTAAACTACAATAGATAAATAAATACAATTAAGATATTAAACTAACTTCAAACAAAAATCTTTAAGATTTCAAATTCATTTTATACAATAAAAATAAATTATAATGTCTACTGTAATTAAGGTTATAAATTTATCACAAAAATTATTTTTAACAAACCTTAATTCATTAATAAGAATATGTTATTTTAAAATTCTTAGTTTAGTGTAGGTATAAAATATGAAAGTTTTAGGTATATATTTTTTTAAATTCTGATGATATAATTATAAAGAAAAATATATTCAATATGATTAATTTTTTTGAAATACAATATTACTTAACCAAAATAAAAATTTTTTTTTTTCATGTTAAAGAAGAGTAAATTCTTTGATCTATCACACTTAAATTATTTTGATTTTTGCACTTATTAATAAATTGTTTCATAAAATCAATTTACTTATCAATCGATAAAGAAATTGCAAACTATTCTTCAAAATAGGTCATTTTACTATCTACTTATTTTTTATAATTAAAATTAAAATTAAAGATTCCCTTAAAATATAAAATGATATTACCTTTAATGTTTGTATTATTTAAGTGTTTTACGAATTCTTTTGAGCAACCAACTAACTTTAGGGCAGCTAACTGATCTTTACTCAAAATAATCATGACAGCTTTCTTCAAAAATATTAATTCTTCAATAATTTTAGAAAAATCTATTATATTATCAACTTATTGTCCAATTAATTAAATAGCTTTTTTATCTAATCCTAAAGACTCTTAATAATTTTATTATTTAAAAAACCTATTGAATAAAATAATTAAATTAATTTTATGAATCAGAATATAAAAATAATCAAATTTTATTTCTTAATAGAATTAAAAGAAAGTTATCTAACAAAAATTGGATACCTAAATTTGAATATCTTATCCTAAGCAGTCTGTAATGCTGGTTCTTCTTGAAGTCCTTTAATATTTTCAAAAATTTTATTCTCATGCACATTCTTAACTTTTATGTTTTCTTCTGTTTAATTTAATTATGTGCTTTATTCATTTACTTCATTAAAAATTGTAGTATTTTTGCCTTTTTTAATAAATACAGGATTTTTTTATTCAAATTATGTTTAAAATGAAATTTCTTTGTTTATTCTTGGTGATCTTTATTTATCATATCTATTTATTTAAGGGCTATTAAAACTTAACTTGGATGAATCTCTCTTCGACTTAGTGGATGAACAGGGTGAGCTAATGATATATTTTTTTGATGAATTAGTAAAATTTTATTAAATTTCTGTATTGAAATCTTCTTTAACTTCGTCTTTTATGTTATTATTTATTTAGCTTAGAATAATATTAGCCTCCTTTGTTTTTAATGTAGGGATAGAAACAGATTCATTAATAGTTTGCTCATCTAAGTCTTCTTTTTAAAAATTTTGTTCTTATTAAAGACATTAACTGTCTTGATATCTTTTTAAATTTGGTAAATTGTTTTCCTAGCACAAAACTTATGAATAATTATCTAAGAAAATATTTTTTAGAACAAGAACAAATAAATCTTGTTTTATTAGTCTCTGTGCAAAATATTTTCCTATGATTCCTAAGCACATTAAGAGAGTAAGAGTACTATTGCACTGGGCTAGAATTTAAGGAAGAGTTGGGTATTAAATAGAAGTATACTACTAAAATTCATCCAAATCTATATGAAATTGAGTAAAATAATTCAAGCCTATAACATTTTGAACTGTATGTGTATCAAATATCTAAGTGTTGACTGTGTATGATATTGGGGAGTTAAATGTTTCTGAAGTCTGTAAAATTGCTCCTTATTTTACAGAAGTAGATTATTATTATAATTTGAGCTCAGATATTGCTATGTTTGTCGTTGAAGTTAATATAATTTAGCTTCTATAACACTTTTCAATGCTTTTGGTTGTTGTATTAAACTGAGATACTTAGATTTTTACTTTTAATAATGTTGCAGGATTGTTGATATATTTATCTATTTGATCAGAGCTGGCACAGTTGTTGGGGATAAATGTTTTTCTACTATCAGTATCTTAGCATCTATAGAGTTAAACCATAACATAGGAAAATATATTCTAGTTATTATCTAATGCCATGGTGTAGTTTTTAGGTACATTTGAGAAATCTAAACAATCAAAACCAGCTAATTGAGGATTCTAACATTTAAAAGTTTTCAACTACCAAACTTTTTGACCACTATTATCTTAGTAAGCAAATTTAGCTAAAGCTACAACATATGTCTTATTTTATTTCTGTTGAACTTCATCAATTGTGTTCAATCCATTTTAGCTTAGTTAATATGCAAAATAATCGCTCTATAATCCTACATTTATTTAACCATTAGAGATGAATGTTTGATTTTTAAAAATAGGATCAATTTAGTTAGTAAAAAACTGAATGAAGATTTCAATGAAATAGAGTGCGGCTATAACAATTATAGATATAGTCAAAAACGCACCAATGAGAGTTCTTTTTCTTAGCCTTTATTTCTAAGAATTGAATTGAAAGGTTTAATAAAAGATGTCAAAATTTTTAATAAATGTGAGTACCATAATTAATTTTTTATTATTTCTTTGTTTATTATTTGCTTTTATATTTATATTAATTTAATTAATTTAAATAATAATTATAATTATTAACTAAATTGAATGTAAAAATTACTTTTTTTAATTTAATTTATGGTTAATAAAGTGTTAGAAGTAAATTTAAAATTAATTATCACTGAATGCAATTCTTTTATTTTACGATTAACAATCTTATCAAAAACAGTTTAGTTTAAAAAACAACTAACTCTAATAAAGACTCATTTTAAAAGTAATATATAATTATTAAAGATAATAATTTACTTGATTTAGTATCAAACATTTCATATTTATTAAATAAAAAAGATATATTTTAGTAATAGTTCTAGAATATTTGAATAATATTTAAATTTTAAGGATTTATCCGTATTAATATTTATGAAATGTTAGTAAATTTTAAACAATAAAATTATTTTTCTTAAGTTTCATTTGAATAATTGTGACAGTTTTAGAGCATTTTAAAAGGAGATAAATTAAAAATTAATCATTAATTTTGTTTGTTTTAATTTTTAATCAAAAAAAGATAAAACATTTACCACCAATCAATTATTTTTTGCTAACATGTATTGTTTTTACCAGAAAGTTCTATATTATATTAGTTTTTTAATCATATAAGCAAATAAATTTACATGAAATAATACTATTTAAGAATAATAATAGAAAAAGATAATATTAAATTAAAAATTACCTTAAAAATATAAATAGGAAAAATAGAATTTACTTTTCCACAAAAAAAAATAAAGTTATTGCTATTTGCTGCATTTTTTTTTGGTTGCTAAGAAGTTTCTATTGAAAATTAAATAAAATATAAAAAAATTAATTAATTATAATTTTTATGCTATTTTATTTTAATATGTTTACTTTTTAATTTTGGAAAAATGTGGTAGTTCTAGAGCATTTTTAAAAGGATATTTTCAAAAGTAATATATAATTATTAAAGATAATAATTTACTTGATTTAGTATCAAACATTACACATTTATTTAAATTTTAGTAATAGTTCGAATATTTAAATAATATTTAAATTTTAAGGATTTATCCATATTAATATTTATGAAATGTTAATAAATTTTAAACAATAAAATTATTTTTCTTAAGTTTCATTGGAAAAATGTGGTAGTTTTAGAGCATTTTTAAAAGGAGATAAATTAAAAATTAATCATTAATTTTGTTTGTTTTAATTTTTAATCAAAAAAAGATAAAACATTTACCACCAATCAATTATTTTTTGCTAACATGTATAGTTTTACCAGAAAGTTCTCTTTTATATTAGTTTTTTAATCATACAGTATAAGCAAATAAATTTAAATGAAATAATATTATTTAAAAATAATAATAGAAAAACATAATATTAAATTAAAAATTACCTTAAAAATATAAATAGGAAAAATAGAATTTACTTTTCCACAAAAAAAAATAAAGTTATTGCTATTTGCTGCATTTTTTTTTGTTGCTAAGGAGTTACTATTAAAAATTAAATAAAATATAAAAAAATTAATTAATTATAATTTTTATGCTATTTTATTTTAATATGTTTACTTTTTAATTTTAAATAATAATTTTATTTTTTATAAATTAAAAAATAATTTATAAATTTAATGATAATTAATTTTATATTCTTTTTCCTTTTCTTATTTTATTTAAAATTAATTTATATATTAATAAATTACGAAATATATCATTTTATTTTTATTTTTAAATTCATTGTTTGTTTATCATTTTAACCATTCATTTTTTGAGCTCCCTCGGTATTCGGTCAGGGCAAGTTATGAGGTTATGTGGTAATTTCTAAAACTTTTAGCTTAAAAATTTTTTCCATAATTATTCTATTAATTATTAGAATATATTATTTAATGTATGAGGGTTTAATGAAAATATTTTTAAAAGTTTTGCTGATATAATTATTAAGAAAAATATATTCAAAAGGATTAATTTTTTTGAGAAAAAAAAACACATAATATTACTTAATGAATATATATAATAATTTATTTTTCATGTTAAAGAAGAGTAAATTCTTTGATCTATCACACTTAAATTATTTTGATTTTTGCACTTATTAATAAATTGTTTCATAAAATCTATTTACTTATCAACTGATAAAGAAATTGCAAACTATTCTTCAAAATAGTTCATTTTACTATCTACTTATTTTTTATTATTTAAATTAATTATTAAGATAATCTTAAAATATAAAATGATATTACCTTTAATGTTTGTATTGTTTAAGTGTTTTATGAATTCTTTTGAACAACCAACTAATTTTAGGGCAGCTAATTGGTCTCTATTCAAAATAATCATTACAGCTTTCTTCAAAAATATTAATTCTTCAATAATTTTAGAAAAATCTATAATATTATCAACTTATTGTTCAATAAATTAAATAGCTTATTTATCTAATCCTAAAGACTCTTAATAATTTTATTATTTATATAGCCTATTTAATAAAATAATTAAATTAATTTTATTAATCTATATATAAAAATAATCAAGTTTTATTTCTTAATAGAATTAAAAGAAAGTTATCTAACAAAAATTGTATACCTAAATTAGAATATCTTATCCTAAGCAGTCTATAATGCTGGTTCTTCTTGAAGTCCTTTAATATTTTCAAAAACTTTATTCTCATGCACATTCTTAACTTTTATGTTTTCTTCTGATTAACTTAATTACATGTTTTATTCATTTATTTCACTAATAATTGTAGTATTATTGCCTTTTTGAATAGATACCCGATTTTTTTATTCAAATTATGTTTATTATGAAATTTCTTTATTTATTTTTGGTGATCTTTATTTATCATATCGGTTTGTTTAAGAGCTATTAAAATTTAACTTGAATGAATCTCTCTTCGACTTAATGGATGAACAGGGCAAGCTAATGATATTTTTTTTTGATTAATTAGTAAAATTTTATTAAATTTCTGTATTAAAATCTTCTTTAACTTCATCTTTTATGTTTTTATTTCTTTAGCTTAGAATAATATTAGCCTCCTTTGTTTTTAATGTAGGAATAAAAACATATTTATTAATAGTTTGCTCTTCTAAGTCTTCTTATTTAAAATTTTGTTCTTCTTATTAATGACATTAACTGTCTTGATATTTTTTTAAATTCAGTAAATTATTTTCCTAACATAACACTTATGAATAATTATCTAAGAAAATATTTTTTAGAACAAGAACAAATAAATCTTGTTTTATTAGTCTCTGTGCAAAATATTTTCCTATGAATCCTAAGCACATTAAGAGAGTAAAAGTACTATTGCACTGGGCTAGAATTTAAGGAAGAGTTGGGTATTAAATAGTAGTATATTACTAAAACTCATCTAAATTTATATGAAATTGAGTAAAATAATTCAATCCTATAACTTTTTGAACTGTATATGTATCAAATATTTATGTATTTACAGTGTATGATATTGGCGAGTTAAATGTTTTTGATGTCTGTAAAATTGCTCCTTATTTTATAGTAGTAGATTATTATTATAATTTGAGCTCAGATATTGCTATGTTTGTCGTTGAGCTTAATATAATTTAGCTTCTATAGCACGTTTCAATGCTTTTGGTTGTTGTATTAAACTAAGATACTTAGATTTTTACTTTTAAATAGGTTGCAGGATTGTTGATATATTTATCTATTTGATCAGAGCTGGCACAGTTGTTGGGGATAAATGTTTTTCTACTATCAGTATCTTAGCATCTATAGAGTTAAACCATAACATAGGAATATATATTCTAGTTATTATCTAATGCGATGGTATAGTTTTAAGGTACATTTGAGAAATCTAAACAATCAAATCCAGCTAATTGAGGATTCTAACATTTAAAAGTTTTCAGCCACCAAACTTTTTGACCACTATTATCTTAGTAAACAAATTTAGCTAAAGCTACAACATATGTCATATTTTACTTTTCTTGAATTTCATCAACAGTGTTCAACCCATTTTAGCTTAATTAGTATGCAAAATAATCACTCTATAATCCTACATTTATTTAACCATTAGAGATGAATGTTTGATTTTTAAATATAGGATCAATTTAATTAGTAAGAAACTGAATGAAGATTTCAATGAAATAGAGTGTGGTCATAACAATTATAGATATCGTCAAAAGCGCACCAACTAGAGTTCTTTTTCTAAGCCTTTATTTCTAAGAATTGAACTGAAAGGTTTAAGAAAAGATGTCAAAATTTTTAATAAATGTGAGTACCATAATTACTTTTTATTATTTATTTGGTTATTATTTGTTTTTATATTTATATTGATTTAATTATTTTAGATAATAACTAAAGTGGTAGAAGTAAATTTAAATTAATTATCAATGAATGCAATTTAATTCTTTTAATTATGAATTAGTAATGATATCAATAATATTTTATAAAAATAAATAACTCTAATGAAGCATTTTATCAAGATAGTTTAAAATAACTGAAAAATTATTAAAGTTGATAATTTACTTGATTTATTACTTATCATTACTATCATCTGATGATGAACATTATAAAATATCTATTAATTCTATCAACTAATGAAAAATATATATTTAATATTAGATTTTATGATTTTAAAACCATGTAAACAAACTCATTTAATATGAAATAAAATATTTTCATAAAATTGTAGAAAATAATATTAAAAAAATTAAAAATTGCCTATCCAAAAATAAAATAAAAAAAAAGTAGATTACACTTTTCTCCATATAAATAATAAAGTCATTAAAGTAATAATAACTTAAAAATAATAGAAATCAAATATATCCTCTTATCAAGCCATTAATTATATTCCTTAAATATACAAATTTATAATTAAATACTTTTTGTTTCAGCTAAAAAATATAGTTATTTTGATTATAGAATGATAAAAATTCAATTTTTGTAAATATACAATAAAAAAAGCAAAACCATTTTTATCTTTAAGTTATATATATATATATATATATATATACTGTAAATGCTCATTAATTAAGGCATTCCCTAAGTATCTTTTTTGCCCTAAAAAAAGTGCCTTTTTTTGGAAAAATTGAAGTATTCTTTTATGTTACAATAGGCATGTTTTTGAGGTTTTCTGGTGTTTAAAAAATTTGCAATTCATGCTTTGTTGATTAAATACAATCTTAATATTATAATCTTACATATGTTTTATTGAAAATGCTACTGAAATTTTTAATTCAGCTTTTTTTTTGATTAATTTATTTTTTTAATTCCATAAGATTAATTTTAAGACTGTAAAGAATATTTTTTAAAATAGTTTTTTTATTTTTCTCTTTATCTGTTTACTTTAAAATAGAGTACTTTAGTATTTACTAATAAATCTAGTACAAACAAACATTAATTCTTATTAATCTATTATTAATTGGGTATCTGAAAAATTCTTATTTATTTATAAAAAAATAAAAGCAAATAATATCATAATTAGACTAAAAAATATAAAGGTAATGTTTTATTAGCTCTGAATACATTATTAAATTAAATTAATACAATATATTATTGGTAAATTAAAAGCGATGTGATTAATAATTTCATATATCCTAATTATCATTTCTTTTATAAAAATAATAACCAAATAAATTGTTAGTTTATAGTTTATATATTACAATCAGCCAAACAACTTTTTTTTTTAAATGCAAAATCTATAAGAAAATAAAATATATGATAAATTTAACGTCTAAATATTAAACTCATGTCAAGAAATTTCAGGAAGCTTAGAAGGTTTTGAATATTAATCAACTTATTAGAGTGAAAATGAATACAGTCGCTCAATTTAAAAGATATAATAATTGTAATATTATGACTACGAAAATTTAAATAATAAACATTATGAAAATAATTCAATTATAAACTAGATTATTTTACAAATATCAAATATCCAAACGAATATATTTAAAACAACTTCTTTGTTTTTCTTTCAAAAATAAAAATTTTAATAATTCTTCTTCATTAACCTTTTTTTTGGAAAAATTGAGGTATTCTTTTATGTTACAATAGGCATGTTTTTGAAGTTTTCTAGTGTTTAAAAAATTTTTGTAGCAATTCATGCTTTGTTGATTAAATAATTTTAAAAATAGTTCCTTTTAAAACTTAAAAATAGTTTTTTAATATTTTAATATTAAGGATATCAAGAGTCAATCATCAATCTTAATATTATAATCTTACATATGTTTTATTTAAAATGCTACTGAAATTTTTAATTCTTAAGCGAGCTTTTTTTTGATTAATTTATTTTTTTAATTCCATAAGATTAATTTTAAGACTGTAAAGAATATTTTTTAAAATAGTTTTTTTATTTTTCTCTTTATCTGTTTACTTTAAAATAGAGTACTTTAGTATTTATATATTAATAAATCTAGTACAAACAAATATTAATTTATTATTAATTGGGTATCTGAAAAATTCTTATTTATTTATAAAAAAATAAAAGCAAATAATATCATAATTAGACTAAAAAATATAAAGGTAATGATTTATTAGCTCTGAACACATTATTAAATTAAATTAATACAATATATTATTGGTAAATTAAAAGCGATGTGATTAATAATTTCATATATCCTAATTATCATTTCTTTTATAAAAATAATAACCAAATAAATTGTTAGTTTATAGTATATATATTACAATCAGCCAAACAACTTTTTTTTTAAAATGCAAAATCTATAAGAAAATAAAATATATGATAAATTTAACGTCTAAATATTAAACTCATGTCAAGAAATTTCAGGAAGCTTAGAAGGTTTTGAATATTAATCAACTTATTAGAGTGAAAATGAATACAGTCGCTCAATTTAAAAGATATAATAATTGTAATATTATGACTACGAAAATTTAAATAATAAACATTATGAAAATAATTCAATTATAAATGAAGACATTAATCTAATTTAATTTCCTGAAGGCTTTAAATATGAAATATTCCAATTTAACCCTATTGCTTATGAAAACACTTCAGATTATTCTTTTAAAAAAATTATAAACGATTAGGAGAACAAAACAGATTCGCAAAGAATAGTTATGAAGAGATAATCAAAAAGCAAAAAAATAAATTATGAAACACTTTTTGTAACTAAAGACACTCCATAAAAAATTTTAAGCCTAAACAGGAAATTTTATCTGTTTTTAGATTAGATAATAGACCTAGATTATTTTACAAATATCAAATATCCAAACGAATATATTTAAAACAACTTCTCTGTGTAATTAACAAAAGGTTTTAGACTTATAAATAAAGTTTTGCATAGAATCGATAATAAATTTATAGAAGTAGAAATAGAATATTTAACTAGATAAACTCAAAGTATAGACTATATAATTCATATTTTGAAATCATTAGGCAATTAAGATTTAATAAAATATATTAACTATTTATCAGAATTTCAGTAGAATATAAATATTTGTTAGAATTTAATCTAAAAATAATCTCTCGCATAAGATTTTATTCAGAATAGATTAGAAAGAGAAAAAGCAGCAAATGAGAAATTCAAAGAAATTACATCAAATTTAAATCCTGCAAAATTGATATTTTACTAAAGATATTCAGTAAACTATGAAACTTATCAATATGAATCAACAGTCGCAGGATATTCACCTGCTTTGTATGAGGTTTTAGATAATGGATCTTATTATTTTAAGAACTACCTATTAAAAAACGGCTATTTCGATCCTATGTCGCCTCTGTTTAGACTTGAAGAATTCTTTTATAGAGTTTGCTATTTTTCAAATAATTTACCTGAAGAGTCCGATGATGAGATAAATAAATAGGTCAACTTAGAATTAATTACTGTAGATAATTATAGATTTCCGGTCACCATGAAGCTTACTCACAGATATCTTGAAAAAGATTTTGATATGCAAAATAATTTAGAATTCAAAATTAAAGACTTGCTGGCTGTGTATGAATTTTCATTCAAAGATTAATATGCTTATGAAAGTTTAATAAAGGAAAGATAAAACAATATAAAAAATTTATGTAAATCTGAAACAAGTTTAAGAGAGGATGTTGATTTGATTTAAAATGATTATCTACAAACTGAATTTTTTTAGAAATATTATCAAGATGAGATTTAAAATTTATTAAAAAGAGGAAACAAATGGAATAAAATATGTGGTTTTCAAGAAATTCCTAAAAAAAAGTTAAAACAAGAAGTATGAATTGTTTAATACTGAATTCTTAGAAAATAAAATTTATTTAAAAAATGCTTTACTTTTTTACTAAATTTCATGAAATATTCTAGTTTTACTCTTTATCTGAAGTTATTTAGTAAAAAGGTCTTGAACATAATAATTAATTAAACATTTATTTAATAAAATGTCGTTTAAATAATTGACATTAAAATAGTTAAAAATCAGACAGAGTTAATTAATGAAAATATTAAAATAAATTATATAAAATAAAATATTTATAATTATTATTATTTTGGTATTATTTATATTAATTTATATAATATTTATTATATACGAATTAAGGCCATTTTTAAATTTTTGGAATTATTTTTCGAGTCTCCTAAATTCGAACCATCTCTTAAATTAGAAGAATTATTATATTTAATCTTTTTATGAGTGTAATTTGGTAGATAACATTTTCTTTTAATGAAGGTAGTCTTTTTTCAAAATGATAAAATTATTAATTAAAAAATAATAAAATCTATTTTAATTAATAAAAATAGTTAATATTATAAAATTTTAAAATATTGTAATATTTGAAATAATTTTTAAAATAGGAATTAAATTTATAACTTAATAAATTTTCATTTTAAAAGTTTTTATTCAAATTTTTTAAAAAATGAATGGAAAATTGAAAAAAAGAAAAATAACATTGTATCAAATTTTATAAAATCTTAATTAATTTTATTTACTTAATTTGTATTTGTTTATAAATAAATTAATAATTTGTTGAATTTACTGAAATATATTTTTTAAATCAAAGAAAATTTATTAAAAATAGATATAAAATATTAAAATAATTTAAAGTACTTAATGATATGCTTATTTATTTATTTAAAAAATTGTATTAAATTTCAAAAAAAAGGATACATTTATAGATAATTATCATATAATAAAATATTTATAATTAATTTCATACTAATGAAGAATAAATTCTTTTATCAATTTTGTTGAATTTACTGAAAATATATATTTTTAAAAAAATGCTAAAACTATAATTAAAAGTTAAAAGAACTGTAAGTACTTAAATGTAAAATTATATGCTTATTTACTTTAAGAATTGTATTGAATTCAATAAAAAGAATACATATAAAAATAATTTTCATAAATAAAATTATTAACAATTTCATAGTAATGAAGAATAAATTCTTTTATCAATTATGCTTAGATTATTTTAAGTCTAACATTTGGTAATAAATTGCTTTATTACAGATAACTATTTTTCAATTGATAGAGAAATAGCAAATTATTCTTCAAAATAACTCATTTTATAATCTTTTATTTTATTAAATGGACTAAATATTTAAAAAAAAAAAAAATTATATTTTACTGCTAAAATTTCTATTTGGAATTTCTTATTTTATGAATTCTTTAGAACACCCAACTAATTTTAAGACAGCTAATTAATCTTTATTCAAAATTATCATAATTGCTTTCTTCAAAAGCGTTAAATCTTCAATAATTTTTGAAAAATCAATTAGATTATCAACTTATTGATCTATAAATTGAACATCTTATTTTCCTAGTCCTAATGAGTTTAAGTAATCTTCCTGTTTATTTAATCTTTTAAATAATTAAATATTTTAATAAATTATTCAAAAAGAAATGTTAAAGTAAACATATTTTATATCAAACTAATTACTTAAATTTGAATATTTTATCTTAGGCATTTTAAGAAGCAGTTTAGTCAAACAAAATTTAAATTCTTTCATCTATTTTTTTTTTATCTTTGCTTCGAGCTTTTTTCTCTTAAATTTGAGCTTTTTTATCTTTTTTAGGATATATTTATTATTAGTTAAAATAATTAGCTTCAGTAAATAGTGTTATATTTTTTTAAATAGGACTCTGTTGTATATCTTCAAACTATGCTTAAACTAAATCATAATCATTATTAACTTTTTAGGATTTTTCATCTGTTTGGCTATTTAAGATTTAATTGATTGTAATAAGTGTTTTATTCTTAGATTCTATAGAAGATTTATTGTCATAGTTTTAGGAATTAAAATCGAATTATTAAATTTCTGAATTAAAGTCCTCTTTAATTTCATCTTTCATTTTATCTTAGAGTTTGCTTATTTAGCTGAGAATACTTTCACATCTCTTTGTTTTGAAAGATGGAATAAAAACAGATTAAGTAACTTCTCGCTCTTCTATATCTTCTTCTTTTTCATTATCTTTTACATCAAAATAGGATTTTTTTAAAAATTATTATTCATCTAGAAGTCTATTTTCATATCCTAATACCTGCGAATATGAATCTTAGAAAATATTTTTTAAAGCAAGAACAAATATATCTTATCTTACTAATCTCTGAGCAAAATACCTTCCTAAAATTCCTAAGCACATTAAGAGTGTTAGAGTACTATTGCATTAAGCTAAAATCTAAGGAAGATTTGGGTATTAAATAGAAGTATATTATTGAAATTCATCTAAATTGATATGAAATTATGTAAAATAATTCAAACCTATAATTTTCTGAACTGTATAAGGGTCAAACATTTATGTATTTACTGTATACGATATTGGTGAGTTAAATGTTTCTGAAGTTTGTGTAATAGCTCCTTATTTTACAGTAGTAGATTATTATTATAATTTAAGCTCAGATATTGCTATGTTTGATGTTGGGACCAATAGAATTTAGCTCCTGTAGCATGTTTCAATTAACTTTGATGTAGTATTAAACTATGATACTTAGATTTATACCTTTAAATAAGTTGAAGGATTGTTTATGTATTTATTTATTTCATTTATGCTAGCGCAGTTATTAGGTACTGAAGTCTTTCTACCATCAGTATCTTAACATCTGTAGAGCATAACCATAACATAAGAATATATATTTTAGCTATTATCTAATGCTAAAGTGTAGTTTGAAGGCACATTAGAGAAATCTAAACAATTATATCCAATTAATTTAGGATTTTAGCATTAAATACTTTTTAAGTTCCAAGATTTTTTCCCACTATTATCTTAGTAAACAAACTAAGCTAAGGCAACAACATAAGTCTTATTTTCTTTCTTTTCTAGTTCATCAATTGGGTTTAGTCCACTTTGGCTTAATTAGTAAGCGAAATAATTGCTATTTAAACCTACATTTATTTGACCATTTGCAATGAAGGTTTGATTTTTAAATGTAGGGTCAATTTAATTAGTAAAAAATTCAATTAGTATTTCGATGAAATAGATTATGGTTAAGGTAATTATAGATATAGTTAAAAACGCTCCAAGAAGCGTTCTTTTTCTGAGCCTCTATTTTTACTAATTAAACTAAAAAGTTTATGAAAATATATCAAAACTTTTGATAAAAGACAGAAGCATTTTTAATTTTTAGATTGGTAAATTTCCTTTTTTTTGTTTATTAATTAATTATAAAAAATAATTCAAGTTTGTTTTTTCATCTATAATTTATACAGTAGAAAATTATATAAATAATTATTTACTATCTAATAGATATTAAAATTTAAAAACTTTAAATTATAATCACAATTTAGATAAGCACTAAAGAGAGAAAAGCTGGTTATTAAAAATAAGACAAATAAATGAAATATAATATGAAATGATAAATAAATCTTTAAAATAAACAAGCCAATCAATCAAAAATAAACAATACTTGTTTAAAAGAAAAATTTCAATCAATGATAAATGCTTGTATTGTATTCATTTATTATTCATAATATAATTTTATACTTTTTAAATGTTTGATAATTTACAGTAGAAGATGAATTAATTATGTTTAAAAGAAATAATTCTAAATCAAATCAAATCAATGTTTTAAAAAAACGAAATGTAAAATAAGGGGATGCAGTTTAAAGATTATTAAAATTTACAGCTTTTATATTTATAGCCACACATTTGCACATTTGATGAATAGACAAATTATAGGCTGGAATTATAAAATAACTTTTTAATTATTAATTAATCTTTTTAACAAACCATTCAAATAACAACTATTAAAGGTTATTTACAAATAATAATAAATTAATACATTTACCATCCTACTTTCTTGCCTAACTATATACCTATCTATAATAAAAATTTTACATACATGAAAGATAAATCAAATTTTATTAACGATTCATATAATATTTTGAATAAGTGAATTTATAGTAGAAGATGAATTAATTATGTTTAAAAGAAATAATTCTAAATGAAATCCATGTTTTTAAAAAAAAAAGCAAATGTAAAATAAGACGATGGAGTTGAAAGATTATTAAAATTTACAGTTTTTATATTTATAGCCACATATTTACTAAATAGACAAATCATAGGCTGGCAATTAAAAATAAGAAAATTTAATAAAATTTAACTTTGATTATAAATAAATTTTTCATTATGAATTTATCTTTTTAACAAACCATTCAGATAACAACTGTTAAATGGAAAATTACAGATAACAATAAATGAATACATTTGCCTTCCTACTTACTTGTATCCCTATATATCTATCTATAATAAAAATTTTACAAACATGAAAGATAAATCTAATATTATTAATGATTAAAATAACATTTTGAATAAGTATATTTCGAGTAGAAGATGAATTAATTGTGTTCAAATGAAATAATTCTAAATGGAATTCATGCTTTTAAAAAAAGCAAATGGAAAATAAGAGGATTCAGTTGAAAAGGTTATTAAAATTTACAGCTTTTATATTTATAGTCACATATTTACTAAATAGACAAATCATAGGCTGGAAATTAAAAATAAGAAAATTTAATAAAATATAACTTTGATTATAAATGATTTTTTAATTATGAATTAATCTTTTTAACAAACCATTCAGATAACAACTGTTAAATGGAAAATTATAAATAACAATAAATGAATACATTTGCCTTCCTACTTACTTGTATCCCTATATACCTATCTATAATAAAAAATTTTCAAACATGAAAGATAAATCTAATATTATAAAGAATTAAAATAACATTACTAATAAGTAAATTAATTTTGAGTAGAAGATGAATTAATTATGTTTAAAAGAAATAATTCTAAATGAAATTCATGCTTTTAAAAAAACAAAATATAAAATAAGAGGATAGAGTTGAAAAATTATTAAAATTTACAGCTTTTATAATGGAAAATACAAATAACAATAAATGAATACATTTGCCATTCTACTTACTTGTATCCCTATATACCTATCTATAATAAAAATTTTACAAACATGAAAGATAAATCTAATACTATAAAGGATTAAAATAACATTTCTAATAAGTAAACTAATTTTGAGTAGAAGATGAATTAATTATGTTTAAAAGAAATAATTCTAAATGAAATTCATGCTTTTAAAAAAACGAAATATAAAATAAGAGGATGGAGTTGAAAGATTATTAAAATTTACAGCTTTTATATTTCTAACCACGCATTTGCTAAATAGGCAAATCATAGGCTGTTAATTAAAAATAAGAAAATTTAATAAAAAATAACTTTTTAATTATTAATTAATCTTTTTAACAAACCATTCAGATAACAACTATTAAATGGAAAATTATAAATAGTAATAAATTAATACATTTACCATCCTACTTACTTGCCTACTTATATACCTATCAATAATAAAAGTTGTACTATCATGAAAGATAAATAAAATATTTTTAAGGATTAAAATAACACTTTGAATAAATAATTAATTTTTTTTATCTGTTTGACATATTAAAATTATTTTTAATATAGTTTAATAAGTATTTAATTATAAGATTCAAAACTATTTATATTTATTTGCTATTTTAAAAATGTTTGATCACTGATAATGAGTGATCAAGCAAATAATTTTATTAATAAAAAAAATAAATTTACTTTTTAATTTAAAATAGAATTACAAATAGTAATAACAAAAATTAAAAATTATTTATTTAGATTTTAAATAACTAGTGCATGGATTCAAAAAAATTAAAAACTATGCTCAAAATATAAACAAAATTTGGAAGCATTTAAAAAAATAAATTAAATATAAATACTTTTCTAAGGTCATCTTTTTTATAATTTATAGTTAATATTTTAAAAAATTTATCATAATTCAGTAATATTATTTTATAAGTAATACTATAATAATCTTTTTATTAAATCTGAATATAATAATAATTATCAATTTAAAAATTTATTAATGAATTTTATGTAAAGAAATTAAGAATGAATCTTAAAAATTTTTTTGTAATTAGTTATTTGAAAAATATTATTTCCTTTTATAACAAAAAAAATTAATTCAATGAATATAGAAAAAATATATTTATTAATGGTCAATTACATCTTATTTAGTTATTAAATTAAAAATAAACTTACTAAATACTTATAAATAAATTAAAGAAAGCTATAAATTACAAATTAATTATTTATTAAATCTTTTGTAAAAATATTAAAAGCAAATAATAATTGATTTTAATAGTTTAACATTATTTTTTTAATTTTATCTAAAAGATGCAAAATCTATAAGATGATAAAATTAACAATAGCTATAGCTCCTAAATATTAAATGAATATCATGAAACTACATATAGCTTCGAGGGTTTCGAATATTAATTAAAACAATTCAACGAAAATGTAAATGATATCTTGATTTAGCAGACATAAAATGAATAATTATAATGTTACTAAGAAAACTTAAACAATCAATTTTCTGAAAATAATTCAATTTAAATGGAAGATTTTAATCTAATTTAGTTTCCATAAGGCTTAAATTATGAAAATTCATAATTAAATCCTATTTTTTTTGAGGGCTCTTAAGAATATATTAATGAAAAAGATGTAAGCAATTAGTAGAACAAAACAGATTCACAAAAAATAATAAACAAAAGATAATCAAATAACAAATAAATTAAATACGAATCATTTTTTATTACCAAAAATGCTCCTCAATCAGTTTTAGGCTTAAACAAGAAATTTTATCTGTTTTTGGATTAAATGATAGACTTAGATTATTTTGCTAATATCAAATCTCCAAATGAATATATTTAAAACAACTGTTCAGTGTAATTAACAAAAGGTTTTAGATTTCTAAACAAAGTTTTACATAGAATTGATAATAAATATATAGAAGTAGAGATAGAATATTTAGATAGATAAACTTAAAGTATCGACTATATAATATAAATTTTGAAATCATTAGGCAATCAAGACTTAATAAAATATATTAGCTGTTTATCAGAATTTCAGAAAAATATATAAAATTGCAAAAAATGTATTTAAAAGTAATCTCTCAAGTTAGATTTTATCTAGAATAGACTATAAAGAGAAAAAGCAGCAAATGAGAAATTCAAACAGTTAACTTCAAATCTAAATCCTACAAAACTTATATTTTACTAAAGATATTCTGTAAATTATGAAACTTTTCAATATGAATCGACAGTAGCAGGATATTCTCCTGCTTTTTATGAGGTTTTAAATAATGGGTCTTATCATTTTAAGGACTATCTATTAAAAAATGGTTATTTTGATCCTATGTCTCCTCTATTTAGGCTAGGAGAATTCTTTTACAGAGTATGTTATTTTTCAAGTAACTTACCATAAGATATTAATGATGATATTAATAAATAGGCTAATTTGGAATTAATTACAGTAGATAATTATACATTTCCAGTGACTATGTAGCTTTCTCACCAATATCTAGAAAAAGATTTCGATATACAAAATAATTTAGAATTTTAATTTTATGATCTGCTAGCAGTTTATGAATTTACTTTCAAAAGCTAATATATTTATAAAAGTTTAATTGAGGCAAGATAAAAGAATATAATAAATTCATGTATATCTGAAACAAATTTAAGTGATAATATTGATTTAGATTAAAAAGATTATGTATAAACTGAATTCTTTTAGAAATATTATTAAGATGACATTTAAAACTTATTAAAAAGAGGTAATAAATGGAATAAAGTATGTGGTTTTTAAGATATTACTAAAAAAAAATTAAAGCAAGAAGAAAAAAGAGTATGAATAATCAGATAATATAGTTTTTAAAAATATATTTTGAATATTCTTAATTTTATATAATATTAAAATTTTTATTTTAAATTTTTTATTGCATGCTTACTTTTATAAAAAATTAAAATTTTTTTGATAACTTTATTCAATAAAAATTATTTTTAAAAATAGATTTAAAATGCTTGAATTTATGGTAAGTAATTACTAGATTATTTATTAAATTTATAATAAAGTATTTATTTAATCATAAAAAATTCAAAAGAGATTATTTTTAAAAAATAATTTTTCATGAAAATGAATTGTTTTGTATATAATTAAAATGCATATATAATTATTTTTATTTTTTTGTAAACAAAATTCTTAATTTTCATGTTAAAGATGAATATATTCTTTTATCTATAGTACTCATATTATTTTGAGTTTAACATTTTTTTATAAATTATTTTATCAACTAAGATTATTGTTCAATTTATAAAGAAATCGCAAGCTATTCTTCAAAGTAGCTCATTTTAATATCTAGTAATAAAAAAAATTTTTATTATTAAAACAAACTATGAATTAATTTCATTACCTTGATTGGTTTTATTTTAAAGGTGATTTATGAAATTTCTTGAGCACCCAACTAATTACAAGGAAGCTAATTAATCCTTACTTAAAATTACCATTACAGCCTTCTTCAAAAACATTAATTCTTCAACAATTTTAGAATAATCTGTTATATTATCAACTTATTAATCTATAAATTAAAGATCTTATTTTTCTAATCCTAAAGACTTTAAATAAGCATCCTTTTTGCATAGCCTATTTATAAAATAAAAATTATAGTATTACAATAATCTAATAAACAAGGAAAATATATTAATTATTATTTTATTATCAATAGCTAAAGAAAATTACATACTTTAGATACTCTAAAATTAATATATACTTTTGCAAAAATTATATAAAAAAATTAAAAAAGTAAAAAATTATTTTAAAAATTTATCATATATCTAAAAAGATGAAAAATAATATTTTTAAAGTGTCTAATTAGTTTAATATTATTAATCCCATTGAAAATTATAAATAATTGAAATTTTTTTATTTGCTTTTAGTTTTTTTGAGAGTTTCATCTAATAACCAAAAAATAAATTAAAGATTGTTTTTTATTTTAGAGAGATCAATTATTTATTGTTTAAAAACAATATAATAATGTCATTTAATGTTAAATATAAAATTAATGGGGACATATATTTTGACATGTTCAATTTAATAATTTTTTTAATCTATTTAAAATAATTTTTAATAGATTTTGATTCTATTTTACAAATGAATGTTATTTTTATTTTTTAAATTTGATTGAAATATTCTTCTAAAAAAATCTAAAGCTTTCAAATTTTGGAATTAAATCATATATTATTTTTTTTAAAAGTAAGTATTCATCTTTTCATCAATAAACATTATCAAAAACTATATTCTAAAAAATAAAACTGTATTTTGTTGGAAAAATATTCATATTTTTTAAAATTTATTTTAATAAGAAAGTTTAATATTAAAAAGGTAATTAATATACTTAAATTTGTATAGTTTATCTTTGATGATTTTAGATGCAGATTCAATTCCAAGTTCTTACATTATTAAATCTATTTTATTTTGCTATTTATTTTTAACTTTCCTTTATACGTCTTTTTAATCTTAGCCAATGCGAAAAGCTTTTGTTTCTTGTAAAAAAAGAGAACTATTTTTTTACAATTATGTCTTATTTAATTCTTCATTAAATTGTTAAAAAAATTCTTCTTCATTAATTCTAAGTGAGTTTTGCTTAGTTAGATAACTTGCAAAAGTACTATTTAAATTCAACTTGCATGAATTAAACTATTTTTTATTATTATTTGATTAAGAAAAAGGAGAAATTTCTTTCATCCTTTCTTCTTAATTTGTTTGAGAATTAACCAATGCAATTTATTAAATTTTTGTATTTGTACTTTCTTAAAATGCATCTCTTCCTTATCCTTTAACTCTACTAAATTAACTTAAATTATCAAATTACTTTGATTTAAAAGAAGGAATATAAACAGAACCTGACACATTTTCTTAAAAATCTTCTTCATTAAAATGTTAGCTTTCTTAAATTTAAGATTTATTTTAAGATTCTTCTTCATCACCCAAATTATTTTCTTTTCCTAATATTAGTGAATAGTTATCTTAGAACATACTTTTTAATATAAGAACAAATAATTCTTATCTTATCAACCTCTGCGCAAAATACCTTCCGATTATTCCTAAGCACATTAATAGAGTAAACGCGCTATTACATTAAGCTAAAATTTAAGGAAGTGTAGGATATTAAATAGAAGTATATTATTTAAACTCATCTAGATTTATATGAAATTGAGTAAAATAGCTTAAACCTATAACATTCTGAATTGTCTTAGGGTCAAACATTTATGTATTTACTGTATATGATATTGGTGAGTTGAAAGTTTCTTAGGTCTATAAAATTGATCCTTATTTAACAGTAGTAGATTATTACTATAATTTGATTTCTGATATTGCTATATTTGATGTTGAAACCAATAGAATTTAACTTCTATAGCATGTTTCAATTTACTTATTTGTTGTATTAAACTAGGATACTTAGATTTATACCTTTAGATAAGTTGCTGGACTATTTAAGTATGCATTTATTTTTTCTAGGCTGGCACAGTTATCAGGTACAAATGTTTTTCTAATATCTGTATCTTAGCATTTATACAAAGAAACCATGACATATGAATAAATATTTTAGCTATTATCTAATGCGATTGTGTAATTTGAAGGTACATTTGAGAAATCTAAACAATTATAACCAGCTAATTTAGGATCCTAACATTAAAAAGTTTTCAATCTCCAACTTTTTTAACCACTATTATCTTAGTAAACAAATTAAGCTATAGCTACAACATATGTCTTATTTTACTCCTTTTGAACTTAATCAATAGGGTTTAATCCATTTTAGCTCAATTAATATGCAAAGTAATCGTTCTTTAATTCTACATTTATTTCATTTTTAGAAATAAACGTTTAGTTCTTAAATGTTGGGTCTATCTAATTATTAGCGAACTGCTATAATAGTTATATTAAATACAAAACTGTTATAGAGATTATTGATATAGTCAAAAGAGAGCCAATAAGTGTTCTTTTTCTAAGCTTCTACTTCTTAGAATTGAATTAAAATGTTTAAGAAAATATATCAATACTTTTTATTATAGATAGTAGCATTTTTATTTATTAGTTATCTTGCTTTTTTAAAGAGTAATTATTTGAATGTTTTTTTGTTTTTTTTTTTCTTTTTTGTTTAAAATAATCAAAAATTCATTATATTTGCAAACTAAATAATTGATGAATTAAATAAAATTATATACAGTATATTTTTTAAATTAATCGATAAATTCAAGAAATTTACATTTATAGCCACAAGTTAATTAACCTTTATAAATTTTGATAAAATAATTCCTTTTTAAAGCTGCTTTATAATTTATAATACCAAAATTGAAAAAATATGTGATCAATACCCAAAAAATATTTTATTAAATTATGATATAATTGTCAAAATTCAAAATTTTAAGAATTACTTTACAATGAAAATTAAAATTATAGTCTTATAATTTAGCAAAAAAACAATAAGTAATAAATCTCTCAATATTAAGAAGAATTTTCTTTGATTAAGTAACATTAAATCACATTTTGTTAAATTAATTGATAATATTAAAATTGATTCCTACTAAATAAATTTTATATTAAAAATATTTATTTAATTTATAACATTGAAAAAAATTATATTTCTCTATTAATTAATTGTGATAATTTTTTAAATATAAATAAATAGAAAATTATGTAGTTTGTTTATTTGTTTATTTTTTTGTCTGTTTGTTTCTTTGTTTGTTAATAACTTCTTTATTGTTTAGAATGATAAATAAGCTTTTTTATTAACATCTATTAATGTTTAATTGATTGAAAACCAAAAAGTGTTATTTATTTTGTAATGCCAATTATTGAATCAAACCAGTTAAAAATTTTTGAAAAATTAATTAGTTAAGTCAATAAATTGACTAGCTTTTCTAAATTATTTGAATCAGATTCATATTTTTAATCCAATTAAATTTTTATAATACCAAAAAGTAATTTTACTAAAAATATGGCGTTTAATTTTAGTTTTTTGATTAAAGTAAAATTATGTTTTATTGGTTGATTATTTAATGTATACAAATATTAATCTAGGGTTAATAATAAAATTAAATTGATTTCAAAAAAAGTTAAAAAATTATTTGTATTTATATTTATTATTTTTACAATACTAAAGTGTAATAAAATTTCAACACAAGAAAAGGAACAATATGATTTATTTTTTTATTTAGTTATTCACATCTTATACTTATGATTAAATAAATACTTTAATTATTTTACAAACGAATAATTTTCATTTTTAAATAAATTTATTTTTTTGTAAAAAATATTGAAAGAGACCATTTTTGCTGTTCTGATTAATTTAATTTATTAGAACATAATCTGTATAGTGAAAATTTTTACAATTAATTCTTCTAATCTGAAAAAAGCGATATTTTAATTCATAATATTTTCATCCAGTATCTTAAAATTTAAAAAGTAGCTTTTAGTAAATATAATTTCATTATTTTATTATTGTGTTTCAAATTTCCATTTTTTGTTAACTTAATATTATTTTAAATAAAAACTAAATCGTAAAAACAAAAAAATTTTAGATTATTTATTTTAATTGTTACAAAAAGACAAGATCGTTGATAAGTTAAGTTATTTATTTATTTATTACATATAATAATATAATTTAATTAATTAATATTATAAAATTTAATTTTAAATTAGTAAAGTAATTAATTTATCACCCATCTTAAATAGGATCTATCCATCCATCTTGCTTTTAATTATCTGTAAGTCTTTTTTTAGGCTCATCAGAAGTTAAATTATATTCCTAACTTAGTGTATAATCAGATTCTGAATAAATAGTAAATGAATTACCACCTTAAGGATCAAATTAAATTAAAGGCCCTTAGAATTTTGTATCTTTTGATGCATAAGAGTATTTTTTGAGAATATCGAAATTGAATTATTAGCTTCTGATATTTTAAAACCTAGTAAAAGGTATTTTATTTGGCTCCTTATTAAATTAACTTATCATAGATATATCATATATATGTATAGTGCCTTCATCTTCACTTTTCTATTCATAAGTACTTATTAATCCAAAAGCAGTTAAGTCCTTCTTAAATTACATGTCTGTAATTATTTTAGGATATTTACCTCTGTAAAGAGTACATTTGAGTTTACCTTTTTCTGTATCAAAAATTTTGATAATATTACCACCTTTTTCGCAGGCAGCTAATAGACTTCCATCATGACTTAAAACCATATTTGAAATATCAAATTCTCTTTATTCTAAAGATTATGGTGTAGAAACGCCTATTTCCTAATTAAAGTCAATTTAAACTGGGTTGTCATACCAAACATTTGTTGCTATAATCATTCCTTTTATTTTAAAGAAAATATTATCATTTTAAATATAATTTTTAATAATATAATTCTACCTTTATTTTTTGTTAAATAACAAAAGGTGAATGTGTCATAACGTTAGCTAGCTACAAATTTTTAAGGAGTAGATATATCTAAAATATATTTTAGTGGTTTTTTTTGCACTATGTCATACAAGACTAAACGTTACTCGCTTGCAACTAAAAGGAATTCTCTCATATAACAAATTTATAGAATTGGCGAATAGAATTCATACTAACCTATTATTTGACTATTTTTTTAATCCCAAATATAAACTTTAGAATCAGGATATTATTTGTTCTTATTATCAGTGACTAAAGCACAAATATAAGTATCAAACATTAAAGAAACAAGCTTAATACCACAATAAAAAGAGTTTTTTTCTTTTTCCATAATATATTTTTTATTTAACATTCCAACTTTTAATGATTCAGATGATTATATTCTCAACCCTTCTTCAGTTCCTATTGCTACAGTTTTTCCTGTTTACGAAAATGTAATTGCATATATCTTTGGAATATTTTTATGCAGAAATTCAGTGTCATCTGTTTCATCTGTCTATTCGTAGTTTTATGAATTTTCTATGAATTGCTATTACTATTCTATTTTATTTTTCTACTCTTATTTTGTAATGTTTTCATCTTATTTTGATTGCTATTTAGAGCTTTTTATATCAGATTTTTATTATCTAGGCTAGTTCAGCTATTTATTAGGATGTGTTTCATCATCCGAAAAGTTATCTATGACTTCAAAGCCTGAAACTATATTTTACTTTTGCATTACTATTTATTTTGTGCTAATATTTTTTAAGTTTTGATGAAGATTTTCTGATATTAAATTCTAAACAATTTCAATAATAAAGATTTATTTTTTCTAATCTGAATTGAATCTCTTAGTGAAATAAGAGTAAATTGAAAGGTAAAAAAGTAATTTTAATGAATAAATGATTAATCAATCAATGCAACATTTAATATTTCTTTTATTCTTTTGATACATTTTTAAAGCAAAAAAGCAAAGAATTTGTTTGTATTTTAAATTCATATATTTATGTGCTAACAATTTTCTAAATGAATGCTTATTTTTTTGTTTTTATCTATTATTATTTTAAATAATATTCATAAAATTTAAAAAATTATCAAATAATGTAAAGCTTTTATTTTTAGTTCTTATTACAATAAAATGATACTGAAAAAAATAAATACGTTTTGAGCTAACGAAATACTTAATTGTAAAAAATGTAAAAAGTAGAACCAATAATAAATGTTATTATGATAAATATAAAGACATAAAATAATTTAAATTTATTATTTTATTAATTTATTTCAGAAAAATAATAAAAAATAATTTAGATGTCGCACTTTGATAAAATTATAAAGTAATTTCTTTATTCTAAATTTATTCTAGTTTATTTATAAATTTGAAAAATGAAAACTTGTTTTATTTCGTTTAAGGATACATAAAATTTATTTATATTAATAATTTTTATTAAGGCTAAACAGATAGATAATTGGTAAGAAATCGTTTTTATTATTTATTTTAAATAATTATTAGCTTATTAGAATAGTGTTTAAATTTTTTATTAAATAAAAAGATAGATTATTTTCAAGTAATTTAACTAAAAAGGCATAAAAGTAATACATAGATAGAAATACATTTAGGAGATACAAACATGATTGATTTAAAACCATTTAACTTTAACATAGAAGCGTATTGCTATAAGCATCCTTAGAAAAAGCTAGAATTTTTTTGTTTATCTAATGAAAGCTCTGAAAGATTATTTTGCTCTAACTGTATTTTAAAGGGACAGTTACCATGCAAATAATCTGATTTAATTGATATTGAAGAGTTCCTACTATCTTAAAAATAGATTTTAGATACAAAGGGAATACATTCATATCCTGAAATAAATAAATATTTGTCTTAAAAGAAAAGAAGAGAAGTAGAATACCAATCAATTATCTAAAATGAACTTTAAAAGTTTAGCGAATATGTAAATTTATTGCAAGAAAGAGTAAACAATGCTTTTAAAAATTTAAGAAAGATAGTTGAAAATGAGTTTGTTTAGAAAGAAAACTAATATATGTATTAATCAAATCAACTCATTTAAACAATTAATCAAAGCTTTACAGCTTCTCTTCTTGGCAACTATAAATCCTTTGAAGAGCTTTTAACTTAATTCGATTTAACTTCTTCTTTAGGTTTAAAGGATCTCGTTATTGCATTGATAGAGGTAAAAATAGCGTTTAATTTTATATGAAATATAAATATTTTACAATTAAGACATATTTTTTTTTGAAAACTCTAACTAAATAGGATGAAAAGAACAGAATGGAATTATAAAATGAAGTTAAAAAGTAGTTTACAAGTGTTTAATCGCTTGAAAAATAGTTCATTTATGTTTCTGAAGATTAACTTTCTGAAATCGAGACTTCAATTAAGCAATTAGAAGAAAAGGTAGGAAATACTCTAGCAAACATAGTTTTAACATTTAATACACAAGTAAATGACCTGGGCTTGGGAGAAGGTTCGCCAATGAATGTGTCTCACATAACGGGAAAAGACCAAACTCAACAATTCATGCTGAATGAATCTGTTTTAAATCAATCTGTTTTAATGAACCAAACTATAATTTAAATGCAAGAAAATGCACTATAAACAGTAAAAATATCTGATATCAGGAAAATTGTTTGTAGTGCTGATTTTGTGAGTGGCCACACAAGGTAAATTAACTCAATATGCACTTATGGACCTAATAAAGTTGCAACTGGTGGAGAAGATAATACCATTCGTTTGTGGAATTTAGAAACTATGGAGTGCTTACTTTGTTTAAGGGGTCACACTTAAGGAGTTCGTGATTTGATCTCTTTACCTAATGGATTTTTAGTTAGTGCAAGCTATGATAAATTAATAAAAATCTGGAATACTTCCTAAAGTTTAATCAATATGAATTAATCTATTTCGAGTCCTACAAACACCCCTAATGTTATTCAATAAGATTATAGCTCTTAATGCTTAGTTAAAACTTTGAAAGGGCATTTGAGTGGTGTAATATCCCTTTTATACCTAAGCGGCTAAATTCTTGCTTCTGGTAGTGCTGATTACACAATAAAAATATGGGATTTATAATCTGGTGAAGCTTTAAAGACTATTTCAGGTCATACAGGAGACATTTTATGCCTTTGCCAGCCCTTTAAAATTATACTTCCTAAAAGATACCCTGAATTTGCAGATTAAAGATGCTTGATTTCAGGTTCAAGTGATAAGACAATAAAAGTTTGGAAATTAAATAAAAAAAATAATTAGGCTGTTTAAGTTAGAAATTTAGTAGGACACAAAGATTATGTTTAAACCTTAGTAATGCTACCTGATGATTCCACTTTAGTTTCAGGTTCTCTTGATAAGTCTATAATGCTTTGGAATATTCATACAGGATAAAATATAGCTAAGCTTGATGGGCACACCTCTTTTATTACTAAACTTAACTTATATTCTGAAAGAGTTATTTTAAGTAGTTCTACAGATGGAACTCTTAAATTTTGGGATGTGAACATAAAAAGTTGTGTGCATACATTAGAAGGACATCAAGGTGCTGTAAATAACTTCTGCATTCTTCCTGATTAAAGCATATGGAGTGTAGGCTTTGATAAGAATGTTCATGTATGGGACTGATTGAGTTACTTGTTTGCCTACTTACTTACTTATTTATTTATTGGCTGAAAATAAACAAACCTTGAAAAAACTACATTATTTTTTAATCGTTAATAAAGCTTTGATTTTTGGTTAAGTGAATAATTTAATCAAATTTAACAAATAAAATAAAATATTTTAGTTTTTTCTTAATTTTTTTTGTGTACATTGCATTAATTTTCTATCTTATTTTATTTACTGTAGATTTTGATTGATTTTTAGAAAAATAAATACTTTTTAGAAATTTGAAAATTTTATTATTTAGAAAAGCCTTTCCTCAAAAATTATTATTATTACAGTATTCAGCTAGAAATTTTATGGTATTTATATTCATTTAAAAAATTTTAAAAATAATATTTTATTTAAAAAATTTTGTAAGAAATATTAAGGTTTTTATATTAGTGATTTTCTTTAAATTATTTTTAGTTGGAATAATTATTTTTAATCAATTAAAGGAACATATTTTTTAAATGTAATTGTTTTTATTTACTGACAATTTTTTAGTTAATTTTACTAAAAATTAATTAAATATACATAAAATTTCAAAGTATGATACAAATATCTATCATGATTTTGCTAAAAAAATGTTTGTGATAAAAATATATAGTAACTTCTCTAATTTTGCAAATTTAACAGATATATTTAGCTTGAAGTCAATTAGGATTTTGAGTAAAGATATATTTTTTGATCCTATTAAATTAGAAATCTAATCATAAAGTTAAGCCAAATTAGCTTTACATTTTTTGGAAATAATAATATTTATATAAAGCTTCATTATTTTAGACAGTATAAGATTTAGGAATTAACATTTCTTTCACCTTTTGTTGATTAGATATTTATTTTATTATCAATTTAATTTTACTTGGATTCTTAAAATTACTATTAAAATAAATTATTATTATTTTTAATAGTAAAAATTAGTAATTCCTTTAAATTTAGGAGAAGCAAATATATAATTAAATACATTTTTCTATTGTAAGAAATGGTTGATTCTTATAAAGATAATACATTTGATGATTCTCATTTAAATAATTAGTCTATTGATTAGCATTATGACTTACCCTAGATCGCAATTTTAGGTGGATCTTTTGTAGGGAAGACAAGTATTTTTAATCAAATACTAGGACATGCTACTAATGAACCTTTAGAATAAGGCATTATCAACTAAAAATAAATAAAAATAGAAAAAAATGAAGAAGAAATAGAATTTAACTTGATGGATTTTCCTGGTTGCTTTGATTGCGATTAAATAATAATTAAGAGTATTGGATTTTTGCTAGTGTTTGCTGTAGACGATCGATAGTCTTTCCTCAAGATGCAAGATATATATCAAAAGATTTAACAAATTCATGGTAAATCAATACATAAAAAGATAATTGTGATTGGAAATAAAAATGATTTACCAAAAAATGAAAAAGTTGTTAAAAAAAAAGAAATAGAAGAATTTTATACATAAAATAAACAAGAATATTGGAAATTACCCTAAAAAAATTAAAATGCTGTTCAAGATATGTTCAAAAAGCTCAAAGAAAATATATGTAATGAAGCCAAGCTATCTCTAAGTAAATCTAATATATTAAGTAAATCACTAACCGTAAACAGTCCTTATGGGACACATTTCATGACTCAAACTGGAGTATCAAAAAGTCATAAAAATTCAGTTGATAATAAAGATAGTAAACAAAAGAGTTACTGCTAAGAAAAATGTAATTGCAGCATATTTTGAAAATTTTAAAAATTCTAATCTTTAATTATTAATTATTACTAAATATACTATTTCTTTATATTTTTTGTTTGTATTTTAGAGATTTCTTAAAATTAGTTGTTTGCTTAATATGGTTTTCTACTTACTTCTATTTTAAAGTAGTATCTTGATTCAAAACAAATTTACAATTATAAGAATAATAATAATAATAATAGATAAATATTCTTTTCAAGAATAAGATATCTTTTTTGTTATCAGAAAATATTAATTTACAGACGCAATCTGTCTCAATTTAGTCTTTTTTTATTTCCTTCTTTTAATTATTCAAAAAAAGAAGAAATAGTAAAATTTGTTGATAAAGATTTATTTTTTTGCAGTCGAAATCAAAATATCTTTTTAAAATTGCACAAATATAAATAAATATGTATTGTTAATTGATGAATATTTATAAATACTCTTTTCACAAACAATATAAATCTACACGAGTTCTTTCGTGAATAGGAATGTCAGAATCTTTGAATAAAGTAATTATAGCAAAATTTCCTGCTTATGAGCCATCACGTATAACATAATTAGGATTTATGACGACGGTATTATAGATTTTAGTTGCAAATTTTGGTAGAGATGAAGGAGAGATAATTATATGAGGATATTATTCTAGCTAGTAGTCAAAAGGGATGTCAAAATCATTTATATTAGGAAGTTTTACAGTTTCTAATATTTATTATGAATCTTGTGGATTTCTCATAGGATATATGGAGTACAAATTTTATTAATTCATAAGTGCTTTAAAAGTAAGACGTGATTGCTGCATGTAGGGAATCTTTTTATCTAACAAACTATTTTAAAGAGTGATCATACCGACATCTGAGTTAGCAATGTAAACTCTTAATTTATCAATATCAATATAAGCTGGATTAGAGTAAGAGTGAATAGAATTCTTATGTTCAGAAACTTTAATTTCAAGACTCATTTAAGGAATAGAGTCAGTGGAAAGAATATCGCGAGTAGAAGGGACAATGATTATTTAAGTTTTTCCTTCTAATTCCTTTACAGCTTTTTCAAACAAGGAATTTTACAATTACTCAAAAGTATATTCTTTGCTATTTATTATAATACTGCCATCTTTTAAAATTTCATTCTTTATATCTAAAAATGGTCCAAGAAGGATAAGAGTGCTTACTTTCTTAGTCTTTGCAACATGAAGAATGTTATCAAATGATGTATATTAAGTAGACATAACAGTAGAAAAAGGACCTGCAGCTACCATGATAAGCTAACTTTCATCTTAGTTCAAATTATCAATTTTTGGATGTTCTTCATCAGTTATTTCCTTAATGTGATCTGTGATTAACTCACTTACTACTAATTCTTCTTTTTCATTTATGATACCTTTAACCATCACTATCTAATTAGGAAAAAGAACATTGTTACCAAAATCAAAATCGTTTTCAAAGACGAGATCGAAATATTGATTTCTATTAAGTTCTATCCTTAAATTTGTTGTATTCAAAAAACCATTTTCTGTCGATATCAATCTGCCAACCATTTTTACTTCTTCTGTCTTAGAGTAAGAGCTGACATCATTTATTAACTATTCACCGTTAACTATAAATTAACTGTAATTTTGTATTTTGAAAGTTAGGATCCTTTATTCGAGATGTTTGCGAATTTTATCAATATTATTTGTTAAGTAGTTAGGAATTTTATTAGGATCGTATTATTCAAATAAATCGACAATAGTCATATTGTTGGAATTCTAATGCTAATTTTTTTCGAAGTTTACCTAGGGAAGGTTACTATTATATGAAAAACGTTTTGGGTCTAGCATTGATTCCTTTCCTAACTACTAACGCAATTATTCTTCGCAATCAATTGCTGCATTATTTGCTTATTAAGTAGATGTCTGTTTTTTGGCTGAAGAAGCTTTAGTAAATAAATCTGCATCACCTTTAATAATGTCTATATTTTTTTAAACTTCAGATTCCTTTATTTTTTTAAAATTGTCATTTTGAGGTTTTTTGATGTCCTAATTAAGCACATTCTTCTTAAAATCCATCAGTTAAGCTTCAAGAAACTTTTACTTGCTATTGTAAATGATTGCCTCCAATTAAAAGAGCCACTTTTCCATTAATTACTCATCATCTAATATTCCATTGCTAATAATTAACTATTTCAATTATTAAACTGCATTTTGGCTTAAATTAGCAGAATCAATTTCTTCTAATATTTTTTCAAATTCTTCCATTTTGCTATTCACTAGTTTCTACTTTGTAAAATATTAATTAAATTTGTTTTTATCATATATCTTTTGACTAAAAAAATAAAATACTTAACATCCCGTAAACTGCTAACAAATTAAATAGAGGTTTATTAATTATTCACTAATTTGATTGGAACATATTTAAATTTGGCGCGGTATTATTTCTCAGGCGCCTAATGTAAACTATTTAAAAAGGTTTAAAGCTATTAAGTAGAATTAAAATTTTATTGGAATCTAAGTAAGTTTTATGACATGAAAAATTATATTTAAAATACGTTGAAAATAAAGAAATTTTATTATAATTTTGATAAAATTTAATTTACTAAATATTTACAAATAAGCAATTACAGTAAAAAAAATATTTAAAAAATTAAATTAGGAAAGAATAAATTGAGATGAATGCAAAAATAATATTCTTTTAATAATATACATTTATTTGATGAAAATATAAACAAAAATGAATGAATATTTAAGGAAATTTTATTTAAATTATAGTTTAAAGTGAGTGATAAATATGTTTTTTTTTGAAGTGGTTTTTTATTTAATCTTCTGATTATAATTTTAATTATATTTATCATTAATTATTATATATAATAAGTATTTATTAGCTATTTATTTTTAGGTGTATTTTTGGTTATTATTAATTTAAAAGTTTATTATTTATTGGTGATAGGCGATAGCTTGCTATTATGGAAAATTTTAATTTAGGTCATATTTTTATAAGATTAAATAGTTTAAGCTGATAAGTACTGATTTTAAGAATAAAATAGCCCTATTTTACTTAATCACTTTAATTGTAGGAAATATAATACCTATGTTTTATTTTACCATTTAGTTTATTTTTATTTTAGCTTTTAGCATTTTGTTTTTAATAATAAATATATTTTCATTTTCATTTTCTAAAAATAAGTAAAAAAGTTTAGGCATAAAAATTCCCATTCAAAATTTCCAGCGAGGTTTATTTGATTAAATATTAGAGTTAAGTAAACCGCTGCTCACTGTGAATATATTATCAGATTCTGAGCTGATTGCATTTATGTTTGATGATTGCTTTAAGTAGTCTATTTTTTAATCTACAAAAACATTTTAGCTAGGCTAAATTTGATTATATGATAAGCTACTTCCAGTGTTAGTGTAGTTTTAATTTAAAGTCAGAGCTTAACCAGGAGAGTTACTACGAATACGATTTTTACTTGTTCCCAATTATTTTTGTTTATCAAGTTTATTTTGAAGACCTTTTTAAAAATTTTATTATTTTGTTATTAATGAAAAAAAGAAATCTATTTTGAAATTACTTTAAATATCAGGAGAAAATGATCTATATTAAGGTGTCTGCTTGCCAATACTCTGCTTAGAGAGTACATTAGAAGTTCCAATTGTAAGACTCTCTTTTAGCTTCTATGTTTCCATAAAGTTATTTGTCATAGGTTAGTAGACTGTGTAGGGCTAAATGTTATAATTCCTTTTAAAATAATTATTTAAAATTAAAATTAATTTATTTTTAATTTTTTACTCTTTTAAACTCTTATCAAAAGATTACTAAGGCTTTGATTGAGGAGGCTTGCTGATCAATGATGTCTTCATCGTTTGACCTATTAAAAAATAAGTAAAGATATATCAATTGGCTAAAATAGTCTTAATTGGTTACTTGAATTTATAGGAGATTTATTTGATGAAGGTATGATATTGCTATATTTATCATTTCCATTTAAGGTTTCAGAGTTCAATCCAGAAGATCCTGAAGTTATTTTGTTAGAAATAGTTTGAGTAAGTGAAGAGGAAGAAGGAGCCTACTAGAGATCTTAGCTTGATAGGTTAGACTAGTTTATTGATGTAGAAAATTAGTTGTAGGTGTTACTAGAGAATCTATTTGAGTCAGATGTGGAAGTTTATTAAGATTAAACATTACTATTAATGCTGTATTTAGTAAGATTGGACTACTAAAATGATTTGCTCAGTGAAGTATTAATCGTACTATTTGTGTTGTTAGTTGTGCTTGTTAGTGAATTTTACTCTCTTGGTTTTAGAGGCTTTATCAAAAAAACAATTTAAAAAAGGGTAAAATATAAATTTAATTTACTGGTCTTTCATTCTTTATGTATCCTTTTGTATTATTGTTGTTGTTACTTACTGGGCTTTTATTAGTCTATAAAAGATTTCCAATAGCTTATTTTGCTTATGATTGAGAACTTAAGTAAAGGTTGTCTGTATTTTTGAGATTGCTGTTGCTGTTACTTTAAGTATCACTGTTATGGGCTGATTGAGTTCTTACATAATTATTTTAGAGAAGAGGTTTCTCAAGTAAATTATTACCCTACTATATCTAGGAATTCTTCATCTATAATTATAAAATAAAATAAAATAGTTTAGAAAAATGGTTTTTTTATTATCAATTTTAGTTACCTCATTATTTAAATAGCTAAATTAATTTTTTTATTGCTGAAGAAGACTTTCTTATTTTTCTTTATTAGAAACTGATGATGGTCTATTATTTGCTTGTAGTTAGTAATTCAGTTTATTACTCTAGGGGCTTCTTTCTTCATCAAGTTTTTTTGGTAAGCTATTGCTTCTGTAACCACTTTAGATTTAAAGGTTCTAGGAAGAGCTTTTATTAGTTTGGGGATCAGTACCTAGCTAGCTACCAAAACTTGTGTTATTTTTTTAAAGCAAACTCATATTAGAACTATTGTTATTATTGAGAGTTGTATTGCTTTGTTTTGTGTTATTATTACCTTATGGATTTAAATAAGTTTAGATAGAGTTTTTTGCTGAAAGATTGTTTTTATTTCCCACAGAATCTTTTTCATTATCAAAAGCCCTTAAACTGTTGCTTCTAATCAAATTTGTAGTAGAATTTGTATTTGAAGAAGATGAAGAATGAGGTTATTGCTGTTCAAGTATCTTTGAGATTAAATTTTATTTTTTCTCTTGCATTTAAGCACTTTGAGGTGGCATCATTTTATTACTTTTATTCCCACTGCTTGATCCATTACCAGCGCTATTGGAAGTCTAAGCTATTTTTTTATCATTTAAAGTGCTGCTCAAAGCATTTGTAATGCTTTTTTAATTATATGGTGAGGTTATTGCTGATGAACTAATACTTTTGCTTCCACTGTTATTACCTGAGTTTAATGTTAGGGAATTTTAAAAGGTAGTTGAATTTTTGGAAGAAGTATTTGCACTGTTAAGAGCCCTTAGTAAAATTTCACCCTAAGTCTTTATTTGCTAAGCGCTGCTTGTAATAGGATTTGGAATATTTAGGTTTTATTTATTCTCATTATTATTTAAATTAAATTACACTGATGTATTGTTATCATTAACTCCAGAAGTATTAGAGTTATTAGCCTTACTAAAATTATTACCAATATTCAAAGTTTAAAGCTGACTCCCACTAATATTACTATACTATTGGGAATTTAGTTAATTTAATTACTATTATTATTACTAATATTACTAAGCAAGTATTCCTGTAGATCCTGATAAGGCTCCAGATTTGTTATTTAAACTATTAGAATTTATTTGCTGATTCTAATTATTAATAGGAATTTACTATTAGAGGTGTCTTATTTGCTAAGAGAGAAGAGGTTAATGCTGTTGAAAGCTTGATTGCTAATTAGTATTTGAAGAGTATTATTAAATAGACTAAGAAGATAGTTGTTAACTGTAATTGCTATTATTCTTGTTTTATAGTAAGGAATTACTAGTTCCATTAATTTATTAATTTTAAGCATTTTGAATTTAATTTATGTTATTAATACTAAGATTATTATTTGAATAGAAGTTACTGTTGCTTATATTATTACAACTGGAAATTTCTGTCTTTTATTAGCTAGAGTTAAGTAAGAATGATGGCTGATTTCCTAATTAAGAAGCATCCTCTACAAGTGTTTTGACACTTTTGTTATACTTGAGCTATGGTCCAAAAACTCCTATTTGTTTACCACTCATAGATCTAGTCATTCCATTTTTCTATTGTTATTAGTTTTGCTATAGCATAGCTCCTTCACTTCCCACTCTACTGTGTTTATTAGATCCCTTTTTAAAATAAATTTTAAATAATCTTAAAGACAAAATTAAAGAATGCAGGAATAATAGAATTAGAAGGAGCATGAAGTAGTAATTCTTAAATTATTGTTAAAGAAATTATATTTTATACCTTTAGACAGGATTTAATGGGTTTCTTACTTAAAGATGATTATCTATAATGCTAAATAGGATTGAATGTATCAGGATTAGGAAAGACTGCTACATGCAAATCACGATTATGATGAATATCATTCCAAGTAAGCTTATCTTTTTTTTCTTTTCTCATCATTTACAATTATATTTATTCATCTGAAAAGATATCAGCAACTGGTGCATTTCTTGAATTCAAAAAGGTATTTCTGATTATTAACTCCTCAACATTTACGATTCCATTTGGAAAATAGGATATTTCATTCCAATCTTGAATCATAGCTCCTGCTCCTGTAATTTAGAGTTTTTTTGATAAATTGGTGAGTTATTAAAAAAAGCTTGATCTAATTTCTAAATCAGGTCTTCTGGAATTTAAAAATTCAAGTGTTTTTAACAAAGCCCAATTATATCTATTTTATTAATATTATTTTTAAATTAACAATCACATTAATTTTTTATTGCAAAAGCTTGTGTATCATTTTTAAATTTGAAATCAAATTTGCAACACAAGCAAATAATGAATGTATTGAAATCTAATAAATACACAAACAAACGCTTTAAAATTTCAAAAAGTAGCAGAAATAGAAGTAGTTGCTGTCAAATCAAATTTAAAATAAATCAAATTATTTCATTCAAAAAATTAGTGATTTTAATTGAAATTGTATGATTTTTAATTGGTTTATACAGGCAATTTATAATAAAAGCGGAGCTAAACTTTGATAGAAAAAAGAGATATTATTTTTTTTAATTACTTTTTCATAAAGTAGGATGCCAACACACAGCACGCGCGGCTCTATCCTTTGACAGAATGCACAAGAGTAGATTCACCTGCTTCGGCAGCTTCGTCTATAAATTTTACTATCTCATTCAAGATCTCATCTTATTCATCAAATAATATCTAAATCATTTATTTAATATTTGCTTTAATTAACTCTTCAAATAATAATTAATTTTGCTCGATGAAGTCATTAATTTTGAAATTTTGGTAGGATTATTTTGAAATTTTATAAAATATTCGCACCAAATAAAATAATAGTCGACTATGATATTTTAGAATAAACATATTTATTACTTATTAATCACTTTAAGTCCAAGGAAACGTTAAATACATAACGCCTATTTGTTCCCAAATATTGCCTATGCTTTGCCCTGCACAATTAATAATGTGAGTAACTTTGTTAGTAATAACAAACTCTAAGTCCTGTTTTTAAATAATATTATTAACAACGCGAAAGATTAAATTGATGTGCTTGGCTCTTTTATATTTATTTTAATAGCTAAATAGCCAATATAGCTAAATTTAAAATATATTACTTAAGCAGCGTATTCATCTCCTATAAATAAACCATCTTTTATTTTAATAGCCCCAATAATACTATGCTGCTCTTCAATGGGATTTTATTTGTTATTTTGCATATTCATTCCCTTTAAATTCTAAAATGTCGGTAATCTTTTACAATAATCTGTTTTAATAAATGCACTCTCTTAAATTTATAGATAATATCCGAATGCTCTTGGTTATATTTATTGAAAGGTTGATAGCTAGCTATTCAGAATAATACTTTTATTGCTAAATCTTTTCTTCTTGCTTTTTAATTAAAAGTTTTCTTGATTATTTGATTTCAAAATTTGATTTATTAACAAATATATAAATAACATTAGGAGAAATCCAAATAATTTCACTTATTTATTTGAAATGTCAATTTTTATGATTCCTATTCAATTAAATAACCAAAAAAGGTTTCCTTCCATTCAAAAATTGAACTAATATAAACTAAAATCGCTTGTCCAGCATATTTAATATAAATCTTATTAAATTACGTTTAAAATCCTTAATTGATTCTTTCAAAAATCATCTATTTTATTTGAATTGTATTTTCTTTTTCATAAATTTAAAATATTTTACTGAAATATATGATTGGTTCTCCTCATTCTGTCTGGTTCCATATTTTTTTAAATTCTATGTTTAAATTTTTAAAAACAAACTTAAAAATATTCTAATTTTGAAATTCAAATAAAATTAATTTTTATTCAATCAAACATATCTAATTCAAAAAAAATGTTATTAAACAAATAAACAAATAATTATTATTATGAAAAAAATATCTTTTGAATAGAAAAAGCTATCGAAATTTCAATAATAAAAAATATAACATATTTCATTTGCCTTTATGCAAATTAATAAAATTATTAAATAACTTTAGTGGAAGAATTAAAGGTGAATTCTTAATCATAAATTTATGATTATTTTTGCTTGTTTATTATAGCTTAGTTAGAAAAGGACGCAAATAATTAACTAAAAATATATAATATTAATACACAATATATTAATAAAGTAAAATACTGACTTTTATCACAAGTTATTTCCTTTTCAAAGATAGAATTAGCAAACACAATAAAGCAAAAAACAACTCTAAAACCTTAAAATTAGCACTTTTATATAACTTAATTGTTAATTTTTGAATATAATTCGTAAAAAAAAATAATTTTAACTCAATTACTGAAAAAATGAGCAATAATAATAATAATAATAACGGGAGCTATCAAGAAAGCAACGATGATGATTAATCAGATGATTATGAAATGAAGCAATCTAAAAATTTTGGTAAAGCTATGTTGCTACCAGTCAAAGATCATTTGTAAAAGCTTGAAGTAAATATTTTAATTGAGTATATGCTTAATTGAATTATTTTATAATTATATCATATTATTAATTAGGATACTATGAATAGAGTGCAAAAAGATTTAGAATAAAGCCGCAAAGATATGAATAATTTAAAAACAGATTTAGCACATCTAAAAAGTTCTTAATTTGATGGATTCGGAGATATTTCTAAATTCGTCATGCATGAAGTAGAAAGGTTAGGTAATGATTTAAGAAAACAAGGAACTGAAGATTTACATGACACAGACTTTTTAAAAATGTAAGTAAACTAGCTTCTTGCTGAAAAGTAAAAGCTTGAATCGACCACAGATATATTAAAATTAAGAATTGTAAATACAGAAAATGATGTTGGCTTTCGTTTTATCTACGACTGAAAAATGTTATGAAATAATTAACTTTCAATTTACTTTGTGTATTTCTATAAATGTATTGACAATGAATCAAAGTATATTTTTTAAATAAAAAGTAAAAATAAACAAGATACAATACACACAATTAATAAACTAATTTAAATAAAATCATAACAAAAAAAAGTAGATTTTTTGTTTATCATCTATTTTCATAAAACAATCTTAATTTGCAGAATAAATAATTAATTATAAATTCATTACTCATGTGTATAAATCGTAATAAATAAAAAATGGATTATAAACCAATTAATCTCTTATTTCATTATTAAAAGCTATGATCTTATAAAACTCATACTTTAACCCTTGAGAGATATCTTTCAAACCTTAAAGAGTTTGCAATCGATCTAAAGAAATATGTTAAAATTATTATTATATTTTACTCAAAAAATTTATTTTTACCTATTTCACTTAAATCAAAGTACCAAATTTTTGAATCTGAATCAACTATTTTCTTGATTATTTAGATTACCTTCACTATTCTATAATATTTTAATAGAAATTATTAATGCTAAATTTTTAAAGTTTTTAATTTAGCTTAAAGTATTAAATTATTTGATTTTTTTCAATATTTTTATAATTTTAAAATTAAAATAATTTAATTTGATTATATTTTTATGGTAAAATTAATAAAGAACTACAAGTTTGAGTTTTATTTTTTAAAATAAGAATAATTTAATTTTTGTTAAAAAAAATAAAAAATTTTCAAAAGTAATAATTTATTATGGAAACATACAAATTTAAAGAAAGATATAAATATTTACTATTCATTATTCAATCTATAGAGCATAGCAGGGAATTCAAATTTCAATAATTTCTTTTATTTAGACACCAAATTATCAATATAACACAGAATGTTAGATATATTTGTCGTAAAACTATTTTTATTTATAGAAAATAATGATGATAATCTGGATTTTAAATAATGTATTTACATTTTTCCATAAGTAATCTAACAAAACTAATGCTCTAAAGCTATTGTATAACTAATTAAGTATTATTTAATAAAATATTTTTTTAAATAAAAATATTTACTTTGAAATTTTTATGTCAATTATATCTAATAGTGGGCAGTTATTCACTAGTTTCTCAACATATTTAATGTATTTTTCTGAATTTTATCTTTCAAAAATTAAAAAATAAAATAAAAGCAACAACTTAATAAAATTAATTACATATTAGAAATTTCAATTTTTAAATATTTTAGATGAGGTAATTATTTAATGTGCTAGAAGCAATTTAAATGCATCACATATGTTTTTATCACTAGATGCTCAAGCTATTATAATTTATTAATTTGAAATCCTAATTCCTCACCTTACTAAAATTTTTCATAAAACCCTTTTAGGATAAGCTTTTAAAGGTTGATCTTAGAAGAAAGAAGTGAAGGTAATAATTTTGAAAAGCTTTCACTCTCTTATATTTATAAAAGCATATTTTTAAAACTAAAAGTAAAACATTTAAGATAATTTTACATCTAATTTTCAAAGATAATACTCTTAAATACTCATCTTAAGAAAATTTCAGTTCAGAACAAAATTCTTAAATACTATTTATTTGGTAAAAAGCTAATAATACATAAAAATTTAAAAAATTAAATAATTATCATACAACAATAGTGGTAACTTCACCTAAATTTCTTTTATCTTTGATTTATTATTTAGTAGAGAAATAATATGAGAAGGCTCATTTTAAAATTCAGGTCTGTTAAAAAATTAATTAATTAATTATCACTATAAATAAGATATTTAAAATTAAATTACCCTAATTTTAATTTGATTTTCTATAAATTTTAGATTTTCTATAGAGACTAAGCAATTATTGATGCGTTATCGTCACTCATTTTATTTTATCTTTTAATTTTTATTTGAAATTCATTTTTTAATTATTTATATAAAATATATAATTGGTAATTTTTCTTTTCTACACTTTATTAATTTTAATTTATGAATTGTAGAAAATTTTTAAAAATAACCTCAATAATTTATTTTATTTTTTTGAAAAACAATCCTTATTAATGAGAGAATATGGAATGAAATTTAATTAAATAAAAAATGAATGAATTAAAAATAAAATACCTTATTGTTAACTCCAAGTGCTTTAAATTCTATAAACATTAAAGCCCTTTAGAGAATTCTTAAGCTTCACCAACTCTTATATAGATTTTTTCTAATAATATAAATAGGTGTTTTATTGTTTTTCCTTATTTCATTCCCATCCCAAATAGTTTCAAAGAAGTTGAGTTAGTTTCTGCAGAGCTTTAAATATACGTTTTAGAAAATAAAAACAAAACTATTTTCTAATATTTACAATAAATTTAGAATTAATGTCTTCAGCTGAGAGGTTTTGGAAAAAATTTTTCCTATATTTACATTTTAAATATCACATTCCCTAATAATATTTTTTTACATTAAAATAATCCTCCTTTTATATGTTTTTACGAAAGATTTAAGTAAGCAGTTTGCAAAGTATCATTTTATGATATACCATTTATAGCTGATTAAATGAGGTTTTAATCTGAATTTAGTTTCATTTAACCAAAATCTAAATATAAACTCTTTAAACTTTTGTTATTTTTTAATCCATTTTCTAACTAATGGGGTTACGAAGCTTTTCTTTTCATGTAAATAAATACTTATATATTTCATAATAACCATTTAAATAAATTAATTACTCTAAATATAAAGAAATATGCTATAGGTATTTAGATTGATTTAAAATTAAACTTAATTGTTTCATTGAATCTCCTTCGAATTTCCTTTATTTAAAAAATAATTTTAAGAAAGAAGTTAGTTAAATTTATATTCTTACTTTATTTTTAAACTTAGGTATTAAAAATATTGGCTATTTAACTAAGGATAAATTATTTTTTCTAAAGCAATTATATTTGCTTGCATATTGCTATCTAAGTTAAAGAATCTTATTATTTTTATGTGGGTTGTGCTTTTAAAATAATTTTCTATCTCTGTTAAGCATTCGCTGCAGTAATATGGTCTAAATAAAATTTATTTTGAGTATTTACTTTTAAATTTGTAAAAATAATACAAATTTACATATCAGAGATATCAATATCTTATATTAAGTTTTTTAAATTTTCATTAAAATTATTTGTGTTTTTGCATTTTGTTTAAAAACTTTTGTTTTGTCTGCTACCTATCCAAATCTCATCACACTTTTCATTAAAATTATCACTAAAATACTAAATTTTATTATGCACCTAAAAATAGTTTCTTAAAATCTTTTTAAAATTTTCTTCGTTCATTTATTATTTATTCTTTTTGTGTTCAATTTATGGATATCTTTATTTAATTAGAATTCCTGCTTTTTTCAATTTCTGATTTTATAATATAAGATATTTCTGATTAAATATTTCAATAATTTTAAGCGGTTTATTTGATCAATTCTTTACAAAAACAATATAAAATAATAATATTAGTAGAATTAGTCATAAATTATTTGCATAATTATCACTTATCATATAAATATAGTAAAGCATTAATTATAATTCATAAAATATCTATTTTAATAACAATTTTTAGAGTTTTCAAATAACAAATATTTCTATACATTTAACTATATTATTACTTAAAATAAACTAGCTTTAAAGTTTATAAATTATTATTTTAAAGCTTTTTATTCAATTTAAATGCTTCTAGAAGAAGGCAGCAACTTCTTCAAGAGCTTTATGAGCTACATCAGCATTGTAATGTACTGAATTCTAATTCATAAAAGCATGTTCACCGTCCTTCCATAATCTATATTGTTTTTTGAATAAAAATGTATTTATTTTAAAATATTTAAAATTTTATAAAATCTATTACTTGAGTTCAAATTGAAGCTTTAATTCGTGGGCTTCCTTTTCAACTTTTCTAGCAGTTTCGGGATCAGAAAATCCTTTTGAAGTGTCAAGCTCTCCAAAGTGGGCTTGGACTGGGACGTGGATGTTCTTCAATGGGAATTTAGTCAAATCAGGAACACCATAAAAGGGAGCACCAGCACTAAAAACTTGTTAAGTAGTAGATAAAGCAGCAAATGTCAATGCACCACCTAAGCAGAAACCAAGGATACCAACCTTAGTACATCCTAATTTCTCCTTAAGATGTAAGGCAGCTCCTTTCATATCAGCTACAGCACCTGTCCAATCCAAATCACTGAAATAGTGTCCTGCTTCCTAAAAAAAAGAAAATTATTGATTAAAATGAGAATTCAGACAATTAAAAATTACTTCTCTGTTTTTAGCACATTTTCCTCTATATACATCAGGCACAATAACAGTGAATCCCTTAGCAGAGAATTTATCAGCAGTGATGCATAATGATTGGTTCAAGCCCCACCATTCTTAAATTAATACTAAACCATGCTTAGATCCGCCATTAGGTTATGTCAAATATCCCTTACCATCTTCTCTTCCTTCAACATGGAAAGTAACGTTGTGCTATCCTGCAGTAATAATTTCAGTTGCAAGTTTATCCATTTATTATGTAAAACTAACTTTTTATTTTTTAATGTGTTTTTGATAAAATAAATAATGTATGTTAAAATAAATAAATAATTATTAATTATCAGGAAGATTTTTTTATAAATATACAAAAAATATAAAAGATATTATTTATTAGCTGATTTAATTATCAAAGAACTTCTAAAGAAAAATCTTTGAATCTATGTTAAGCATAGATAGATATTTCATTCATAAATTTACAAATTTTTTCTCTAATCTAATAAAATAGATCAATAATTAATAAAAATTAAGATTTTTCTAAAGAAAAGTAAATAGAAATAAATATATATTTTTTAATTTTAAAACTTTTACAAATCTCAAATACCCAAAAATAGCATAAATCAGACACTCAATTCCTCAGCAAAATAAATTGATAGTTGATATTTTAATTTTGTTATTTATGATTGGTTGAAAAATAAGTATTGTATAAATATAAATTACTGACTTAAATGTAACAACCACCTTTAAAAGAAATCAAAAAATATCTTTACTTCTTCTAATTTCTTTAAATCTTCTAAATTATTGTAAGCTATTAACTTACATCTAAATTTAAAAAATTCAAACAGCTTAATACTATTCATATAAATTTTAGAGTTTTAAGATTTTATTATTAAAATTATTAACAAAAATTATATTTTTTGATAAGTTTATTTTTATAAAACAAAATCTATAAAATTTTAACTCAAATCATTTTTTAAAATATTTATAAAAAGCAAAAAATTTTTTTAGTCTTTAAAAAATATGGTGAACATTTATTTTGGAAATAATTAATTAGAAGTTACAGTATAAAATATTATTTAATGAATCAAATATATCTTTTAAAAAAATTTAAGTTTAAAGAGTGAAATACAAATAAATCAATATACATTTAATCCCAACATAAAGTTTCTAAATAATATATTTATGTATAAAAGCTATGCATTTAGCAATAATTAAATTTAAAAAAACTTTCAATTCTCTTGAGTTTATTGAGATTCAAATACATTAATATTCTTAGATTACTTTTTAACTATAAAACTAATTGGAGATCTTGCGATGCTATTTTCCTCAAAGTAATCTTTTTTTTTAAATTAATGAACAAAATTTTAATGATTATATTAATTTATACTTATAAATTCGTCATCTGTCTTCATGAGTTAGAATTTTTCTATTTTTAAATTATCTCTTTCTCCTGATTTTCTTCTATCTATTTTACCTTTTTAGTTTTAAAAAAAATCTTAATATTAAAAAAATTTATTTTCTTACCTTGAAGACTAATCTATGAAATGCTTTGAAGTTTTTAGAAAGAGTTGCTTATACCGTAGAGAGATGTTTATTAATTCATCTATATAATTAAATTTTTATTTTGTTCTTGTTCTTCAATAATTTCATCAACTTGGTTATTACTTTTCTGTGCATTAGAATTTCTTTTCTTAAGTCTAATATATTTATATACTTCTTTTTAAACTTTGTTCCATCTTTTCATTACTTAAAATTGATTGGAGCTTTATATTATTATTTAACTAGTTAAAAATTTAGGAAATATATCTTTTAATTTTATTAGCAATTAATGAAACAAATTTCTTTATTGAGGATCAAAAGGTATTTCTCTCAAAATTACTTTCAATAAAATTCTCACAATAAACACAAAGTTGAAGAAAAATATAATTATAGTAGAAATATTCTCCCAAACTGTATTTCCCATTTGATTGATTATTATTGCTAAGACGATAGAATTAAATTATAGAACTGTAGCCATTAAATCTAGATTATTTAGTTAAATACTGCTATATGGTTTACTAAAGAATGATGCTAAACCATAAAAAAGTAATACCGATAAGGAAACTAAAGCTTTCTATCCAATATTATCAAAAAAGGTGCAAAGATAAATTAAAGATTTTTAAGTTGCCTTTATTATTTCCCAGTAGTATTTTTCTTATCTATACTCATAAAATAAAATGCCATAGACTTTTATATTTTCAATTTTTGTAAGGTTAGTTCTTTTTTATTTTAGTTTAGAAAGGAAAAATAAAGGTAAAAGTAAATAGAGTAACACTAAAGAAGGGATCAAAATAAAAAATATATTTTATTTATGATCATCTCCAAAGCAGATATACTATTTATCTGTTAAAACATAAGAAAAATCACCAATTTAGACACAGCTAAGTTATTAGACAAAATAATTTATAAGGCTTGGGGAAAAGAAAAGCCATAAGAAGATAAATGAGCACTTTATATCATAGATATACAATCTATAATAATTAAGTTTGAATTTTAGTAAAAATATACCTAAAGCAAATATAAATAAGTAAGTTAAGGGAATCAATATCCTTAAAATTGATCTCCTTGTTAATATATTTCCTACATTTAATGAATTAATCAGAATACAATCTATTGACATCCTTTAAATTAATATAATAATATTTATTTTTCAAAGGGGGTATAAAAAAATTTATTTTTTTATTATTAATTCTAACAGTTTTTAATATTTAAAAATTCTCTTAAAATGGCCTTAATATAAGTTGGCCTTAATTAATGAGAATGCACGGTATATATTAACTAAATAATAGAAATAATTTTATTTTTAAAAAAATAAATTACATCGAATCAGATGAGGAGTCTCCAAAAATACTAATTACTTATTTGAGATAATATGAAAAATTTGTAAATTAGAATATGATTATAATAATTTAAACATAATTGATTAATATCTTAGTAGCAACCGTATTCTAATCAGACTCAGATGATTTGCCAATACAAATAAAATTTAATCGCTTGATATACAAAAAAAGGCATTTCTGAGTAGTGAATCTTTATATTTTCCTAAAACAGAATAATAAATAGCACAAAATAGCTAAATATAAAAGGAAATAAGAAATAATATCTATATAATTATCTTTGCATTTCATACAGCTAAGATTATTGCTTCTAGAATATTAATCTCCCCATAATTAATTATTAATATCACAACTTTCGCATAAAGCTCCTATGTGGCCAACATTACAAATTGATTTTTCAAATTATTCTGTAATAAAATTGCAATAAATTAATATTATGAAATTTTAAGTATTTACCTTAAGACATTTCGGAAGTGAAGTTATAATTATACTAGTTTTATGTTTATATGCAATTAGAAGGATTTGAACATGCAAATACCTTGCCCGATTGTGGATTTAATCTCCAGTATCCATCTTATAGAACTATTATATCTTTTTCACAATAACTAGCTTATTCAGGGCAACGACTGCATTGATAAGTCTCAGAATTAGAAAAACTGCTTATATAAGAATATGTCCCTATTTTTTTAGTTTATTTTTAGGGATTGAATCATTTTAAATTTTAATATAATCGATCATATAAAATTTGGTTTTGAAAATAAGAAAAGCATAAAATAATTATCGTAATTTATAAAGTTTGATAACAAAAAATTTTTTTACCTTATGGACATTCATAACATGAAATGAGATTAAATTCTTACTTAGGAATTTAGCCAACTAAGCAAGGCAAAAATTTTAATTAAATATTACTTTCTACTGAGCTTAATATGAAACAGTTTTATTAAATATCATAAATTGGTACCTTTGAAGAAAGTTAAATTTATAAAAACTAAGTACTAGAAGGATTGGATGTTATTTAAGGTTAAAAAGCGATATAATTATTAAAAATTTAAATTCCTCCTTATATATGCATTTTCGCCTCATCTTAGTTTACAATAAGAATATCATATCCTTAAAACTCTTAAATTATCATTTAATGAACTTTATTTGCTTCAATATTTAAGGGGTAATTTACTACTTCTTCAAATTCATCAATCAAATAAAATATAAGAGGTTAATTTAGAGTATTTCCAGATACCAATTAAGATAGCATTTATGTATAATCTTTGTGGAATTTGATTGATTTTGGATAAGAGGTAATTTATTAGCCAAACAAAAGAGCTTTGTTATTAAAAATATAAGATTATTAAATATCAAGATGGCGATATTTATACTGTTTATCTATATAAATTAAAGAAGAGTTCATTCCTTAGTATCTGATTCCACCTCCTATTACTGCATAATTAAAGGAAATTGTACAATTATTTAGCTAAACTTAGCTATTACTAATATATATTCCCCCACCGCAACCCTTTTCAACAGTGTTCTATGAAAAAATTGAATTATTAATTACTATATTTTTTGTTGTATCAAGCGACACTGTTCCATAAAAAGATTCTTAGAGGTAATTCATATTAATAATCAAGTAATTCAAAATTATTTTGCTATGCTAAAAAATGTAAATCACTTAACCAGTTTATAGATTATTATCATTAAATTAACTATTTTATATCTAACAACTTAAAGAGTCTAATTTAGAGCCTAAATTTTTATGCTAAAAGCTATTCAACAAAAGTAATGAGCCAAAAATCTAGTTTTTATTTACAATTAAGTTTTATAATTTAATTATGTTCGAATAAAATTAAATTGCATCACTATTAAATATTCCATTTTAAATGCTCATATTTTCTACATTTGTATTTAAACTTGATAGATAGATTGAAGGGTTTTATTAATCTTTAAATTAACTATTTATAACTATTAAATTATTAATTATAACTTAAGAAACTATGACTATTACTTCATTATAAAATTATTCTTATATTTAAACAAAAGAAGGTCCTGAACTATTTGTAACTGTAAGATTTTATAAATTATTTATTAAAGATCCCATAGTTTATATTAAAGAGTAGGATGTTCCTTCAAATTAAGAACCATAAATTTACAGACTTTAGATAAAAAAATTTTTGATATTAGAAGAAGATATTATAGAACCATTTGACTTAGTGATATTCACTAATATATTATTTAGTGTTAAATTTCCAATGTTTTAAAAGCTAAATATACTGCTTATTTGTAGATTTGAATTTTAAATAGCAATATTTGATATGCTTAAAGTTTAGATGCTGTCAAATGCAATTATATATTCCAAAGATGGAGATCCATTTTAAGTGGTAAAGTTTTTAAATGTAAGTCTGTCTAAATAAACAAAGTTGACATTTTTAATTAAAACCATGCAGCTATTCTGTGCACTGCTATTATTCAAATGTTATGAAGTGATAAATTCTGAATTTGAAATTATGAGCTCATTCATATTTTAAAATATAATACAAACTTAGCTATCCAAATCAATTATTGTATTTGTTATACTTAAGTTTAAAAGGTTTTAGTTGTTATTTATATCAATTGTAATTGGAGTAATTAATTGTTTATTTTATGGTTATTAAGGAATTGTGAGCCTCATATTCAAAATTTCTAAATTAGCTATGCTTGCATTAAAAATGTTGTTGATATTATTATAATTTTAATTTATCAGATAGACAAGTGCATTTTGAGAATCTGAATATAATCTTAATGTAAAATTAGATGGTGTTAGTGTTTAAAAAATATCTTATCTTAAATAGAGACTTGTTTGTGGAATAAAATATATCTCTAAAATTTAAATATTGGCATAGTTTTTTGAAACAAATTAATCCTAAATAGCTTGCATCTTTACAGAATATTGAAGTAGGGATAAGTCTTAAATATAATCACTGAATGTGAGTACACACTATTAGTTTGAAGCATATCTTGAAGAATCAACATTTTAATTTGTAGTTAAAGTGTATTATAGCAATCTAATATCATAATTAGAGCTGACAACCATTGACAACTAATATGTATTTAGTTACTATACAGGATTTAAAATAGCATAACCAATTATAGGTAAACTGACTTAAAATGATTATAATAGATAATAATTATTTTTAGAAAAGTAGTACACATCAATTTCTGTTTTAGAAGCTAGAAGCATAATTGATTTCGATAATATTTAGATTTGCTAAATACTTGTAATGTTTAAAGACCTTATAGTTAGATAAAGCGAAAAATCAATTAAAGAATAAATGTTTGCCTGTCCAAATGTTTGCAAGACTAAAAACTATGAAATTTATTCCGATATCTTTGACTCTTCATATTTTTTATTGTAAAAGAGAGGAATTTGATTAGAAGAGGACAAATCTCTCAGCTTTTAAGCAGGTAATTTCAAGTTATAAAGTGAATTTATTAACACACCATTGTTATCAATAGCTACTAATTTTAAATCAAATGTCTATTGGAGTTCTAACAAAATGTATTAGCTGCCAACTGTTAATTATTAAATATTATTTGCCATTTATAATTTAGATAATTTATTTTGACTAGGATTCCAACAAAAAACAATATTATTGCAATAAAATACTAATGGTAGATTTGTAGTACTTTGAATAATATTTTTACCAAATGTTATGTTTTAATTGGTTAATTATTGATCTAACTAACTTATCTATGTAAACTTGAAACTATTTGGGTCTTAAATGTTAATTTTTATTACATTCATACCTTATTGGTCAAAGCAATATACAGTTTAATTACGTATATTGCAATCATTAATTAGTTATTTAAATTAACTAGAAATTAAACTTATCATCTTACTTTCATAGTCTATAATTTATAGATATAAAGTAGAAGTTATGGTGTTTTAAAGTAGCAGAACAGGGAAGAAGCTTAATTCTTCTAGTAAAGTGTAATATTGGTAATTAATTGATTAAAAATAATATGTTTTAAGGAGATTAATATTTTAATTATTACTCTAATATACACAATACCTTAATATATGATGTTAAATAATCATATATTATTAAATATCATTTGTATCTTATTTTAATATTTGTATAATTCTATAATTATACTTAGTGCTATTATTTATATTTGATATTTGTCCAAGTGGTCCTCCTTTTAATGTAAATTATAAATCTTAGTCTTGAGTCACATCAAAGCTTAAAGATGGTGTTATTGTTTAATTTTACAAAGAGATTTAATAAAAAGAAATTTAATTGTAATTGAATTCTCTTGCAAATACAATTAAATTATCGTTTTAGTTTATTGCCTATGGGATATAACTAATTAAATCTGCATTTTGAGGACCTAAATAAAAATTCTAATAATCATAGAAAGTAATTGAAGAGTAATCATAAATTATGATGTTTTCTTATGTGATGCATGTAAGTATATTGCTTTGTTTATCAAGGCTTATAGATATAATTTATCCTCCAGCTTAGGATTAGCTTAGATTTTCTTAAAAGTTGAGATAATGAATTATTTAAGTTTATGAAATTTAAATAAAGAACACATTATCTACAAATACTATAATAAGTATATCCTTTTAAAAATCTTCTATTATAGTAAATTAAGTTTACTAGTTATATTATGAAAAAGTTTAGGAGTACTAAGAGATATCTATTGATCTAACCTGAGAAGCCGAAGTTGTATATTAATCGTCAAGATACATTATTTAAATTAATAACTTTTAGTTAGGTGCTACAATAACATTTAATGGGTAATCGTAATAAGAAAGTTGATCGATATCAATACTCTAGTTTTATCAAATGTTTAATGTTTAAATAGAATAAAATAAAAAATTAGATAAATAATAAATAATGATTTATTTTTGTGTTTTTTAAAAATGAAGTAAATTTAATTTAATTTATTAATACCATAATTTCTCATTTATTCTGCATTAATCTTTAAATCATTTTACAAATATAGTTTGCATTCAAAAAAAAAAAAACACTGAAGAATTATTTAATTAGTTTAAACATAATATCTGAGAATTTAAGGTATTTAAATATTCAAGTAAAATAGTTAAAAATTAAACTTACATTTATAAATGCAATAGTTTTAATAAGTTTGAATTAAGAACTATAGATCTAGCATTGCATATAATCTTAATTACATAAAATAATTCTTTGATTATAGCTATCATAGAATTATTTAACAAATGTTACAGTTTAGAATACTATAGCAAAGTAATTAAATTTTTTAAATGATGGTGCAGTATATACTACAGCGATACATGGATTTGTTACTAAATAAAACAAATTTAACTAATCCAAACTATATAAGCTTACCATACGAGAATTTCCTAATATTTTAGTTGTTAAAAACCAATTAGTTTTATTTTAGCTGTATGAAAAGCTTGTTATTTATGTAGTTTATTTCAACAGAATATTTTTGTTAACTCTATCAAAAGATGAGGTACATTTTAGAATAGGATCATAATTTGAATCTTGAGGCATTTAATACATAAATTAACCAGTAGAAAACTAAAAAATGAACCATTAGCAGAATGAATTTGATATAACTAAAGTATCTTCTTAGAAATCAATAATAAACTGATTAATTTAAGAAGGTATATTATCAATCATTTATAGGATAGACTCATTCTTATAAATTATAAAACCATTATCATAATATATTGTTTAATAGTTTCCATATGATTAAATACCTTGGACATTTGTAAGAGTTGGTTAGTTAATTTATGCTATAATATTAATCTATTTTAATATTTTATTCTTTAAAAACTATTTTAATTTATAAAAACTTACATTTAGCTGCGATTTATATAAAGTTGAGCATAAAAACATATTATTTTATGAATCCCTTAAAACAAGATATATTGTATCTTGAGATATATCAATACACGAGGCTAAATTGATATAATTTAATTTTGAAAGTGATATATAATCAAGATACATTTATCCAGGTACTTTCATTTGAACCTAAGTACTAAAGATTAATGATTTAAAAATAAGATTAATTTATAATTAAAAATTATTACTTGTTAAGCCCTTAATTACCATAAATGTTACAGATTCCAGAATTATCTTAATCTAAAAATAGCGATTTTTAATTTAAGTAGCTTTCAGAAAAATACTAAATAGTTTACTATAAACATGATATAGAAGGCTATTATATCTAAAATAATTATTTAATTTGACTTTAAGATAAAGAATAAACCTTAAAAGTAAATCCTTAAAGGAATCCAAACTTTTATTAATAATTAAATAATTATTAAATAAAAAAAATTAAAAATCAATTAAATTTTAAAATTTACATGAATTTAATCATAAAATGTTATTATCTAGCTAACTGAATAGGAGCATTATATAGTTTACTCAGAAGAAGATGGATAATGTATAATTTAGATCTTGTTTAAATCATATGAAGCTAAAATAAAGTCACCATAAACAATTTAGTAAATAACCTTTCCATAGGCAGAGTATTAAACTTACAAGTAATTTAAGTTATTATCTATAAAATTTATTTAATTTTATTGAAAAATTACAATCAATTGCTTGTTTTGATAGTAGATAAATTATGAGGTAGATTAAATTGTAAATTATGTTTATTTAATTATGTTACCTAAAAAATCTATAATAAACATATTATTTACTGTTATGCATATTATATTTTTATCAATAGTTTAATAAGCATAAAGAATATTTTCTACTTATTGGCCATTAAAAAGCTTTAAATCATAAGTTGTCAAATTTATGAAGTCAAAGTATGAAAGTATTGCATCCGTTTAATCTACCAGACATACTATTTTTTTATCTTAATCAAAAAATCTATAGGCCTAGCTCTGTTATTTAATTAAAATTTAAAAATTATATTTATTGATAATTATTTACATATGTTAGATCTAGTCTTGCAGGTATTTCTTTTATAATTTATCCATTTGATGCATATGCTACAACTGATTTCCAATTTATGTCGTCGAAATTGTAGACATAAAAATTTTCATCGCTATCAAAAAAGGGAATACCATTTGAAAATGCTCTTGGCATAGCTACTTAAGTTATAAACTCTGATTCATTCTAAGGGTCTTTAGAAAAATCTATTATCAAAATTCCTCCAAGCTAAAATAGATATAATCTATTTTTTAGTTTATTTTGTAAAGGAAAATATAATTAAATATAGTTAGTGCTCAAAATTATATCTCCATTTCTCATATCCCTCAATTAATAACTTTATTGAAATCCTTGCAAGGCATATTTTTATCCTTAAGAATCATAAATATTTGAGGCAAAATTTCCAAAATGGTAATTTGGGTAATTTTATGTCTTGCAAATAGTTTATTTATCTATTTTATAACTTTAATTATCATTCAAGATTATTGAAGCAATATTATTCTCATCAGTAGTAATAACAATATCTCTGTCCACAATATGAATACTATAAAAATATGTATTGAAAAAGTATTGCTTAATTGTTAGAAGATTCAAATCTTATTTGAAAATGTAATTAGATATGTAAAAATTGGCATAAATGACATTATCTCCTAATATTTAATTAAATATCATTTGAGTATTTTACTAAAAGCTTACTATTTCGCTAATTTAACTATCGCCGCTTATGTTTGAAGTAATGTTGAATAATTTATAAGACAAATTATTATAAGAAACTTTTTAATTCTGTAAAATAAGCATGATCTTAGTCTCAGAAGAAAGAAAGCTTACAAAGTAATTGTTTATATCCATATTTTAGATGATAAATTCTTAACAGCTTTAAACAGATTTTTCATTGATGATTAAAATAGCATAGTTATTTGCTCCAGTTAAGATGTATATTTTTTCAGTGGCTCTGGATATTGCATCATACTTGTTATAAAGATAGCATATAGGTAATTATTGCTTATATAAAACTCCGGTTTAAGTTTTACCACTGCTATCGATCCATTTTTCTAAAAAAAATATTATTAAATAAATTTTTAAAATATCTTTAAAAATACCTGCTGATTTGTATATTAAAATTTCTTAACTAAATTATACAATACATATATAGTAGCTACTATCTGCTTGAAACTGTATAAATTTTTTAAACCAATCCTAAGAAGAGTTATTATTAAAGATATTTACTACTTCAAAAAGTAGTACATCTTATTCACTTTGTACACAAATATAATCTGTTCCATTATAAGAAGCAAAGTCAAAAAAAGACAATGTACCACTAGATGACTATTATAGAGCATGTATTTCCTATATTTGTGGTGATTTCAGGTCAAATGCTTAAATATATTTAGGGTATACGCAGAGATAAAATTACTCTTTTAAAAAATAAATATTTAGTTTTTGATGGTAATTTTACTATTTCTTTTTAAATTAGAAAAGTATTGAAATTTAATAATTTGAAAGTAAGGTTTATTGAAAGTTTATTTAAAAATATATTTAAAATGTAAATAAATTTATGCATTTTCACAATTTTTTTCTTTCGGTCAGTATTCCTAAATGATATTTTAGCTGATTTGTAGAAGTAAATAATTTAAAAAATAACTTTGTAAAAATTATTTAATATATTTTGTAAGAAAATATTTGAATAAAAAGAAAATATAATTAGAAATTAAATATTTTTAATATAAATTTTAAATTAAATTACTTTGAGATAATTTGCAAAACAATGAGTTATTTGGATTACTTAAAGTTGGTTGAATCTCTGAAAGAAAATTTATAACAGGTCTAATATATCTCCAAAACTTAATATTACCTATATTATCGTAAGTGACCATTATTTCTTATTAATTGTTATCAATATATTTTTCAATTGATAAAATCGTCTATTTGTATATTACTTAGTATGTGTGACATTAATTGCTTTCAGATTATTATATAGGGCATTTGTTTATTGTTTAGCATGTTGAAAACTGGTCATTTTTTGTTTGTCCTAATCCACACTAAAAGGTACACTGGCTATTTTAAAGTAGAAATTGCGACTAGTTTAAACAATCAGAGACGCATATTCCATTTTTTAGCTAAAAGTTTTCTTTACATACTTTACAAGTATTTTAAGTAGCGCACTGAAGACATCCCTCTAATTAGCACTATTAGCACTAGTTTTTTAATGAGTCAAAATAATATTAACAGTCACTTAGACAGCTTTTATAATCTTCGCTTAAATAAAAAGCCGTTGAGCATTGCTAACAAGTTTAATAATATTCTGAATATAAGTTAGAAGAAGGGTTCAATCCTACTTAGCAACTTTCGCAATTTTAAGAGCATTTAAAACATTAATTTTAGTAAGGGTCAAATCCTTATCCTTAAGGGCAAGTTTAGTCACTTGAAAACACCAAGCTCAAAAAACTAAAGGTAATTATTAGCAATTTAAATATCATTTACTTAATCATTATTATTTTTTCACAATTTAAAGTTTTGTTAATTTATTATTAATAATTATTTAATTAATTTCTTCTTTTTTTAAACATAAAATTTTAGGCAAATTAATTGAATGCAGTATATTAAAATAAAAAAAACTTCTTTTGTTGATTAAAGTAAAAATAGATGTTTATTAAACATAAAAGTCAGTCTTTTAGTTTAAATATTAAGAATTTATCTAATGAATTTCTTTTTACAATTATATGAATTTTCGTTGGTTGGTTTAAATAAATAAAAAAATTTACATTGATAGTTAAATTTAAAGGTCATTATGTTGTTGAATATTAAACAATTAGTAATAAAAATACAAATACAAATTTCCTTTTTTAAAAATATTCTAGTTTATTTTATTGTAAAAGTATGTATAGTCTTATTTATTTTTTAATTATTTTAGCAACTCTTTTATATAATATAAATCTTCATTCATCAAGATCAATATAAAGTATTTTTTTTTTAGCTGCTGATTAGGTCTTATTGTCTAAAAAATAATTTATTTTGAATCAAAAATATGATTTTACTAATATTAATTATGGTATGAATAAAATATGTAAAACAACATAAACACTTAAAATAAAATGGAAGAGATGTTTATTATTGTTAATAAATGAATAGAAAATAAATTAACTTTGAATTTATCACAAACAGAATAATTATCGATTTCTAATTTTCTTTGCTATCCAAAAAATAAATAATGTAATCACTCTTTTTTTAAATTTTTCTACATAAATTAATTTGCTGCTAGTTAAATAAGCATCTATTTCTAATCTGAGTTTTTAATTATATCTGGAAATATAATAAGTACAAAAAATGTAACAATCAATATTTATTTATTTACTAGAATATGTTCATTACTTTAATTTTAATAGGAGCATATTATTTTTATCCTATTTAAATGTCTAAATTATTTGTAAATTTTTTTTTTTTTTCTTATCTAAAATAATTGTTAACTTCATTCATTTTTTGAAATATTTCTTTTTATTATCTCCTACTTTTTAGCTTCTTTTGTTACCTGCCATAATTTGATTATAGACCATAGGCTCTATTGATTTATATTCTTCTAAATTTAGCTGTAAAATTGTTGATAAATGTTTAGAAAATTAATTAACATTTGAATTTATCACAAACAGAATAATTATCAATTTCTAATTTTCTTTGCTAACCTAAAAATAAGTAATGTATCACTCTTTTTTAAATTTTGCTTCATAAATTAATTTACTGCTAGTTAAAAAAGCATCTATTTCTAATCTGAGTATCTAGAAATAAACAATATATATTTACTAGAAAAATAGAATATGTTATTTACATTAATTTTAATAAAAGCAAATTATTTTTATCTGATTTAAGTGTCTAAATATTTTGTAAATTTATTTTACTTTTTCTAAAATAATTGTTCGCTTCATTCATTTTCGAAAATATTGCTATTTTATTATCTCCTTCATTTTAACTTTTTCTGTAAGCTACTATTAGTTGATTATTGACGATAAGCTCTATAGCTTTATATTTTACTGAATTTTATTAAGCAAGAGATTTAAAAAAAGAAAATTAGAAGGAGAAAGAAAGTAAAATTGATTATTATTATTTAAAATAACGTAATTAATTGATTTTCTTTTTGTTTCAAAAGGCTGAAAAAGTGTAAAAGTAAAATAATTAACTATAAAAGCTATTAAATAAGAATAAATATTTAGATAATATAAAGTTGTTTTCGATATGTAATTTAATAAATAAATTAATTCAAAATATTTGGTCAATTTAAATAATTACCTTATTTTTATTCATACTTTTCTTTATTCATAGCTTTTTTGAAACAACTTAAATGCAAAAATCTAGTTAAAAAATACTTTTTAAGTTAATCATTATGATCAAAAACCCTAAACAAAATAAAATAATTATTAAAAGTTGATTTTTTAATATTATATGGCATGGAGAATTTTAAATAAAATGATATCACTTTGGTTAAAATTGAAGAAAAATAATAAAACTTAATTTTAAAGTAATTGAAGTAAAATCATGAAAATCTTCTTAGTTAATTTAGTTATAATTTCAATTTTTATATTTCAGTTGATTGGTTGGTTGAATTTTTAAACCCCCACTTTTGTTTACAAATAAAATTAAAAATTAAATAAATTAGTAACAATAATAAATTTTTGAAAGAATCAAATTTGTCTATCATGATTAATATAATTATGTTTAAATACAAAAAGATGCCCTTTTTACAATTGTTTTCTATAATATCATAACGAGAAAAAACTAAATAATGAATTAATTGAATATTGATATATATATTATGTATCTAAATTCAGTAAATTTATTGTAAAATATTTTAATCATTTTAAAAAGTTCTTGTTAAATTGATCAAATCTATATTTATGTTTTCATTCAAAAATTATATATGCAAACACCTTAGAAATTATATATAAATGATGATAAATTGATATAAATGTAATGATTATAAAATCAATTATATTTAGGTACCCCAAATCTCAAGTATATATCATCATATGCGAGTTATAGTATTTAATTAATTTTTTTATTTTGGCTTTCAAAAAATATTTTATATATTGTATGAAATTTATTTAGAGGCTATGATATTATAGGTATTTATATATTTTTTTATTTATATTATTTTAAAATATTTTTTTTCTAATTTTGCTCATAAATTCTCACAAAATGAGCATTTATAGATACTGTTATAGTTTATTATTTTTTTAATCTTTAAAAAATAAGGTGAATATTTATTTTGGAAAGAATTAATTAGAAGTTAATGTATAAAATATTTTTTAATGAATCAAATATATCTTTTAAAAAAAATTAAAGTTTAAAGAGTGAAATACAAATATATCTATATATTTAATCCCAACACATAGTCTCTAAATAATATATTTATATATAAATGCCATGCATTTAGCAATAATTAAATTTAAAAAAATTTCAATTCTCTTGAGTTTATTGAGATTCAAATAAGTTAATATTCTTAGATTACCTTTTCGCTAAAAAACTAATTGGAGATCTTGCGATGCTGTTTTCCTCAAAGTAATCTTTTTTATAAAATTAATGAACAAAATTTTAATGATTATATCAATTTATACTTATAAATTCGTCATCAGTCTTCATTAGTTAGAATTTCTCTACTTTTAAATTATCTCTTTCACCTGAAATTCTTCTATCAATTTTACCTTTTTAGTTTAAAAAAAACTTAATATTAAAAAAATTTATTTTCTTACCTTGAAGACTAATCTATGAAATGCTTTGAGATTTTTAAAAAGAGTTGCTTAACCCGTAGAGAGATGTTTATTAATTCATCTATATAATTAAATTTTTATTTTGCTCTTGTTCTTCAATAATTTCATCAACTTGGTTATTACTTTGCTGAGCTTTGGAATTTCTTTTCTTAAGTCTAATATATTTAAATACTTCTTTTTAAAGTTTACTCCATCTTTTCATTACTTAAAATTGATTGGAGCTCTATATGATTATTTAACTAGTAAAAAATTTAGGAAATATATCTTTTATTTTTATTAGCAACTAATGAAACAAATTTCTTTATTGAGGATCAAAAGGTATTTCTCTCAAAATTACTTTCAATAAAATTCTCACAATAAACACAAAGTTGAAGAAAAATATAATTATAGTAGAAATATTCTCCCAAACTGTATTTCCCATTTGATTGATTATTATTGCTAAGACGATAGAATTAAATTATAGAACTGTAGCCATTAAATCTAGATTATTTAGTTAAATACTGCTATATGGTTTACTAAAGAAGGATGCTAAACCATAAAGAAGTAATACTGATAAGGAAACTAAAGCTTTCTATCCAATATTATCAAAAAAGGTGCAAAGATAAATTAAAGATTTTTAAGTTGCCTTTATTATTTCCCAGTAGTATTTTTCTTATCTATACTCATAAAATAAAATGCCATAGACTTTTATATTTTCAATTTTTGTGAGGTTAGTTCTTTTTTATTTTAGTTTAGAAAGGAAAAATAAAGGTAAAAGTAAATAGAGTAACACTAATGAAGGAATTAAAATAAAAAATATATTTTATTTATGATCATCTCCAAAGCAGATATACTATTTATCTGTTAAAACATAAGAAAAATCACCAATTTAGACACAGCTAAGTTATTAGACAAAATAATTTATAAGGCTTGGAGAAAAGAAAAGCCATAAGAAGATAAATGAGCACTTTATATCATAGATATACAATCTATAATAATTAATTTTGCATTTTAATATAAATATACCTAAAGCAAATATAAATAAGTAAGTTAAGGGAATCAATATCCTTAAAATTGATCTCCTTGTTAATATATTTCCTACATCTAATGAATTAATCAGAATACAATCTATTGACATCCTTTAAATTAATATAATAATATTTATTTTTCAAAGGGGGTATAAAAAAATTAATTTTTTTATTATTAATTCTAACAGTTTTTATTATAAAAAATAACAGATAATAAATTTACATATATACTGTAATTCCTCTAAAAAATGGGGGTTGAGTCAGGTCTCTGACTATCTAATATATATTATCATTTAATGAACTTTATTTGCTTCAATATTTAAGGGGTAATTTACTACTTCTTCAAATTCATCAATCAAATAAAATATAAGAGGTTAATTTAGAGTATTTCCAGATACCAATTAAGATAGCATTTATGTATAATCTTTTTGGAATTTGATTGATTTTGGATAAGAGGTAATTTATTAGCCAAACAAAAGAGCTTTGTTATTAAAAATTTAAGATTATTAAATATCAAGATGGCGATATTTATACTGTTTATCTATATAAATTAAAGAAGAGTTCATTCCTTAGTATCTGATTCCACCTCCTATTACTGCATAATTAAAGGAAATTGTACAATTATTTAGCTAAACTTAGCTATTACTAATATATATTCCCCCACCGCAACCCTTTTCAACGGTGTTCTATGAAAAAATTGAATTATTAATTACTATATTTTTTGTTGTATCAAGCGACACTGTTCCATAGAATGATTCTTAGAGATAATTCATATTAATAATCAAGTAATTCAAAATTATTTTGCTATGCTAAAAAATGTAAATCACTTAACCATTTTATAGACTATTATCATTAAATTAACTATTTTATATCTAACAACTTAAAGAGTCTAATTTAGAGCCTAAGTTTTTATGCTAAAAGCTATTCAACAAAAGTAATGAGCCAAAAATCTAGTTTTTATTTACAATTAAGTTTTATAATTTAATTATGTTCGAATAAAATTAAATTGCATCACTATTAAATATTCCATTTTAAATGCTCATATTTTCTACATTTGTATTTAAGCTAGATAGATAGATTGAAGGATTTTATTAATCTTTAAATTAACTATTTATAATTATTAAATTATTAATTGTAACTTAAGAAACTATGACTATTACTTCATTATAAAATTATTCTTATATTTAAACAAAAGAAGGTCCTGAACTATTTGTAAATGTAAGATTTTATAAATTATTTATTAAAGATCCCATAGTTTATATTAAAGAGTAGGATGTTCCTTCAAATTAAGAACCATAAATTTACAGACTTTAGATAAAAAAATTTTTGATATTAGAAGAAGAAATTATAGAACCACTTGAATTAGTGATATTCACTAATATATTATTTAATGTTAAATTTCCAATGTTTTAAAAGTTAAATATACTGCTTATTTGTAGATTTGAATTTTAAATAGTAATATTTGAAATGCTTAAAGTCTAGATGCTGTCAAATGCAATTATATATTCCAAAGATGGAGATCCATTTTAAGTGGTAAAGTTTTTAAATGTAAGTCTGTCGAAATAAACAAAGTTGATATTTTTGATTAAAATCATGCAGCTATTCTGTGCACTACTATTATTCAAATGTTATGAAGTGCTAAATTCTGAATTTGAAATTATGAGCTCATTCATATTTTAAAATATAATACAAACTTAGCTATCCAAATCAATTATTGTATTTGTCATACTTAAGTTTAAAAGGTTTTAGCTGTTATTTATATCAATTGTAATTGGAGTAATTAATTGTTTATTTTAGGGTTACTAAGGAATTGTGAGCCTCATATTCAAAATTTCTAAATTAGCTATGCTTGCATTAAAAATGTTATTGATATTATCATAATTTTAATTTATCAGATAGACAAGTGCATTTTACGAATCTGAATATAGTCTTAGCGTAAAATTAGATGGTGTTAGAGTTTAAAAAATGTCTTATCTTAAATAGAGACTTGTTTGTGGAATAAAATATATCTCTAAAATTTAAATATTGGCATAGTTTTTTGAAACAAATTAATCCTAAATAGCTTGCATCTTTACAGAATATTGAAGTAGGGATAAGTCTTAAATATAATCACTGAATGTGAGTACACACTATTAGTTTGAAGCATATCTTGAAGAATCAACATTTTAATTTGTAGTTAAAGTGTATTATAGCAATCTAATATCATAATTAGAGCTCACAACCATTGACAACTAATATGTATTAAGTTACTATACAGGATTTAAAATAGCATAACCAATTATAGGTAAACTGACTTAAAATGATTATAATAGATTATAATTATTTTTAGAAAAGTAGTACACATCAATTTCTGTTTTAGAAGTTAGAAGCATAATTGATTTCGATAATATTTAGATTTACTAAATACTTGTAATATTTAAAGACCTTATAGTTAGATAAAGTGAAAAATCAATTAAAGAATAAATGTTTGCCTGTCCAAATGTTTGCAAGACCAAAAACTATGAAATTTATTCCGATATCTTTGACTCTTCATATTTTTTATTGTAAAAGAGAGGAATTTGGTTAGAAGAAGACAAGTCTCTCAGCTTTTAAGCAGGTAATTTCAAGTTATAAAGTAAATTTACTAACACACCATTATTATCAATAGCTACTAATTTTAAATCAAATGTCTATTGGAGTTCTAACAAAATGTATTAGCTCCCAACTTTTAATTATTAAATATTATTTGCCATTTATAATTTAGATAATTTATTTAGACTAGGATTCCAACAAAAAACAATATTATTGCAATAAAATACTAATGGTAGATTTGTAGTACTTTAAATAATATTTTTACCAAATGTTATGTTTTAATTGGTTAATTATACATCTAACTAACTTATCTATGTAAACTTGAAGCTATTTGGGTCTTAAATGTTAATTGTTATTAAATTCATACCTTATTGGTCAAAGCAATATACAGTTTAATTACGTATATTGCAATCATTAATTAGTTATTTAAATTAACTAGAAATTAAACTTATCATCATACTTTCATAGTCTATAATTTATAGATATAAAGTAGAAGTTATTGTGTTTTAAAGTAGCAGAACAGGGAAGAAGCTTAATTCTTCTAGTAAAGTGTAATATTAGTAATTAATTGATTAAAAATAATATGTTTTAAGGAGATTAATATTTTAATTATTACACTAATATATGCAGTACCTTAATATATGATGTTAAATAATCATATATTATTACGTATCATTTGTAGCTTATTTTAAAATTTGTATAATTCTATAATTATACTTAGTGCTATTATTTATATTTGATATTTGTCCAAGTGGTCCTCCTTTTAATGTAAATTATAAATCTTAGTCTAGAGTCACATCGAAGCTTAAAGATGGTGTTATTGTTTAATTTTACAAAGAGATTTAATAAAAAGAAATTTAATTGTAATTGAATTCTCTTGCAAATACAGTTAAATTATCGTTTTAGTTCATTGCTTATGGGATATAACTAATTAAATCTGCATTTTGAGGACCTAAATAAAAATTCTAATAATCATAGAAAGTAATTGAAGAGTAATCATAAATTATGATATTTTCTTATGTGATGCATGTAAGTATATTGCTTTGTTTATCAAGGCTTATAGATATAATTTATCCGCCATCTTAGGATTAGCTTAGATTTTCTTAAAAGTTGAGATAATGAATTATTTAAGTTTATGAAATTTAAATAAAGAACACATTATCTGCAAATACTATAATAAGTATATCCTTTTAAAAATCTTCAATAATAGTAAATTTAGTTTACTAGTTATATTATGAAAAGGTTTAGGAGTACTAAGAGATGTCTATTGATCTAACCTGAGAAGCCGAAGTTGTATATTAATCGTCAAGATACATTATTTAAATTAATAACTTTTAGTTAGGTGCTACAATTAAATTTAATGGGTAGTCGTAATAAGAAAGTTGATCGATATCAATATTCTAGTTTTATAAAATTTTTAATGTTTAATTAGAAGAATAAAAAATGGCATAAATAATAAAAAAGAGATATTTATATTTGTGTTTTTTAAAAATAAGAAAAATTATATTTAACTTATTAATACCATAATTTCTCATTTATACTGTATTAATCTTTAAAGCATTTTGCAAATAAACTTAGCATTAACAAAAAAATTAAAGCTGAATAATTATTTAGTTAGTGTAAACATAATATGTGAGAATTTAAGGTATTTAAATATTTAAGTAAAATAGTTAAAAATAAACTTACATTTATGAATGCTATAGTTTTAATAAGTTTGAATTAAGAACTATAGATCTAACATTGCATATAATCTTAATTACATAAAATAATTCTTTAATTATAGCTATCATAGAATTATTTAACAAATGTTACAGTTTAGAATACTATAGCAAAGTAATTAAATTTTTTAAAAGATGGTGCAGTATATACTACAGCGATACATGGATTTGTTACTAAATAAAACAAGTTTAACTAATCCAAACTATATAAGCTTACCATACGAGAATTTCCTAATGTTTTAGTTGTTAAAAACCAATTAGTTTTATTTTAGCTGTATGAAAAGCTTGTTATTTATGTAGTTTATTTCAACAAAATATTTTTGTTAACTCTATCAAAAGATGAGGTACATTTTAGAATAGGATCATAATTTGGATCTTGAGGCATTTCATACATAAATTAACCAGTAGAAAACTAAAAAATGAACCATTAGCAGAATGAATTTGATATAACTAAAGTATCTTCTTAGAAATCAACTATAAACTGATTAATTTAAGAAGGTATATTATCAATCATTTAAAGTATAGACTCATTCTTATAAATTATAAAACCATTATCATAATATATTGTTTAATAGTTTCCATATGATAAAATACCTTGAACATTTGTAAGAGTTGGTTAGTTAATTTATGCTATAATATTAATCTATTTTAAAATATTTTATTCTTTAATAACTATTTTAATTTATAAAAACTTACTTTTAGCTGCGATTTATATAAAGTTGAACATAAAAACATATTATTTTATGAATCCCTTAAAACAAGATATATTATATCTAGAGATATATCAATAAAAGAGGCTAAATTGATAAAATTTAGCTTTGAAAGTGATATATAATCAAGATACATTTATCCAGGTACTTTCATTTGAACCTAAGAACTAAAGATATTAATTATTTAATAATAAGATTAATTTATAAATAAAAATTATTACTTGTTATATCCTTCATTACCATAAATGTTGCAGATTCCAGAATTATCTTAATCTAGAAGTAGGGCCTTTTCGTCTAAGTAGCTATCAGAGAAATATTAAATAGTTTACTATTAACATGATAGAAAAGGTAAGTATATCTAAAATACTTATTTAATTTGATTTTAAGATAAAGAATAAACCTTCAAATTTAATCCTTAAAGGAATCCAAACTATTATTAATAATTAAATTAATTTTAAATTAAAAATTTAAAAGTCAATTATATCATAACTTTTTTCAAATTGTTAAAAATAAAGTAAATTTATTTAGAAACAGAATTTAAAAAAAACAGTTTTTGTCTTTCATTAAGATTACTTTATAACTATTTTTCTAAAAATTGTTTTAATTAATTTAGAAAAACTTTATTTTATTTAAAAGTGACGTTTTTTAATTATTATATTAGTTTAATTAAATATATGAAAAAAAAATAAAAAATTGCTCTTATTTTTTCATTTTTTGAAGAGAAAATTATAAAATATTTTTTTGGAAGTCTATATTAACTTTTTGAATTAAATTTTAAATTTTACATGTATTTAATCATAAAATGTTATTATTTAGCTAACTGACTAAGAGCATTATATAATTGACTCAGAAGATGATGGATAGTGTATAATTTAGATCTTGTTTAAATCATATGAAGCTAAAATAAAATCACCATAAACAATTTAGTAAATAACCTTTCCATAGGCAGAGTATTAAACTTACAAGGAATTTAAGTTATTATCTATAAAATTTATTTAATTCTATTAAAAAATTACAATCAATTGCTTGTTTTGATAGTAGATAAATTATGAGGTAGATTAAATTGTATATTTTATTTATTTAATTATGTTACCTAAAAAATCTATAATAAACATATTATTTGTTGTTATGCATATTATATTTGCATCGTTAATTTAATAAGCATAAAGAATATTTTCTGCTTATTGACCATTAAAAAGCTTAAAATCATAAGTTGTCAAATTTATGAAGTCAAAGTAAGAAAGTGTTGCATCCATTTAATCTACGAGACATACAATTTTTTTAACTTAATCAAAAAATCTATAAACCTAACTCTTTTATTTAGTTAAAAGTTAAAAATAATATTTATTGCTAATTATTTACATATGTTAGATCTAACCTGGCAGGTATTTCTTTTATAATTTATCCATTTGATGTATATGCTACAACTGATTTCCAATTTATGTCGTCGAAATTGTAGACATAAAAATTTTCATCGCTATCAAAAAAGGGAATACCATTTGAAAATGCTCTTGGCATAGCTACTTAAGTTATAAACTCTGATTCATTTTAAGGGTCTTTACTAAAGTCTATTATTAAAATTCCTCCAAACTAAAAAAGATATACTCTATTTTTTAATTTATTTTGTAAAGGTTAATATAATTAAATGAAATTAGTGTTCAAAATTATATCTCCATTTCTCATGTCTCTCAATTGATAGGTTAATTGAAATCCTTGCAAGGCATATTTTTTTCCTTAAGAATCATAAGTATTTGAACTAAAGGATCCTTCATGTTAATTTGGATAGCTTTATTTCTTGCAAATAGTTTATTTATCTATTTTATAGCTTTAGTTATCATTCAAGATTACTGAAGCAATATTATTTTCATCAGTAGTAATAACAATATCTTTATCTACAATACGCATACTATAAAAAAATGAATTGAAATAGTATTGCTTGATTGTTAGAAGATTTAAATCTTATTTGAAAATGTAATTAGATTTGTAAAAATTGGCATAAAATACTGTATCTCCTAATATTTAATTAAATATCATTTGAGTATTTTACTTAAAACTTACTACTTCGCTAATAGAATTATTGCCATTTGTGTTTGAAGTAATGTTGAATAATTTATAAGATAAATTATTATAAGAAACTTTTTAATTCTGTAAAATAAGCATGAGTTTAGTCTCAGAAGAAAGAAAGCTTACCAAGTAATTGTTTGTATCCATATTTTAGATGATAAATTCTTAACAGCTTTAAACAGATTTTTCATTCAGGATTAGAATAGCATAGTTATTTGCTCCAGTTAAGATGTATATTTTTTAAGTGGCTCTAGATATTGCATTATACTTGTTATAAAGATAGCATATAGGTAATTATTGCTTATATAAAACTCCAATTTAAGTTTTACCACTGCTATCGATCCATTTTTCTGATAAAAAACATTATTAAATAAATTTTAAAAATATCTTTAAAAATACCTGCTGATTTGTATATTAAAATCTCTTAACTAAATTATACAATGCATATATAGTAGCTACTATCTGCTTGGAACTGTATATAGTTTTGAGACCAATCCAAAGAAGAGTTATTATTAAAAATATTTATTACTTTAAAAAGTAGTACATTTTATTCACTTTTTATGCAAATATAATCCATTCCATTATAAGAAGCAAAGTCAAAAAAAGACAGTGTACCTTTAGATGACTATTATAGAGCATGTATTTCCTATATTTGTGGTGATTTTAGGTCAAATGCCTAAATATATTTAGGGTACATACAGAGATAGAATTACTCTTTTATAAAATAAATAGTTTAAATTGTAAAAAGAAAAAATTTTTTTTATTTTAAATAAATTTTTTATGATAATTTAAGTAGTCTCTATTTATTAATTTTACTAATTAATGATATTTTTACTCTTTCTTTTTAGAAAAGAAAATTATTGATTAATAATTTCAAAGTGAGATTTATTTTTCAAAATAAAATTTAATAAAAAAAAATATTTTTTATGTAAAAATATTTTAAGTCACAATTTTTTTCTTTCGGTAATCTTCCGAAATAACATTTTAGCTTGATTAATTGAAGTAAATAATTAAAAAAATTACTTTTGATAATATTATTTTAAATATTTACGAAGAAGAATTTATATGAAGTAAAATGAAGATATAATTAGAAATTAAGTATTTTTAATCAAATTTTAAAATTAAATTACTTTGAGATAATTTACAAAACAATGAGTTATTAGGATTACTTAAAGTTGGTTTAATCTCTGAAAGGAAATTTATCACTGGTGTAATATATCTCCAAAACTTGATATTTCCTATATTATCGTAAGTGACCATTATTTCTTATTAGTTGTTATCAATATATTTTTCAATTGATAAAATAGTCTACGTTTATATTACTTAGTATGTATGACAATAATTGCTTTCAGATTATTATATAGGGCATTTGTTTATTATTTAGCATGTTGAAAACTGGTCATTTTTTGTTTGTCCTAATCCGCATTAAAAGGTACACTGGCTATTTTAAATTAGGAATTTCGACTAGCCTAAACAATCAGAGATGCATATTCCATCTGTTAGTTAAAAGTTTTCTTTACATACTTTGCAAGTATTTTAAGTAGTGCACAGAAGACATCCCTCTAATTAGCACTATTAGCACTAGTTTTGTAATGGGTCAAAATAATATTAGCATTCGCTTAGACAGCTTTCATAATCTTCGCTTAGATAAAAAGCAGTTGAGCATTGCTAGCAAGTTTAATATTATTCTGAATATAAGTTAGAAGAAGGGTTCAATCCTAATTAGCAACTTTAGCAATTTTAAGAGCACTTAAAACATAGATTTTAGTAAGGGTCAAATCCTTATCCTTAAGGGCAGGCTTATTCATTTGAAAACATCAAGCTCAAGGTAATTATTAGCAATTTAAGTTTCATTTACTTTATCATTATTATTTTTTCACAGTTTAAAGTTTTGTCAATTTATTATTTATAATTATTTAATTAATTTATTATTTTTTAAACAGAAAATGTTAAGCAAATAAATTAAATGCAGTTTATTTAAACAGAAAACTTCTTTTGTTGAATTTAAGTAATAATAGATGCAAATTGAACATAAAATTAAGCCTTTTTATTTAAATGTTAAGAATTTATCATAATGAATTTCTTTTTACAATTCTATGAATTTTCGTTGGTTGATTTAAATAAATAAAAAAATTTACATTGATTGTTAAATTTAAAGGTCATTCATTATGTGTTTGAATATTAAATTATTAGTATTTAAAATGCAAATACAAATTTCCTTTTTTAAAAATATACTCGTTTATTTTATTGCTAAAGTATGTATAGTCTTATTTTTTTAAAATTATTTTAGCAACCCTATTATATAACATAAATCTTCATTCATTAAGATCAATACAAAGCAGTTAATTTTTTTCAGCTGCTAATTAAAAATATTTTTAATTTTTTTATAAGTTTTTGTATAAAATATTATTTTATTAACTTTATGGTATGAATAAAATATTTAAAACAACATATATTTTTAAAAGAAAACAGAAGAGAGTTTTAGTATTATTGGTAAATGTTTAGAAAATATATTAACATTTGAATTTATCACAAAAAGAATAATAATTAATCTTTAATTTTCTTTACTAACCAAAAAATAAATAAGTAATCACTCTTTTTTAAATTTTGTAACATAAATTAATTTGTTGCTAGTTAGATAAGCTTCTATTTCTAATCTGAGTCATCAATTATATCTGTTAATATAATAATTACAAAAAATGTAACAATATGTATTTATTAGAAAAATAGAATATATTATTTACATTAATTTTAGTAAAAGTAAGTAAATTATTTTTATCTGTCATTCATTTTTTAAAAATATTACTATTTTATTATCTCCTTCATTTTAACTTTTTTTTTATCTATTATCATTTGATTATTGGCCATAATCTCTATTGTTTGTATTCTACTGAATTTTATTAAGCAAGAGAATTTAAAAAAGAAATTTAGAAGGAGAAAGAAAAATAGATGTTATTTTAAAATATCGTTATTAATTGATTTTTCATTTTGTTTCAAAAATTTGAAAAAATGTAAAAGTAAAATAATTAGCCTAGAAAAGCTATTAAATTAGTATAAATATTTAGATAATAGAAAATTGTTCTCGATATGTAATCCGATAAATAATTTAATTCAAAATATTTGGTCAATTTAAATTATTATATTTTTTTATTCATATTTTTCTTTATTCATAACTTTTTTGAAACAACATAAATGCAAAAATCTTGTTAAAAATTACTTTTTAAGTTAATCTTTATGATCAAAAACTCTAAACAAAATAAAATAATTATTAAAAGTTGGTTTTTTAATATTATATGGCATGGAGAATTTAAAATAAAATGGTATCATTATGGTTAAAATTGAAGAAAATAATAAAATTTAATTATAAAGATAATGAAGTAAATCATGTAAAGTTTCCAGGTTAATCTAGATATAATTACAATTTTTATATTTCAGTTGATTAGTTGGTTGAATTTTAAACCCCAATTTTGATTACAAATATAATTAGAAATTAAATAATAAGTAACATTCATAAATTTTTGAAAGAAATAAGCTTATTTCTCGTCACTTTTACAATCATGTTTAAATCCAAAAATATGCTCTTTTTTTTAAAATTATTTTTAATAATATTATAAAAAGAAAAAACTAAAAAATAAATTGATTCTTTATTGATATATATTATATATTTAAATTCAGTAAATTTATTGTAAAATTTTTAATCATTTTAAAAAGTTCTTGTTAAATTGATCAAATCTATATTTAAGTTTTCATTAAATAATCATATTTACAAACACCTAATAAATTATTTAAAATGATGATCAATTCGTATAAATTTTATGATTATAATTAATTATATTTAAGGTACCCCAAATCCAAAGGGCATATCATCATATGAGTTAGTGTATTTAATTTATTTTTTTTTGGTTTTCAAAAAATTTATTATATATCGTATGAAATTCATTTAGAGGCAATGATATTAGTAATATTTATGTATTTTTTATTGAGATTTTAAGTCTTAATATTAAAAAATAATTTTCCAATAAAATTAGGTCTTAATTATTGAAGAATTAAAGTGTTTTTAGTTCATTCTTTTCAAATGTAATTTTTGTCCTATTCATTTTTTTAAGATAATTGATAATTTATTATTTATTACTTTTTGAATTATTTTTTTATTTTTGAAGGTAATTTTTTACAGTTTTAAATTTTATTTTATAAGATTAAATGGGGAAACATAAAAAGATAAAATCAGATGAAGAAATAAAATTTGAAGGTTATTTTGAACTATTAACTTCTATTTGAAAGTGATTTTTCTTTTTGTTTCAAAAGACTATTTTAAAATAGCAACACTAAAATTATTAGCCTAGATTAACAAAATAAATATTTGCTTAAAATTATAAAATAAAATAATTTTTTGAAATAGATTTTTAAATATTTATCAGCATATAAATTTAAAGTAGAATGATGGCAAAATGTTGAAGCCTTTAAAAATATTAAAATTCATTTTTTTAAAAAGTTAAAGAAAAAATGAGCTTACTAGTTATATAGCTATAATGCTAATTACTTTTTGATAGGCTGATCGAGCTTTTTTAACCCCATCCACCTATAGTCTATTATTAATGCAAATTTAAATTAAATAAATTTGCTGATAATCATAATTTTCTGAAAGAATAATCTTCTTTTTTCTTGATAATTTATGTATATTTAAATATAAATACAAAAAGACGATCTAGTATTTTAGCTGTTTTGGTTAACACCTTAAAGAAAAAAACTAAATAATCAATGATATTTGAATGTATAAATATTTTATAATATAAGAATTCCAAGCACATTATGTATATTATTAAATTTTTTGAAGTTTTTTAAAAAGCTCTGTCTAAATGAAAATTTTTCTAATTCGAAAAAATCAACATTGTAAAAATACAATATACATCAACAAATAAATATTTTGTTTACTAATATAATAAGCTTCATTTTAATTTATTTTTAAAGAAATTACTAACTTCTCAAAGAGTTTTTTAAGTACTTCTGAGTAGTAATGACTTGAATATTATTTTATTAATACATGCTCAGCTCCATTCTAAATGCTTTTTAGATAGTTATAAAAATTTAATATTTGCAATAACTAAAAAATATTAATTATTTATTTGTTGATTTCATTATATTTAAATCTACTTCAGCTTTCTTTGCTTCATTTTCTAATTTTTTAACCATTTTAGATTAGGTATTCCTTTAATCTAATGTTACACGCTTATATGACTTTAAGCAGGAACCTTTATATTCTTTATTTGGTATTTTGTTTAGTCAGGAATAAAATAGAAAAGAGCATCTGCTCTAAAGACCAAACATCCTTTAAAAAAAAAATGAGAGTCCCACCTAAACAAAATCCTAAAATAGCTACTTTAATGAATCTTAATTTATTTTTTAAGTGATTGGTAGTCCTTTCATATCTGAAACTGCACCACTCCAGACTAAATCTTAATAATAATAACTAGCTCACTATTAAACATTTAAATAAAATACAAATTAAATTTATCATAAATAATTATATATTGTCATACTTCTCCATTTTTAGCACAGCTCCTTTAATGATACCAGATACTAAAACATTAAATCCCTACGCAGCAACCTTATCTACTGTGATAGATAGTAAGTGACTTGTTTAAACTCCACACTTGAAATAAAACTAACCTAAGCTAGATCCTTCATATTAAATAGCCTATTCTACCACTGTTTTTAGAATTTTTTCCTCTATATACATCAAAAACAATAACAGTGAACCTTTTAGCAGAGAATTTATCAGTAGTAATGAATAATGACTGTTTAAAACCAAACCATTAGTCAAAAATCCCTTACTATGTTCTCTTTGTTTAGCATGGAAAGTAATGTTGTGTTATCCTGCAGTAATAATATTATTTGCATGCTTATCGATTAAAAAGCTAAGACTAATTTTTTATTATTTAATACGCTTTTGATAAAAAAAAATAATTTATGTTAAAATAATTAAATAATTATTAAATATAAGGAATATTTTATAATAAATGTCAAAAAAATATAAAAGATATTATTTTTTTGCTCTTTAAATGTATTGTTAGCATAGATATTTCATTCCTTCAATTTTTTCTCTGATCTAATAAAATAGATCAATAATTAATACAAATTAAGATTCTTCTAAAAAAATAAAATAGAAATAAATATCTATTTTTTAATTTTAAAACTTTTAGAAATCTTAAAATACTTAAAATAGTATTGATCAGATCCTTAATGTCTTAATAAAATAAATTAATAGGTTATATTTTATCTTTTTTATTTAAGATTGGTTGAAAGAAAAGTATTGTATAAACATAAATTACTTAATTTAAAAGTAACAACCACATTGAAAAGAATTAAAAATTATCTTTTAATTCTTCTAAATTCTTTAAATCTTCTAAATTATTATGTAAGCTAATAACTTACATCAAAATAAAAAAATTCAAACAGCTTAATACTATTATATTAATATAACTTTTAGATATATCAAATTCAATATTTAAAATTATTAACAAAAAGTATATTTTATCTAATTAGTTTATTTTTGTAAAACAAAATTAAAAAATGTTAATTTAAACCTTTTTTAGTAAAAGCAAAAAAAATATTTTGGAATTGAAAAGCAATTATAATTTTAAGCTTTTTACTATTTTTATTAATGAAATTGTAAAATTGTAGATATGAATACTACATATTCTCATTAATTAAGCCTAGTTTAATAAAACAGTATTTCTTCTCAAAAATTGGATTTTTTACTAAAAGAATAGATAAAACAAAAAAAGCAAAAATCTTATTGATAATTAAACATACATAGTAAATTAAAATTTTATTTAATTATTTAAATATATAAAATTAAATTTTATTTATGATTAAGTAACAATTAAAACTTTTGAAAATATTTTTGATTGTTCTTTTTATATTTTATTGAAATTAATTTAAGTAAAATTATTTTAAAGCCTTAATCACTATTAAAAAATAAAAAGTATATGACATTATGTAATTCAAAATAGTTAAATATTTTGTTGCTTTAGAAACGATTTTACAAGATACTTTTTGGTCAATCATGTCTTCATATTTGTTGCAAACAAATGTAAAGCATTTTTCACAAATAAAATTAACCAGTTACTTTTTTAGGCATAAATTTGATGTTACTTTATCATATGATCTCTAAAGCTGTTGAGTTTCTGCCAGCCCTACATATGTATTCTAAATACATTTTATTTATATTTATCTTCAAGGTAAGCAATTTTCTATTGTTTTTTGCTTCTAACTCTGTTAGGGCTCCTTCAAAATCTTTTCTTAAGCTTGAACATACTACCTAATTAGATATTGAAAGCTAAACACCAATCCTTTCTAAGTCACACCTTTAGCAAAAAGTAATATATTCATTTTAACTTAGCGCATCTTTCTCTATCTCATAGGTATTTATACATTTAGAATAAAATTATGTAGAAGCATCACAGCACATATAACATATAAATTTTTCACATTAATTACACTAATTACCACTATATTAGTCATTTTTTATCTATCTGTTCAAAATTTATACTTCAGTTTCTTTATATTCAAGAATATAAGAAGTTTCTTAGTTATCTGCAATCGTCTGGCTCATTAAAATTTATTTAAGCCTAAATTTTAAGCATAATGTTACTTTGCAAATGAGACAAAAATGCAGTCCTTACCTCTCCCAACTTTAAGAACATTCAACACATAAAAAATGTTTGCAACTATAAATAGAAAGATCAACACCTGCCCAATAAAGCTACTCAACATCTTATGAGCAAATACAGTATAAAATTATTTGAGAGCTAAATTAATTATTTGAATATATTATTTTATCTAAAACTACATAGCTTTGAAATCAAAGCTTTTTGGCTGAATTCTATTCGATTTATTTAATACTCACAAAAATCGTATTAATACTTTTAATTATTTTTGTTTAAATACTTATTCTATGCCCAATTTATTTAAATTATGTATGAACTCAGAGTAGCCCATTTTTATAAAGCTTTTGCAATTTTATTTTTCTTTCTGTTTTTGCTTTTTTGTTTTTATAAATCTATCTTTTTTTTATTAAATTAATATTTTTTATGATTAATTGGTTCTTATAAATATTATTTTCGATTTTTTCCTGTTATACATATGTATAGGTAGTAAAAGCTTTTAAAATAATAAATTAGATGAAATGATTAGAAAGTTTTAAGTATAAAAACAAATATAATTAATATAAAAATAAAAAGATTATTTATTATTTAATTTCATAGTGTTTTATATTTAGGATTATAAATGATAGATACTTCTCCTTTCAATTATTTTTATTTTTGAATGAATTAAAAAGCAGTAAACACTAATAATGTAAAACCTATTGAGTTAAAGGAAGAGAATAAAATAATAAGGGCTTTCAAATTCATGTGTTTAACTGTTTTAATTCCATTAAACCTAAGAGAATTATTTTCTTTTGAAAATAATATTTTGGCATTTGCATATTTTATTAATTAAGAAACAAAATTGTAATTTCTATAATTTATTATGTTAATTTAACATTTACCTTATATCTTTCCATCAGATGTTTAGTATGTTTAATAGTTAGTATACATATTTGGGGTAATTTCAAATATATATTCTTGTGAAATAAACTTGAAGGTAGGCAAAGATTTAACTGTTTAACACTAGCAATTTTCACAATTTGTTAAATCCTATCTTTACACTTTCTAAAAATACTTTGAGTATATCTCTTTAGGGATGTATAATTAATTTTGAGATAACTCAATAGGATCAAAATTGACTATCCTGAGTTTTAATTAATCCGTAATATCTTAGTTATTTGCATAAACTCCATATATTTTGATATTAAATGAGCTGTCACCTACCAAAGAATCTTCGGGAGAGCTAAAAATTAGGTTATTACTTCTGTCTAAGTCGTAAACTATATCTATTTTTTAATTTTGATGTTAGGATTTTTACAGCAAGTAATCACTACTTTAAATTATGTCTTGCTCCTTCATGTAATCAAAATAATTATTATCCTTTCTATTAAAGAGTGTTACCCCGTTTAAAAACTAGAATGGTAACCTAGAAGGATCATTTACAACACAAGGAAATGAGTATTAAAATTATTTATCTCCAATCTTCATAACATCTTAAACAATATTTCCAACAAATTATCCTCCATAAACAATATTAGATTAATAGTTCTATCCAATTTAAGCTGTAGAACTAGTGTGCATATTATACAACGTGAGGTCATAAGGTTTTATCTAATTATCATAGTACTCTGGATCGTTTACTTATATGCTAGAGTCTATAATAAACTATCCAAGATCTGAAGAGCCTGACTATTCAAACAAGACTAATATTTACTATGTAACAGGTGGAGTTCCAAGTTATAATGTAATTTTTTTTGATTTATTTGGAGTGTTACCATCACCAAGCATTTCCATTTGTAATATACCTTCACAAGCAACTAAGCTAATATACAAAAAGAAGAATATCAAATTCATATTTTCACTCACTTTAATTTATATCTATTTTATTTAATTATTTTCTTATAATCAAGTTATCATTTATTATTTATTTAGCAATATATATGTGTTTTAATTCCTAGTCATAAGCTTGTCTATTAATAAATAGATGTTCCTAATCTTCTTTTTGATCAGCGGGTTTACTTTTTCTAATAAAATATAAATTTATTTTTACTGCTTTAATTTTCCATTATTGAATTTAATTATTTTCTTCTTAATCAAGTTATCATTTATTATCTATTTAGCAATAAATAAGTGTTTTAATTCTTAGTCATATATACGTTTGCCTATTAATAAATAGGTGTTCCTAATCTTCTTTTTGATCAGCCGATTTACTTTTTCAAATAAAATATAAATTTATTTTTAGCTGCTTTAATTCTCTACTTTATATTTTTATATCATTCATTCTATAAGTTCATTAAATAAAAACGTTTTTCTTTCATAAAAAAGTGATCTTAAGCTTACAATAAGTAATAAATTATTTAAAAATACAGCAAAGTTACATTTATAAAGCATTAATTTTACTTTTGATTTTCTGATAGCTAATAAAATTATTTAGATTAGAAATATAGCATTTAAAAAAATGGCTATTGCTGCTAAACAGCACATATTCATTAATTTTGAAAAGTAAATAAAACATTTCTTTTATTTTTATTACTTTATTTGTATTTATGAAATAAATTAAATTTGTAAAATGAATGTGCGCGCAAAGGAATATTTAAGATTTAAAAAGGAGGGCAATTATGTAAAAAATAAAAATGTTTTAATAGTTTTGTAATGTATTTTATTTTTTAAATTTTATAAAATATGGAGAGAATAAATTTTAGAAATAATTAGTTAGAAGTTACAGTATAATATAATTTATTAATAAATTTATCAAATATCTCATACAAAAATATAGAAGTATAAAGAGTCAAATACAATTAAATTAATATATACTTAATCCCAATATAAAATTACTAAATAATATATATATATATATATATAAATCATGCGTTTAGCTTTTATTAAGAAAAAAGCTCTCAATTATCTTGAGTTTATTGAGACTCAAATACATTAATGTTTTTAGATTATCTTTTAGTAAATAAACTCATTGGAGACCTTGCGATACTGTTTTCATCAAAGTAATCTTTTTTATTAAATAAATGAACAAAAATTTAATGATTAAATCAATTTATACTTATAAATTCATCATCCGTTTTAATGAGTTAGAATTTCTCTATTTTTAAATTATTTCTCTCACTTGATTTTCTTCTACTTATTTTACCTTTTTAGTTTTAAAAAATTTAATATTAAAAAAAATTTATTTTCTTACTTTGAAGATTAATTTCTGAAATGTTTTGACATTTTTAAAAAGAGCTGCTTAAACCGTATAGAGATGTTTATTAATTCATCTATATAATTAAATTTTTATTTTATTCTTGTTCTTCAATAATTTCATCAGCTTAATCATTATTTCGTTGTTTACTGGAATTTCTTTTCTTAAGTTTAATATATTTAAATACTTCTTTTTAAAGCTTGCTCCATCTTTTCATTACTTATAATTGATTGGAGCTTTATATGATTATTTATGATGTTAAAAATTTAGGAAATACATTTTTTATTTTAATTAGCAGCAAATGAAACAAATTTCTTTATTGAGGATCTAAAGGTATTTCTCTCAAAATTACTTTCAATAAAATTCTTACAATAAACAAAAAGTTGAAGAAGAAAATAATTATAGTAAAAATACTCTCCCAAACTGTATTTCCCATAAGATTGATTATTATTGCTAAGACAATAGAATTAAATTATAGAACTGAAGCCATTAAATCTAGATTATTTAATTAAATATTGCTATATGGTTTACTAAAGAATGATGCTAAACCATAAATAAATAATACTGATAAAGAAACTATAGCTTTATATCCAATATTATCAAAAAAGGTGCAAAGATAAATTAAAGATTTTTAAGTAGTCTTTATTATTTCCCAGTAGTATTTTTCTTATCTATACTCATAAAATAAAATGCCATAAACTTTTATATTTTCAATTTTTGTAAGGCTAGTTCTTTTTTGTTTTAGCTTAAAAAGGAAAAATAAAGGTAAAAGCAAATAGAGTAACACTAATGAAGGAATCAAAATAAAAAATATATTTTATTAATGGTCATCTCCAAAGCAGAAATATTATTTATCTGTTAAAACATAAGAATAATCACCAATTTAAACACAGCTAAGTTATTAGACAAAATAATTAATAAGGCTTGGAGAAAAGAAAAGCCATAAGAAGATAAATGAGCACTTTATATCATAGATATACAATCTGTAATAATTAAATTTGCATTTTAGTAAAAATATACCTAAAGCAAATATAAATAAGAAAGTTAAAGGAATCAATATCCTTAAAATTGATCTCCTTGTTAATATATTTCCTATTTCTAAAGAATTAATCAAAATACAATCTATTGACATCCTTTAAATTAATATAATAATATTTATTTTTTAAAAGGGGTAAAAAAAATTTATTTTTTTATTTTAATTCCAAAAATAAAGTAAATTTTAAAAATTTTTGATTTATAATTTTGATGAATTTCTAAAAAAAATAAATTACATTGAATCCGATGAGGAGTCTCCAAAAATACCAATTACTTATTTGATATAATAAGAAAAATTTGTAAATTAGAATATGATAGTAATAATTTGAGCATAATTGATTAATATCTTAGTAGCAACTGTATTCTAATCAGACTCTGATGATTTGCCAATACAAATAAAATTTAATCGCTTGATATACAAAAAAAGGCATTTTTGAGTAGTGAATCTTTATATTTTCCTAAAACAGAATGATAAATAGCACAACATTGCTAAATATAGAAGGAAATAAGAAATAATATCTATATCATTATCTTTGCATTTCATACAGCTAAGATTATCGCTTTTAGAATATTAATCTCCCCATAATTAATTATTAATGTCACAACTTTCACATAATGCTCCTATATGACCAACTCTGCAAATTGATTTTTCAAATTATTCTATAATAAAATTATTATAATTTAATATTATTAAATTTTAAGCATTTACCTTAATGCATTTGGGTAGAAAAGTTATAATTCTACTAATTTTATGCTTATATGCAGTTAGAAGGATTAGAACATGCAAATACCTTGCTCGACTGTGGATTTAATCTCCAGTATCCATCTTATAGAACTATTATATCTTTTTCACAATAACTAGCTTATTCAGGACAACGGCTGCATTAATTAGTCTATGAATCAGAAAAGCTGCTTATAAAAGAATACGTTCCTATTTTTTTTTATAGTATTAAAAATCCTAAAATATTTTTTTTATTTATTTTTATAGTTTTAATCTTTTTAAATGTTTATGTAATCGATCTTATAAAAAATGATTTTTAAAATGAAGCATATAATTATTATTGGATTTTAGAAAAAATTTTTAGCAAATATTATTTTTACCTTATGGACATTCATAACATTAAATGAGATTAAATTCTTACTTAGGAATTTACCCAACTTAGCATGGCAAAAAGTTTAATTAAATATTACTTTCTACTGAGCTTAATATGAAATAGTTTTATTAAAAATCATAAATTGGTACCTTTGAAGAAAGTTAAATTTATAAAAACTAAGTGCTAGAAGGATTGGATGTTATTTATGGCTAAAAAGTGATATAATTATTATAAATTTAAATTCCACCTTAAATGTGCATTTTCGACTCATCTTAGTTTACAATAAGAATATCATATCCTTAAAATTCTTTAATTATATATTCATGAATTTTATTAGTTTCAATATTTAAGGGGTAATTTACTACTTCTTCAAATTCATCAACCAAATAAAATATAAGAGGTTAACTCAAAGTATTTCCAGATACCAATTAAGATAACATTTAAGTATAATTCATTTGAAATTTTATTGATTTTGGATAAGAGGTAATTTATTAGCCAAACAAAAGAGCCTTGTTATTAAAAATTTAAGATTATTAAATATCAAGATGGCGATATTTATACTTGTTATCTCTATAAATTAATGAAGAATTCATTCCTTAGTATCTGATTCCACCTCCGATTACTGCATAATTAAAGGAAATTGTACAATTATTAAGATAAACTTAACTATTACTAATATATATTCCTCCACCACAACCCTTTTAAACATTGTTCTTAGAAATAAGGGTATTATTAATTATTATATTATTTGTTGTATCAAACGATACTGTTCCATAAAAAGTTTCTTCGAGATAATTCATATTAATTATTAAGTCACTCAAAATAACTTTGCTATGCTAAAAAATATAAATCACTTAACCATTTTATAGACTATTATCATTAAATTAACTATGTTATATCTAACAACTTAAAGCGTCTAATTCAGAGCCTAAGTTTTTATGTTAAAAGCTATTTAACAAAAATAGTGAGCCATATATCTAGTTTTTATTTACTATTAAGTTTTAAACTTTTATTATGTTTGAATAAAATTAAATTATATCGCTATTAAATATTCCATTTTAAATGCTCATAATTTCTACATTTATATTTAAGCTTGATATGTAGATTGATGGGTTTTATTGATCTTTGAATTCACTATCTATAACTTACAATTTAGAAACTGTAACTTATGAAACTATGATTATTACTTTATTATAAAATTATTCTTAAACTTAAACAAAAGAAGGTCCTGTACTATTTGTAACTGTAAGATTTTATAAATTGTTTATTAAAGATCCCATAATTTATATTAAAGAGTAAGATTTTCCTTCAAATTAAGAGTTATAAATTTACAGACTTTAGATAAAAAAATTATTGATATTAGAGGAAGAGATTATAGAACCACTTGACTTAGTGGTGTTCACTAAAATATTATTTATTGTTAAATTTCCAATATTTTAAAAGTTAAATATACTGCTTACTTGTAGATTTGAATTTTAAATAACAATATTTGATATGCTTAGAGTTTAGATGCTATCAAATGCAATTAAATATTTCAAATATGGATATTTATTTTAAGTGGTAAAGTTTTTAAATGTAAGTCTGTCTAAATAAACAAAGTTGATATTTTTGATTAAAATCATGCAGCTATTCTGTGCACTGCTATTAATCAAATGTTATGAAGTGATAAAATCTGAATTTGAAAAAATAAGCTCATTCATATTTTAATATATAATACATACTTAGCTATCCAAATCAATAATTGTATTTGCCAAACTTATGCTTAAAATGTTTTAGCTACTATTAATATCAATTACAATCGGGGTAATTAATTGCTTATTTTATGGTTACTAAGGAATTGTGAGCCTCATATTCAAAATTTCTAAATTAGCTATGCTTGCATTAAAAATGTTGTTGATATTATTATAATTTTAATTTATTAGATAGACAAGTGAATTTTACTAATCTGAATATAGCCTTAAGGTAAAATTAGATGATTTTAGTGTTTAAAAAATATCTTATCTTAAATAGAGACTTGTTTGTGGTATAAAATATATCTCCAAAACTTAAATATTGGCATAGTTTTTTGATACAAATTAATCCTAAATAGCTTACATCTTTACAGAATATTGAAGTAGGGATAAGTCTTAAATATAGTCACTGAATTTTAATACACACTATTAATCTGAAGCATATATTGAAGAATCTACATTTTAATTTGTAGTTAAAGTGTATTATAACAATCTAATGTCATAATTTGAGCTGATAACCATTGACAACTGATATGTATTTAACTACTATACAGTATTTAAAATAGCATAACCAATAATTGGTAAACTAACTTAAAATGATTATAGTAGATTATAGTTATTTTTAGAAAAGTAGTACACATCAATTTCTGCTTTTGAAGCTAAAAGCATAATTTATTTTGATAATATTTAAATTTACTAAATTGCTGTAATATTAAAAGACCTTATTGTTAGATAAAGAGAAAAATCTATTAAAGAATAAATGTTTGCCTATCCAAAAGTTTGTAAGACTAAAAACTATGATATTTATTCAGTTATCTTTGACTCTTCGTATTTTTTATTATAAAAGAGAGGAATTTGGCTTGAAGAAGATAAGTCTCTCAGCTTTTAAGCAGGCTATTTCAAGTTATAAAGTGAATTTACTAGCATACCATCTTGATCAATAGCTACTAACTTTAAATCAAATGTCTAATAAAGTTCTAATAAAATGTATTAGCTACCAACTTTTAATGATTAAATATTATTTGCCATTTACAATTTAGATAATTTATTTAGGATAGGATTCCAACTAAAAACAATACTACTGCAATAAAACACTAATGGTAGATTTGTAGTATTTTAAATGATATTTTTACCAAATATTATATTTTAATTGGTTAATTATTGATCTAACTAACTTATCTATGTAAACTTGAAGTTATTTGGGTCTTAAATGTTAATTGTTATTAAATTCATTCCTTGTTAGTCAAAGCAATATATAGTTTAGTTACGAATATTGCAATCGTTAATAAGTTAATAGAATTAACTAGAAACTAAACTTATAATATTACTTTCATTGTCTATAATTTATAGATATATAGTAGAAGCAATAGTGCTTTAAAGTAGCAGAATAGGGAAGAAGTTTAATTCCTCTAGTAAAGTGTAATATTGGTAATTAATAGATTAAAAATAATATATTTTAATGAGATTAATATTTGAATTGTTAAGTTGGTATACGCAATACCTTAAAATATGATGTTAAATAATTATATATTACGACAAATCATTTGTAGTTTATTTCAAAATTTGTATAATTCTATAATTATACTTAATACCATCATTTATATTTAATATGCGTCCAAGTGGTCCTCCTTTTAATGTAAATTATAAATCTTAGTCTTGAGTTACATCTAAACTTAAAAATGGTGTCATAGTTTACTTTTACAAAGAGACTTAGTAAAAAGAAATTAAATTATAATTGAATTCTCTTGCAAACACAATTAAATTATCATTTTAGTTCGATGTTTATGCAATGTAACTAATTAAATCTGCATTTTGAGGACCTAAATAAAAATTCTAATAATCATAGAAAGTAATTGAAGAATAATCATAAATTATGATGTTTTCTTATGTGATACATGTAAGTATATTACTTTGTTTATCAAGACTTATAGATCTAATTTATCCGTCAGCTTAGGATTAGCTTAGATTTTCTTAAAAGTTGAGATAATGAATTATTTAAGTTTATGATATTTAAATAAAGAACACATTATCTGTAAATACTATAATAAGTATATCCTTTTAAAAATCTTCAATAATAGTAAATTTAGTTTACTAGTTATATTATGAAAAGTTTTAAGAGTACTAAGAGATATCTATTGATTTAACCTGAGTAGTCGGAGTTGTATATTAATCGTCAAGATACATTATTTAAATTAATAACTTTTGGTTAGGTGCAACAATAGCATTGATTGGGTGTTCATAATAAGAAAGTTGATCTATATCTATATTCTAGTTTTATCAAATGTATAATATTAAAATAAATAAACTGAATAGATAAAGAATTATAAAAAGAATAAATATTGAGATATTTTTGTATTTTTTAAAACAAGATAAATTTAATTTATTAATACCATAATTTCTCATTAATTCTTTAGTAATCTTAAAAGAATTTTGCAAAATAACTTAGCATTCATTTAAAAAAAAATTAAACAATTATTTTATTTATTTTAAATTTTATATGTGAGAATTTAAGGTATTTAATAATTTTAATAATATTGTTAAAAATTAAACTTACATTTATGAATGCTAATGTTTTAATAAGTTTGAATTCTGAACTATAGATCTAGCATTGCATATAATCTTAATTGCATAAAATAATTCTTTAATTATAGCTATCATAGAATTATCTTACGAACGTTATAGTTTAGAAAATTACAGCAAAGTAAGCAAACTTGTTGAATGATGGTGCAGTATATACTACAGCAATACACGGATTTGTTATTACATAAAACAAATTTAACTAATCCAAACTATACAAACCTACCATACGATAATTTCCTAATATACTAGTTGTTAAAAACCAATTAGTTTCATTTTTACTATATGAAAAGCTTGTTATTTATGTAGTTTATTTCAACAGAATATTTTTGTTAACTCTATCAAAAGATGAGGTACATTTTAGAGTAGGATCATAAGCTGAATCTTGAGGCATTTCATACATAAGCTTACCAGTTGAAAACTAAAATATAAACCATTAGCAGAATGAATTTGATATTACTAAAGTATCTTCTTAGAAATCAATAATAAACTGATTAATTTAAGAAGGTATGTTATCAATAATTTATAATATGGACTCATTCTTATAAATTATGAAACCATTATCATAATATATTGCTTAATAGTTTTCATAAGATTAAATACCTTGAATATTTGTGAGAGTTGGTTAGTTTATTTATGCTATTATATTAATCTATTTTTAATATTATTTTATTCTTTTAAAACTATTTTAATTTATAAAAACTTACATTTAGCTGTGATCTATATAAAATTGAGCCTAAAAACATATTATTTTATGAATCCCTTAAAACAAGATATATTATATCTACAGAAGTATCAATAAAAGAGACTAAGTTGATGTAGTTTATTTTTGAAAGTGATATATAATCAAGATACATTTATCCAGGTACTTTCATTTGAACCTAAGAACTAAAGATATTAATGATTTAAAAATAATATTAGTTTATAATTAAAAATTATTACCTGCTTAATCCTAGATTACCAAAAATGTTGCAGATACCAGAATTATCTTAATCTAGATAAATGTTTTCATAGTTTAAGTAACTACCACTAAAATATTAAATACTTTACTATTAGCATGATATAGAAGGTTATTATATCTAAAATACTTATTTAATTTAATTTTAGGATAAAGAATAAACCTTCAAAATTAATCCTTAAATGAATCCAAACTTTTATTAATAATTAAATAACTTTTAAACAAAAAATTAAAAATCAATTAAATCGTAAATTTCAATTTATTAAAAATATACTCAAATTAACAGAAATAAAATTCAAAAAATACATTTTTTCTCATTAAATAAGTCATTCAAAAATTATTTTAATTGATTTTTTTTAATTTTATTTTACTGAATGACTATATAATAGACTAAAGATTCTATTTCTGAAAAATAAATAAAAACTGATCTTATTTTTTCTTTTTTTTTGGTAATACAAAATTTTTTTTTGAAGAGAGAATAATGAATTATTTTTTGGAAGTTTAGTTAATTTTATTTTTTAAATTTCTAAATTTACATGAAGTTAATCATAAAATGTTATTATTTAACGAACTAGGTCGGAGCATTATATAGTTGTCTCAGAAGAAGAAGGATAATGTATAATTTGAATCTTGTTTATATCATATGAAGCTAAAATAAAGTCGCCATAAACAATTTAGTAAATAACCTTTCCATATGTAGAGTATTATACTTATAAGGAATTTAAGTTATTATCTATAAAATGTATTTAATTCTATTGAAAGATTACAATCAATTGCTTGTTTTAATAGTAGATAAACTATGAGATAGATTAAATTGTATATTATGTTTATTTAATTATCTTACCTAAAAAATCTATAATAAACATATGATTTGCTGTTATGCATATTATATTTTCATCATTAATTTAATAAGCATACAGAATATTTTCTGCTTATTGACCATTAAAAAGCATGCTGTCAAAAGTTGTCAAATTTATGAAGTCAAAGTAAGATAGTATCGCATCTGCTTAATCAACAAGACATACAATTTTTTTAGCTTCATAAAAAAATCTATAGGCCTAGCTCTTTTATATATTTTATATAGTTAAAATTAAAAATTATATCTTGCTAAATTATTATTATTATTTACATATGTTAGATCTAACCTGACAGGTATTTCTTTTATAATTTATCCATTTGATGTGAATGCAAGAACAGATTTCCAATTTAGATCATCGAAGTTGTAGACGTAAAAATTTTCATCGGTGTCAAAAAAGGGAATACCATTTGAAAATGATCTTGGCATAACTACTTAAGTTATAAACTCTGATTCATTCTAAGGGTCTTTAGAAAAATCTATTATCAAAATTCCTCCAAGCTAAAATAGATATAATCTATTTTTTAGTTTATTTTGTAAAGGGAAATATAAAATGTAATTAGTGCTCAAAATTATATCTCCATTTCTCATATCTCTCAATTAATAGCTTTCTTGAAATCCTTGCAATGCATATTTTTTTCCTTAAGAATCAAAAATATTTGAAGCATCAATTCCATTATGATAATTTGGCATGTTTTATGTCTTGCAAAGAGTTTATTTATCTATTTTAAAGCTTTATTTATCATTCAAGATTATTGAAGAAATGTTGTTCTCATCAGTAGTAATAACAATATCTCTATCCACAATATGGATACTATAAAAATATGAATTTAAAAAGTATTACTTGATTGTTAGCAGATTCAAATCTTATTTGAAAATGTAATTAGATATGTAATAATTGGCATAAAAAACATTATCTCCTAATATTTAATTAAATATCATTTGAGTATTTTACTAAAAGCTTACTATTTCGCTAATTTAACTATCTCCATTTATGTTTGAAGTTATGTTGAATAATTTATAAGATAAATTATTTTAATATGCACTATAGTTCTATAGAATAAGCATGAGTTTAGTCTCAGAAGAAAGGAAGCTTACAAAGTAATTGTTTGTATCCATATTTTAGATTATAAATTCTTAGCAGCTAGATTTTTCATTCAGGATTATAATAGCATAGTTATTTGCTCCTATTAAAATGTATATTTTGTCAGTGGCTCTTGATATTGCATTATACTAGTTAAAAAGATAGCATATGGCTTATTATTGCTTATATAAAACTCCGGTTTAAGTTTTACCACTACTATCGATCCAATTTTCTTATAAAAAATGTAACTAAATAAAATTTAAAAATATCTTTAAAAAATACCTGCTGATTTGAAAATTAAAAGCTCTTAACTAAATTATACAATGCATATATAATAGCTAGTATCTGCTTGAAACTGTATAAAGCTTTTAGACCAATCTAATGAAGAGTCATTATTAAAGATATTTATTGCTTCAAAAAGTAGTACATCTTATTCACTTTGTACACAAATATAATCTATTCCATTATAAGTAGAAAAGTCAAATAATTGCAAAATGCCATTAGTTGACTATTAGAGAGCATGTATTTCCTATACTTGTGGTGATTTTAGGTCAAATGCCTAAATATATTTAGGATACACACAGAGATAGAATTACTCTTTTTAAAAAATAAATAGTTGTTATTGTAAAAAGAAAAAATTTAGATTATTTTAAATATTTAATTAAAATTTAAAAACTTTCTATTATAAATTTTAATTATTGATGATATTTTTACTGTTTCTTAAATAAACATATTGTTTATTTTTCTAGATAAAAGTTAATTAAAAAAAATATCTTAAATGTAAATAAAATGTATGCATTTTCAAAATTTTTTCATTCAGTCAAGATTCTGAAATAATATTTTAGCTTATTTATTGAAATAAATTGTTTAAAAATTTTCTTATGAAAATTTGATTAAAATTTATATGAAATAATAAGAAAAATGGTTTGAAATTAAATAATTTTAATATTAAATTACTTTGAAATAATTTGCAAAACAATGAGTTATCAGGATTACTTAAAGTTGGTTGAATCTCTGAAAGGAAATTTATTACTGGTGTAATATATTTCCAAAATTTAATATTCCCTATATTATCGTAAGTGACCATTATTTCTTCTTAGTTGTTATCAATATATTTTTCAATTGATAAAATAGTCTACTAGAATATTACTTAGTATGTGTGACAATAATTGCTTTCAGATTATTATATAGGGCATTTGTTTGCTGTTTAGCATGTTTAAGACTGGTCGTTTTTTGTTTGTCCTAATCCACACTAAAAAGTGCACTGATTATTTTAAATTAGAAATTGCGACTAGCCTAAACAATCAGAGACACATACTCCATCTTTTAGCTAAAAGTTTTCTTTACATACTTAGCAATTTTAAGTAGCGCACAGAAGACATCCTTCTAACTGGCACTATTAGCACTAGTTTTGTTATGGGTCAAAATAATATTCACATTTACTTAGACAGGTACTCTAATCTTCACTTAGATAAAAAGCAGATTAACATTGCTAGCAAGTTTAATATTATTGTGAATATAAGTTAGAAGAAGGATTCAATCCTACTTAGCAACTTTTGCAATTTTAAGAGCACTTAAAGCATTAATATTAGTAAGGGTCAAATCCATATCCTTAAGGGCAAGCTTAGTCAATTGAAAACACCAAACCCAAGGAAATTAATAGCAATTTAACTATTATATACTTTATCATTTTTAGTTTTTTCACTAATTCAATTTTTGATTAATTATTTATTCATCATTTGTTTAAGTAATTTTCTATCGTTTTTTAAACAGAAAAATTAGATAAATAAATTTAAATGCAGTGTATTTAATAAAAAGGCTTCTTTTATTGAAATTAACTAAGAATAAATGCAATAGTAGAATGTAAAAGTCAAGCTTTTTGTTTGAATTTTAAGAATTTAGTATCATGATTTTTTTATTATAATTATTTGAATTTTGGTTGGTTGATGAAAATAAATTAAAAATTTATTTGCTTTAAATGTCATTTATATTCTTAAATTTTAAATAGAGGCTATTTAGTATTCAAAAACTAGTTTCTATTTTTAAAACTATTCTCATTCATTTTTTTGCTAAAGCGTGAATAGTTTTATTTATTTTTAAATTATTTTAGCAACCTTAATATATAACATAAATCTTCATTAACCAAGATTATGAAAGTAAACAGTCATTTTTTTCAACTGCTGTTATACTGATTGAGAAAAGAATATTTAAAAAATTTTTTATATAAATATTTGTATAAAATACGGTTTTATTAATATTCCAGCATCAATATGATAAGTTATATATCTATTTAAAATAAAAGTAAAATAATAATTATTTAAAAAATAAAATGTAAGATATTTTTTGTTGGTTTAGGTTTAGAAAACCATATTTATAGTTGAAAAAATTAATTTGATGTTAGTTAAATAAATATTAATTTCTAATCTGAACCTTGATTTATCTAAGGTAATATAACATATTTAAAAAACAAATAATAACTGTAACAATATATTTACTAGAAGAAGAGAATATGCTAAATGTTCATAGTTATATTAGTTTTAATAAAAATAAATTGTTCTTATCTAATTTGAGCTTTTAAATAATTTATAAATTTAAAATGATAGATTACAATTAGTTTATTAAATATATTTTATACAATCTTTACTAAAATAATTGTTAGTTTCATTGATTATTTGAATAAATTGCTATTTTATTACCTCTTTTTTTAAGTTTTTTATTATCTATTATTATTTGATTATTGACCAAAAGCTTTTATGTTTTAGATTATACTAAATTTTATTAAAGAAATAAAATAGAAGAAAGAAAAATTGAGGTTTTTTTAAATTAACTTTAATTCAAAGCTATTAGATGGATTTTCTTTTGTTTTGCTTCAACAAGTTAAAATCTGAAAAATTGCAAAAGCAATAATTAATCTAAAATGACATAATTTTTAAAATAAAATTCAAGATATTTTTTGTTTTATTGATTTATGTTTATAAAATATATTGATACTTGTATCATTCTTTTATGAATTAATAGAATAATTATAAATGTTTAATTTCTTTTGCTAATCAAAAAATAATAATACATCACTCAGTTTTAAATTTTGCTCCATAAATTAATTTGATATTAGTTAAATAAACATTAAAATTTAACCTGAGTCTTGATTTATCTATGGTAATTTAATACTATTTAAAAAAATTGCTATTTAATTACCTCTCTTATTTGAGTTTTTTATTTTCTGTTTTTATTTGATTATTGACAAATGCTTTTTTGTTTTAGATTATTCTGAATTTTATTACATAAGAGAATTCTAAAAATAAAATCAGAAGAAGAAGAAGAAAGAAAAATTGATGATTGTTTTAAATTAGCTTATTTTCAAAGGTGTTAGCTGAATTTCTTTTTGCTTAAGAAAGCTAAAAACTGAAAAAGTGTAAAAGCAATATAATTAGTCTAGAAGAACTCTAAATAAGTATAAATATAATTTACTTAGTTCTTATATTTTTTGAAACAAAATAAATGCAAAAATCTAGTTAAAAATACTTTTAAAATTAATCTTTATGATCAAAAACCCTAAAAGAAAATAAAATAATTATTTTAAGCGGATTTTTTAATATTTTTAAAGAGATATTTTTAAATAAAATGGTATCATTAAATCTAAAAATTAAAGAAAAATAAAGCTCAAGATAATGAAGTAAAATCAAGAAAAGATTCCTTGTTAATTTAGTTACAATTTCAATTTTTATTTTTTCAGTTGATAGGCTGGTTTTATTTTTAAATGCCGCATTTGAATGTAAATAAATATACAAGTTAAATAAATTAAGTAACAATCACGAATTTTTGAAAGAATAAAGTTTATTTCACATTTTAAATTAATAATGTTTAAAAACAAAATGAAGCTCTTTTTTAAAGCTATCTCAATAAAATAAAAGGAGAAAAAACTAAATAATGAATTTACTAACATATAAATATTGATAAATATTACAAAACTAATAGATTAAATATGTTTTATATATTTTTTAAATTATTTTTAGCTCCATACTAAATACTTTTTATGAACCTAAAAGACCTACTTTTGCTAATCTTAATTCATTTTTTATGTAATTAGCTTCTCTTTTCTTATTCGCAATATCACCTTTCTAGCCTAAATATTTTTGATAGTTATAATAGTGACCATATTCATAAAATACTAAGTTATAATTTACATACATTTTTTGCTATTTCCTTATTTTTAGCTAGAGCTCCACAAAAAATATTATTGGCAATAAAATGAAATCCATTTATAGCAATTTTATTTTCAGCAATAATAAGTGACTAATTGAGACTACATCATTCTTGAATCAATACTAATTCATCTAGCAAAATCATATTAATTTCTTCATATAATCTGTTACTTCAAGCCTATATTCAACTTATAACTTTAAATTTTCTCAGCACCAATAAACTTTTCAACATAAATACATAAAACAAACTTATCTTTCGTTTTAATTTATTTTTTATTTTATATATTTTATTTTAACTTTTTGAATTATTTATTTTTATTAAAATAATTCTAAATTCTGATAAAATAATTAAAATTATTTATTTAATTGTTGGCTTTCTTTTTAAGGAATAAAGAATATTTTCTATTATTATAAGCACTATAAAATTTCTAATCAGGATTATTAACATCATCAAATTTAATTATATTCATTCAAAAAATTTAAAAAAACTATTTTCAATAAAATTAGGTATTAAATAAATAGGGTCTTTTAGGAGAAATAAAGTATATTTAATTCATTCTTTGATGAATAATGTTTTATTCCATTAATTTAATTAAGAAAATAGATAATTTACTATTTATTACTTTTTATTTTTGTGTAATTATTGAATGTCCTGTCTTAAATTTTATTTGACGTTATTAAATGGGGAAATTTAAAAATATAAGATTAGACGAAAAAGAAAAAGTTAAGATTATTATGCACTATTTATTTCTAATTGAAAGTAATTAATTGATTTTTCTGTTTGTATCATAAATTTACTCTAAATAATAAAATCAAAATTCTTAGGATAAATTAACATTCAAGAAGAATAAATATTTATTTAAAATAAAAAATCTATTTTTAAAATATAAAAAAATGTAAAATTTAATTTAAAATATTTTATTTATTTAATTTTTTAATTGATTATTCTATTATTAAATATACTTTCAAAATATAAAAATCTACTTAAAAAAAGTTTAAAAATCAATCTTAATAATTAATACCTTAAAATAAAATAAAATATAATATTTTTTTATATAGGTTTTTAAATACTTATCAGCATAAATTAAATAAAAAGTAGAATGATGGAAAATTTGGAAAGCTTAAAGAAAAAAGCTATAATTTAGTTGTTAGAAAGTAAATGAAAAATATATATGAGCTATTTAGTTATTTAGCTATAATACTAATTATTTTGACAGGCTGATTGAGTTTTTTAACACATCCACCCACAGCCTATCATGAACGCAAATTTAAATTAAATAAATTTATTAATAATCTTAACTTTCTGAAAGAATCACGTTAGTTTTTCTTCATAATATTATGTATGCTTAAATACAAAAATATTATCTAGTATTTTAACTATTTTGGTTACACCTTAAAGAAGAAAATCTAAATAATGAATGATAATTGAAGGTATTATTATTTTATATCTTTAGAATTTCAAACACAGTTTGTATATATTTAAATTTTTGAAGATATTTTAAATAAATTTATCTAACAAACTAAATGAAAAATTTTCTCAAAACTAAAGTTAAAATCTTATTAAATATAAAATTTTTTAAGACAAAAAATACCAATATAAAAATATAAAATACAACTACAAATAAATATTTTATTTACTAATATAATAAGCTTCATTTTAATTTTTTTTAAAGAAATAAGTAACTTCTAAAAGAGTTTTTAGCTTCTTCTGAGTTGTAATAACTTGAATTTTAATTCGTGAATGCATATTCAGCTCCTTACCAAACACCTTTTACATATTTATAATTAAATATTTGCAATAACTAAAAATATTATTATTTATTCGCTGACTATATTACGTTAAAATCTACTCCAGCTTTGTTTTATTCATTTTCTAATTTTTTAGTAGTTTTAGGATCAGACATTCCTTTAATATAATCTAACTCTCCATGATGGCCTTAGACAGGAACTTTTATATTCTTTATTATGTATTTTGTTTAATCAAGAATACCATAGAAAGGAGCGCCTGCGCTAAAGATACCATAATTTGTAGAAAGAGCAGCAAATGTGAAAGTAAAAATACAGACTTTTGAGATCCTAATTGATACTTTAAGTAATTGGCAGCTCCTTTCATATCTTCAGTTGATCTACTCTAGTCTAAATCTTTAAAGTGATGATCAACTTCTTTTTAAAAATTAAGAAATATACAAATTAAAATTATTATAAATTATCTTACCTCTCTATTTTTAGCAGCAGCTCCTCTATAAACACCAAGGATTATAGAATTAAATCCTTAATCATCAACATTATTAGCTGTGATAGTAAGTGACTTGCTAAGACTCCATCATTTTTGAATTAAAACTAATCATAATCAAAGCTTGGATCCTTCATATTTTTTTTAATAACCTAATCCTTCAGGTCTATCTTCTACTGAAACTTTAAATTTCTCTTGAAAATATTGCTAATCCTGTAATTAAAATATCACTAACTGTGTAGGTACAGATGGTGATATTTCATTTAATTTTTATGATTTTAAGCGCTAATTTTACACTTTCTATTTTTTTATCTTTTTTATCAACCTATTTTTATTAAATTTTGAAAAACCTTTTTTAGCGATTAATGCCTTTTCTCAAATTTTGAACGTAAAAAATTTTTTCTGAAAGTGAAAAAATTCTTTTTATTTGAAAATAGCAATATTATAATTGATAAACTAATGGTATCTCAATATATGAGAATTTGCAACATATAATTTTTTTATTTTTTTAAAATTATTCCTCATTAATTATTACCTAATAAGGCATGAAAAGATACTGTTATAATTTTATATTTTTTAGGTTTTATAAAGTATGGAGAAAATATATTTTGGAAATAATTAATTAGAAATTATATTATAATATATTAATAAATGTATCTAATATCTCATAGAAAAATGTATTAATATAAAGAGTCAAATATAGATAAAACAATATATATATATAATCCCTACATAAAATAATATATTAATACATAAATATCATGCATTTAGCTGTAATTAGTAATAAAAAAAACTTTCAATTATCTTGCGTTTGTTGAGATTCAAATAAGTTAATATTCTTAGATTACTTTTTTGCAATAAAGCTAATTGGAGTTCTTGCGAAGCTGTTTTCATCAAAATAAGCTTTTTTATAAAATTAATGTACAAAATATTAATGATTTTATTAATTTATACTTATATTCTCGTCATCCATTTTAGTGAGTGAGAATTTTTCTATTTTTAAATTATTTCTCTCACCTGAATTTCTTCTATCTATTTTACCTTTTTAGTTTTGAAAAAATTTAATATTAAAAAAATTCATTTTTTTACCTTGAAAACTAATTTATTAAATGTTTCGAGATTTTTAAATAGAGTTGCTTAACCCGTATAGAGATCTTTATTAATTCATCTATATAATTAAAATTTTATTTTTTTCTTGTTCTTCAATAATTTCATCAACTTGGTTATTATTTTATTGCTTATTGGAATTTCTTTTCTTAAGTCTAATATATTTAAATACTTCTTTTTAAATTTAGCTCCATCTTCTCATTACTTAAAATTGATTGGAGCTTTATATGATTAGTTAACTAGTTAAAAATTTAGGAAATACACTTTTTATTTTTATTAGCAACTAATGAAACAAATTTCTTTATTAAGGATCTAAAGGTATTTCCCTCAAAATTACTTTCATCACAATTTTCATAATAAACACAAAGTTGAAGAAAAAAATAATTATAGTAGAAATACTCTCCCAATCTGTATTTCCCATAAGATTGATTATTACAATAGAATTAAATTATAGAACTGTAGCCATTAAATCAAGATTATTTAGCTAAATACTACTATATGGTCTACTAAAGAATGATGCTAAACCATAAACAAATAATACTGATAAAGAAACTAAAGCTTTTTATCCAGTATTATCAAAAAAAGTGCAAATATAAATTAAAGATTTTTAAGTTGTCTTTATTATTTCCCAGTAGTATTTTTCTTATCTATACTCATAAAATAAAATGCCATAGACTTTTATATTTTCAATTTTTGTAAGGCTAGTTCTTTTTTGTTTTAGCTTAAAAAGGAAAAATAAAGGTAAAAGTAAATAGAGTAACACTAATGAAGGAATCAAAATAAAAAATATATTTTATTTATGATCATCTCCAAAGCAGATATACTATTTATCAGTCAAAACATAAGAATAATCTCCAATTTAGACACAGCTAAGTTATTAGACAAAATAATTTATAAGGCTTGGAGAAAAGTAAAGCCATAAGAAAATAAATGAGCATTTTATATCATAAATATACTATCTATAATTATTACTTTTGCATTTTAGTAAATAAATGCCTAAAGCAAATATAAATAAGAAAGTTAAGGGAATCAATATCCTTAAAATTGATCTCCTTGTTAATATATTTCCTACATCTAAAGAATTAATCAGAATACAATCTATTGAAATCCTTTAAATTAATATAATAAAATTTATTTTTTAAAGGGGGTATAAAAAAATTTCTTATTTATTATTTATTCTTACAGTATTTATTATAAAAGATAAAATGAAAATATCCTAAATTTTTCAAAATAATGTAACTCTTAAAAATTTTTGATTTATAATTTTGATGAGTAAATATATTTATTAACTAAATAATATAAATAATTATATTTTTAAAAAATAAATTACATTGAATCAGATGAGGAGTCTCCAAAAATACTAATTACTTATTTGAGATAATATGAAAAATTTGTAAATTAGAATATGATTGTAATAATTTAAATATAATTGATTAATATCTTAGTAGCAACTGTATTCTAATCAGACTCTGATGATTTGCCAATACAAATAAAGTTTAATCGCTTCATATACAAAAAAAGGCATTTTTAAGTAGAGAATCTTTATATTTTCCTAAAACAGAATGATAAATAGCACAAAATTGCTAAATATAGAAGGAAATAAAAAACAATATCTATATAATTATCTTTGCATTTCATGCAGCTAAGATTATTGCTTTTAGAATATTAATCTCCCCATAATTAATTATTAATATCACAGCTTTCACATAAAGCTCCTATGTGACCAACACTGCAAATTGATTTTTCAAATTATTCTATAATAAATTTTTTATAATTTAATATTATTAGATTTTAAGTATTTACCTTAAGGCATTTAAGAAGAAAAGCTATAATTCTACTAGTTTTATGATTATATGCAATTAGAAGGATTAGAGCATGCAAATACCTTGCTCGATTGTGGATTTAATCTCCAGTATCCATCTTATAGCACTATTATATCTTTTTCACAATAACTAGCTTATTCAGGGCAACGGCTGCATTGATAAGTCTCAGAATCAGAAATATTTCTTATAAAAGAATATGTTCCTATTTTTGTTTATAGTTAAAAACATCTTTTAAATATTTTTTTTATTTATTTTTAGAGCTTAAATCTTTTTAAATTTTTATGTAATCGCTCTTACAAATTTTTGATTTTGAAAATAAGAGAAGCATTCATTTATTATTGGATTTTAGAAAAAGTTTATATAAAAAAATGTTTACCTTATGGACATTCATAACATTAAATGAAATTAAATTCTTACTTAGGAATTTAACCAACTTAGCATGGTAAAAAGTTTAATTAAATATTACTTCCTACTATACTTAATTTGAAATTGTTTTATTAAAAATTGTAAATTGGGACCTTTGAAGAAAGTTAAATTTATAAAAACTAAATACTAGAGGGATTAGAAGTTATTTATGGTTAAAAAGCAAAATAATTGTTAAAAATTTAAATTCCCCCTTATATATGCATTTTCAACTCATCTTAGTTTACAATAAGAATATCATATCCTTAAAATTCTTAAATTATCAATTAATGAATTTTATTTGTTTCAATATTTAAGGGGTAATTTACTATTTCTTCAAATTCATCAACCAAATAAAATATAAGAGGTTAACTCATAGTATTTCCAGATACCAATTAAGATAGCATTTATGTATAATCCTTTTGAAATTTGATTGATTTTGGATAAGAGGTAATTTATTAACCAAACAAAAAAGCTTTGTTATTAAAAATTTAAGATTATTAAATATCAAGATGGCGATATTTATACTGGTTATCTCTATAAATTAAAGAAGAATTCATTCCTTAGTATCTGATTCCACCTCCTATTACTGCTTAATTAAAGGAAATTGTACAATTATTTAACTAAACTTAGCTATTGCTAATATATATTCCCCCACCGCAACCCTTTTAAACTGTGTTCTTAGAAAAAAGGGAATTATTAATTATTATGTTTATTGTTGTATCAAACGATACTGTTCCATAAAAAGATTCTTAGAGATAATTCATATTAATTATCAAGTCATTAAAGATAACATCACTGTGCTAAAAAATATAAATAACTTAACCAGTTTATAGATTATTATCATTAAATTAACTATATAATATCTAGCAACTTAAATCGTCTAATTCAGAGTCTAAATTTTTATGCTAAAAGCTATTTAACAAAAATATTGAACCCTTTATCTAGTTTTTATTTACAATTAAGTTTTAAACATTTATTATGTTTGAATAAAATTAAATTATATCGCTATTAAATATTCCATTTTAAATGCTCATATTTTCTACATTTGTATTTAAACTTGATATATAGATTGATGGATTTTAATCTTTAAATTAACTATTTATTACTAACAAATTATTAATTGTAACTTAAGAAACTATGACTATTACTTTATTATAAAATTATTCTTAAACTTAAACAAAAGAAGGTCCTGTACTATTTGTAACTGTAAGATTTTATAAATTATTTATTAAAGATCCCATAGTTTATATTAAAGAGTAAGATTTTCCTTCAAATTAAGAGTTATAAATTTACAGACTTTAGATAAAAAAATTATTTGTATTAGAAGATGATATTATAGAACCACTTGACTTAGTAATGTTCACCAATATATTATTCAGTGTTAAATTTCCAATATTTTAAAAGTTAAATATACTGCTTATTTGTAGATTTGAATTTTAAATAGAAATATTTGAAATGCTTAGAGTTTAGATGCTATCAAATGCAATTATATATTTCAAAGATGGATATTTATTTTAAGTGGTAAAGTTTTTAAATGTAAGTTTGTCTAAATAAACAAGGTTTACATTTTTAATTAAAATCATGCAACTATTTTGTTCACTGATATTTATCAAATGTTATGAAGTGATAAATTCTGAATTTGAAATTATGAGCTCATTCATATTTTAAAATATAATACATACTTAGCTATCCAAATCAATTATTGTATTTGCCATACTTATACTTAAAAGGTTTTTGCTACTATTTATATCAATTGTAATTGGAGTAATTAATTGTTTATTTTATGGTTACTAAGGAATTGTGAGCCTCATATTTAAAATTTCTAAATTAGGTATGATTGCATTAAAAATATTGTTGATATTATTATAATTTTAATTTATCAGATAAACAAGTGCATTTTAAGAATCTGAATATAGTCTTAATGTAAAATTTGATGGTGTTAGTGTTTAAAAAATATCTTATCTTAAATACAGACTTGTTTGTGGTATAAAATATATTTCCAAAACTTAAATATTGGCATAGTTTTTTGAAACAAATTAATCTTAAATAGCTTGCATCTTTACAGAATATTGAAGTATGGATAAGTCTTAAACATAATCATTGAATGTTAGTACACACTATTAATTTGAAGCATATCTTTAAGAATCAACGTTTTAATTTGTAGTTAAAGTGTATTATAACAATCTAATGTCATAATTAGAGCTGATAACCATTGACAACTGATATGTATTTAGCTACTATACAGGATTTAAAATAGCATAACCAATTATAGGTAAACTGACTTAAAATGATTATAATAGATTATAATTATTTTTAGAAAAGTAGTACACATCAATTTCTGTTTTAGAAGCTAGAAGCATAATTGATTTTGATAATATTTAAATTTACTAAATATTTTTAATGTTAAAAGACCTTATAGTTAGATAAAGAGAAAAATCAATTAAAGAATAAATGTTTGCCTATCCAAAAGTTTGTAAGACTAAAAACTATGATATTTATTCTGATATCTTTGACTCTTCATATTTTTAATTATAAAATAGAGGAATTTGGTTTGAAGAAGACAAATCTCTCAACTTTTAAGCAGGCTATTTCAAGTTAAAAAGTGAATTTACTAGCATACCATCTTGATCAATAGCTACTAATTTTAAATCAAATGTCTATTGGAGTTCTAATAAAATGTATTAGCTGCCAATTTTTAATTATTAAATATTATTTGTCATTTATAATTTAGATAATTTATTTTGACTAGGATTCCAACTGAAAACAATACTACTGATATAAAACACTAATGGTAGATTTGTTGTATTTTGAATGATATTTTTACCAAATATTATATTTTAATTGGTTAATTATTGATCTAACTAACTTATCTATGTAAATTTGAAGCTATTAGGGTCTTAAATACTTATCGCTATTAAATTAATCCCTTGTTGGTCAAAGCAATATACAGTTTAATTACGAATATTGCAATCGTTAATAAGTTAATTGAATTAACTAGAAACTAAACTTATCATATTACTTTCATAGTCTAAAATTTATAGATATAAAGTAGAAGCTACTGTGTTTTAAAGTAGCAAAACAGGAAAGAAATTTAGTTCTTCTAGTAAAGTGTAATATTGGTAATTAATAGATTAAAAATAATATATTTTAAGGAGATTTATATTTGAATTGTTAAGTTGATATAAGCAGTACCTTAATATATGATGTTAAATAATTATATATTATTATAAATCATTTGTAGCTTATTTTAAAATTTTTATTATTCTATAATTATACTTAATGCCATAATTTATATTTGATATGTTTCCAATTGGTCCTCCTTTTAATGTAAATTATAAATTTTAGTCTTGAGTGATATCTAAGCTTGAAAATGGGGTTATTGTTTAATTTTACAAAGAGACTTAGTAAAAAGAAATTTAATTATAATTGAATTCTCTTGAAAACATAATTAAATTATCATTTTAATTCCTTACTTATGCTATGTAATTAATTAAATCTGCATTTTGAGGACTTAAGTAAAAATTCTAATAATCATAGAAAATAATTGATGAGTAATCATAAATTATGATGTTTTCTTATGTGATGCATGTAAGTATATTACTTTGTTTATCAAGATTTATAGATTTAATTTATCCGCCAGCTTAAGATTAACTTAGATTTTCTTAAAAGTTGAGATAATGAATTATTTAAGTTTGTGATATTTAAATAAAGAATACATTATCTGCAAATACTATAATAAGTATATCCTTTTAAAAATCTTCAATTATAGTAAATTTAGTTTCCTAGTTATATTATGAAAAAGTTTAGGAGTACTAAGAGATGTCTATTGATATAACCTGGTTAGTAGAAGTTGAATATTAATCGTCAAGATACATTATTTAAATTAATAACTCATAATTAGGTGCCACAATAGCATTAATTGGATGTTCATAATAAGAAAGTTGATCTATTACAATATTCTAGTTTTATCAAATGTTTAATGATTAAATAAAATAAGTGAATTGATAAAAATTGGATAAATAATAAATATTGAGATATTTTGATATTTTTTAAAAATAAGATAAATTTAATTTAACTTATTAATACCATAATTTCTCATTTATTGTGTATTAATCTTAAAAGAGTTTTGTAAATAAAGTTAGCATTAAAAAAATAAACACTAAACAGTTATTTTAATTATTTTAAATATAATATCTCAGAATAATAGGTATTTAAATTTTATATTTAAAATTAAACTTACATCTATGAATGATATAGTTTTAATAAGTTTGAATTATGAACTATAGATCTAGCATTGCAAATAATCTTAATTACATAAAATAATTCTTTAGTAATAGCTATCATAGAATTACTTAATGAATGTTATAGTCTAGAAAACAAGAACAAAGTAATTAAACTGCTTAAAAGATGGTGCTGTATATACCACAGCAATACATGGATTTGTTACTAAGTAAAACAAATTTAATTAATCCAAACTATACAAGCTTACCATGCGATCGTTTCCTAATATACTAGTTGTTAAAAACCAATTAGTTTTATTCTAGCTATAAGAAAAGCTTGCTATTTATGTAGTTTATTTCAACAGAATATTTTTGTTAACTCTGTCAAATGATGAGGTACACTTTAGGATAGGATCATAATCTGAATCTTTAGGCATTTCATACATAAACTAACCAGTAGAAAACTAAAAAACGAACCATTAGCAAAATGAATTTGATATTACTAAAGTATCTTCTTAGAAATCAATAATGAACTGATTAATTTAAGAAGGTATGTTATCAATCATTTATATTATAGATTAGTTCTTATAAATTATGAAGCCATTATCATAATATATTGTTTAATAGTTTCCATAAGATTAAATACCTTGAATATTTATAAGAGTTGGTTAGTTAATTTATGCTAATATATTAACCTATTTTAATAATATTTTATTCTTTTAATAGTTATTTTAATTTATTAAAACTTACATTAAGTTGTGATTTTAAAAAAATTGAGCATAAAAGATTATTATTTTATGGATCCCTTAAAACAAGATATATTTTATCTAGAGGTATATCAATACAAGAGATTAAAGTGATGTAGTTTAGTTTCAAAAGCGATATATAATCAAGATACATTTATCCAGGTACTTTCATTTGAACCTAAGTACTAAAGATATTAATGATTGAAAAATTAGATTAATTTTTAATAGTTAAAAATTATTACCTATTAAATCCTACATTACCAGAAATGTTGCAGATTCCAGAATTATCTTAATCTAGATATAGGGCTCTATTGTCTAAGTAGCTATCAAAAAAATATTAATTCATTTATTATTAACATGATATCAAAGGTAAGTATATCTAAAATACTTATTTAATTTGATTTTAAGATAAAGAATAAACCTTAAAATTTAATCCTTAAAAGAATCCAAACTATTATTTATAATTAAATAACTATTAAATAAAAAATTAAAAAATTAATTTAATTTTTAATTTTTTTAAATTGTTAAAAACAAACCAATTTATTAGAAATAAAATTTTAAAAATACAATTTTTACTCATTCATTAAATTAATTTAGACTACTTTAAAACTTTTGTAAAAATTGTTTTAATTGATTTTTAAAATTTTATTTTATTGAAAAATGACCTTTATTATTGAGAATATTGATTCTATTAAAATACCTGAAAAATAAACAAAAAAGTGCTCAAAATTTTTCTTTTTTACAATAAATAATTAATTTTTCTATTGAAGAAAAAATAATCAAATATTATTTGGAAGTGTGGTTACTTTTTTAATTTAAATAAAAAAAATTACATGAATTTAATCATAAAAAGTTATTATTTAGCGAACTAACTAGGAGCATTTTATAATTGTCTCTGAAGAAGTTGGATAATGCATAATTTGGATTTTTTTTATATCATATGAAGCTAAAATAAACTCACCATAAATAATTTAATAAATAACATTTCCATAGGCAGAGTATTAAACTTACAAGGAATTTAAATTATCATCTATAAAATTTATTTAATTCTATTTAAAGATTACAATTAATTGCTTGTTTTGATAGTAGATAAATTATGAGATAGATTAAATTGTATATTATTTTTATTTAATTATCTTACCTAAAAAATCTATAATAAACATATTATTTATTGTTATGCATATTATATTTTCATTGTTAATTTAATAAGCATAAAGAATATTTTCTGTTTACTGACCATTAAAAAGTAGAAAGTCATATGTTCCCAAATTTATGAAGTCAAAGTATGAAAGTATTGCGTTTGTTTAATCTACGAGACATACAATTTTTTTAACTTAATCAAAAAATCTATAGGCCTAGCTCTGTTATTTAGTTAAAATTAAAAATTATATATATTACTAAATTATTTACAAATGTCAGATCTAACCTGGCAGGTATTTCTTTAATAATTTATCCATTTGATGTGAATGCAACAACTGATTTCCAATTTAGATCATCGAAGTTGTAGACATAAAAATTTTCTTCGCTATCAAAAAATGGAATACCATTTGAAAATGCTCTTGGCATAACTACTTAAGTTATAAACTCTGATTCATTCTCAGGGTCTTTTGTAAAATCTATTATAAAAACTCCTCCAAAATAAAAAAGATATATTCTATTTGTTTATTTATTTTGCAAAGGATAATATGAATAAATTTAACTAGTGCTCATAATTATATCTCCATTTCTCATGTCTCTCAATTAATAGCTTTATTGAAATCCTTGCAATGCATATTTTTTTCCTTAAGAATCAAAAATATTTGAACCATAATCTCCCATATGATAATTTGGAGTTTTTTATGTCTTGCAAAGAGTTTATTTATCTATTTTAAAGCTTTAGTTATCGTTCAAGATTACTTAAGCAATATTGTTCTCATCAGTAGTAATAACAATATCTCTATCCACAATATGGATACTATAAAAATATGAATTGAAAAAGTATTTCTTGATTGTTAGCAGATTCAAATCTTATTTGAAAATGTAATTAGATTAGAACGAATTGGCATAATATATATTATCTCCTAGTATTTAATTAAATATCATTTGAGTATTTTACTAAAAGCTTACTATTTCGCTAATTTAACTATCGCCGTTATTTTAAGTAATGTTAAATAATTTATAGGATAAATTATTATAAGAAACTTAATAATTCTGTAAAATAAACATTAGTTTAGTCTCAGAAGACAGGAAGCTTACAAAATAATTGTCTGTATCCATATTTTAGATTATAAATTCTTAACAGCTTTAAACATATTTTTCATTTAAGATTAGAATAGCATAGTTATTTGCTCCTGTTAAGATGTATATTTTTTCAGTGACTCTGGATATTGCATTATATTAGTTATAAAAATAACATATGGCTTATAATTGTTTATATAGAACTCCATTTTAAGTTTTACCACTGCTATCGATCCATTTTTCTTATAAAAAAAATATTATTAAATAAATTATAAAAATATATTTAAATATACCTGCTGATTTGTATATTAAAATCTCTTAACTAAATTATACAATACATATATAGTAACTACTATCTGCTTGAAACTGTATAAAGCTTTTAGACCAATCCAAGGAATAGTTCTTATTAAAGATATTTGTTACTTCAAAAAAAAGTACATCTTATTCACTTTGTACACAAATATAATCAGTTCCATTATAAGAAACAAAATCAAATAAATACAAAAAGCCATTAGATGACTATTATAAAGTATGTATTTCTTGTATTTGTGGTGATTTCAGGTCAAATGCCTAAATATATTTAGGGTACACACAAAGATAGAATTACTCTTTTTAAAAAATAAATAGTTTTAATCGTAAAAAAAATTTAGATTAAAAAAGATAAATATTTTATTTTGATTTAAATATTTTCTATTTATAAATTTTAATTTTTGATGATAACTTTACTCTCTCTTTTTAAAAAAGAAAATTTTAAAATAAATAATTTGAAAGTAAGGTTTATTTTTCCAAATCAAAATTTATTAAAAAATATATTATTTGTAAATAAATTTTATATATATTCACTATTTTTATTGTATTCAGATTCAAAAATCATATTTTATTTAGCTGATTTATTGAAGTAAATTATTTAAAAAATTACTTATGAAAATTTTATTTTAAATATTTAGCTAGAATTCAAACGAAATAATAAGGATAATCGAATTAAAAATTAAATCTTTTTTATAAAATTTTTAAATTAAATTACTTTGAGATAATTTGCAAAACAATGAGTTATCAGGATTATTTAAAGTTGGTTGAATCTCTGAAAGGAAACTAATTACTGGTGTTAAATATCTCCAAAACTTGATATTTCCAATATTATCGTAAGTGACCATTATTTCTTGTTAGTTGTTATCAATATATTTTTCAATTGATAAAATCGTCTATTTGTATATTACTTAGTATTTGTGACAATAATTGCTTTCAGAGTATTATATAGGGCATTTGTTTACTGTTTAGCATGTTGAAAACTAGTCATTTTTTATTTATCCTAATCTGCACTAAAAGGTACACTGGCTATTTTAAATGAGAAATTGCGACTAGCCTAAACAATTAGAGACACATATTCCATCTTTTAGCTAAAAATTTTCTTTACATACTTAGCAAGTATTTTAAGTAGCGCACATAAGACATCCTTCTAATTAGCACTACTAGCACTGGTTTTATTATGGGTCAAAATAATATTCACAGTTACTTAGACAGCTTCTATAATCTTCACTTAGATAATAAGTAGTTTAGCATTGTTAACAAGTTTAATATTATTCTGAATATAAGTTAGAAGAAGGATTTAATCCTACTTAGCAACTTTCGCAATTTTAAGAGCACTTAAAACATTAATTTTAGTAAGGATCAAATCCCTATCCTTAAGGGCAACCTTAATCACTTGAAAATACCAAGCTCAAGGAAATTAATAGCTATTTAAGATATGTATATTTTATCATTTTTAGTTTTTTTCTTACTTAAATTTTTGTTTAATTATTTATTTATTATTTCTTTAATTAATTTTCTACTTTTTTTAAACAGAAAATGTTCGTTAAATAAATTGAATTCTGTTTATTTAAATAAAAAAATTCTTTCGTTGAAATTAAGTAAAAATAAATGCAAAGTAGAAAGTTAAAATCAACTTTTTTGTTTAAATGTTATGAATTTAGCATGATGAATTTCTTTTTATAAATCTATTATTTTTTTTGGTTTAATTCAAATAAATAAAAAAGTTTACTTGCTAAAATCAAATTTAAAGGTCATTATATTATTGAGTGTTAAATAATGAGTATTTAACATACAAATGCTAATTTCATTATTAAAATAATTCTCATTTATTATTTTGCTATAGTTTGTATAGTTTTAAGTATTTTTAAATTATTTTAGCAACCTTATTATATAATATAAATCTTCATTAAACAAGATCTGAAAGTAAAGCAGTCATTTTTTCAACTGATGATTTTTTAATTTTTTTATAAAAATGAAAATATGATTTTATTAATATTCTAACTGAATATTATAAGGTATATATTTATTTAAAATAAAAGAGTAAAATAAGATATTTTTAAATAAAATGCAAGAGATTTTTAGTTTTATTGATTTATGTTTAGAGACTATATTACCATTTGAATTATTTAACAACAAATAAAATAAGAATCAATTTTTTATTTTCTTTACAAATCAAAAATAAATAATGTATGTATCTCTCAGTTTTAAATTTTACTGGATAAATAAATTTAATGTAAATTAAATAAACATCAATTTTTAATCTTAGTCTTGATCTATCTCTGTATCTCTGTTCCTTAATTTCATTCAAAAGTAAATGAAATAAATTGAGTGTCTAAATATTTTTTAAATTTAGAATGATAGATTGCAATTAGTATTTTAAATATATTTTATTCTTTCTTTTATAAAATAATTGTTAGCTTTATTCTTTATTTGAAAAAATTGCTATTTTATTAATTCTTTGTTTTATGTTTTTTTATTATCTGTAATTATTTGTTTATTAACAAAACCCTTTTTGTTTTAGATTATACTGGATTTGATTAATCACAAGAATTAAGAAAATAAAATAGAAGAAGTAGAAGAAACAAAAATTGAATGATTATTTTAAATTTCCTTTTTTTCAAAGTTATTAATTTAATTTTCTTTTTGTTCAAAAAGCTAAAAGCTGAAAAATAATAAAAGCAATATAATTAGTATAGAAGAACTCTTAAATAATAGTAAATACTTATATAAAATAAAGCTATTATCGATATGTAATTAGATAAATAATTTAATTTAAAATATTTGGACATTTTAATTATTATATCTTTTTAATTCATAATCTTCTTAGTACATTACTTTTTTCAAACAACATAAATTCAAAAATCTAGTTAAATCAAAAACTATAAAAGAAATAAAATAATTATTTTAAGTTGATTTTTTAGTATTTTGTGGCATGGATTTTTAAAAATAAAATAGTATAACTTTGGTTAAAAATTTGAAGAAAAATAATAAAACTTAGCTTCTCAAGATAATGAAATAATATCATGAAAACTTCCTATGTAATTTAGCTTTTATTTCAATTTTTATTTTTCAGTTGATTGACTGGTTAGATTTTTAAATAACTCATTTGACTGTAAATAAAAATAATAGTTAAATAAATTTTGTCACAATCATGAATTTTTGAAAGAAAAAAAGTTTTTTCACATAATTAATATAATTATATTTAAATACAAAAAGAAGCTCTTGTTTTGCAGCTATTACAATAATATCTTAAAGAGAAAAAATAAATAATTGATTGACATTTAAATATGCTCCATATTACAAATACTAATGGGTTAAATAAGTTGTAAATTTTAAAAAAATTATTTTTAGCTCCTTACAAAATAATTTTTATGAACCTAAAATACATACTTATGCTCATATTAATTGGCTCTTTAAGTAATTAGCTTCTCTTTTCATATTCGCAATTCACTTTTCCAGCCTAAATCTTTTTGATAGTCATAATAGCGACTAGCTTTCCAATTTTAATTTCATCGATAATAAGTGACTTTTTGAGACCACTTCATTCTTGAATCAATACTAATCCAGATTAGATCCTTATTATTTCTTCATATAACCTGTTAATTCAGGTCTACCTTCAACTGACTTTAAATTTCTCTCATCATCTTTTAGATTTCTTAATATTTAAAAAAATTATTTTTCAATAAATTTAGGTCTTAAATAATGAGGGATTAAAGTAGATTTAATTCATTATTTTCATTAATATGTCTTGCTCCATTCATTTTTTTAAGAAATTTGATAATTTACTATTTATTACTTTTTGAATTATTTTTGTTATTTTTTTGTGCTTAATTATTTAAGATAATCTTATCATTGCCTTAAATTTTATTTCATATAATTTAATGGGGAAATTTAAAAAAGATAAGATTAGATGGAGAAAGAAAAATTTAAGGTTTATTTCAGTTTGAACATAATTAATTGACTTTTCTATTCAAAAAGTTGTTGTATAATAGTAAAAGCAAAATTATTAGTATAAAGCGACACTCTAGGAATAATAAATTTACTTTTAAAATATAAATAAATGTAAATTTAATTTAAATGATATTATTTAATTTTTTAATTGATAATTCTATTGTTTAACATTCTTTCTTAATGCAAATATCTACTTAAAAAAATTTTTAAATTAATCTTAATGACTTATAAATAAAATAAAATGCTTTCTTTTAATAAGTTTTTAAAAACTTATCAGCATAAATAAATTTAAAGTAGAATGAAATATTGAAACCTTAAATTAAAGTAAAGTATTAAAAGTAAATGAATAATATTAATTTTTTTTGATGACTGATTGAGTTTTTAATCACATCTACCCACAATCTATTATAAATGTAAATTTAAATTAAATAAAATTACTGATAATCTTAATTTTCTGAAAGAATTATTTTAGTTTTTCTTCATAATATTATGTATGCAAAAATAAAAAAAGACTATCAATTATTTTAACAATTTTGGTTAACACCTTAAAGAAAAAAAACTAAATAATGAATGATATTTGAATATTATATATCTTTAAAATTTCAAACACAGTTTGTATATATTTAATTTTTTTGTAGATTTTTAAAAAGATTTGTATAACTAAGTTAAAAATTTTCTCAGAACTAAAGTTAAAATCTTATTAATTGTAAAATTTTAAATTCAAAAAAATCACCATTATAAAAATATAAAATACATCAACAAATAAATATTTTATTTATTAATATTATTTTCTTCATTATAATATATTTTTAAAGAAATTAGTAACTTCTAAAAGAGCTTTTTAAGCTACTTCTGGGTTGTAATGACTTGAATTTTAATTCATGAATGCATGCTCAGCTCCTTTCCAAACGCTTTTTACATATTTATAAAAAATTTAATATTTTCAATAAATAAAAAATATTATTATTTTTTTGTTGATTACATTGCATTAAAATCTACTCCAGCTTTCTTTGCTTCAACTTCTAATTTTTTAGCAGTTTCAGGATCAGACATTCCTTTAATCTAATCTAACTCTCCAAAATGACCTTAAACAGGAACTTTTATTTTCTATATTGGGTATTTTGTTTAGTCAGGAATACCATAAAAAGGAGCACCTGCACTAAAGATGCCATCAGTTGCTGAAAGAGCAGCAAATGTGAGAGCACCACCTAAACAAAATCCTAAAATACCTACCTTTGTGCATCCTAATTAATTCTTTAAGTAATTGGCAGCTCCTTTCATATCTTAAATTGCACCACTCCAGTCTAAATCTTTAAAGTAGTGACCAGCTTCCTTTTAAAAATTTAAGTAATATAAAAATTAAAATTATTGTAAATACTTATAAATTAATTATCTTACTTCTCTATTTTTAGCAACAGCTCCTCTATAGACATCAGGGACTAAAACATTAAATCCCTAAGCAGCAACCTTATCAGCTGTGATAGTAAGCGACTAGTTAAGACCCCACCACTCTTGAATTAAAACTAATCCAAGTTTAGATCCTTCATATTTCTTTAAATAGCCTAATCCTTCTGGTCTACCTTCAACTAAAAACTTTAAATTTCTCTCACCTTCAGTAAGTATTTCAACAGAGAGCTTATCTTCCATTTTAATTTATCTTTGATAGTTTTTATTTATTATTTTTTAGATATTAAATTTTTTTTATTTTTTTATTTATGAACATATTTCTAAATATTTATCACGTATTTAAATTGATGCTTATTTTATTGTGATATTACTTTTTAAGAAATAGATAATTATTTCCAATAATAAAATTAATCAGATTAGTTTAGAAAATTTAAAGACTAAATTTTGATGTAAAAATTAAGATGTAAAAAAATATTCTATAATTAGTCCTTGCAATAAAATAATTCTTTAATAGAATTTTTAAGCAAATAATAGCTAATTTGAAAACTTTTTTGATATTTTTGAAATATTTTATTGTTGAAAATAATTGTATTTTAGTTTTTGCGTTTAAAATAAGTGCACCACAAAAATGTATCTAAAAGTGAACCATAAAAAATGTATCAATAAGATCTAATAAATTTTATTTAAAATATAAAATTTTTTTTTTGAAAATTTAATTTCTGTTTAATCCATTTATTTGATAAAATTTCTAGAAAAATTCGATAAAAAATGAAGATAGATATTTATTTTTGCTAAATAAATTTATAAATAAAATAATTTTTTAGAGACTTATCAAAAAATAAATCTAATTTGTAATTTTTTTTAATATCTTTAAATGTTTTTTTGTTGAAAATAATCTTCTTTTAGTTTTTGGAATTAAAGAAAGATCACCGCGATAAAAATGTCAATAAGATCTAATAAATTTTATTTAAAATATAAAAATTTTTATTCGAAGTGTAATTTCTGTTAAATCCTTGAATTGACAAAAATTAATTTCTTGAATAATTCAAAAAAAAATTAACATATCTTTTTTTAATAATAAATACTTTTTAATTAATTTTATTCTGATATATTTTGTCAAATTAAATAACTAAATTTTTTTTCTTTTTAATTTCTGATAAATTATGAAATTTCAGTGATAAAAAATTTAGATTATTAAATTTACTTTTAGCTGTATCTTATGAGCTAAAAAATAAAGTTTTGAAAATATTTGATTAAATTTATTTAATGAGCTTATAAAAATTATAAAATACAAAAATTTATATGTAAAGATATGACTGAAATGTTAAAATAAAAAGCAGATATATAGTTAAATAAATTTCTAATATAAAAATTAACAATTTTCTGTAATTTAGAATAGAATTATAAATATATATTTTAATTTAAATAATTTATATGAACAAATCATTCACAATGTAAGTCCATTAGAGTAAATAGAGGTGAGTACTGAATATAAGGAATAACTTCATTGATTAATGCCAAAATAGTTAAAAGCTACCTTTCTCTATATAAACACAATTCTTTATGCAATTGCAAAGGATTTTCTTTATCAATCAACGAAGAGTCACCAAATTTAATCAAATAATTATTTTCATAAATTAACTTTAATATTTCGTATTACAATTTGTATGGTCTATTAATTTTTTTTTTAATAAATCTAAATAGATATATGTTTATAAATAAATAAATTACTTAGGTTAGTTTTATGAGCTACTATAAAGACGACTTAAGTATTACAATGAAACTAGTTATGTTTAAATTTCTAATATCTATTTGATTTGACCAAAGCTCAAATAACTTCTTGTATTAATTCTATCAAAATTTTTCCTTAAATAAATATAAATTAAAATTAATTTTACACATCAAACTATCTCCCATCTTCTTTTAATTTTAGAATTGCCTTGTTAATACTGATATTCAAATTAATTAAATTTAAAAAAGTAAAACAATGTTTACTCTGAGGGGAAAATATCTAAATTTTTAATATTTTTAGAATTCAATATAAACTCAAAAGATGAACAACTATCAGATTTATTTATACCAAATTCTGTAAAAAACTATTAATTGCTAGTTTATTTGATAAAAATTATTAATTTACTACAAATAATTTTTAAGTTTACATAAATTCTAGATGTTTTAAATTTTAAGAACCTTTCCAATGTTCGAAGAAGCCCTCTTTTGATAGATTTTCATTATTAGTAATAGCAAAATACTCAATCGACTTATTAATTTAAAGAGATTTTGCCAATTATTACAAATCACCTGATATATTCATTTTAAACTGTAAACTAACCTTCTTTATCTATTCAGAATGCTCAATAAATTTTGATAAAGATGTTAGTTATGGAAGCCAGTCTAATTTTATTAAAAAAAAAGCAATTAAACTTAAAAAAAAACTTTAAATAAAAATTACATCCTTAAATTTTGATTTCCTTTAAATTGGATTTAATTGAAATATTAGATAAAAGGCTCTCAGAATTATTAAATACGTACATTCTAATTTTATTAAAATTTAAATTAAAAAATATAAAGTTAGATAATAATGAAGCAACGATTGAAGAAGATTGAAGCTTTCAATGTGCTAATTTGATTGGAGTATACTATTTATGCTATTAATGTTAGAAGAGTCCAACTATAAGTTACTGTTTTAATTAAATAATATTAACTTAGCATTTTAAAATTAATGATTAATTTTTATAATAAATATGTTATAAATAATTAATTAATTACCTTATATTCAATTTAAGATTTTTTATACTTTTATTTTTTGCTATTCCTAACATCATTTAATCAAGATATTTGGATCCTTGACCGCTATAAAAGAAGAAGAAAAATAATCAAATCAAAAAATAAATTGTAAGCTAATAAAATACTCAATAAAAACTTTGAAAGTACTAATGGAAGTGTTTTTTTAAATTCCTTGCTAGAAGTAAGACAAACACTCTTTTTTGTATTCAGCAGCTCTTTAAACGGTTATTAATAAAATATAAATGAATTAATCAATATTATATATAGGATTATCTAATTAATCTTTACCTTAAATTTAAAACAAATTTTTGTAATATTTAGTTTTTAAACAAATTCTTTCCAATTGTCTAAATAGCATAATTGTTATCAATTCTAGATCTATTTTTTATAATATTCTATGTACCTCTAAATAATATCATATTAAATACCTTTAAAAACTAATCCTTAGCTATTTAATGCTTTTATTCTTAGTAAATAAATTTTAAAAATCTATTTATCCTATTATTGTGTTTCTTGATAAAAAGAAATTAAATAAATATAAATTAATTAATTAATAATTTAAAAATTAAGTTACTCGAATAATAGCTACACTTTTTCAACAACTTAATGTTACCCTATACCATTTATTATTGATTATAATGTCTTAACATCTGAATTAGTGCAGTTTTAACTTAATTCAAACTTAAAGAATTTTATTGATTTGTTAGCAGCTAACCCTTGCTCTATAAACTATGATTTATTTATTTTCCTATAAAAAGTATTGATGTGTTAAGCTTGATAAAAATATAAATACTTTACCCTGTTATGATTTCTAAGTGCTTTAAATTTGGTGCATTTTATAAATATTCTTTTAAGGATTTTAGAGAGTCTGCTTCTATTACACTATAAATGGAAAATAAAATTATAAACCTAAATTTATAAATAAATACTCAAAGCTTATGATAAGATTCTCGAGAAAGCTAGAATTTTGTTAAGGATTGAGTATATTGTTGATCATCAAATACTCTACATTGAAATTTTTATTAACATCTTCTAAATACAAAGATTTTATGTATTTATTTTCTGAAAAACCTTTCCTTATCACATCCCAGCAAACTGGGCAAATGCACCCTCTTATAAAATTATATTTTTAATCCTAATTTAATTGGAAATAAATGTTACATGTCATCGTAAGCTATATGGCCACTTAAAGATTTTGAACTTTCATACATATCATCACTTTGAGAGCATTTAGACTAAATAAAAAAGTAATTATAAACTATGTTCGAGTACTAGAAATTTTAACTTTATCTAGCCTGATTGGACAATCAGGAGGATTCATATAATTGAATGATATTGTTTTTTCAGTCTCAATCAATAGAAATATCCTTCTTTAACCTAAATAGAACATGCTTCTTTCTAATTTAATAATTTTTCCAAAACGTAGAACTAATTAATTACTACTTTAAATTTCTGAAGAATAATTAAATTTCAAGTAAAGCCCGGTTAATAATCATTCAAAAGTATTTTCCTAATTAAAATCTAAATTTTAACAAGATATATTGATATTTATTCAGCTTACTTAAAAATAAAATGATTTCAAGTGTTCATAAAATAGAATAATTAAATTTTGTTGATTTTACATAATATACTATTCCATTTATTATTCTACTATAAGACCTATAAAAATAAATCGGTTAACATACATTTAATTTATTTGTGTATCTTTTAATACTTAACATATCTAATACCTCAATCTCATTTTTTTTAAAAATGTTAATTAATTTTGTTTTTCTTTTTATGTTACCCTATATACATGGAATAGGGATTTTATATTTTTTAAAAAGATATTTTGATTATTCATAAATATAATAGAGCTATTTATAACAATGTTCTAATATTTAGGAAAACTAAATTTATAGAAGTTTAAAAATTTCAGATAAATTAATTGCAAAGACATATAAATATTATTGCATTTATAAAAATAATTTAAAAACACAAATAGTAAACAGAATATTATCAATTGTACCAACACATATGAATATATTTTAGATTCATGATTATCTATTTTTTTTTTTTTTGAGGAGAATTACAAGTATGATAAAGAAGAAGTTAGTGAATAAATTAATGATACTTGTAGTAAAATAATTAAAGAGTTTAAGAATATTTTTTAAATTTACTTTTTGAATTAATTCTTCCTCATTTTCTGTCTTTTCCTATTTATTAAATGCTCTATTTTACAAAAAAAGAATTAAAATAAAATAATTAACATTATAGTTTAGTTATTGAATTCATATAAATTTTAATAAACAACTTTTCTTAGTTAAATTAAAAATTAATTTTAAAACTAAACTTAAATATTTTTTGTTGAAAAATTTCAAAAAATAAATATAATTTACATATATTTATGAATATAATTAATAAATTTGTGATTAACCAAATCTAATCATCTTTTATAATAATTTTTATGCAAATTACAAACATGTACGAGTATTTTTTAAATAATTAAATTTAAATCAAAGTTTTTAAGCTATAGGATGGTGTGTATGACTATGATCATGGTCAGTATAAACTTAATGAGCATGTTAGTCATCTAAAATTATATGCTCTTTTTTCTTTTTCATATATAAAAGAGTTGTTGAGAGATAAATAATTATTCCAAAAATAATTGTAAGCGATCCTACTAGTATATCCACAGGAGAATCATTAATACTTAAGTCATCAATTTTACAAACGATATTAGAATAATCTACTTATCCATTCTACTAGACTAACACTCCTTTTACACTACCTCCAGAATAATTCACAGAATAATTTTATAAATCAAAGCTAAAAGAACTGATTTAAATTTGATTAAGACTAAATCCTCCGATTCCATAAATAGAAGTATAGTGCTTTGTAGTAAATGTATCAAAATCTCCGTGTATTTAAGATACAATATCTGAAGAGCTTGGATGAGAAATGCTAACTAACGAGCAATTATCTTTACTAGAAACTAATATCTTGCCATAAACTTTATTAATTTACTACAAATTATCTCCTGCCAATACAGCTTATATAATACTTGCATTTTAGACGATTTTTACATTTAATTAAATATTTGATGAAGAAGTTATAGAAAAACCTGAAGCTAAAAAGCTGGTAGCTAAGTTAGATAAAGCACCTAAGCTTGATATGCCTAATTATGTTCCATTTGATGCTAAATATTCTAATTGCTTGTATTTTTGACCTTCTTACTGATCAGAGTCGTACTAAAAATCAAACAAGTAAACACTAATTATAAAATTGATATATAAATAATCTAAAAAATACAATGATTAATGCTAAATTTAAATAAATAAAATTATATTATAGATTTGAAGTATTTCATTATATTTTATATTTACTCATCAGATTTAAAGCATGTCCATCTCACTGTTAAACTAGATATACGAGTAGGAGAGTTATATGTATCGTAAACAACATAAAATGAATCATTTGTAATAAATGTTGCATATGTTTGAATCGCAATACCCTTATCTGAAACCTAATCACTTCCAATATGGACTATCTAGGTGAAACATTTAATAGGATTTTTAGGATTAGGAGAGTTTATAGATGTGTCTAAATCATTTTTATTTGCGTCGAAATGAGAGTTAAAAAATACTTACTTATATAACTTTATAACTTGATCATGAGAGTCTAGAAATTAAATTTCTCCTTCCTAAGAAGAAATAATTGCTGAAGATACGGAAGAAATAGTAGTAAATGAAAAAATCAAAGCCGTGCAGAGGCTAATTTATATTTGGTTTCTCATACTTAAAGCAGTCAGTAATTTTATTAGTTGAAAATAACACTGTTTAAATAACTTTAAAATATTTACTTATGTTTTATAATCTATTACGTATTCTTTAACTTTTTGCTTGTTAAATATTGTTTATTATTAAATTTCAACTTTTGCTGACTTTATTTAATCTATCAACTTAGTTAATTTCGATTACAAAATTAAATGAATAAATATACCTTTTTAAGCCACAAATAGTTATTTGAAGTACTACACACAACTGATTTAGATTTTTATTTATTTATTTACTTTCTAGCTTTGGATTGAAAATATCTTCACCAAACTTAAATTTATGTTAAAAATATTTAAATTTTTATTTAGAAAAGTATTTAATAAAATTTAAAAAAAAATAAAAATTTAGTTTTACTAAAATATTTCTTTAAAATAGTATTAATTTAAAAAAGAATATTATTTTAAAAAAAGTATGTATATCACAATAAAGAAATCTAACTAACTCTCTTTTTATGTTCTATCTTATTGAAAATCATTAATTGCATAGCTTTAGCTCTATAAAAATATAATAATATCCTGTCGTAATAAATTAAAGTAAGTAAGTTTTTAATACAATTGATTGACAAAAAAAATAAATATCAAAAATATTTTTAATTTTATCCAAAAATTTGAGAATAATTAGAATTTTTTGTTTAATTTTAAAAGTTTTTTATTTTTTTAAAATATTGTTTAAAACAATTTGTCATAAAATTTTTGAATTATTTGAAGAAAAGAAAAATAATAAATATATTTAAATAATAGAAATAAAAAATGTTTTCTTCTAACAAATTTTTTAATTTGTTTTCATTAGGATATTCTAATAACTAATAGTAAAAAATATCAAAATTTTAGATATCCAAGCTGTTTTAATTGAAGATTATAAAAATTTAGATTTAATTAGCTCAGGAAAAGTGAGAAAGAGTTAAGATTAATAGAATTTTTTTCAAATTTTAAAAAATAAGATATTAAATACTCAATAAGATGCTTTATCTAAGATAAAAACTAAACATTTAGTTGAAATTCGATTCAACTATTAATGAAATAAATTAAATTGTCTAAGAGTTTTCTCAAAAAAATGATATGAGTCAGAGAGCTTTATGCTGCTTACTGGGATCTTATGCAGGAGATAACTTGGGTAACTATAATGAATTCTGGACAAAAATTAATAAAGGATAGATTGAAGAAGCACTTTAGATGAATGGAAAAGGAACCCACGGTTTACTACCTGGATAAAGTACTGATGACACAGAGCTTGCAACTTCGCTAGGGTTTGGTTTGGTAGAAAGCCTAAATAAAGGAGTTATGAACTTAGACATGATAGCAAAATATTATACTTGTTGGTATAATTCCTAGCCTTTTGATATAGGAACTACTACACGCTAAGCTTTTTAGTCATTAAGTGGAGAGAATGTTAACTATCAAACTAATTATATGGATTATATTTATAATAACTATGCTTTAGAAATGAAAACTTGTGCTTATAATAATAACCAACAATCTCAAAGTAATGGGGGTTTAATGAGGATAGCACCATTAATTGTTTATTTGAGTCATTTAGATAACCAAGAAATAATTAAAAAAGCAGTATATGAAGAATAAAGTTTAACTCACCCCAATCACACAAGTTTAGAATGCTCTTACATTTTTGTAAGAGCTTGTATTCAATTAATACAAACAGGAGATGCTAAGTAAACCTTTAATGCTATCAATCAGTATGTATAAAATGAATGCAGTGATGAAAAAATATAATTTTATTGGAATAATCATGTTCTTTAAGGAGAGCTAACTAATGCTATTGAATCACAAGGATTCATAATACATGCATTTACGATGGCTTTTATTTTTCTTAGATAAATTTCTTAATTAAGTTTGAGTGATTTAAATAAATGGAAATCTAGATTTTTTGAAGATTTTATTAGAATAGTGATTGAATAATGTGGTGATAGCGACACAAATGCAGCAATATGTGGGACTATGTTAGGATCACTACTTAAGTTAAATGAATTTCCTTAAGATTATTTGTTTAAGATTATCAAATGTGATTTATAGAATAGATAATAACCATTACTCAAGCATGCCAGACCTCCAATTTACAATCCTAGAAATTGCATTTATCTTTGCAAGCTATTGCTAGTGTTAGGACCAGATTCGGAGCATAATCTTCTAATCTACCCTTAAAATATAGATGAATTAAAAAAGGGTAGAAAAATAAATTAATAATAAAACAAATTTTAATAAGAAATAATAGTGCAAAAGCAAAAAGAGAAGTTATAATAGCTAAATGTACAAGAAATTAATATTAATGAAGCTAAGGTTTAAAAGTAAAATTAAAATGAAAAAGGATTTAATTATGACTTAAAACGATAAGATGATAAATTAAATTAGATTGATTTTGAGAATCTTAATTAACATAAAGAACAAAATGTGAAAAATAATTATCAACAACAAAAACAATAATAACAATAAAATCAAACTTTTCCTCAAAGTAGAAAGACAAATTTCTAAAATGGATAATTTCAGAATAATTAAAATAGTTAGTAGGAAGAAAAAAATTAATTTGTTGATAATTACAATTAAAATAACAATTCTTTAAATAATTATGAAGAAATTAATAAAAATTATGCCAATAATGAACATAATAATTAAGCAATCATAAATCAACAAAAATAAATATATAATATGTAAGAATTAAATAAGAATACAAATTAAACCAACTACCTTATTAATAATCTTAAGAAAACAGAATAAAATGATAATAAACTTAATTCCAGAGATTTTGCTAAAGTAGATGATAGTAAAATTATCCAGTAATAATAAGAAATATATCAAAAGCTCATGGAATAAAGTAATTTAATTCCATCATATAATAAAAATAATGAACCTCAACAACAGCTCGAATAATAAAATAAAAAATAAAATTAAAGTTAAGAAAGAGCAAGAATGTATAGTTTATAGCAAAATAGTTATACTTCTAGTTATCCAACACAGTAAAAGGTTTTTTTAGTTGATAATAATAACTAACAGGTAAAAAATGGTTAAATAATAGAACAACAAGCAATATAATATAATCAATAGACTTTAAATGTAAGATCAAACAATTTTGAAGCTTAGAAAGGTATCAAAATTTAATAAAGTAAATCTCCTATACCTATTGGTTACTAGCACTTTAAAGCTAAATGATTAAATTTTTAATTAATAAATTAATTTATTATGATGAAATTATTGTACGAAATTGATTGATATTGCATTTTTTTAAAAAAAATAAAATATAAATAAATAAATAAATAAATAAATAAATAAATAAGTAAGTCTCTATATTTATTTATATACGTAATAAACAAGCACTTAAATTAAAATCATAATTTTCTTAAAAACCTATTTATATTTTAAATTAAAAAAATTTATTTTAGAAAATAATTAGCATTGTTAATAATAAGTTTGAAATTTAATTAAATTAAAGTTTTTTAAATTATATTTTAGTCATTCATTTTTTTATAAATACTTCAAATTATTTAATTTTCAGTATTATAAATATTTTGCTTCTAAACTTTTACTATTTAAAAATAAATATTAACTTAAAAATTAAATCAAGATAAAAATGCTTGAAAGCAAAAAAAAACCACATATATTTTTTTATTTTTATTATTGTGTTAAATATCTCTAAATAAATAAATAAATGATTGATTTATTGATGAAGTATTTCTTTTGGAAAATAAAAACTAAAATTTAAAATATATTTATATTTGACTAATATGAAAGTTAACAGTTATTAAAATTATAATTAAATAAATCTGCTTTTATTTATATATAATAAATTCTCTTAACACAAATCAAGGAGCAATTCTTTTAGGATCTCTGGGGAATAAGCAACCGTTTCTAATATCGTAAAGGTCGCAGTAGAGGAAAACAACTCTTTCAAGACCAATACCACAACCACCATGAGGATAAGCACCGAAAGCCATAGATTCAATATAATCTTTAATAGTTTCTACATTGATACCACATTCAGCAGCACGCTTAGCGAGAGAAACGGGGTCGTGATTTCTTTAGGCACCTGAGGTGATTTCTTAACCTCTCATGAAGAAATCGTAAGAAAGAGTGTAGTTAGGATCATCGTGGCAAAGCATGGTGTAGAAAGGTCTAGCAGAGATAGGATATCTATGGAGCATATAGAAATCAGTATCATACTTTTCACGGACGATGTCACCAAGCTTCTTTTCAGTAACAGTATCTAAATCTTCTAAGGGGTTTTATTCAATACCAGCTTCTTTTAAGAGTTTGCAACCTTCTTCGAAAGTGAGTTTAACAACAGGGGTTTTAATTTTGAAAGGTTCGAAGGGGAATTATTATTAAATAGCTTCGATTTCCTTGCTGTATTTGGTTTCTAAGCCCTTGAAGATGTGGACGAATAAATCACCCATAAGATCAAGAAGCTCATGGTAGTTTTCTTTAATGGACATTTCAATATCCAAACCAGTGAATTCACACATGTGACGATGGGTGAATGATTTTTCAGCTCTGAAAACGGGACCTATTTCGAAGACTCTTTCGAAGTCAGATTAGATACACATTTACTTGTAGAGTTAAGGAGATTAAGCAAGACAAGCATCCTTATCGAAATACTTCAACTTGAAGATGTTAGCACCACCTTCAGAAGAACCACCAATAAGCTTAGGAGTGTGAATTTCAACGAAATCTTATGAAAGTAAGTATTCACGGAATAATTGGCAGATACCAGATTGTAATCTGAAAATAGCTTGCTTGGCAGGAGTTCTTAAATCAATAATTCTGTTATCTAAACGAGTTTTAATGGAGACACTGGCTTAATTATCCTTAGATTCTTCAATATCACCTTCATTGTTATTGTATTCAGCTAATTGTTCTTCCTTCTTTTATTATCTAGCAGCATCTTCTAATTGGAAAGGAAGTTGAGCTCTTGAACGAGAGACAACATAAACCTTGTTGACAATCAATTCAAGTTTGCATGAAGTACTCTTAATTTCAGTTTCAGGCTTAGAGACAACACCGTAAACATCAACGATAGATTCACAAGGAACCTTACCAACCCATTTAACCATGGTCTTAGAAACAGTGACGTCGTTCTTAGAGATCATAGCTTGGATGGTAGAAAATTGTTATCTCAAAACTAAGAAACCGACATTACCCTTAACTCTAGAATTTTGGAGTCTTGCTCTGATCAAGACGGTTTAACCGACCATTGATTCATCAATACTCAAAACCTATTCATTATAGAAATAAAAGTTATTAATAAAATGATAAAATGTTTGCATTTATAGATTAGTTTCTAAAATTTCTTGATGCATTTCTATTTTTTATTACTCATTTGATTGTATTTCTCTTTTTTATGTTTATGCTTGTGGCGCTACAAAAGAAGATACAAAAACTTGAACTTTTGTTGTTGAAAATGAGCTTTTAAAAATATGAAATAAAGTAATAAGGAATGAGTAAATACCTAAATCCACTTTCTGTCAGTCTTTTCTTGACTTTGAACAAGGATATAATCTCCGTAGTTTTCCTTAAGAGTATCTTCCTTGAGTTCCTTAAGCCAATTTTCCTCCTATTCCTTCAATTAGGCGGCTTCTCTTTCTAATCTCTTTCTTTCCTTTTCTTGTTCCTTTTCAAGCTTCTTTTGAGCTTTCTTAGAAGCATTTTCACCACCTTCCTTAGCAGCTCCTTCAACAGGGACAGTTTCTTCTTGTTTTTCAACAACGGGGGTTTCAACTTTATCAGCCATTTCTAAATGATTTTTATTTGAATTTATTTTCTTAGATGAAAATGTAAAAGACAATTTTTAATTAATTTATTAATTATAAATATTTTGATTTAAAGATTTTTGGAAATTATTTATATTAGTCATTCTGCCAAAAGATAGCGCATGAAATAATTATTAGCGTGGATTAGATTTAATTAATAAATTTCTTAAGCTTTGCATCATTATTTTAATATTTTGAGTTATAATAATATCTAATATCTTATTCTTTAATTCTATTGATTGATTAATTTTATTAAGACAATTTAATTATCTTCTGCCAATTTTTCTATTATAGCAACTTGATTTCTAGTTAATTCTATATTTTATAGACACTACAGTTAACTTTAAACTCTTTGATAAGCTTTAAAATGTTCTAAAATATAACTTTTATAGCTTATTTTGCTTTATAATTATCAAATAATCAGTAACTTAATCTATCTGTTTGTATCTTTACTAAAAGATTCTATCAAAATATCTATCGAGAAAGTTCTTTTCTTTATTTTTTTTCTAATCACAAAATTTTCACTCAAAAATTTTTTCTTTTTTGATATAAAGATTATACTTTTAAATCAGTGTTTTGCGAAAACTTGCAATAATTTTTTTCTTAAAAATTCTTATCTTCGAAACAAAAGATATATTATATATTATGTATGTCTTTCTTTGGTGCATAAGTATATTCAAAGTTTAGCGGTCATGCAGATCAGATATTTAAAATAAAAATTATAAAGCATTTTCTAAAAATCTTTAATAGTAGTAATAGATGTAATTACATAAAAATTATATTGAAATCTAGACTGATTAAATGTAATTTTAGGCATGTAACGATATTATATGTTTAATTATACAAATAGTTAGGAATTAAAATACGAACTATAGATACACAATATTGCTTATTTTTTAAATTAGTGTCTATTTCTATACAAATTAAATGCAATCTTTATAATATAAAAAATTTAACTTAAAATTGTATTCAACTCACATTTAATAAAACAAGTCAGTAGATTCATAAATGACTTTAGTTACTATTGCAAATAAGTAAATATAAATGAATAATTAAAACACACAAACAAACCTTCTAAAAATATTTTAAATTGAAATATAAAAATTGTCAGAAGAATATCACTTCCTTATTCTTTATCAAATCGTACATTTGCTTTTTGATTTCTTTATATTTTTATTCAGAAATGCTATTTTTTGATACATTTAATTTAACTAGGTTTTTTATATATCTTATTATAGTTTTTATTGCTTCTATTGCCCTCTCATCTAGTTGATTTTCTGAAACATCTAAATCAATAATGCTTTAATTCTCGGCCATGCATATACAGAGTTAACAAAATTATTTGGTACTCATTTCAACACACCTCAACCCTAATACTGATAGCTAGAATTAGGTGATCAATTTATTTATTTAAATTAAAGCTCTAGCACCTATTTTATTGTAACTTAAAGTTAAATATTTTAAATTTTAGCATTCCTTTTGAGCTGCTTCAAGCAATACTAGAATCCCATCTTCTTTTAGCTGGGTTTTAAATAATTCTATTTTCTTTATTTATTTACAAAAAATAATTTTATTTTTCAACTTTTTAATTTAAAATTTTTAAAAAGGAAGGAGAAATTTTTAATTGCTCACAATTACATATCAAGATATTTTAATGAAAAAACTTACTTATAATGTGTGGAAATGAGAATAGTTCAAGGTAAAGAACATGATAAAAGTAGATTCTATTTTCTGATTCCATGAAGTAATTTAGTTTTGATCAATAATTAATATTTCTTCTTTTGGATATTCTTGATATTCTTTTTAGACTTCTTCATAGTCTGAATCAGTAAATTGCACTTTTTTCTTTCTCTCTTTGTAGTATTCGAAGTTTTTATTTCTCTTAAAGTACATAGGGTAAAATTTGAGTTAAGCTTCAATATAATCTCTATATAATTTATCATTTTGTTATTTAACTCCCTCATTCTCACAGCCATATTAAACCCAGAGCTGAGTGACGTCGATATTTCTAAATTTGAGATCCATTATGTAATTATACCTATAATCGAGTTGATTCTTGTTTGCATTAAACGAATTTCTTAAATTTTGAACATTTTATTGCTGCTGGTAAATTGGAATATTGCTTTCCTACATTACACTCTAATTTTTTATGTATTTATTTTTACCTTACTATGATTTTAGATACTAACTATCGTTTCTTGATAAGCTGAGAGTTTATTGAGAATTTATGCTTTATTTGTTTAGTCCTTTCCCATCTTCTTCATTTCTTGATGTATCTTAATTTTCAAAATAGTTAAAATCATCATCTTTAGCTATTTTCCTTTTTTTACTCTCATTTAAATCATTAATTTTAACTGATTTATTAATACCCTTTTGCCCCTGCTAAAAGCCTTAATTATTGGCCTAGCTTGACAATTAAAAGCCTTAAATATTATTTCCTAATGAAGTAGCAGTTTAATCATCTAACTATTCTTGCAATATTTTTAGCTTTTCTTTAAGTGTTTTTCTTGCATTTTTCTTCAAAAATTTAGTTACTGTATTTAAAATTAAATAAATGTCATCTTACTTTTAATTATTTATTTTAATTACATTAGGTATCTTATTCTAGTAAATCATCTTAATTTCTTAGTTTATATAATTCCAAAGCATTTTATTCTTCCAGTTTTTCAATATCATCTCCATAATTTGCCTTAAATAGCTGCTGGATAATTACTTTAGCTGCGAACTATCTTTTTTTTTCATCATCTTCATTTTTTAAAATCTATTATTTATTTGTTTGTTTGTTTTGATAGTATTTATTTTATTTTATTTAAAAAGAATGATACCTCTAAAGGATTTAAGTACTTAGATTTTTTTAGGTCGTATTCTTTTTCTTCATCGTTGTCATCTTAATTCCTGTTTTTTTAGTGTTTGAAAAGAATGTTTTAAAAATGAAAAATCATTTTAAAAAAATAAACACTTTGTCTTAATTATCTCCTTCTGCATTCTTATTATTGCTGATATCAAATTTAGAATAAGGAGACTTGCCAAGTTTCTTAAATTTCAATTTTTAGCTATTGCTTTAACTTTAAAAAACCTTCACATCATCATCTAAAAACTCATTTAAAGTTCCTAAATCTACATCTATTTTATTAGCTATATATTAATTCTACAGAGTTTAGGCAACTGTCAGGATAGTTGCTCCTGCTTTTCTAGTTGTATTTTATTTCTTCTCGTTGTTTATAAATTAATTCTAATTTTTAAAGATGTCTAATTTTTATTTGGATGAAGAAGGTAGAAATGGGTGATTTGGAATTTTTGATGATAACTATGGCTATGATTGAATATGTTTTAAAGCAAAAATCTATTATTTATGAGGTGAATTCTCCTATCCTCTATTCTTCATTGACGGAAATCTAGTCTTACTGCTATTTAAATTATCGTTCAATTATTCTACTTTAAAAACAGGATATTCAGCCTGTTTCTTTTAAGGTGTCTGAAACATTTACAAAATTAATACTTATAATGATTAATTTGAAAAGTTATATTTATATTAAAAATTAATATATCATTTGTTAATAATGAAAAATTAACAAAATCTACATGCTATTTTGCAAATATTATTATTTTAATAATCAACATTATTTTTTACTGAATTCTAAATAGCTTTTCTTAATAAAAGATTAAAAAATTATATTATTTTCAGTATTTTATAAATCAAGCATTTATTTACTTAGCTTGATTTGAGTGAAACAAAAAGCATTTATGTAAAATAGTAAATTTTACATTTTTAATTAAAAAACAATTGTAATCTTTAAAAGTGGTTACAAATAAAACTTTTAAAAATAAAAATGTTAATTTTATTTTTTTAAGCCTCATCTTTTTAGATAGGTTGTAATTTGTTTAATTTAGAATTGAATTGTTTTAATCTTGAAAAATATTTGCTTTTATCTAAAAAATATATAAACAATTTATTTTTTTATTTGTGTTTTTACTTGCTGAAACAAGAAATTATAAAATATTGAAAGAAAATTTTAAACAAATTATATTTAATTAAAGAAATCTAACCAAATATTTTATTCTCTCTAAAGTTATATTTTATGTAAAAATATTTTTTTTTAGTGTAATAAATTTCCTCAATTATATCGCAGGATTAAATAAAAACTTTAAGAAATTAAAAAATCAAATTTATGCTTTTTGCTTTTAACAATCTCTTTTTAAAACGCAGTTTTATATAAGTGATGCCATACATATAAATAAACTAACAACTATATGTCATAATATATGACGAAAGCAAATGATAGTTTGTATTAATTTGAATTTGGTAAATGATAGTAGATGTAAAAGAAAGTGGCTCCTAATTTTGGATAAAGTAAAAGTTGATTTTAATTTAAAATTATTTAGTGTTTTAGATATAGATTTTTTTGTAAATTTTTATTAAATTAAGAATTTGATTGCTTTAAAAGAAAAGATATTAATAGGAAATCGTAATATCTTTAATTCTAAGGAGAACTAATACAAATTTTACTTTGAAAAAATTTTCAGAGAGTATAAATAGTTTATGAAGAAAAAGAATTCAAGATAGAATTCATTATAAATTAATAGCAGGTCAAGAATTATGAGTCACAAGAGCTTTACTAGCTCTTCTACTCCTGGAGGAAATCTAAATTAGAATGGTTAAATAGATAAATTATAAACATAAAATTCAGCTGAATTTGCATCAAGATCTCCATCAGAAAAGTAAATAAATATTTTGTTAGAAAGCAATTTTACATAGTTTATATATGGAAATAATATATAATAAATTATAATGTTTTATTAGATTTAGAAATTATAGTCAATATTCAGAAAATTAATTATGCTATTATATAAAATTATTAAACTATAGAATTTTTTTATCATATTTAGGAAATAGAAATAAAATAGTATCAATGCAAATGCTTCAGCTAGTCTTTCTTAAGAAAATTAATTTAGTTTGATTAATATCAACTAGGTGCATACATATACTGTCGGAAGATGCGGTTATTGCTAGGATACAAAATGGATGACTAGTGGATTTGATTGCGCTTAAATGTCTTTGAAAAATTATTAGCTTCTAATGGATAGAGGATGGCGTAGATGTGGTACTTATTACTACAAACCTCACGTTGATTAATGTTGTTGTAGAACTTTTTCAATTCGTCTTGATGCCGCAGAATATAAACTAGGGAGTTCTTAAAAGAAGGTCTTAAGAAAATTTGAAAGAATGTTAAATAAGTAAGATGAAAAAGTAGATATCTATAAGAAATAGTTAGGAGAAGTTAATTAAGAAAATTAAATCGATTAATAAATTTAATAATCGTCAAATTTACTTAATATGTATGGTGAGTATGATATAGACGATGACGATGATGATGAAGACGATGAAGAAGATGAAGTGCATCTATAAAATCCCCATCGTTCTTCTTCATCTACAGCATCTTTAGCTTAATAAGCACATCAATTTTAAGCAACTTCATAGAACAACACAAAAAACTCATTAAATTCTAATAGTTCCTCTCTTATTAGAGATCCCTGCAATTTAACTTAGAGCTCTTCTCTTAATTTATCTAGCTCCACAAATGAAAACTAATTATAACAAGTAAAAGTATAAAAATCTTAGAGTACACTCAACTAGAAAGAATAACAAAAAGGAGATGGAAAATTTGAGAGCTTACTGATTTCTACTGATTAGAGAGGAGGTCAACAGAATGATCTCTCGTGTATGGATTAAGAGATTATGAATGAGATAAAAGAGAGATCTTGGGCTGTTTTAAGACTTTGTCTGAATAATATAAAAAATAATTTACATTAGTTTTTAGATGCTTTAGGAATACCTTTAAACGAGAAAACCAAGAATTTAATACTTGATGATAGAATAATGGAATAGAGCAGGTTATACTAAAATAGAAATATGATTAAGCATGGAACTCATTCAACTAATTTCTTAATTACATTTTATAGGCTCAATTAGAATGCCTGGGGAGACATTTTTACAACAAAAGAGAAATTTTTTGCCAAATCCTTTACTTATTTTGAAACAGCTTTTGACTGTGCAAATCAAGAGCTCGTAAAGAAGAATATAAAGTTTAAGCTTAGGACTTGTGGGGAAATAAATGTTCATTATACCAAAAGAAGTTTTCTAAAAAGAGTATCAGAATTCAATATACTAAAGAATAACAACAAAAAAAGTATGCTGAGAGGAAATATATCTTCGACTAATAATTTAGCACCATAGAATCAAATAGCTAAAAAAAAAAAGGATCCTTCCCTCATCATACCTGCAAGAAGAAAGAATTTTTATAGAATTATAGTGAAGGCTGAATTCGATGATGAAAGTTTTGAGTTATATAAGAGATACAATAAAATTATTCATAACAATATGAAAACCTCAAAAGAGAGCTATAAAAACTTTCTCTGTTTAAATGGTCTTCGTAGTAGTAGTATAGAAAATGGTAAAGGAAAATAATTACATTTCGGATGCTACCATTTCAAGTATTATCTTGATGATGTGCTTATAGCAGTTAGTGTTGTAGATATCCTTCCAGATGGTCTTTCTAATGTTTATTATTTTTATGAACCTGATCTTAAAAAGTATAGCTTGGGAGTTATAGGAAACTTGAGAGATATAGAATATATTAAAGAATATAATTTTTATTTCCCAAATTTCCGTTACTACTACTTAGGTTATTATATTCATAATAATTCTAAAATGTCCTACAAGGCTTCATATAAACCATTCTAGCTTCTTTGTCCAATTACATACAGGTGGGTTGTTTTTGATAAAGTTACATAAGATTCAATTCATGAGGGAGAAAGCCCAATCCTGTCTAGAGAAAAAATAATTGAAGATATGGATTTTTCAGGTGCAGACATCGAAAAATACGTGCAATAAAAAGTGAAACTCTATATCTCTGGTCGTTATATTAAAATAAACTAAATTAAGTAGAGTTTTATGACTTACTTTTAATATTTACTATCTAAATTAGTTACACTGCTTGGTAGATAACTTTCTGAATCTTTAGTATTTGGACAGCAGTGATAATCTAAATTTGACCTTAATTATAAATTATGCTTGTCAATATTCCTATAAAAACAAATAACTTTTATATAGACTTTATATACTAACTTTTCTTTAACTTTAAGGTAAAAATTAAATCGAAATTTGATTTTACTATAAATTAAACAATATTTATTTCTTTAATAGCTTCTCTTCTTTAAAATATTTAAAAAATATATAATTTTATGATTATGTTTTAATTTTCTAATTAAAAAATTGTATATTTTACTTAATAAAAATGATTATATTTATTTTTTCATTTACTTTTTTCTTTATTATTTAATTTCACAAATTTTAATTAATCAAAATAAATAATTTATAATTTATCTTCAGTACTGAATAATTTTTGTTTAAATTTTTTTGTTCTGATTTCTATTTTTTTTGTTCTTCATCTTCATTATTTTTTTATTTACAGTAGCCTTCCTTTGATTATAATGGACAAAAAAAATTCTAATTTCTACTAATTAAAAATAAAAATAGCGTTTTAAATTAGAACAAAGTCAAATTAGAATCGGCTTAAGATAGAGTATTTACGGTATAAATAATATAATATTATTTTGGAGTTTTAAAATAAAATTTGAGTTAGAATTTAATTATTTTATAGAAAAAAGATGGATGGATAGATATTATTTATTTTATATACAAAATTAATAAAATAGGGTATTTATTTCTTTTAAAATTATTAGAACCTGTACGTACGTACATTCAATTCAAACTTTATTATTAATACAGAGATACATTTTGTTCAAATATTTTCATTTTTTAATCTAATTAGATTTTAATATCACTCTATTTTTAAATTAAATCTTTTATCTCATTTTTTTAATTCAACAAATCTTTAATTAAATCTGAGATTTTTGATCCATTTAAGATGTTGGATTAATTCAAATTATTATAATTAATATCTATCATTTAAAAAAGTGAAGGCTTGTTTTAATTAAGCTATATATTTGGAATTTATTAGCCAAGCAAAGCATTTGTATCTGAATCATCAGATTCAATAATTTAGTAAACTATTTCTTTCTCTTTCTATTAAAGTTATATTTTTTTAACCAATTTTTCTTAATAATCATCGTATGCATATTATTTTGAAAGTTAGTTATAAACATTTTTGTCTTGTTTATTTTTTTTTAATTAGAGTTAAGTATTTTATAAAGGTATAAAATGTAATAATGATAATTAAGTCTGATCATGAATTTTGTGAAATTTCACTATTCTCAAAGCAACATTGATATCTCTTTGTTTAAATACACTCTATTAATATCTAATATTTTTAATTTTAATCTCTCTTTTCTTATTATAACACCCAATATGTTAAAAGAGGATTGTATAGTCTTAATTACTTTCATTTATATTTGTATAAAGCCAAAAAGAAACATTTTGCCCAATTTTACTAAAATCAAATTAATTTATATTAGTTAAGTATTGGTATTTTCTTTACTCTTGATATTATTATTTATAGAATTAATACAATTTTAGTTAATACTCATTTAGATCTTATTAATATTAATTGTTTAGATTTGCTATTTCTTGTTAGTTAGTTAATATTTTATCTGGTTTTTATGGTTCAACTGCATCAAAAGCTAGTTAAAAGTAAATTTGTTTTGAAGTTCTCTCAGCCATTTACTTTGTTTTATTTGTGTGTTTTTTTACTTTCTTATTTCGCAGAGAAATACTACTCTAAAGTTATTTTATTATGTTTAAATATTTTTCTTTTTAGTTTTTTTTTTCTTCTCCTTTTCTTATTATTATTATTATTATTTTTTTGTTATTGTTGTTGTAAAATAAAAAATTATAATATCTGAAATATACCAGTTTTTAAAGTCCTCTAAAATGTAGTTTTTTTCTTATTTTTTACTAATTCTTCTATTTTAATTCGATTAATTAAAAAAAAAATAATTAAAAAAAAAGTATTTTATTTCTTTTTTTATTATACCTTCCTCTTAATATTATTAAGTTAAAGTACTCATGATTATTCTTATCAGGATTGAAACAAGTTGTTAATTATATCTTTTTCTGATATGGATACTATTTCTTTTATCTCATTAAATATTTAATTAAAAACAGTTAAATAAAAGACTTTTATCTCATAATTCTTCTTCTTATTATTAATATCAAAAAATAAATAACTATTAAACATATAAAAGAGTAAAGAGGCAAATTGTCGCCGCCATCAATATATGATTATTAATAACTATTTTGAATAATTTAATAAAAAATAATTAAATAAAAGACTTTATCTCATTGAATATTTAATAAAACAATTAAATAAAAACTTTTATCTCATTAAATATTTGATTAAAACATGATTAAATAAAAGACTTTTATCTCATAATTCCTCTTCTTATTATTAATATCAAAAATAAATAACTATTAAACATATAAAAAAGTAAAGAGGCAAATTGTCGCCGCCAGCAATATATGATTATTAAATAACTATTTTGAATAATATAATAAAAAACAATTAAATAAAAACTTTTATCTCATTGAATATTTAATTAAAAAATGATTAAATAAAGTCTTTTATCTCATTATTCTTCTTCTTATAATTAATTCAAAGAATATAATAGTATTAATTATATAAAAAAGCGACCATGATTTGATTATTAAATAACTATTATATATTTATATATATATATTGTACCCTAGGGTACTGCCTTTTTCAAGGCTACATACACGAGCAATAACTGAATATTTTATTTCAAAATCATTATTGAAAGTTTTGAAGTTATTTTTTAATTTATTTAACTTCAATTTTTTTCTATATTTTTTCTAATGAAAATTTAATTTAGAAATATTTATGTATTTAAAGCAAATAAAAATTTGTACTATAATATTAAATAAAATTATTCTTTTCAAAGTCAAAAGTCTACTATTATAATAAAATAAAAAATTAAAATAAAATAAAATTCTTATTTAAAAATTTTTTAATCAAATTAATGTTTAAAATAATACTTATATTTTATCAAATTATCATAATTGATCGATAAACCCTTTAGAAAAATTGCCTAGATATTTTTATTTTTTAAAATTTGTTCAATTTTTTCTATTCCTCAAGAATCTTATCCTAATCCTTATGAATTACCTAGAAATTTTTAATATATTAAAACCGCTAAATATTTATAGAGCCAAAAACAATAAATCTATAGAATTAAAATAATAGGAAAAAAAGTATAAATAAACAATTGGTAGTTGTGAAATCAGAAAATCATTTATTAAAAAGTAAATATTTATTTTATGTTTTATATTTTATATATATTTTTTTATGAAATTTAAAAAATAAAATTTAAATAAACAATGCTCTTTAATAAAGTTAATAATTTCTTAATAACTCACATATAAATAAATTTTGCCTTATTTTTTCCTATTTCACATATCATCCAAATTACTAAAAACCAAGAAATCAAGAAATTACTGTTAATTAATAGTTGCTTTTAATATAATAAATTAACTTTTTTACAATGATTAACATTTTAATACCTTCTCGTTTATATAAAAACTATTTTAATTCTTCACATCATTAATCCTTTCAGTACTTGCATATTATTTCATTTTTACTTTTGTTATGAATATTCAATTTTCTAAATTAAAAATAGTTTTTATTTTTTGAAAGAAGTTCATTAAAAAAGTAAATATAAAATAATCCTCTTAAAAAATATAAATTAAATAATTTTCAAAATCTTTACTATTAAAATCTTAGTAAGTCACAATAAGTACACAAATTTCGTAAATTTTGTAATTATAAGAAAGTCTTTTAGCTATTTTTAATAAAATAGAATCTCAATAAAATAAATTGTGGATATAAAAAAATGTAAATTTAAAAATCTACAATAAATTTAATAATTTTAATTTGTTTTTTAATATAAATATTAATTGAACCAAGTATTAATTGATAAATATCTAATAAAGTTAATTTATATTTTTAATTTATTTAATTTTTAATTTTTATTTTTCAAAATTTTCATTTTCTTATACATATTTCTAAATTATATTTTTGAATTTTTGGATTTTAATAAAAAAAAGCCTCATTCTTTAACTAGAGTAATGAAAATTTAATCAAACAAATGTAAAACATATTAATATATTCAATAAAAATTTTAATTTAAAATTTTTCAATCTTATTTTTTAGTGATTTTATATGAACATTTTAAATGAGAATTAGATTTAATTTAGAAAGTCACACAGTCACACTTCACTAGTATTCACTTTTCCAAAATACATACTCTTTTTTAAATGTAAGAATAATAATGTTTAATTAATTTTTATCACAAAATACATAATAGTATTTTAAGTACAAAAAAGCTATTTCTGAAATATGAAATGATGGAAACTAGAGTAAAAGCTGAATATAAATTAAGAGCAAAAATGGAATTATAGTAATAATTTTAATTGACATTTACAAAAAAAATTTTTAATTCGTCCTTTCAAAATTTTAATTTTCTAAATCTATTATGGATTTAAAGGTTATACTTACTTTTTTAACTGCTTTTCATATTATTTGTAAAGTTAACTCATATTTTAGTGAATTATTTATTTTGTTTAAAATAATAGTTTTACACGTTTTTATAATAAATAAAATTACAGCAATTAAATTTATATTTAGTTAAAATTTTAGTTTATAAAATATTTAATTAATAATTGTTACTCAATATTTTTTAATATAGCTTATGTATAATAATAATTTAATTATTTTTTTATGTATTTATTAATCAAGAAATATTTACAAAATTTATAAAGGCATGAGGGTTGATAACAACATAGCCTTTGCTTTTGATAGTATTGATTTTAGAATATTCACTATTTATTTTATCTTAATCAATTTTACTCTTTTTGAGTTCATTTAGGTAATTAATTTACTTAAACTTTCTCATTTTTCTTAAAACTTATTTTCTGGTTTCATTGTAATCAATATGCTAGTTTATTTATAATTTTGAAAATGCTAAACTTGGTTTAAAAGATTAATCAATTGCTTTATTGTTATCAAAGGAATTTTAAATAGAACTAGAATTTTATACTTGATTTTATTGCAAGTCAACACTCTAATATAGTTACTTGAGTTATTTTTATGCTTGATTGTTCAGCTAACTTAAAATCTATTTTTTAGCTTTAATCATTTGTTCTGATTTAAGATCTTTTTCAAAATTAACATTATCACTACAAGATAATTATATTTGCTTCCTTACAACAGATGTGGCAGCTATATTCTTTAATTTTGCAGTTAAATTTATTTCAGATTCTTCTATCTATTGAGAGACATTAACAATATTTTCTGTAGATTTATCTATTATTCTACTAGTATTCTTAGAATATGATAGCCTTTTATTTTACTTAAGTAGTTAAGACTTAGATAGGTCAGTAATTCTGAAATTTTCGTTGCACGATATTTTTCCTCTGGGACTATTAGCAACTGATTAATTTTATATTTATATAAATGAATTATTTTTATTTCGCACTGATGAATTGAAATTTGATCTTTCTGAGCTTAGAGGTCTATTGAGACTTTAGTTCAAATAATTTTTTGGAGTTTGGTTTTATTTTATGTATTACATATTAATTTTAGGTACTTATCTAGATTGTAACCTTTCCTAGCTATTTTAAGTAATGTTATATGTTGTGTCATTATCATTACAGTCAATTTTTTTACTATTTTGGCTGCAAAGCTAGCTTTTTTTATCAATTGTACTAAATTCTAAAACTTTATCAGAAAATCTTTAGAAATAAGAATTAGCATCATTTGTAGAAGATCTATTTGTTTCTGTTTACTAGCTGTCTTACTTTGATAATTATTCATCAATTAAGTTGTTATAAGTTGTTTTGAGTAAATTTCTGTTTCTTGTGGAGGATGGTGCACTCATACCTCTTGGTTAATTTTACTAGTTTGCAGTAATAAATAAAGGTTCATATAGATATTCTTTCGGTAATTACTCATTGCTGTTTTTGCTTTTATTTTGGACGGAAATTAGCTTATTAGGAACTATTTTCGCTGTTTTTATATTTTGCCTACTATTCGATTGGGATCTGCTTACATTAACACAATCAGTATTTCTTTGATCTGCTATTAATTTTTAATTATTAACAAGAATACTCTAAAAAGAACTACTGGTACCATGAAAATACTTTAACATCTTTTCATGTATACCATGTTTTGCTTAGCTATTTTATTTTAGATTGACTAGAAGGTCGCGCTCGTTAAGAATCTCACATCTATTTATGAGATTTTATATAGAAATGCAAAAGACCTCACCTTTTTATGAATTGCAGATAGCATCCATGCAACGTGGAATTTCACTAAAAACTTCATAATCACCAAAAAGTTCACCTTTACTTAACACTGCTAATTGTATTTTCCTAATAGCTTTATTTTAATTAGCAGGTCTGTACTTTCTATTGAATTCTTCATAATTATAACGAGCTGGGTCTTTTGGAGGCTAATAATCAACTGATGTTTGCAAACAAAATTCTCCATCCTTTACAATGTAGAGATGGTCAGCCTTTTGTTTTTCCTTAAAAATTTTATCTCTGAATGTAAATGTTTTAATATCAAATGAATAAATTATCATATTTAAAGCTCTACGACTTATTTTATCGAATCCAGGAACTTATTATAAAAATTAAATATATCCTTTTATTTTTTAGCTTTCTATAGAAGCTATAGCTTCTTTAAAGTCTTTTTTATTTAAAACTGCAAAATGGCAAATCGAATTGCATACAACATTTGCCATACGAGGAGCATCATTTAATAATGCTAGTTCTCCAAAGCTTTAGCCAGCTTTGAGCTAATTAACATTTATCCAATATTTCTATTCATGTGGAGGAAAAATAGTTCTTTCTTATTCATTTTTATTTTTTAATATGCTTAGAAAAGCTTGAGATTAGTTGTCTTAAAACACAAATGAAGGTTTAGGCATTTATACAATATTTGAATTTTATTTCGTTAAATCTTATCTACTTTAATCTTTTGATTAGGATATCTTTTAGTTATCAATTTTAATAGAATCATCATTAAATTCATCTTGCAGGTTTAGAGGAATGCTAAATTCTGATTTTTACCTTTGTGATTGATCAGTTGCGATATTTTTTTTTCTTTTAACAGTAGTTTTATTTGAATTTGAGTTTTTTAATTAAGACATTTAATCAGGTTGTTATTATTTGTTACCAGAGTTATTTTCTCCTTCTTTTTTTAGCTAGCTCTATGCACGTCTTTCAGCCTACTGATGCAAGCTTTATCCGTGATTATCTTAGAGAACTGTATCACTTGTGATATTAGAAAAAGTAGGAATGTTTATACTTTAATTATTTAAAGGGTTATCATTTGAATCGTTTCTATTTCTATTTATGACTCCTTAATTATTTAAAGAAATGCAAGTCTAATGTATAGTGTTGTTTTTCACTGATTCGACTGGAGATTATTGCCTAGCAAAAGGAGAAGGAGCGTTTCTACTAGCTTATGTGAAATTTAAGTTTGCATTATTAGTTGAGTGGCTTTAAGTAGGAGATTACTGAAATTAATTATTTGTTTTATTAGCTTCTTTGCTTAAGCTAGTTACTTGACTATTTAAAATTTAGGTATTTGAAGGCAATTAAGAATTGGTAGTAGCTGGCTTTATAAAAACACCTACTGAACCTTATAAAATAATAAAAAACCTATCACCTCTTGTACCTTATTATATTACCAAATCATGAATATCATAGGTCTCTAGTTTTAGCATTTTATAGAGATTTAATAAAGCATTGGAACCACTTTATTCTTCAAATTTTTAAAAAAATTCAATAGATTAGAAGGTCTTTTATAATATTTATAAATCAAAATGATTTCTCTCAGCAGATGATTTTTGTAGAATTTACAAGCAAACTTCATAAAGTTCTTCTGGATTCATCAAGTGAATTTGTTTTAAAATTTGTAATTTACGAGTATTAGATATTAAAAATGAAGATCTTTTTGACTCTTAAATAATCTTTAAGGAATCAAGTGATCCAGTTTAATCATCGACTGACTATGTATTATGATTGCTTAATGAAGGAGCATGTTCTCTTTTTTTTTATTTGCTTTGTTTTGTATCTTGCTCTATTTGACTGTTCGATAAAACTTCATCTAAATCGCTCTCAGCGTTTTCGCTAGCTATACTCTTCATCATTATTTTATAGAGCTTCAAATTTAAAAACTCTTTTTTTTGAAAGAAATTTTATAATGATAAATTTAATAATTGAAGGAAACTTTACCAAATTTATAAATATCTTGTACCGCATTTTGTATTAAATAATAACAATCATTCAACTAATATAAATCATTACATTAAATTTAATTAAATTAATGATTCAGTTAATATTTTTTTTTACTTAATAGCATAAACCATCCATATAATCAATATTTTATTTTACACTTCATAAAGAATCGAATCTTATGTAAGTTCAAGAAAAAAAGCTGACTTATCCACTAATTTTATTTATTTTTTATATTAATCAAAAATAATTTTAAATTTGCTCATTTTTGATAAAAAAGTTAGTAGAATAAATTCAGATTCAAAAATTGAAAAAAAATTAAGCAAACTAACTACAAAATTGAATATAAATTTGATAATTTAAATTAATTTCAGTAAAAAGAATCAATTATAAAAGCTCATTTAGAATTAAATATATTATTTGCATTCATGACACTTTATAAATATAATATCAACCAACAAAAATAAATATGCTCCTTTTAATTTAATGAAATTTCAATTAATTGGGTCTAAATGTACAATCACTTAGGTCAATCTTATTATTTTTCTCATCATAAATTCTACTTTTTTTCTGTCTGACAGTATTTGGTTATTAAAGCTAAATTTTTAATAATTTCATGAATATTAATTATTTATCATTATTTAAAAATTATCTTACCTATAATCTAATATCAAATGGTGTAAGAACTTATTTTACTTAAGGATGCTAAATAATGGATTAAAAGAACTTTTTAAATCATTTTTCCTATATAATAATAATAAATAACTAATTAGTAAAGAACTTAAAATCTAAAATAATACCTAAGATACAAAATAAATTGCTTTAAGTTTTTTAAATTACTATTAAAATCCCTAAAAGCAGAAACAAATTAAGCTTTATTTAATTCAACATGTTCAGCCGTTAACTTATTACCACTATTTATTAATTTATATTTATTTTTATTTAAAAAAATTACTATTAAAATTAAAATCCTATTTACGATAAATTTATCTCCAAATAAGTTAATAATCTGCATTTGTTAATATTTTCCAAAAGATGTAAAAGTCCTAATGATGTTATCTGATTTGAGCTTTTATTAATATAAATTTAAGAATATATATCTATTGTAAAAATTTAATATTTATACCTCAAATAAAGTTATAGCTTTTACAAATTAGGAATCTATTATATACCTTATGCTATTGATTTCAAGCCATCTGTTCCAATTAGGTTCCATCTATTTTATTTTTAATTTTATTGCAATACTTTTAAATTATAAACTTGATTCTATTATTTTAATTAAAGTTTTTGTTGTATGTATACCCTGAATTAATAAAGAGTTTATTAACACTAGTCAACTTGCCTAAAGCTGCACCTATTTAGATTGCTTGTGTATCTTATATGTCATTTTTACTAATTAAAATTAAAAAGTCTGTCGTATCTTTCTTAAATTTATATAAAATTTACCTGAAGAATAGAGTGACGTCAGTTAAAGTTTTGATATGGCTCATTTTTTCAATCAAGTAACTCATTCCGTTTTCAATTTAATTTTCACTACATTAATTAGATTTTCAATAAATCTTTATTTATTTTCAAAACATTTTGAAATTACTAAAGCTTAATGTCTATAGTTTGCAGCTGTTTTAGCTCACTAATAGCATCTGCTAGATGAATTACACCTTACTGTTTAAGTTTATTGTGCCTTAATTAAAAAAAATATATATATATAAAATATTTTAATAAACTTTATCTTAATAATAAAAATTTATACTTTAGCTTTAATTTGAGTGTTTATAAATTGCTATTTAACTTTAAGCTTGAAGACATTTCTTAGCATATAGCTGAATCTATATTATTCTAACTATTAATATATTAAAAAGTGAAATTTGGATATTTTAATCAGTTCTACAATTCTGTGGAATTACTTGAACTCAGCTTCGAAAAATATTAGTTATTTCATTTTTGAAACCACTGAAAGGACTTCAGATATTTTTTTGCCAAGTTGACAATTTCTATTATTACATAAAAATTATATCTAATTTACAAATAATATTTCTTTTAAGCTATTTTACGTAAAATCTAGAGTCAAGTGATAACATTTTTTAGAAGCATTCAATGCCTTTAATATGCTATTATAATGATCATCTGATAATGTATTTTTACCGCTATTTAAAATAATTTATTTCCTTATTAAACTTCAAAATTTAATTCAACTTACTAAATGTCAATATATACTAATTCTCCTTCTTCAGATTATTTATATTCAGAATCATTTATGGCTTCTGCATCTCTGATAATTATTTTATTCATTAGTAATTTTAAATATCAGTAAATTCTAAATTACTTTAACTTCTTTATCAAAACCTCAATTTCGTTAGGCTCTGGTGGAAAAAGAATTGAATCTATTATCCTAATCGCATTATCAGCTGTTATCTCTATTTCCATTTCCTTATTTTACTGTAAATTTTTTTCCATGTCCCTATGTTTAAAGATCAGATATAGTTTCTCAAAAATTATTAAAATTTGAAGTCTTTATTCTTAAAATTTTTAATTAATTTATGAATTAATTCTTAATTTCAAAACAATAAAATTTTTGTAAAAATCCAAAGAGAAGATAGTAGAAATTATCATAAATTTTTTTAGTATAATTTAAAAATGATTTCTGTATTTTTCTCAAATAATGTAGAATTATAAATATAAAATAAATTTAAAAACTTAAATTAAAATTTTCACAAATAATAAATCTACTTTGAGAATAAATTGATTTTTAATATAACTTTACTAAAAGTTTAATTTAAAGTTTCTTTGGCAAATTTTTTGATTTGAATGAAGCCAAAATATCCTTAAAAAATTTATCAGCCTAAAAGTAAATAAAGAATTGTTAAGAGAAATATAAAAATTTATTTTTATCTTATTATTTTAAATTTAGAAAGTAAATATGAAAATAAACTATAATAGTAATTCAATTAAAAAACTGATTATTTTATTTTGTAATTTAAGTTAATTCATTTATTAAATATTCAAAATTTCTAAAAGGGCAAAAATTATCTCTACAGTAAATTCATTTTTTACAAAAAGTTTTGTTTGCTTTAAAATTAATTTTATGTTTTTATAGCAAATATAATTTAGTTCAGTGAAACTAAAATATTTAACTATTTATTTATATACTAATTAAAGATGTAAATATAGAATTTGAAATATATAAATTTTTTAATTAGGTTTTTTATATCCAGAAAAGCTAACTAATTAGTTAATTAAGTATGATAATTGGTTTTCATAAAAATGATTAATTTAAGTTATTATTTTTTTTGTTGATTTAAGTTATTTCAAATATCCCTCTATTATATGGATAATCTCTTGACATTGATCTTCCTTTTCTGTATAAAACTAAAGGACTGTTATTAAAGCGATGAGAAAATGTTTATCCTAACACTTTCTGCTTATCACTAGAAAGTAAAGGATTTATTTAAGCTTCAAATTCTTTATCGTAATAAACCTCATTGATCAAAAAGCTTGTTTAATCTAAAATTGGATTTGCATATTTATGCTTTCTTCTGAGTTCTTAAGGTATTAATGGGTTAGTTATAGGCTAAAGCTTGTATTATAAATTCCACTTTTTTCTATTGCTGTTGGCTTGTTTATCTTTAATAAAGTTAGTCAATTCATCTCTCATAAAAATTTCCTCTTTAAGCTACTCTCTTGTTTGATCATCAATGAGTGATATTTTTGATTGGTCACAAATTTCTCTTTTATTAAATCTAAGCTATATTTATTAAATTAATAAATTTTAAATTTTTATGGTTTTATTTAGTAATTAGTTATTGATTGTACTTAAAACTATGGGCCTAACTACTTCTCTGGAATATCAGCTCTTGTTTCTTGCTATACTTTAAAAGACTCATTCAATCCAGGATTATATTTACTTTGTCTTTATTTATATAGCTAGTTATCTACATTTTCAAACCTTGTTTAAAAATCTCTTTCTGATTCTAAATTTTTCAGCTTGTGTATAAGGTGTCTTTTCAAGTTGGTCAAATGCTTTCTCGCTTCGTTTGTATTTTCTATTTCTATGATTTTATTACCTTTTGATACTAATGCCTTATGGGGATACTTTATAGGAGATTCATAATTTCTGTCTCTATTCCATTTAGAAGATAAAAATGGTTTAAATGTTTACTAATCATTTTTATTGTTATCCAATAACACTACTTATTCGTTTTGTAATCGAATATATGTTTCATCAAGTTCATTTATTGATTTTATATCGTTACAAGTCTTTATGAAGCTATTGTCCTATTCTTAACTCTAAATGTTTGGTATCAAGTACATGTCATTTAGTGGATTTGTTTAAGGATCACAGACAGGGATTATTTGTGACAATTTTTAGGCTTAGCTGTAAAAAGCTTAAGCCTAAAAATTGACTGTATTATATTGGCCATCTTGTTAATTTTATTCAGATCTAGGTATTAAAAACTTACTGTTCACAATTCTTTCATATGAACTTTATTTTTATAATTTTTTCTCAGTTTTGCAAACATATTCATACTGCTTTTGTATTATCATTTGCTTATAAATCTTTAATAATTTACAAATTAAAATATTACTATCCTTATTTCAAGTATCTAAATATTAATAAATATTTACCACAAAAATAATCTTAATAGATAATAATAATAATTATATTGATACAAATTAAACAAATTTACATTCACTATTTTTTAATTGCCCTAATTCTTTGATTACTCAATACTCGAACAACTGAATAGTTAGAGAACGAATAATGGTGTTGATTGAATAAGAAAAAAGTTTTAAAATAGTGTACTAGTATTTGAGGAACAAAGAGAGCAAAAAAAAAATATATTTTCCTTCATTTTTGAATAAAATTTTATCCATTTTTGAATTAAATTTTTTAACATTAGATCATTTAAAATATTTTATTTCAAGATATAATTAATTTTTATACAAAAAGTTTTAAAAAATAGTAAGATCTAAGTTAAACAGAATATTATTAAATATGAAATAAAGTAATTAAGTTAAAAAATTTTTAGAATTATTATGTTTTTAGATACATATTTTTTTATCAATTTAAGATTTTTTCATTTCTTATTTTACTACTCCTTGTTTAATGATCTTTGATAAAATTTAAGTATATTAGTGGATATCATAAATAAGAGATTATACGTATACACCTATTACTGCTGCCTTAAAAATAGTAATTTATTTTTTATTTGTAATTTTTAATATTTATAAAGTAACTCAATTAATAATTTAAAATACAATGGAAAAAAAAATAATGAATTCATGTAGAAATTATGGTTATTAAAGTAAAAATAGGTTTAAAAATGTAATTATTTCTTAAAAACATTAAGTTTGTATCAGAATTTTCCATCTATTATTCTCTAAATCGTTTTATAAATGATTTATCTTAATTGTTTGAAGTGATAAATATAAAATAGACTTCTACTTAAACATTTTTACAGCTTCTTTTAAATTTCATCAAATATAATTTATCGAAATAAATAAAGTTTTTTTCTTGTTATTATATCTTCTTTTGTAAAAATGATTTTAATTTTAATTAATTATTTTAAATTTGATGTAAATTAATAAATCTAATAGATTATAAAATTGATTTTTATTTACTAATTATATTTATTTTTATTATAGTTTTTAGTTTAAGCTATCATAAATATTTTGATTAATTAGAATAATTTCATTATTTTTAAAAATAAAATCTGATGATAATCATCTAAATCAATATGACTTTAATAATTTAATATATTGTAATTGAGTTAGAGATATAGAAGAATAAATATTACATATATGAAACTTAATTTATCATAATTAACTGAAATTAAATATAAAATACTATAAGAAATATTTAAAATAGAAAAATATAGCAATAGAAAGAATTAAATTAAGATTGATATTTAATTTAATTTAAAGCGTCTCTAAAAAGTAAATAAATAAATAAGTTATTTTTCTATATAAATTTTTTCTATAAGCAATAATATAAGGTAGAAGAATCTTTGATAATAAATTTTAAATAAATAAATATCAAATTGATTAAATAGATAATAAAAAATAAGATATTAAAATGTAAGTATTTACTGAAGATACAAACTAAATAAATCAAGCATATTTGCTAGAAAATAATACAACTAAGTTACTTTTTTTTAGGATAATTTTTACTATTTTAAGCGCTTTGCCATGGTGGACTTAGTTCTATGAATATAGTAAATTTGAAATATGGAGGGTATTAACTAATTGGGAGTTTCTAACATACTGGGGTGTGTGGAGTATTCATCTTTATTTTATTTTAGCTCTAGTTGATACCATTTACTATAGAAAATATGGCAAAGAGTATGAGAGTAAAATATGGAAATTAACTCACTTTCTCTTTCATTTTGGATTTAGTACCTCATTAGCTATCTCAATTATGTTCTGGGTTTCTTATTATCCAGATTTACCTGATAATTAAAAATATAATGTTTGGTTTATGTTTTGTCAGATTCTTCAGCATGTGTTGCTATTTTTGTGTATTGCTACAGAATTTATGTATAACAATATAAGATTTGCTTGGGTTCATTTAAAACTAGTTATGCTTGCTTTGGTGAGCTACATGATTGTGAATCTTATAGTAACTTTTGCTTACAAGCCAGTATATGACTCAATAGACTGGGTTTCAGTAATGTGCTATGTTTATATAGTTTGCGTCTTCGTTTTAGTTATTCTCTACTTTGCATTTGCTAAATATTTATATGAAAAATACAAATTGCCAAAAATTAATATATAAAATGCTAAAACAGATTCTCCAACTATTTTCCCACAAGCAATTGAAAATTAAGTCTTAGAAAAAATTTGAGAAATTAAAAATACAATTAAAATAAATATTGAAGTTTACATTACATATATGAATGTATTTATTATTTTTATAATCAAAAGTTATTTTATTCAATCAATAAAATATTAAATTCAGATAAAATTTATTATGGGGTTTTCAAAACATTTTTTTGAGATTAAAAAATTTTTATACAAATGTTATTTTTTTTATATGTAGGATCATCTTTTTGATCTGATTATTAGATTTGCTTTTTACAGCCATCGTTTATTTTAAGTAATAAAATAAACTTTTATTAAAATTAATTAAAAAATAACTAATAATTTTATGAGAAATAAAAATAATTATTTTTAAACTTAGATTTGATTTATTGAATAATAACTCAAATTCTAACATATTAAGTTTTTCTCTCTATTTATTATGATTAATTAAATGCTAGGATCATGTTCATCTTTACATATTTTAAAAAGAAAAACTGTAATTATTTCATAATCAGTTTTTAGTAATTAGTAATTATTTAATTAAAAATTTTTCTAGTATTCAAAAGTAAAAGTAGATCTCTAATTTGAAATTTAGTTAAAAATAAATAATTACAAGCAGGAATTTTAAATAAAATTTTGAATCCTCTACTTCACTTAATTTACCAATTGTTTATTCGTTTAGATTATTTAATTTTTACAAAAATAAATATTTTCACAAAATTATTTTAAAAATTGATTGATAATTTTATTAGCATGTTTATTGATTTTATTAATTTAATTACAATTTCAAGCAAAACTATACTTCATACTATTTTCTTTAATATGTATTTAATTATTTTAATTGAAGTTATTTGAAGTATTTCTTAAAGTTCCTCTAATACCCTTTACATTTTTATGCTTAGTTCTAAAAATGTTACATTCATTCATTACTTATATTGCATCAGATGTAACTTAATCATCAACTTGTTTAAATAAAAAAATTAATATAAAAAATTACAATTCTAATACTTTTTTTAGTATAAAATTTATTAAAAATAATAAATTTATAATATGAAGAATTATAAATTCAATTTTTTAACATTTTTTTGAATATGATTTATTATTTGAAATTTTTAAAATATTACAAATTTGATTTGTTTCAATCAGGTTTCCAACTAAATTTTCATCATAAACTTCTTTTAATTCACTTTTTAGTAAAGGTTGCTTGATTGCTAGTTCAGTCAGAGCTTTAAAGTGTGTTTTTTAGTGCAAGATTGGTAATATATTTTATCCTTTAATGTGACTGTTATTATGGTGATGAATCTTCTACATTTAATTTTAATATGTATTTTTTTCTGGGGTGCTAATGTTTAATGTGTTTTTATTTGATTAATAGTTTAAATTATTTATGTTTATGTTATTTGTTAACTGATTGTTTTCGTGTTTTTAGTTATTCAAATAATCATTTATTTAAATAGAGCTAGACCTTTTTGACTTTACAATCTAATTTATATTTTAATTTTATTTTAAGTAGTTTAGATCATTCTTTTAACTTAAAGTATTTGTTAAGTCTTTCTTTTTAATAACATTTAAGTCTTCAACTGACATATCATTACTTGTTAAGCTTTTTGAATTAGAATCATATGGAAGGCTTTTGTTTCTATTTTTTCCAGAGTTTGTCTAAAACCTATTGTTACCATTAGCATACATTTCAGAAACAAAATTGTTTTAAAAGCTTTTATGCTCTTTGATAATAGAAGAGTTATTTAAGATTTACTAATGCTAATTAGTTTGTTTATTTATCTAATTCTACATTAATATCAAATTATCTTTATTGTCTTACTGATCTTGTTCCAGGTTTTATGAGCTATTATTTTATGATATAAATATGTCATTTTTTGTTGTGCTAGGTCTTATTCTTATTTTTCCTATTTAATCCCTCAAGCTAACCTTTTTATTACTTATAAATCAAAGTTAAATTGAGCTAAAATACTTCTAGTTTACTATGAAGTAGGTGCAGTTTGAGGGACATAAGGATGGTCACTCCTTAAACCACCAATACCTTACTCAAATAACTAATCAACTACTCGCTCATTTTTAAATGAAGCTTTAAACTTCATATCACCATAAAGTTCCTTGTTCTTTTCTCTTGAGCGAAATTGATAAGGTTTAAATGGAATGAAAGGATTTGTTTGATTTAGCGATTTATTACTTTCATACATATCAAGAGACATGTTTTGCTATTTATATTAAAATATATACTTTCAACTCAAAGATATCTATCAATAAGTAAATGTTATTCTAAAAGCTGAAATAAAAGTTTTATAACTATGTAAAAATAAAAAGAAAATTATCCTATTACACTTTGCTTATGACTCACATAATTTGGGGATTATGCACGGCTTGGGTAATCTTTTAGTTTCATTATTTTTGGTCCTATTATCTTTGACTCGTCCTCAGGTCTAAACTTATTGACCAAGTTCAATTTCATATCAACAATATCATCATATATCTTAATTGGCTTTTACTTCATCTATTTGTTTAAAAACACAATTAATTTCTATATTTTGTAATAATGCAAAGTTTATAGCAATTACTTCTGAGAGAAATTAGTTGAGTCTTTTTTTGTAGTTCTCAACCATTTAATCCTTTTAAACTAATATCATTAAATAAACTAAATAATCTAAGAAAATAAAGTAGAATACTCTATCTTTTTTCCTTCCATTTCTACTCGTTTACTCTCTTTTTTTCATATTAAATCTGTTCTTTGAGTTCATTCTCAAACTAGTAAATGTTAAACATTCTATCTTGTATTTAATTGGTATTTAAAAATATTCAAAAGTATGTCGCCTTAGTATCTATCTATCACCTTTAAAGATTATCAACTACTAATTAATGATATCTAAATATAACTATATATTTAATTAACTAATTTTATTATTATTTATTTATTCAATCACTTATCCAATCATCAATCTAATTAATTATTAACAAATCATTTAAAATTAATTAATACTTTTGTTTAAAGTAATTTATTTGTATTTGTTTACAAGTAATTTCTTTTCTTTTAAAACCACTCATTCTTCTCTATTATTTTTTGTAAAATTAAACGAATTTATTTATTATATTTGCATTCATTCAAATTAATCAGTCAAGCAACAATATTTATCAGATTAAAATATATTTTATTTTTAAATTAATTTTGTAAAAACTAGATTTATTTTTTATTTGATTCATAATCTATGTAATAATTTGATTAAATTTAGAAATTAAATAAAATTAATTTAATCATAATGAATGTAGAAAATTGTAAGTAGAATCAAACTAAATCTTCAAAGCAACAGCACATTTAAAATATATTGAAATTTTTCACTACATTAATTTTAACAAATCCATTAAAATTTCCATTCATTTAATTTTTTAAGAATTATTTGTTTATCCTACTTATTTTTTTTCGATAGCACTTTGATTCTGTTTGAATTGATAAGGTTTTTTATATAATATAATTCCTTTATTGATAATATAAATTAAGAACATAAATTGAATATCCAAGGCTAACTACAACATAAAATTTAAAATAAAATTGCATATAAAATAATAGAAAAGCAGGATTCATCTGGTAGGCTAGCTAATATGGGCGGTTATTCTTTTGGGGCAAATGGTAATTTATATGCATTTATATTTGAAAAGAAAATATTAATTATTGATTTCAATTATTAGAAGCAGATGCTAAGGTAAAGAGTAAATCAGCTGTCTCGCTAAAGGGGAAAAATAAATCAAAAGAGTAAGAAAAAAATGAGGAAGATGAAGAAGATTAACAAATTGAAAAAGGCAACAATAACTAAACTAAAAGACAATAAAATAATATAAATACTAAAATTTCAGGAAACTTAAGTGAATTAATTGATGCTGCATAGGCAATCACTTAACAGGATAAATAATTTATGTCTTTTACTCAAGTTAACGAAATTGACATTAATGAATTCTAACAAGAAAATTTAATATTTTAAGACAATCAATAAGGGGATTTTAATCATGATTTATATCACTATTGCATTCAAGATAAGCTTAAACAAAAAGAGTATGAATATTTCTAAAAATTATCATTAGATTTTTATACCTAATAGAGAATACCACAAAATGAGTAAATATTTGTTTGTTAACTTTAAATATTCAAAATAACTTAGTCTAATTGATGAATTATTAATTCAGATATAACGATTTGAAGTAAATGCTATAAAGATAAAAGGAAATTTTAGAAAAACAACCTAGTGTTAATGTAAATAGCTTGTTGAATTTTGAAAAGAAACTGAACTAGCTAGAGAGGCTTTGGGAAGAAATAAAAGTAGAGCTTAAAAACAGTTAAAGTAAATAGTAGAAATAAGAATAGCTATCCTAAAATAATAAAAGTTTTAACAAAATGGGTGTACAATAATTAAGAAGTATAGAAGGAGCAGAAAATTTTAATTTCAAATACACAAATTTGAATGAATAAGAATAAAGTTACATAGATCATAGTGATGATAACTGCTACGAAAAAGAGAACAACAAATATAATGAAAATAATAATATTAAATATCTAAAACAAAGTTAAAGCGGCAATTCAAAAAATAATTAAAAAATAGTATATCAGTTCATAAAACCCAATAAAAAAGCAGGAGGAGTAAAAACAGAGCACTCACCTCAAAATTTCAGAGAAAGTCCTTACTCGGCTAATCACAATAATAATATAAATTGTAATTTATTCAAAAAAATAGCATATAATTAATATTCATATTTAAATAGAAAATGGAAATAATTTGAATAACAGATAACCTAATATTTAATCTACATCTCACTCTCCAAAAAGTAGAAGCAATCCACAAAAACCTGTGAATCATAATGGTCAGTTTAATTAGATTATAAATTTAATGTATATTTTATGGAAATATTTTTTAAACAGGAGTATAAATATAAAGAATGTACGCTCCATTTAACATAAGTAAAAGTAACTAATAGATTAATGGGTATTAAAAAAATTAAAATGACCCAGCATAATATCCAAGAATAAAATCAACAGCTACAAGAGATTATTCTCCTTCGAGGCCAATAAATAATAGCAGCATAAAGGCTGTAAAAATAAGTGAAAATTCGGCTAATATAGGAAATATGTCTAAGGAATAAAGAGGAGGATAAAGTACTGCATAAACTTAAGATAGCTTGAATTATGGAAGTGAAATAGGAAACAAAAAACTAATTTAGGGCCAAAGATATCAAGACTCAGAAAATTTATTATACACTTAAAAAGTAAAAATAATATAACGAGAAGTCAACACAAATAACACACTTAATAGATCAGCAAGTCCAAATAATGGTAGAATGATTGCAAAAGATCATCAAATACAAAGGACGAACTTCCTTGTAGCTAAAACATCCTCTTCAAGCAATAACGTGAATAATAAAAGCAAACTATAAAATAATTCATCTCCAATAAAAAAAGAATCAAATTAATTTTTTAGAATAACATCTTCAAAAAAACAGTCTAATGAATAAGTTTAAAAATCTCCTTAATAAGGTATTTTTATTTTAAATTTTTATTATTTTAAATCAATATTTTTAAATAAAAGAAGCGAATAATAAGCCAATAAAGATTGCTTAGAATATATAAAGCACAAAAAAGAGACCTAATTCCCCTCATAATAACCACCGATTTAAAAAATTAGAATAATAAAATAATTGAGCTTTTTAGCAAGCAAGCATTTAAAAAACAAAAATCATTTTAATTATAAAATCCTTTAATTTTATTAAGCTATTAAGAATATTTGAGTATAAAATATTAAATTTTGTTAATTTCTATAAAAAAATTATTTTATTTTGTTATATTAAATAATAAAATTATCATTAAAAATGTAATTACTACATTTATTTATTTTTTCTGTCTCTTCAATTTGAAAGTAAATCTGTATTTTTATATATAAAAGCTTCATAAAAATACAGAAAGATGCAAAATATCTTTACAAAATACAAATTTATATTTTAATTATCTTTTTCTTAAAATATAAAAGAATTGGCATACTTATACTTTATATTATATTCTTGAATGAAAGATGTAAAAATATTATAAATGTTTGTACATTTTAATAAAATTAAAGAATTTTTAATTAAATAATCACAATGATACTCTTACTTACTAAAAAATAAGATTAAAATTTAACAAAATTTTTCTAAATTACAGAAAAATAAGATCTCAAATAGTAAAAATAGATATTCAAGAATAAAAATCATAAAATATTAACAATAAAAAGACAAAAACAATAAAAATAATACTTATTTATAAATACTACTACCATAATGGATTTTTTACTAACCCTCAAGTAGAGATGGGTATAAATATTCAAGTATTCAAATATTTAAACAAAAAAAATAATATTTATAAAATAATATAATAGTAGAGTGTGTTATTCAATTTATCTATTATATATCTTATATAAGTAAATCAATTAAGACTATGGTTAAAAATTAACTTAATTAATTAATTAACTAATTTTGTCTAATTAAATTTAAAATAAAATGTGATAAAAATGCAAATTGTGTGATCATGCCTAACTCTTTTCAGAATATGTTTAATAAGCCTTTAATGCAAGTTCTTTATCTACCATAGGGAAGTATTTTGTCAAACATTCAGCAAATTAGTCTATATTTTAAATAACTTCCTTTGGTTCTAATTATTTTTTTTCAACATTTTCTACTAAGAGATCATTATTTTTGAGGCAAATGGAACCAGATGAAGGGAATCTAATCATCCACAGGACACTGTGAAATGGAGATTTAGCAGTCCCAGTGTAAACATCACCTTAGTGATCAAGCAAGTCTTCATAATCTTAATAAACATTAAAAGTATAACTGTTGAAAAAGTTGTTGACAGGATCAATTCTATTCAACACTTGCTTAGTATCATCCTCCCATTCATAATAATACTAACCAAAAGAATTTTGAAACATTTCAGTTTTTTTGTCAAAATCAACCTTGAGTGGTACATTTTTGAATCCTAGACCTACATCAACTAAATATCTATCACCCTCTTATAGTAAGTTTTTAACTAATATTGCAACATGATTTTCAGGTATTTTCAAGCAAGATGATTATATTATCTATGCATCATAGCCAAGATTTTATAGAAGACCACAGAAAACAGGATTCAATATTAAGCAAAACCCTCCACTTCCAGACAAAACGAGCTGTTTGATTTCTTCATAAGTTAACTATCTTCTGTCTTGGAATGGAGTTGCTAGAAGAAATACATTTTAAAATGGAATAAGATCTTAAGCTTTCTACATGGCCAACTCTAAGTACTATAATCTACATTGTCCCTCAACGTATCTCTCTAATTTTAAATTCTTTAAAAATTGATCTGCTTCAAGATCAGATAACTTAAGCTATGTGTTTTTTTTCATTTTTTGATTATTAGATATTTTGTTTATTTTAAATTAATTATTTTTAATGATATTTTTTTCTCAATTTAAAGATAAAATTATCATCCTTAAAGTAAAATAAAATCCTGAAATTTAATACTTGAATCTTTCTTAAATTAAGTGGTAATAAAAGCAACCTTACTTGTTTTTGTTGTTTAATAATAATGTATGTAAGATTTTGTTATTTAATTCATAAATTTATAAAAGTCAAAAAATATGTTTTGAATCTGCTTTAGCAAAATATAAAAGAAATTAGTCTACCTCTATCAAATCTATCTACTAAAAAATATTTTTTGTTTGATGTTGAATTAAATATACTTTTTTTTATATTTTTGCTTCTTTTATCACTAACAGAGACAGAGGTAATTTTTCTTCTTCTTTTTATTAAAATACCATAGAAATTAAAGGATAAGTGGGGAGAATTAACATATAAACATGAATTAATTAATATTATCTGATTGTCAAATCTTTAGAAATTTTCAAATAATTTATTATTATGTTTTGTAGGAATTGTATCTTCGCAATGATTTAATGATTTGGAGTAAATTCAAGTATTAAAAAAACTGTAAAAATAGATTTTCTCAATCAAGATTTTCATCTAAATTTATATATTTTTTGATATATTTTATCTAATTCCGTGATATTTTTTTTATTTCTCAAACTTCTGCACACTAAATAACTCTCAGCTGCATTTTTAGCTTAATTTTAAAAAGTACTTTTCTAAAATAACTTACGATAAACTATTATTTCTTTAGTGTTTATCCCCTATATTTATTTTCAAAAGTATATGTAAAATATTCATCTAATTTTCTGATCAAATAGTTTAATTTATACAAATTGAATAATTTAATTTAGATCACATCGAACTAAAATTGACTGATAAATAAACAGTTAAAGATGAAATTAAATTTTTGTAAACCAGTTTATCAATAAGAATCAAATATTAATCAATATTTTTTGTTTTAAAAATAATTTCTTTCCATAGATAGAAAATTTATCAATAATATAGTTTTTATCAGTTTATCTTCTGTTTTATTAAAATAAATTTTAAAAGAAAAATGGTTTATTTATCCTATTTAATTATTGAAATTAGCTAAATAATATTAAATTTTAATGAACTGTAAATATTTCAAAAGATTTTTAATCAAGTAAAGAATAAATATTATAAAATAATCATATTTATATCAAAAAACTTTATAAAAAATAACAAGTGTTCAATTTAAAATAACTACTCTTGGAATATTTTTCAATCAAATATTTTTCTTCATTGATTGATTTTTATAAAAACACGTTTTAAATTTAATTTATCATATTAGGTTAAAAGCTAAATTCATAATTAATAATATAATAGCAAATATTCTCTTTTATTTATATATTATATATCTTTGAAATTAAATATTTCAGCCAGCAATTAATATTAATTTACTATTATAATTATTTATTAAGTAGATGCTTATTTATAAACATAAATTTAGTAATTAATCAAATTTGTATTTGTTTCTATTAAAAAGATAAAAAAATGAGTGAATATGGTTGGTTAGCAGAAAGTACTATTATTCCTAAGAAGCCAGGTAAAAAAATAGAAGTCGACGATTCGTCTGTAAACTATTTTAGTTGAAAATTCAAATATATATATAATCTATTATCATACAAACAAATATAGTTAGTATCTTTATAGGTAGCTTTGATGCAAAAAAAAGATGAAGCATCAAATGGAACAAAAGCAACAAAAAAGTTAAGTAAATAGCAAGAATTATTTATGAAAAAAAATAAAGGAGTAGAGGAAAGGATGAAGAAAGATATAGTTTAAGAAATATCAGAAAAAACTTCGCAAAATATGTTAGCAAAGAAAGAAAAAATTTACGAAAACTTATGTATTTATGATTGATCTCTTAGCTATTATGAAGTTTTTACTTTTAGAAAAAGGAGGAAAGAACATTACAAAATTACTTGTTGATTTTGAATAGAAAAAGATAGACAATATGAATGAAGATGAAAAGAAGAACTTTGAAAAAGAAAGATAGCTATTCTACGAAGAAAAAAAGAAAGAGTTATAACAAAGGGAAGAAGAAATTTAATAAAAAAAATTCAATATTAGCCAATATTCTATGAACAAGCAATTTGTTTAAGAAGAAATAGAAAGGCATGAATGGGAAAAAGAAATGTTACAGGTAAATACATTTTTTTATTTAATTCTTCTAAATTTAAAAAATAAAAGGAATTAGAAGATGGAGTAACAGAAGAGATGAAAGAACTCGGTAAAAAGAATCTTATTCAGTAAAGATACGATAGGCATGCAACAGTTGATGAAAAGAAGTAAACATACTTTATTCCTACTATTAAAATTGAATTAATTAATATCTATCAATTTTATAAGATAGTTAGAGCAAGTATTAAAAGAGGAAAGTAAAGAGCAATAACTATTAAGTGAAATAAAGAAAAAAAGGAATTTAGCTTAAGAATAAAGAAAAAACAAATTATAATAGTTAAATTTAGAATGAATTTAATTTTAAGAAATTATTTTATATTATTAATTGTTCTTATTTTATATAAAAGCTAATTTTATTTCAAGCTTTTTTTAATGGCAATTACTATTTACTTTTAAAAAGCCATAAAATTAATTAATATTCTAATGTAAGTTATATTATTTAATAAATTAAACTTATTCATAGTATATTGTTTACAAAATTTTCAAAAAAAATTAATATTTTAACCTTTAATAATTTTTTAGACAATAAACTCAAAATTCATTAATTAAAGTTGTCATTAAGAGACAATCAATTAAAATATTTTTCATTGCAATGAAGAAATATATAATTTTGAAGAAAAAAATGAAGATATAAAAAAGTCTGAAATAATTTGTAAATGGAGTAAATGAAATAAATTTTGAAATTTATATTATGCTATGTATCAAAGCATATATTTAAATTAAAATAGATAAATTTTCATCATTTTATAAAAATTTCCAAAAAATAAAATTTAACAAAAATAATAAACCAAAGTTAAGTTCTATTGTCATTTTTATTTTTTTTTTAAAGAAATTTTACAAAAATTTAGATATTTATGAATTAAATTTGATATTATTTTATGTCAATTACGAAATAATAAATAGATAAAATAGAGTATTTAAAAGTTATTTATTTTTTATGCCTCTCAATAAAAACTTAATTGATAAGCTCCTTTCATCTAATTAGTATTTATAGTTTTTTGATAAAATGTGTTCTTTTATTTAATTTTATAAACCCTTTACATTGTTTAAAAATTTAGTAATATACATTTTATATATTAAATAAGTATTGATTGCTTATTTTATGAATTTATTTTAATATTATGTTTTGCCCTCAATTGTATTAACTTAATTAGAATTTATGAATTATTAAGTTATATTTGAAAGTTAACTAATATTGATATATTAATGATAAACATTAATAGATATAAACTTAATATTATTATTTATTAATTAAGAATTTATAATTTTTAATAAAATATTTATTATTTTATACAATAAAATTAATAAAATTATATATATATATTAATCTAACGGAAAAATTAATTTTTTATTGGTTTTTTTGTGATTTATGTATTTTTAGAAATCTAATTACTTTTTATCAAAATGATAAATTTGGTTAGCGATAAATAGAATGGTTTCATCTTAAGACATCAGTGTTATTTAATAAATTACTGGAATACATTAAAGTATCGTTATTATCATCTAGTTATTTTAAAAACTAATCTATATCATCCATATTACTAGTTTAGTTATTTATTTGAAGATTATTGTTGTTATGATTATGATTGAACTAATTAGTATTTATATTGTTTTGCGTTGTATTTTAAAGGATGCTATTATTTAAAAAATGATCCTATAGGAGTTACTGATGGATAATGCTTAATTATAAATCTTATTTGCTATTATTTTACCCAGAAATTCTAATGATGGAGTTTTCTTTATCGAAATTTCCTAAAAAATAACTTTTTTATAAATTGTATTACTAGGATTATTAATTATTTAGAAATGATTAATTAGCTCCAGTCAATTTATAATCTAATAAATCTAATTCTTTAAGCAAGTCTTATACTGTTTTAGTATCTAAGCTTTGTTAACCCTTATGGATTTATTAATTTTACATCATTACTAATTCTTTTTCTGTTTGCTGTTATTTTTTTTTGCCATCGTCTACTACCATATTTTTGAATTTTTGCTACAAAACCTATGCTTAAGCTTCTTATTTATCTATCTCCTCTAAATCCTTTAATACTTTAAAATATTTCAAATTTTTAGATTTTGTAATTTATAATAAAATAATTTACAGTTTTCTAAATCTTGATTAAAATTATCGTCTTAATTCATTTTTAACTTTTAGTTAATAGTTTCTAAATTACTTTTTTTATGATTATGTTTTTAGTGTAAAAATTGCAAAATTACTTTCAATATTCATTAATTTGAAAATTTAAGAGTATATTTTTAAAACAAATAGCAATCCTCAAATTAGTTGCTTCTATTTTAAAAATTAAATATTTTAATCATAAATTGAAGTAAAAAGCCTATTTTATAATTAATTCATATCATTTTAAAATATATTTTAATTTAGCATAATAATTATTATTTTTCCTATAATTTGTTTATTATATTTAGTAATTCAAAAGTAAAATATGATCAAAATAAAAATACATTTTATTTTTCTATTTTTATGTGTAAGATTATTTAAGAGTTAATTGAAAAATACCCAAAGCAAATAACAAATCTTTTGGGAAATAAAAAAAATATTTTATTTTCATAATAAATTGTAATTCATAGCTTTTATTTTTTGTATTTTGACAAATAATTTGAGAAAAAGAAATAAGCATGTACAAAAACTTACACAAAATGAAATTTAAAACATTAAAGAAAGTAAACAAATATTTAAGTTCAAAATTTGTATTTGAAGTTCTTTGAAAATCAATAATAATTTGAAATATTCTTTAAAACAAGAAAAAATAAGAGTTAATTTAAAATAGACTGAAAACTAACTATTACATGAAGAATTACTGATAGCTTTACTGAATTAAAAATTTAGTTTGGCATATATAATACGCCGTTGAATAAGAAAGTGGACATTTAATAAAAGCGTTGAGAGAGATAGAATTTAGAATACTTAAGATTATTTTTAGTAAAATTAGGTAGCAAAATAAAGTCTATCATATTTACTAAAAATTTGTTTTGAGAAACCACATAATTTTTTATTTTAAAATATTTAAAAGGAGTTTTGAGTAAATAAATTTAATAGTTGAAAATTATTGATTAAATTATTTATGCTATAAAAAATAAATCTCAACTAAACCATTTTTGAAAATAGTATATCTTTTTTGTTCGTTTAGCATTTATTTATTGATAACTTGAACAATATTCTATAAAAATCTATAAGAATACTTTTTTAATTATTTGGGTTCACTGGAAATAATAAAAAAATATGAAGGAGTTTTGAGGCACTGATTTAGAACCTTATGTTTAATTTTCTTTACTTTATAAAAAATAAAGTAAATTAGTTTTTGTGGAAGAATTTGCATTTAAAATTTATTTAGAAAATATTAATTTTTACATTTATTTATCAAAATGTAAAGTAACAAGTTATTTATTTATTTATTAATATTTTTAGTGAGCTAATGATAAAAAAAAAACAAACAAATAGAAGATAAGAATAAACCAAGAAAATATTTAGAAAAATAGAAATTCGCATATATTTTAAAATATATAGATTCACTAAAAAAAAAAGCTTATTTTAGATTTTAAAAAGAAACCAAAGAAAACTTAAATCATACATTTAACACTTAATTGTAGATATTATAATTAAGATAATAAAATAATTAATTCAACTAGTAATTAAAAGAAATAGAGTTAGTTATTTATTTTGAAGTTAATATTATCAGAAACGCAGATAGATACCTTATCATTTATATAATTTAGATAGATTGATTGATATAGTCTATGGCTGCTCGTAGGGCAACTAATTCGGGCATTGATAATTCCCAAGCAAGGAGGGATTGTAACTCAAAAATATTTAATTCTTATTTTAAATTATCTAAAGCCCAATTAAGCAAAAAGATGGGAATAGTTTTTTATAAAATATTCTAATTTTATTTTATTTTATTATAAGTTTGACTAATTTATTTATTAAATATTACAGCGCACCACTAACCAATAACATCATTAGATAATTGTAAGAAAAAAGAGCTGCCTCCTGGCTTTGCAGAAACTATCTTGGAGTTAGAGATTTACTTAGATAATGAATTCATAGAAATAGAAAAAGTTAAAGAACTCTTAGAGTTGTATATGGTAAAAAATATCATAATTGATTTATAATGAAAGAAAATTTAAAATGCGAATGATAAAATTAATTTACCTTTATAATAAATAGATTGGCGTAGAGTATTATGAGTCTATAGGAGATTAGAGATTTATCTACTTCAATAAGAAAATGAGCAGTTTAATGATGAAACCAAATGTAATAGATGCTATGTCAAGAGATGGTGATAAGCAAAATGGAAATCCACAATAATAAGCTAAATCTGTAATTAGATCTTTATTAAATTTTATACAAATTTAGCAATTTAAATACAAAAACAATTAATTTATAGAAAGAAGAAGCCTTAAGAGAAGCAGAAATAAAATAAAAAGAAGAGTAAATTAGAAAGACAGTGAACTATTCTCACTAAGACAACGATGAAAAAGCAAAAGCCATAGTTAAAAATGTCTAATAAGAAATTAAGTAAAACCAAAAAATTATTCATGATAGCTTAGATACCCAAAAGAGATAATTATTTGAGAGGTTGCAAAATAGAAGAGCTAAAACTTTAACCAAAGCTTCTTCTGTACCTGTTTTAAACGAATCTATGAGCTCTGATAATGATGATACTTGTTCTTCATAAGAAGGTAGTGCAGTTATCACCTCAAGGATAGGTAAAAATAAAAATAATTTAATTTAACACTATCTTAAATATGTCATCACTATTTCTATTAATGACATAATAAGATATTAATAAATTAATATCAAGCCTTGTTACTATATTTTTACATTTGAAATTTATAATTTATTCCAAATAAAATAGATTTCTCCTCGATTACTAATGCAATCAGAGAAGATGACTAGGAAGATGATAATGAAGAGGATATTAATAAACAAAGACCAAAAGCATTTAGTAGACTAGACAGAATAAGAAAATTTAAAGAAGAGCTCTTGAATGGTAAAACTAGTCCTACTAATGATGAGGGGCGTGTAAACAGATACAGCTTATGTAGCAACAGTAAAAGTAGATCAAATAGTTAATCAATTTAAATGGGTTAAAGAAACTCTTGCTTTTCAAGAAAAATAAGAGAGAAAAAAGTCTCTTTTATTAAGTAAAAGAGAAGAATTAGATCTAAAAGTTAAGAAAATATTAATTAGGAAAGTATGGAAGGATTTTTACCTCTTACAGTTGATCAGTTAAAAGAAATGTAAGATCAAATAAATTTAAGTCTAAAGCAATTAGCAGTAAAATAGATTGAACCTTTCACAGTTAACTTAAGCTTTAAGCAAGTTATTTAAGAAAAATAAGAGGAGGATGATGAATAAACATCCCCTATTAGGCAGCTTAAAAGACACAGTTGAACAAACTGATAAATAAATTTAAAAAATAACTAAAGACTATATAATAAATAAACTAAATATAATCTTATAGTTTTTTATTAATTACTAATAAAAATACAAATCTTTCTTTTTAAGAAGTGATTTGTATTTCCTTTATATTAAAATAGTTATAATTAATTATTCTTTTAAAAGGTAAATCAATCAATAATTTTCTAAAAATCAAAAACCTTTTATTTTGTCTAATGTATATCTTTAATTTATGTTTAAAAGAGTATTAATCATTATAATTAATCCAAAAAAACTTATATCTTTCTCAAATATCTATCTTATAATTAATAACTTTTTATGTTATTTTTTTAATTCTAATATTATATTATCAACCTCATTAAACCCTCCTCCCCTTTTAAAATTTTAAATAAACTTCATTTATCTCAAAAATGGGTCTTACTTAATTAACTAGGATTAAAGTTTAAGTTGCAAACCAAAGATTAATAATTAGATTTTTATTCAATTATTAATTTATATAATGAATAAAATAACACAGTGACTCTTTAGTATTCATGATTTTAAATGAAAATTAAATTTTAGGTCTAGAAGATATACAAAAAGTAATTCAAAAATTTGAAAAATATTGCTCATGAAGGAATTATGATTCACTTATTTCTGGATGATTTATCTAAAAAAATGAGTTTGCTAATGATATTACAATATTTATTTATTTTTTACAATTTTTTTCTCAAAAAGTAGTTTTTTGTGTAAAATTATTTTTTTAGATGCTTAATATTATAATTTTTATTCAATTATTGATTACTTAAAAGGAAAATTATTTCTATTATATTTTTGTTGTTATTATATGCTTAAAGTTTTAGAGTGTTTTACTCATGAGTCATGCCTTAAGCGAAAAAGACATATAAATAGAATTTATGCAAAAATAAACAGCTAAACACTTTTAAAGACAAAAGATTCTTAATTAAGAAAAAAAAAAAAAAAAATTAACGACTCTCTAATTGCTTGTTTTAGTAAAAAGACTGATTAAAATATACAACAAAAACAAGCTTAGAAGCAAATTATAAACAAATCATGGCATCAGTTTCGTCATCAAATTTGTCAACTCCTTTAATATAGGATCCAAGTACTATACCTATTAATGACGGACCTCATGAAAATAAATAAGCGAAGGCTAATTTTATAAGCAGAATTTTCTTTTATTGGATTCATCCTTTAATAAAGGTATATTTAAAGCATTTATTTTATATTTATAAAACATCATTTTTAAAATGATTTTTACAAAATAGTTAGGAAACTAAGTATTTTTGGAACAACATTGCTTGGATGAGTTGAGGGAGGAGGATAAGTCTTCTCATTAGCATTCTAGATTTCATAAAGCCTTTAAAAAGTTTAAGAACACTTCTAATTTCCCCTTAGTTAGGAGTATAATAACAGCTTTTAAAGGTAACAAAATATATATTTTATGCAAGGAATATTATGCTAAGTTTAGTTGTATTAAATAGGTGCTATTTTTAAGAGTTCTGTCTACTCACTCATTTATAGTTCATTGGAAATGACAACACCTATTTTGATTAAATTGGTTATCGATTTCGTTAGTGATAGACAGCATGATGTTGATTATGGTATAGGCCTAGTTGTAGCCGTAGTTTTGTCAAGAATATTTATTTGTATCTTTGATTGCCACTCTTCATTTACTTTCGTAAATAATAAATTTATTTTTTTAATGCAATTTTTAAAGAATTTGTAAATTGATTTCAGATATAAATATTTTCTTTGCTAATTAGAATAGTTTTTTGTTTCTTAGATTTTTAATAGTAATTTCTACTTTGATTTTTGAAAAATATACTGAAATTTGGTTTTCAATTTATTTTGGCGAAATTTGTTCTTTATTTATTTTAACGTTTTTATTTTTAAATAAATTTTAGAATCTTTTGGGATATAATGTTACTAATTCTATTAGTATAGCTATTTATAAGAAATCACTAAGTTTTTCCTTATTATCTTCTGATGAATATAAGTCAGGGGCTTTGATTAATATGCTTTAGGTGGATGCTTAAAGACTTTAACAGTTTTGTGCACAGTCAGCTAATATTACTCTTTTACCTATTTAGCTCTTATTTGGTTTATATTTAATGTATGATAGTATAGGAATATCATTTTTGTTTGGATTTGGAGTAATTGTAATTATGGGATTAATAAATTATATAATTGGTAGATTTTCGTTAAGATATTAGAAGAGGTTAATGGTAAAGAAAGATCAAAGAATGATGATTTGCTCAGAAACTTTTAGCTCAATTAAATTTATCAAAGCAAATGCATTCGAAGAGCATTTTTATGATAAAATTGATCTAGTGAGAGAAAAAGAGTTAGGTATAATTTCTAAAAGGTAATAAATATTTTTATAATTAATAAACGAAATATAAAAGTTATTTGATTTTAAATCTAGGTTTATTTGTGGTGTTATTTCGATTTGTTCTGTCTGGATGACTCCTATGCTCATTTTATGTGCAACATTTACTGCTTATGTTATGATGGGAAATCTCATCACACCATAAAAGGCTTTTACAGTTATTTCAATATTTTATATTTTGTAAGAACCTATTAGATCTATCCCACTTGTAGTAAATTATTTTATTGAGTGTCATGTAAGTATTAAGAGGATAGAAAAATTCCTTCTTGAGCCTGACATTAATAAAACATTTGTCAACCATGATACAAATAATACATTACCAAAGCACTATGCTATTAGAATGAGAAATGGAAATTTTTATTGGAAATAAACTAATGACTCCTTAAATTCACTGTCTGATGACTCATCTACAATATCTTCTTCTTCAAATAACTCTTCAGATTCTGATGTTTCTTAGCATTCATCTCCTAGAGGTGGTTCACCGACTGAAATAAGTAAGAATAGTGAATTCTCTAAAGGTAGTTAGGAGTTAACCTCAACAAAAAAAATAACTCATTTAAGTCATAAAAAGAACTTTGAATCAGATATTGGAAGTGATATTGGTCATTCTCATACCGAAATAGCTGAATAAGATTAACAAAATAAACTCTCTCTATAAAAATTTGGCAAAAATAAACGTAAACAAAGAAGCTCTGTGACATCAACCAAAATTTATGAGACTTAATCAGAAGATGAAGAAAACAAGCTTACAAATTATGATAAATATATTTTAAAAAACATACACTTAACCATCCCAAAAGGAAAAATGGTTGCTTTTGTTGGAGAGTAACTTTTTATTTCAATTTATTTTAATTCATTTTTTAATTTTTTTAAATTTTAGTGTTGGATCTGGTAAAAGTTCTTTACTCTATAGCTTAATTGGGGAGATGAGATTTGATGATTTTTATGAAGCAAAACCTAGAGTTGAAATTAATGGTGAAATGGCTATTGTTCATTAGAAACCATGGATTTTTAATGGGACTGTTAAAGATAACATTCTTTTTGGAAGGCCTTATGAAGAAGATAAATATAGAGAATGTGTCAGATATGCATGCCTTGAAACAGATTTTGGTATTCTCAGCTATGGTGACATGACTCAAATCGGAGATAAAGGAGTAAATTTGAGTGGTGGTTAAAAGGCGAGAATATCTTTAGCTAGAGTGTTATACAGTGATGCAGATATTCTTCTTTTAGATGATATTTTAAGGTATTTAATTTTCTCTCAACTATTGAAAATTTTAATCATTTTTTTTACTTTAAAAGTGCGGTTGATGTACATGTAGGTAAAAGTATACTTTAAAACTGTCTTATGGATTACAAAAAACATACAACAAGAGTAGTTGCTACTCATGCACTTCACTTCTTAAAATACATGGATTATATTTACATCCTTGATAAAGGATCTATTACCAACGAGGGAACTTATGAAAAAATCCAAAGTTGTAAAAAGTTTAAGAGTATATATAAGAAATACATTAAGGAACAGTTTGATAGTTCAGCTGAGGATGAAAATTTTATCAAAAGTAAACCGAAGGCAAACAATTACCTTCATACTAGCCATAGTCTTGATTAGCATGAATAGGAAGATGAAGAATTAGAATAGAATTTTTTTGCAGGAGAAGAAGAAGAGGTATAAAAAGGGGATGATGAATTCAAGAAAAGTTTTCAAATTTTAACAAAGTAAGATTCCTGCGATGTGGCTTTTTAGATTCCTAACTTCGAAGATGATATTGAATCTGGTATTCATAGTAAAAGCAAGATAAAATGCAAAGCCTGCAGATAAGAAAAAATGAAACAAGCCCTTAAAAATATGATTAAGTATATTTAATTAATTAATGAAATATTTTTTAATAGTATTTTAAACTATAAATATTTAATATAGAGAAAAGAAGAAAATTGAGTAATATGATAACTTGGTTCTTTAAGAAGACAGAAAAAGAGGGTAGGTTTCAACCTCAGTTATCAAAAAATATACAAAGTTAAATGGTGGATTATGGTATATAATCGGTGCTATAAGTTCAATGATCTTATGGGAGAGTATCAAGATGGGTTCTAATGTTTGGATATCAGAATGGACAGGACATAATGAAGAGTCTAACAACTCTTTCTTTTTAATTGGTTATGCCATTTTTGCATGCAGCTATGGTTTTATGGCCTTAATTAGATCAGGAGTGCTATTGACAGGTTCAATCAAATGCTCAAGGATAATTTATAGAAGAATGATATCAAAATTATTATTTGCTCCTTTAAATGAGTTTTTTGAAAGAATTCCTATAGGTAGAATTCTAAATCGTCTATCAAAAGATGTTCAGGTAATAGACTAAGATTTGGCTTATGGAATAGGCGTTTTCTTAGCTACTATCTCAACAATTATAGGTGATACTTTATTGTGTGTTTATGCTAGTAGTTTATGGGTCTTAATTCCAATATTCATATTTATTTATGCTTGCAAAAGACTCTAATAATATTATATGAATGCACAAAGAGAAATAGTTAGGCTCGAAACAATCTCAAGGTCTCCTATTGTTTAGTATTTTGGTGAAACACTAATCGGATTACCTTCTATTAGAGCATTCAGACAATAAAAGAGATTTTCTGAGGTAAATTATTATTGAAAATAATAAATTTAAATAAATAAATAAACATCTATAATAGGCTCACTGCAAGAATATTGATGAAAATAAAAAAAATCAAATAGCCTTTATAGCAATGGAGGGCTGGTTTAAGTTAAATTTAACTTTTCTATCATTAATGGTGAACACCACAGCTATATGCTTTTGTGTAATAAATTAAATTAAATTATTTCATAGCTTATTATTTCTTTTTAATATAAATTAGCTGTTCTATAACAAGAGTGACCCATCAATGACTGGTTTACTTTTGACCTTTGCCTTTAACATTGATTCAGAAGTTTAAGACTTAATTATGAGCTAAAGCAGTGTTGAGAAAAAAATTGTTTCATTTGAAAGATGCTATTCTTACACTAAGTAATTTCTTAAAATTTAAATTACATATTGTATAATTAAGTTTATAATTAGAATTGAAAGTGAGAAAGGTTAAATTGAATATTTAAGACAAAGAAATGATCTTAGAGAGTAAAGATTTAAACTTAAGGATTACTCATCCGATCCATTGATTAAATGGCCAAGTAAAGGTGTAATAGAATTCTAAAATGTTCATTTGAAATACAGACCTAACTTAGCTTGTGTAGTGAAAGGTTTAACTTTCCAAATTAGGTCATAAGAGAAAATAGGAGTAGTTGGTAGAACAGGAGCAGGAAAATCAACAATTACTCTTTCGCTCTTAAGAATAATTGAGGCTTTTAAAGGTAAAACATTATTTTTATTATTAAAGATTAAATTTAAATTAAACTTTTTATAGGAAAAATTATCATTGATGGGATAGACATTTCATAAATAAGATTAGATTAATTAAGATCTAAAATTACTATTATTTTGTAAGATCCTTAGCTATTCAATGGAACAATAAGATAAAATGTTGATCCTTTGGGATAATATTCAGATTCAGAAATAATAATTACATTAAACTAGTGCCAACTTCACAGATTTGTTAATTCTGAAAGGGGTTTGGATACTTATATCAATGAAGGAGGAGATAACTTAAGTATAGGAGAAAAGTAGTTATTATGCATTGCAAGAGCTATGTTGAAGGTATTATTCAAATTTAATTTTTTACATATAACAATAATTTGATTTTAAATATTAAAGAGAAGCAAAATTGTTTTGATAGATGAAGCAACTGCTAATATAGATGTATAAACTGATTATTTGATTCAACAAACAATATAAAATGTATTCAAGGACTGTACTGTTCTTACTATTGCTCATAGAATAAATACTATCATGAAAAGTGATAGAATTATTGTCTTAAATAAAGGTACTATTGAAGAATTCGACTCACCTTCAAACCTGTTGAAAAACCCTAAATCATTATTTTATTCAATACATTAAGAATCAACAAAAGAAACCCAATTCTGATATTTATTTATTTAATTAACCTAACTAATTTTATAATAAAAATTAATTAGTTCTTCTAAAACTTAAAATATATATAAACAATTAAATATCCTAATTAAGCTAAAAGCAAATGCAAATAAATATTAAATATAAATTATGTAAATTACTCTATTTATTTTATTATTACTGAATATAAAATTCTTAAAATGATTTATTTAGAATAACTTTATTTAATTATTTGCTTTTTTTTTAACTAAGGATTAAGAACATTCTTTCATTAGTTAGATTTAAATATTAAATTTATTTATTTATAAAATTTCAAAAAATAGTTCAATTTTTCCAAATAATAAAAATCAAAACCAGTATTTGATTAGTTGATTTTTATTATTTATTTATTTATTTATTTATTTATTTATTTATTATATTTTGATAAGCATAAAGTTTAATTGCCTAATTAATTTTTTATTAAATAAATACAATTAAATTTAATCAAAATTATGAAATTATTTTTTCAATCATATTTAAATAATTGTCAAAAAAAGTATTAATCACAATTAATATATGTACTATCAACAGCTTTAGATTATTTTTGAATAGAATTAATGTGATAACAGACATATGCCTAAAATAGAGAACAATTATTAGATATGAATAAAATTTGCTTATTTAGTATAATAATTTACATAAAGAAATTATAAAAAGTAAAAATTTTAGGTATAATATATATTTTTGTGTTGCTATTATTGAATCAAAATTAATTGATTATTTTTATAATATTTGAGTAAAATAAATGAATTTTCTTTAAATTTGACAAAATGATCTATCCAAATCAAGATAAAGTTATTAGCTTTTTAAATATAAATTTAGGATATTGAGATTTCTCTTTTTCTTAGTAAATGCTATTACATTCATTATGATTAATTTAACCAAAATTGCTTTTAATGGGTATTTTTTCTTGTTTTTCTGGCATAGGTTGATTACCAAAAATGCTATCTTATCTAAGGGTAGAAGATTTTAGATGAAATAATGAATTATAACCTCTTAAACTATTTTTCTTGGCTTTTTGAGAGTCTGTGTCTTTATCTTTAGGTCTGGGAGATTCCTTAAAATTATTCATACTTCCTTTATGGCGATATCCAAAAGACTGATTAAACGTGTATAAACTTTAGTATTTACTCAAATTATTACCTTAATTATTGTTATTTATAATCATCATAGAATTTTACATTCCATTATTATACCCATTTTAGTTCAAATTAGTTACAGCTTGAGAATTTTTCATATAACCTCCGTTTTAAGGATACATTGATTGCTCATCTTTTTATATTGATTATTTTTTCTTCAATTATGGACGTATGAAGAACGAATAAACACCAAAGTAATCTGGCTACTTCTACTGCTTTAAGGAAACATTTTCAATCATTTTAAGTACCATATTTAGGTTATGTTATGGGTAATAAACTGTGTAGAGTTTACTCTTTTCAAAGAATGGACTTATATCAATATTTTGCATACCTTCCGAATAGAATTAGTTATTCAACTAGAGTTGCTAAATGAGTAACTCTTTTTCTTTCTTTTTATTTAAATAGCTTAAATTTCTGTGTATACCTCTATTTTTTGAATTACTTGAACCATAAAAGTAACCTATATCCTCTGAATCATAGGTATGTTATTTGGAATTTGCTCCAAATCCTCCAGCTTTCAATCTCATTATATTAGGATTCGTACCACCTACTCCCATTGGTGATATAGTTGTGAAGCTATGCATATTTGAATAGCCTTGCATATTTTAATTCTAAGGGATTGCTATTCTTTGTAACATCTACATAATTTGTTAAAGCATAGCATTGCTGGTTGGTGTCTACCCTTAGAAGCTGGTATTATTATTATTGTCTTCTTCTTCAATTCCATGAGTTGTGTATTTTTTCAAGGCTGGTTTCTTTTTTAAACCTTACAATCCTAATGCATTCACACTCAACAAATTATTATTGGGCTAATATCCACTAGCCTATCCAAATCTATTCTAAGGAATTTTAGTATTCTAAAGATTATTGTAAAGATTACTATTGGTATTTTAAGTAGAAAAAATATTAGGAGTTTATTGCTAGATGTATGTAAATTATCCTTTATCATTGCTTCGAGGACTTTCTACATCAGAAGCATCATTCCTACTTATATCGTTTCTATGATTATAATCTCCTAAAGCTGAACCACCTGAGGTATAAATATTAGATACGTGTTTTTATATATTTGGTAAAATAGTTGCTTACTTCTCTCTAACACTATACATATAATTATTATTATAGTTATTATTATAACCATTTGTATTTTGATTAATCTGATTTTGACCACCTAAATTACTAGTGTTCTAAGTTAGCGACATATTGACATTTTCTTCTGTTAGACTAGGTTCATCAAATAAGAATTAGTAGTTAATTTATACAAATTATTGATTTTATTCACTACTAAAGTAAGCATCTTGCTATTCTATTACAAGATTAATATTCTTTAAGGAATTGAATTTTTCATCTTTCTACCTAACCTTTGCTACTCTTAATTGCTTAGTCGAGAAATTTTCTTTCAAAATAACTCTCTCTTGATCAGGGACGTAATGTACTAGATTACAACGATTTTACAAATGATCTTCCCTACCACAAACGCAGCATCTTTAATCGATTATTTTTAATTTATTATCAAATACAAAGCTATCTCTCATAAAGCAATATTATTCAAAATCTCTTGGATAGTCTTAAATTATTTATAAGAACTGACTCTTTGGTATTCCATAAAGAATGGCAAAATCTTAGGCTCTAGCACTAGCTTCACGTAATCCTTCTCTAAAGAAGTTAACTTCTCCAAAATAAGATCCTTGATTGATAACTTGAAGAATTGTTACTTCTTAATCTGCTTTATCTGTCTCAACGAATATTTCTATGTCTCCTTTGTCAACAATATACAAAAATGGATCTTCATCAAAATCATTTTACTCAAATATAATTTCATTTTTTGAGACACGCATTTCCTTATTAATAAAATTTTTAATATTTTAATTTAATAATTTTAAGTTTGTATTTAGTGGGAGGGAGAAAAAATACACAAATTTATTTACTGGTTTAATCGTAAAACTGTAAATAAAATAATAGATTGATTTTTCAAGAAAATTAAAAGTAAATAATTTAATTTACTGTCATTTTTAAGGCTAAAGTTTATAGGAATTCATTTGAAAAGTTGTTTTTTAAGATAGAGCATTAATTGATGATTTACAAATTTGATTCTAAAATGACTTTTTCACGTAAATGACTAGATAATTTACCCATTACCATTCTCTCTTCTTCCATCGAAAGTTAAGGCTCTGCATAAAATCTATATTCTAAAAACTTTCTAACTTATATCATAAGATCTCTATTGATTTTCTTCTTTTCCAATAGACGATTTACTAAAACCATTTCATTCTTGAATTCATTTGATAAACGATTTTATTCTCTTACCAGATCACCAATTTAGTTAAAACTATAAGCAAAAACACCACAACTGACAAACATAGCAATAGTTACGAAAAATGTTTCATAAAGAGTAATAGGAACTATATCACCATAACCAACTGTAATCATAGTTGTGACAGCAAAATAAAGAGAACAATTGTACTTGATAAACCAGTGTACATCATTACCATCAATTCCGTATTTTTCCATCCAATTAGTCTTAGTTATATCATAATTTGATTCTAAAACAGCAATTCCTTAGAAAAGGCAAGCAAAAATATGGCAAACACTGCAAATCATGAGTAACAATTGGAGCAAAGATAAAGTATTTTATGTTTTATTATTTTTTTAGGAGACCATTTCTTGTATTTAAGTTAAAATCCTTCTTGCAGTTTGAACTTTCAGCAAAATCAATAAATTCATTGGTCGGAGATAGTTAATATTCAACAGAGTCTGAGTTATTGGAATCAGAGCAAGCACATCATACAAGAAATTTCCTTTGAAATAGCTTTTCACTATTTCTCGACGATTCATTACAATCTACCCTTTTTCAAAAAGACCTGTATTAAATTTAACTATAATATCTATAAAAAATGCAAGCCAGTTGATTGCTTTGAAAATAATCCATGGCCTTCCGTATTTCTTATCATACTCATCTCCATTTATAAGTTCCAGTGGAGTATAAAATAGCGCAACTACAATAAACATAAATTAAATAATCAACCAAAACAACATCCAATTCGAAGTAGGATCTATTGGTTTACTTTCAACAATACAGCTTAAGCAGCTTTCTAACTGATGTTAAACATACTTTTTTGATGATGAGAAGACCCATAAAATTTTATTTTTGAGTATTTTAGATATTGTTGTTGATCTTAATCCTTTACTTTTACTGCTATCTACATAAAAATAGCTCAAATCATTAATAAGCATTAATTATTGCTAATTAAGTTCATGTAAGCCATTAAAGCGAATTTTTTTTTTCATAATTCTGATGAATTTGTAAATCATCAAAGAGCTTTTTATTGATAGCCTGAGAATAATATCTTGAACATTTTTGAATCCATTTTTTTTATTTTCTAGCTATGTTAACGGCCCAAAAGTAGCAATACCCTAAATATTTGATGTTTGAGCAAGAGTCATAGCTTTGTTTTAACGCCTATTATTTTTTTTTCCTTGAAAAAAGGAAAATGTTTCACCATTATTCATGCTATCAGAGCTTGGATTAATTCCATGCAACATTAAAAACCTGGCACTGTTTAAATTAGAATTTTAATCATTTGTTGGTTACGCCTGATTATTAAAGAGAATATCTTAAAGCTGATCAGGTGGAATATTGTTTAACACTTTATTGAAATCTATTCTCAAATCCTTTAAGGCAGAAAAAGTTGGGATGTTCTGCAAGGATTATTATTACTAGCTGTTATTACCTCTATATGATTTGAAATCACCTTCGCCCATGCTTGGAATATTTTAAAATTGCTAGTTAAAATATTGTTTATTATATTCTATCTTATCTCTATTTTTGACAAGAAAAACATCAAATTGCTGGAACTTTTACATCATTTCTTTCTTTTCTGCTAAGCTCTAGCCATTATCGTCTAACTCTACATCATCCTCTATTGAATGATGCATCTTTGGTAATATTTTATGATTGCAATCAGAAAATGACTAACTTGGGCGAGGTGATTTGAATTATAAAAGCTGCTCTGAATTGTAATTAGAAAATATGTTTTATTACTCATTTGCATCATTGATTTCTTTTGAAAAATAAGGCTCAATAAATTGAACCTTCTTCTTATTTGACATTTTCTTGATTCCTAGCGAGTAACTAAATAACTAATATGTAAATGTCTATATAATTGTATTATTTATTGATGCTATTCTTGATTAATATATATATTTTACTTTTGAAATTAATTAAAATTACTCTGGAATATTAATAACAAACGGATTGAAAGATTATTAGTTTATTTATAGGTACATTATTTTTTGCTCTTTGATATTTTGTTATAACAATTTTTGATTCATAATCCACATAAACAGTATTATCATAAACAATAACATGATCTTAACTCTTAATTTTTTTCATATACATGCTCTTACTAAATACTGCATATGTATACATTACATTAATAAATTATCAATATTTAGTTCTATCCTTTAAGAAATATTAAAGTGAATCTATTTGGTTAGAAAGAAAATCAGAAAAAATATTAATCCAATTGATTATCTCTAATTTTGTAGTTTAATATATCTGTATTATGCATATTTGATTTCAATCATGTGAGGGGTTCATTATTATGCTTATTATAATTAATAACTAACTACATTTAAATCTTCTATTAAAACTCAGACAAAAATTTAATTTTGCAAATTCTATCGTTTTTTTCATTAAAAATAGAAAGTATTTTCTTAATTAAAAAGAAAAAATTTTATATTTTCACATTAATTTGATAATTCTTCTAATTAAGATTTATATCAGCGTTATTTTATAAATATTTTATAATGCATTTAGATCATACTTTGAATTTTTTACCTTTGATCACTAAGAAAAATTCTAACTTACTTCTTGATAAATATCCAAAATAATATATTAATCTATTAAATTACTTCTTTTTTCTTTCTTTTAACAGCATTTCTAAATGTAAACCTCCATAAGAATATTTTTAAAGATATTTTAAATTTGGTTTAAAAAAAAAATATAATAAATTTTGCTTTTAATTCTAAACCTCCATAAAGTTGCAAAGCATTGTTTTATAAAAAAAAAATAATGAGAACAGAATCAGTTGTAACATAAAATATAAAAAATTATATATTTAACAGATAAATTAATTAGGTGTATACTTAACTATTTCGGTGTTTAAATCATTGATTATAGTTAAAAAAAATTATTAGTTATATTTGAGTTAAAATTAATTGATCTCAGGCATTATGAATCTAGTATTACTTAATTTATAAAGTACTAGTGAAAAATTAGTTTATAAGTATCCTTAACAATATAAGTAAAATTACTAATGAAATTGTTTAGAAATAAAAAAAGTGTATTTTAAAGCTCTAATTAGCTTAAAAAAATATTTATTAACAAATAACTTTATCTAATTTCTCTAAATTATCTACAACTATGTTACTGTTGTAAAATCTATTCGAGCGCATGATTTGAATTTTCTAAAAAAAGTCAGTTCTGGATTAAAATAGATAGATATTTTAAAGTATAATCTGTTATCTTGGATTAAAGCAATATCAAGATGTCTTTAATATTAAAAATAGAATAAAAATTAATATAAAAAAAAAAATAATCTTTTTTATTTATTTTTCAGGTTTTTTAATAATGTATATTAAATTTTGTTACTTTTAAGGAAAATATATTACAAATATTATGAGGATAAATAATATTTTACATAAAAATATTTGTTTTTATTTATTTTGATAGTTAAACATTAAATATTTGAAATTTTACATTTATTTATTTATATTATTTCTTGTTTGAATAATTTATTAATAAGTGTTTAAATAGGTGATTATATTCTTTATTAAATTTATTTATTTATTTAGTCTTATAAATAATTTTAGTGAGTGAGTATGTTGGTTGGTTAGTTAGTTATTTTTATAATATATTGTTTATTTAGATAGCTGTTAGATTGGAAATAGATTTTATCATTCATTGAGTGCTAGTTTTGATCAAAGAATTCTCATTCAAATATTACTAATTTTAGTCTAAGAAACTTTAATTTGTTATTTATTTTTTATAGTTTTCTTGATATCCACTGATACTATTTCTCATATTGTTGTATAACATATCGAACTATGGATCTTGCAAGTTAATATCGTCTTAAAATGCTTCAAGATTGTTGATTTCACTGTATTAAATAGGAGTCTACACTTATGATTACAAGTTGCTTTCTGAAGTTTCATTAATCATAAGAATATCTTTCAAATGTTCTTGGAAATCCTAAACATGAGTGTTTTCAATTACATGCATGCTGACAAGTTGGATTAAAGAATTCATATAGTAAAGATCCCAGCGACTTTCAGGTTTTATAATCAAATAGCTCTTCAAAACCATACTGATTATTTGATACCAATTGTCCTTTTCTTCAATGAAAAGAGCTGATGCTTAAAAGTTAACTGAATTCTTTGCAAATCTGTCTTACAACTTAACTACAAATTTAAAGGCTTTTTTAATTTTTTTAAAGAATTGTTGCTCATATAAGCATTGTTCTAATAGTGTATAAATTTCTTCAAGATATTTTTTATACTTCTCCTAAAGGTAGTTCTTTAAGCATTAGCTGAAACAGCGGTCTTTTTCAGAGCGAATTTTATATATTGTATCTCTATTTTTGTTATTGTATAGAGCTTCTCTGTCCTTTCCATAAAATGTATCTCTATCCATGAAATTCTAATTATTTTAGCTTTAAAATATTTCAACTAAATTCTAAGCATCTACTTATTCTTTTTTTTGTAATTCCTATTTAATTTACTGACTCTAATCATAGTTAGATTATTAATTTTAACTTTATATTGATGGTGATTAAAAATTAGGTTAGGAACTATTATTTTCTCTTTTAGAAAAGCGAATTTCTGATGTCACTTCCATTTGAAAATGTTCCTAATGAGCTTGATGATGATATTAAGCTGATAAATGAGATCTCTTAATTAGATGATCCTCTACTTCTATATAGGTTTAATTTTATTACTATTATTATTATTCAATCTAATTTTTTTATTATTCTTCTTCATGAATTTCTTAAATGTTGTTTGCTGCTCTAAGTTTTTCGCTTTTATCAATATCTTCGCTAAATATTGATTCGTTGAACTAATTGCTTTATCTTGCAACCTCTTCTTGAATACTATCTAAGGCGTTCTGCTTTTCTTGGTGTATGCTCTCAGAAACATTTGTAAAGGTGTGGCGTCTTAATTAAACTACACCGGGATTATTTCTTATAATAAAAGACTCTCTAGAATTTGCGAACTACTTAATCATTTTGATGTTAGCGTTAGTTTTCTATTCTTGGTTGGCCTATACTTTTTTTTCAGGTATGTTTGGGCTTTTTTCTCTAGCAAGAGAGCCGTTCTTCAGATAAGTGCTATTTCGGTTGGTATCAATGTTATTTAATGTATTTGAATTTAAATTACTACTTATGTTTAGGTAATTTTAATTAAATATAGATTGTTAACGCCCTAATAAACCATCAGCAAGGCTTTTGTTATTCATAGTAAATTGCATAGAGAGACATCTTTCTTAAAGAAATTCATTGAGTTCTCTGTCGTCATATTATAAATTAAGTGCTTTGTTTTAGTTAGTCTATACGAAACTCACATATATTGCTGATTATAAAAGAATTTTATTTTTTGTTCTAAAAAGTAGTTTTTCGACAATTTATCCACAAAATATTTGTTCATACAAATCCCTAGCTCCCATAAATATAGAGGGAACAAATTTGCCTAATATTTTTTATAATAAGAATTGCACATTTTAAGTGAGAACAATAGTTATTAGTTGAAAGCAATAGTAAATAAAGTCTGCTTCTTCTTTTGTTAGTCTTTTTGTCATTTTTATATAGAATTCTTACACAGACCTTTTATCATTTGAGTTAACTTTATCTTTTAGGTCTCTATAGAAATTTTATTCTAAGATTTAATTGAATCTTTACAAAGTAGGATTAACAACGAAATAGTTATCATCTTTTATTATATTTATCACTATATTTCGAAATTCTTTTCTCTATTTCTTTTTCAGTTCTTCATTTGTTTCATAAATCTTTGGGTTTTCATTAATTTTTGACAAGCTTTCTTAATTAATTGAGCCATCTGACATGCTTAAAGCCCTTTAATATTTATCCAATACGCTAATATGATAGAAAATCATCAATTTTTTTCTTTCTGTCATTGTAATTTTATCTTGTATTTTAGAATTTTCAAAAATTTAATACAACGAATCTTTCTTATTCATGTTAAAGAGACTTTCAAAGCAAGCCGAAATCCTTTAGAATTGAGGGCCTGGCCTTTCAAGCATGAATTGCTTTGCTTTCTTAAATTTCCCATATTCCTCAACCAAAAAATTCAAAATAAACTAATAGTTTTCATTGAGATTATTTTTATACTAGATATTCTCTATTGGAACATTCATAACTTTTTCCATCAACCTATTGATTTTATCAAATTTTTAATTAAGGTCAGTTTAAAGCTTCTTAGATAGCGCCTTCTTAGCTTAACTGTTTTTATTTGCCTTGTCTGATTTTCCATGGTCATTTCCCATCTTGATTTTGAATTTAAAGTCAATAAAACTTTTTTTACAATTTATTCGCTTAGTTTTTAAGATTTGCTTATACAGCTAAATGAAATTAGTTTTAAGTGACGATAATATACTATTCTTCCTAATATTCAAATTAAACAAGCAGTATTGATTTGATAGTAATAAATTTGAAGTTATATTATAATTTATATTCTTATGTGATAAGAATTATATAAGATCCTGCTCTCAATTGTATGTAATTATACCTAAAATGTATGAAGCTTATGTAATCTATTTTTTTTAAAGCAGAGTAGGAATAAATAAATATATTTGCGAACTTTCAAATATAACAATAGTTATTTCTTCAGTTTATAAAAATAATCTGAAAATTGCTTTAAATAAAGCTTTTAAGAGTTTATGCGTGCTAGTTAAAGTGAATGTAAACCACCTCCTAGAAAATATTTTGAGGATGACTTCGTACCAGATATGGTAATGAAGCTTTTTCTAAAAGTATTATACTATTTGTATTGGTTTTGATAATCTTTTATTTCTCTCGTATTATTTTTTTAAGTCAAAATATTAATTGCATACAGTAAAGAGAATCGAATAATTTTTTGTTCATCAAATTAATTTGTTTATTAAATAAAAGGAGAAAATAATTAGACTTTAATTACTCTCTACACTAATTAATTTCTAAAAATCAAATTAAATTACAGTGATAATAATTTGTTACCAATCGAATACTGATTTTCATAATGTGTTAATACTAATTTTCTGTGAGCAATCAAAAGGCAAAGCATTATGTATAATACATACTTTCATTAACTTAACTTTAAGACTGCAATTTGTTAATAAATGTATTAAGCAATTGATTGTTTAATATATAAATAGATGTAAATAAATATTTACAAATGCATATTTTACAATTACATTGATATGACTAAAGATTTTTCTATTTATTCTTTTTTATTTTGCTATTTTAATTTGTATCTAAAATCACTGATTTACTTTGTCACTTTATCTATTGAATAGAACTATCTCATTTACAGATAATTAAATTTTAAGATAAATGTTTTTTTAAATTTTTATTAATACATGCATACTTATTTTACTCACTTTTATGTTTATTACAGAGCCAATTTAATCTTTTAGAAATCACATTTTTAATTTATATCTCAAATTTATGGACTAAATATCTTTCTCATATAGAAAACTCTACTATCATTGATTCCAAAGCACTAAAAACTATTTGTAGAAGAAATTTAATTTAAAAGCCATGATTCTATTTTAAAAATGATAAAAATGGATTTTCATCCAGAAAATTATAGTATATAGAAACTTATATAAATAATTCAGGTAGTTCAGTTATAAATTTGGAATATTAGGATTTTAGAAGTAAGTTATCTAAAGATATTTTAAAAGAAAATATTAATACATATATTCAAATGTCTCTTAATATTCTTTTATAAAGCTTGTAAAAGTAAAGCTTAAGGGCTTTTAAAAAGAAGTAAAAAACCACCTTCTAACATAAATTTAAAATTAGATGAATAATTATAACATTAACTTCGTCAGTCAAAAATGATAAGCTAAAATAAATTAAAAATTGTTTTTTAGCTCACCTTTATTTTCCATTTTATTTAAATATAATTTTTAAATTGTAATTAATTTCTTAATATTCACCATAATAATAACGAATGATGAAGTCATATAAAGTGATTCATTTGAATCATAGCATTAATTCTTTTATTAATTCTTGATTAAAATCATTGAAATATCTAAATTATAGCTAAATAAGTTTATTGAATTACTCACAAATTTATTCATTAAGATTATCTATTCTTTTATTTTTAGAATATTTAAATTTCTTAATTTAAATAATTGAATGAATCTTAACTTTAAATTAATGCTTTACTATTATTTTTTTAAAGTTTATTTTTTTGTTTATTTCATTTAAATAATTTTTATTTTATTTGTCAATTATAAATTTATTTTCAGCTATTTGAGTTACACTTTTTATTTGCTATCATAAGTTTCAAAATCTGTAGTGTTATGGTATTTGCTATCAAGTAATTTTTGGTATTATAATTATTTTATTTTTAAGTTTATTATTCTATTTTTCAGCAATTCAAGCTTTAAGAAAGTTTGTCTATTTTTAGAATCAATAAATTAATATATATTCAAATTTGTTTGATAATGTAAATTTCCTATTCTTAATGACTCTCTGTTGCTTAATTTTTTCAAATTTTCTTTTAGAAAAATCTATCTATCTATTATATGATTATTTAAACTTAATTATTACTTATATTTTTTAAAGAGCTGTCCATTATTATTGATTATAATATTTAAATTTTAAGTTAATAAATTATTTATTTTAAAATAGTCCAAATAATATGAATGTATTATCCATCAAATATTGAGTTTCAAAATAAATTATAAAAGGTATCTTATGCAATTGCGAAATTTATGAATAAAGTTATAAAAAAAATTTGAATATCCTAAATTAAACTAAAAAATTACAAAAATAACATTTAAATATAAATATAAACTCAAAATTTAATTTATAATTATAAAAAATGTTAAGTTGATATTATTAACTTAAATATTTTTAATTTGATTTATTCAATTTTCAAAATTCATTCTCTTTAATGACATTATATTTATCTTAAAAAAAGTATTTATTATTAAATGCCTTTTATTTAAAAAGTTTAAATAATATAAATGGTTAATTTTTTCATTCATTTATTTATATTTTTTTAAAAATTATCTTTGATTTTATTTTTTAAAAAAGATGAATAAAATATTTTAAAGTTAAATAAATTAAATTTAAAAAATGTATGTTTTAATTTATTAAGTAAATAAAACCTGATGGTAAATATAAAGGAACTATATTATTATTTTTATTTTGAATATAGAAATCAAAGTAAATTTTAGTTTAATAAATATATTTTCCATTTATTGAATATTAAAAAAATCAAAATAATAATTTAATTTAAATGAAAATTAATTAAAAATTTTCATCAATTTTTTAATTGAAAAGCTATTCAGTTTTTAATTAACACTTATGTTTTTTTGAGCTATCAATAATAATAAAAATAATTCTATTTTTTTTACAATTATTTTCTTAAGATATTTATAAATAATGTTTTGGTTATAAAAAAACTTAGTAAATTTTAGTTCAATTTTAAAAAAGATTCGCTGGTTTTTTATTTATTATTAATCAAAATTATTTTTGAATTCAAAATTTTAGTAAAATTGAATTTTGGCAGAAATTAATTAATAAATAATTCTAAAATACAATATCTAATTTATTTATAAACAATTCAAGTATTAAGCTGGCTACTTGAAATTATAAAATCTAATATTCAATTCTATCATTTAATTTTATTTAAAATGAATATGTTTAATAGTTTTGGTTCTTTAGCATATGTAAACCCTCAAAAGGCTACATTGACAGAATCACCTTTGCTTAATGAAAGTTAATAAAATTTTGACAGTCATAGGAATTCAAAATCAAGATATTCGAGGAATTCGGAAGAATTACAAAAATCATTGGTCAAAAAAACTAAAAAAAAGTAAATTTAGAAAATTATAAATGATGAGAATCCTAAATCTGTGCAGCAATAAGCTGTTAAGACAGTGCCTTAGATAAATAAAAAAAAGCTTGGGTTTTTTCCAAATAGAAATCAAACAAAAAACGATATGAAAGGAGCTTAATCATTGGACAAAATAAAAGAATTAAGAAAAGGTGATAATTAAAATTCTAAGCAAATTGATCAAATATATTTAAAGAAAAATCTTAGTAGCCTTAGTAGAAACAGCTTTCAAAGTTAATCATCATTTTCCAGCTTTCAATCAAATTCTACTAATAAATCTAATTCTTAGCAAGGATTAAGTAAAAAACAAGTAAAAAGTAATAGCACTGATAAAAATAAAGGAAAATCAAACTTAAATTAAGATAAAATATAGAAAAGTAACTTTGGAAGTGCTTTCTCTAGCGTTAGGACAAATGCTAAGATGGCTGCTTAGCAAATTAATCCCGATGAAAAGAAGCTTTAGGAGGAAAAAAGGAAATATGAACTTTAACTCAAACTAATTAGGGTTAAAAATTAAGAGTTTGCCAAAAAATGCAAAATTAAATAAGTTGATTGGAAAAAAGTTTAGAAGGCATAAGCTAAGCAGAAGATTACAGAAAAAATTTAAATTTGCAATGAAGGGATGAGAGTACAACAAAATATGCAAAAAGCTATTGATGATTTCGAATAAGAATAGTCTAGTATATTGGTAGAATATAAAAATGTTTCTGAGGAAATGCAAGCCAGATTTAAATTTTTTGAGGAGATGGTTGCTCCATATGAGGAAAAAATGAAAAATGATATTCATGCAAGAAATTAACTTTTAATCAAGACAAGTGAGTAAGAAAAATAACTAGAATATTAAAAACAGATAAATTCGAATGTTTAAGAGGATAACTCCTCATTATATTTACAGAATCTCTTGCTAATGGAATAAATTGCAGCACTTAAATCTAAGAAATAATCTTTGCTCGATTAACAAGTAGAGATTGATAATCAAAATAAATAGTTGAAAGAGAGTGCTGATATAAAGCAATAGCATTTAAGTTTACTACAAAAGCATTATGATGAGCAAGCTTCAAGGTCTTTATGGTTGAAAAAAGAGATCAATTTAAAAAAGAAAGGAATATTTAATATAAATATCATATCTGAAAAAAAAATGCAAAATAAAATGGAAGTCCTAGAGAATGTGCAAAAGGATTAAGTTTTGTAAGAATTAGATTAGAACAATAATTAGAGACTTGCTTTAAATTAACAAAAGCATGAAAAATTATTATAAGAGGAATTAGGCTGTCATAATAAGGAAATAATTTATCATTATACTTGCCAAATTGGTTATTTAGAGTCTAATTAATATGAACTTCTTAGAAGTATAACTGATTTTGAATACTTCACTCCTAATTAAGTATATGGAATTTTTTATAGCGATGATAGCTACTAAAAAGTTCATGGATTCTTGTTAAAATTTATGACATTCTTTACATGTAGTAAAATAAAAAGCTGCAATCTAATTATATATAACAGTGAAGGAATGCCTACTTTTTAAACTATTTCTGAAGACACTACATTTGAATAAATAATAAATTCAATAAAAAATATTACCAAAGAAGAATAGCTGCTATCTCCTTCTTCTTAAAATTTAGGATTTACACTACACATTGATATTTTAAATTAATAATTTTACTTAGGAAAATAATTTAATATAGTGATTGCATGTGTAAATCAATCAACTTCGTCTTTAAATGTATAAAATCAGCTAATAAATCTATTTAGAAATAAGAAAATATAGTCATCAGAAAACTTGTCAAGCAATAATTCAATATTAATAAATAATCAAACAAATATGAATAACTAATTGTCTTCTTTGATAGATAAAATATAAAAAAAATAGCAATTCGAATTAAATTAAGAGTTGTAGAGTCAAAAAGAAAATTTTGATAAGGATCAAAATAGTATCAATATAAATGGATTTAACTGCCAAGCTAATCAGATAGGTAATGAGCAAATTTCTACACTATAGATGTAATAGAACTAATAAATTTAAGCTTTAAAAAGAGTAAAGTATAACGATATTTCACCAATGATTAATAAGAATGTAAAAAATATAAATGTTATTTAGGGTACACCTAAATGCCAAAAAAATAAAATAATAGCTAATTAAGCTTCGTAAAATAGAAGTGGCACCAAAAAAACTGGAGGAATAAGATCCCAAAGCGAAGATAGGAGTAGTGTTAAGAAAAAATAGGAGAAATTATAAGAAAATTTGAATAAAACAATAGTAAATCAAAACTAGACAAAGCATGAGAATAAATATATTATTAGCTACATAAATGAATACTTTAAAAAACCAAATAGGCTTTTTACAATACATTTTAATGATCAATATTAATTTAAGTTTTGAACTAATAAAGAATATTAAATAATTCTTTAAAAAAATATATAATTTAAAATAAAATGAAATATTAAGATTACATTTTTTCTCTGAACTAAATAAATTCAACATAATAATATGTAATTATATTCAATTTTCAATAACTTTAATATGTATTATCTTTAATCATGAGTGTATAATTAATAAATTACATTTAAATTTAAAAACTATCAAAATCTATTATCTATTTGGATTTATAGTAAAGTTAATTGACTATCTATTTTACCCTTTATTTTTATTATTTCACATTCTAATTATTAATTGTTACCCACTCTTTTACTTTATTGAATTAGAAACAAGTATTGTTTTTTAGAAAATTATCTTAATTTTCATTCATATAAGTGATATGATTTTCATCTAAAAAAAATAAAAGTATGGCCAATGGCCTAATATTGCTAAGAACTTGCTAAACTATGAAATTTTATACCATATTAGCTTTTGATTATTTACTGTAGAATTATTTTTATTTTATAACCCTAAAAAAATTATAATCCACATTTCAATTATAATAATTATTAGTTAAGCATTTTTCCTTATAAATTAATATTTTAGGAGGGGATCCAATTAATTTATTGGCAATTATCTAGATCTTTTATCATGTCTTTAAATAAAATCATCAAATAATATCTGATAATTAATATTTCTAAAATTAAAACAAATTACAATTAAAAATTGCCTTCAAATCCAATTATCAACAATAAACAAGCGATTATTAATTAATTAAATAAATCTTATTTGAATTATAAAAACAAAGTGAATGACTGAAATGAGCTTAAAAAACTGCCACATCGGCGTTTAAGATCAAAAGCAAATCTAAGACCCTCTTTAATGCAATTTAATTATGAATGATGAAGAAGCCCATAAAAATTACCATTTCTAAGCAGATTAGTCAACTTTAATGGTGAAGATTAGGTAAAATTATTCTTTTCAAAGTTTCTAATTTATTAACTTTATTTTTTAATCAATAAAGTGATGAATCTATCTTCGAAAAAGAAAATGAAATAGTTCATCTTATTAAAGCGCATCCTAATATTAAAAAACTAAATATAGTTTTAAGGTAAAATCTTAAATATTATTTTAATTTATTTATTTTATTTTTTTTGCTATAGTAAGGGAACAATCACAATTATATAAGCTAAGCTGATAGGTGAAAAGCTAAGATAGATAAAGAATTTGGTTGAAGTAAACATTCTGTTTCACTGAAAAATGAAATAGTTAGCTATTAAAGTTAACAAAATAATTTATATTAATCTCTTATTAAATTGAAATATGCCTTAAAAAATGTCAAGTTAAAAGATGAAAAATCATTAGAAAAAAGCAAAATATCATATAGAGCTAATTGTATCAAAATTAAATACTTAATCAATAATTTAAAAATAATTTAAAAAAAACTTATAAAATAATTAAAATAATAATAAATAATGCATATCTATTTTTCTTTTGTTTATATTATAATTTTTCTATGCATTTTGTAATCAATTCAGCTATTAAATCAATATTCGAATCAAGTCATAAACCTACTAACTTTAATTTATTCTAAAGAAAAAATTACAATTTTTTATATTTGAAAATTTAATGGATATGATTAATTTTTATTTTCTTAAAAGATTTAAGTATATCTAGATATCATAAATTACTTTAATCACAGAAAATGTAAATTTTAATTATTTAAAGGGGGTGGATAGTCTACTTTTCAAGTTTTTTATTTCATAAAACACTTAAAAAGTTGGTCATAAGCTTAGATACACCGTTTATATAAAATTTTCAAAGGTAAAATATCATAAATTTAATTATAGACAAATAAAAAAATGAGGAGAAAAAAAGATATTAAACAGTTGTAAGTTTAGTTTTTTAACTCTTTTAAACAAAATAGCAAGTGGGTAATAGATAGATCATTCGCAATTTCAAAAATATAATAATCTATATAATCTGATAAATAAATCAATTTTGATAGAAAAAATTAGAGATCACTAGAATTATTAAGCTTAAAACTATCAAGCAACTCCTTTAATCTATAATTAATCTATATTTATAGATATAGATAAAATTAACAAAATTCTATATAAACATGAATTAAATTAATAAATTAATTCACTTGTATCAATTAATCTATTCCCTAAAAATTTTTTTTTAAATTAGCAATTCATACATTTTTGTAAAATTAATTTGCTTCATATATAGTATTGTTTAAATATTTAAAATTAGTAAAAAAAAAAGTTAAAAATCTGAATTTAAATATTTAAACATAGTTTGGATGAAAACAGTTACATTTAGTATGCTTATGATATTTATATATTCTTTAATAATATAAAAGTTTAAGGATAAATCCTAAATATTTCTTATAGTTTAATGTCAATAGCAATTTTAGATATAAAAAAATATTTCTTTCAATTTAATATTTATTTTAAAAATTTTAAGTTTGTAAAATTAAATTATTTTGGTTAATGTGAATATTAAATATAAGTTTAAAATTTAATGAAAAAATTTAGGCTAATATATTTATAGTAACTACAAACGATATATGGATACAAAAGATACTAAGAAGTAGATATATAGGACCAAAATATATTAATATAAATATAAAACATATTTTTGAACCAGATATCATTTCTTAGTATCTTCTGTTCCCAGATATCAGCTCCCCAAACGATTTAAATATGAGTAAAATTTTAGTATAGTATATTTTAATCAATTTATAAGCTGAAAAGCTTAATTTAGTTTGATAATTTAGGGATATGAATATAAAAATTAATTTAATTATATCTAAATATATAAATAAATTGTATTTAATTATTATTTAGAAAAATAATTTATTTTTAACTTGCTCAGACTTATTAATTGAGATTTTATTTTTATTTATTTTTTTATTTTGACTCCAAGCATTTGAATCAATCTAAATACTTAAAAGTTTAACTCAGTTTGATAATATAAAAATTAGCTTAAGCATATTATAATAAATATTATTTTCTATATAATTTAAAATGATAAATAAATTTCAATTGCTTACATTTATTAAGTAAGATTTTGTTTACTTTTGACTTTTAATTTTTTATTCTTTAATAAATCTAAATACTGAAAAGTTTCATCTATTTGATTTGATAATGCTAAAAATATAAAAATTAGTTTAAGAATATAATAATAAATATATTAATAATATTAAAATAAATTTAGTTAGACTATTTATTGTTTATAATTTACTAAGAGCTATAAATAATACTTTATTTATTTTGTCTTTAATATTTTAATCTTTAATTAATCTAAATACTGAAAAACTTCATCCATTGTTTGATAGGCTTTTGCTTAAAATATAGAAATTAGTTTAAGCATATGATAATAAATATATTAACTATAATTTAAAATGATTATTTATTTATTTTTTAATTTTTAAAGTTATAAATAATATTTTGTTTATTTTGAATTTTTGGTTTTAAATACATCAAAACAAATTCAATTTAAAAATAGAAAAATTAATCAAAAAAAATAAATATTTTTGGTTACTTTAATTACTTAATCTACAAAATATAAACTATTTTTAACATAAATGTGTGTATTCTTTATAAATTACAAGCATTACAAAGTAATTTAATAAACATAATTCATATAATTTAAAAAATTTTAATTAAAAATTCATGCTAAAAATGAAAAATAAAATTATCAAATTATTTTATTATGAGTTTAAGTTTATAATTTAAAAAAAACATTTCTTTTTATTATTGAGAAATCAAAATAAATATTAATATTTTTCTTATTTTCACAGCATATTTTATTTTATTTAAAATTTTTCAAATATTTATTTTTGAAATTTTCGATTATAAATTTAAAATTAATAAATTTAAATTTATTAAAGGTAGATTAAATAAATTTAATATTTTAATGATTAAAAAATTATATATTTTAAATTATTTGAAAAAAAATATATTATTAAGCTGCAAGCTTTTCCTTAAAAAGTTTTTTTAGTAAATATATCAATAAACATTAAAATGATATTCAATTTTTTTAAGCAAATTAAATAAAAATAAATAAGTTTTAAAATAATGAAAATAAATATTATAAGAGTAAGAAATATTTAAGAAAAAATAATTATTTAGTTAAATCAAGAATATAAAAGAAAAATAATTATTCCAGAATTTCATAGAATATCCTTTAAAAATAGAATCCATAACAAAGCATAAAACAATAATATAGCAACAAAACAAGGTTAAATAGGAATTTTCTACATTTTGAAAATTTTACTTTTTTCAGAATTCATACATATTTTAGGTCTAATTTTAAGAGAATCCCTTTTTTATCTCACAAATCGTTAACAAACTATGAAATTAAGATAACTAACTAATTATACTTGTTCTAAAAATATAATAATAGTGCATGCTCAAAAAAAATAAATAATAAATCCACTAAAATTATTACAGCTTTTGAAAACTTTTTTAAAATATAGCTTCCATGTTAGGCATATTCAATCACTTAGTAAAATAAATTTTATTTAATTATGAAATTGGATTGCCTGCCTATGAAAATAACACGTTTAAGAAAAATAGATGAACCTATAACTCTGATTAGCAATTCTAAATAACACAATAAAAATCTTTGTAATATCAAAAAGTGATGCAACTAAAAATATTATTCACATTAAGGAAGAATATCTTTTTCAAAACTTAGTGATTGCTATAGAGTATTACTTTTTTTGATTATCCCAAATTCATATTAAGCTTAAAAAGCTTTATAATCCCTGAAGTAAATTTTAGTTATGTGCTTGAGTAACAAGTTTTATAGAATATCTAATAATTTTAATCAGCTTTCTTCCCCACGAAAAAGCTCTAAATAAAGACTTTAATGATAATTCAAGTAAATTTAGTTTGATAATTTCAAAAGAAATTTTTAATTTGCAAACTAATTAATAACTTAGATCTCTTCCTTTCTTGCTTTCTTTCTTTATTTAAATAAATTTACCCTATTAAGGTTTATAAATTGCATTTTTCCCTTCTTAGGCTTATTATAATCATACGATTAAAAAAGGGAAAAAAAAAATTTTTGATCTGTTTGCATTATTTTTTTCTTTTATAATCTATTCATGTTTATAAATCAAATTTCTAATTAACATGTTTTTAAACTAAGCAAAAAGTATTTCTTTTCTATTCAACTATTTTTCTCAAATGCTAGGTAGTACTAACAATCAACATTTTTTAATTTTGTAATGATCTGGAAATATTCCATATAAAATCCATATAACTTCTAAAGTTTTACTTAACTTCTCTCCAATTTTTTCATTCAAATTTCGACAGCGCAAACAATTGTTCATTTTACTATTTTATGTATTTTTTCAAGAATGCCTTAAATTTATCTCTGAAATATTTAGAAGAATCTGTGAAGATTTTAGATTTCAAATTTTTAACTACTGAAAAAGGATAAAGGTATGATAAATTCATAAATATGATCAAAGTCAATAATGATACTTTTTTTTTCCCCATAACAATTCGCAATGTTATTTTGAATTATATGAATAGCTAAACAAAAGAAAGCTATTTTAAATGTTAAATTTTATTATATGCAGAGAGAGAGAGAGAGCAATTTACAATTTAATCTGATGTTTCAATAATAAGTATTGCTATTATATAAGACTACGCTACCTATAAAATAGAGTGTATTTCGAAAGAGTTTTTCATAACTTTAAATAATCTAATATGAAATAATACTAGATACACTAAATAGGAAAAAAAATTACCTTATTTTAGATGAAACATAAATATTTTTGAGCTGAGGATTCTTAAGCTAAATGAGCCTAAAAGAAAGAAAGTACTTGCTAACAAAGCTTGCTTAAAAAATCTGTGCTTGAGCGAAGATGAGATGAGATAGATAAATAAGAAAAGAAATTGTTATAGCTAGAGAAAATTATTATAATAAGTATGGGAAGAAAAGTTGGGTGATAAGAGAGGTGATTCAAGTTACATATTATTGAATGAAAAGAAAAAAATGAAAAGATAAATAAGTAAACAAATAAATATGAATAAAGAGATAAATAGAAATATGAATTGAATGATAAGGTAAGAATGTGGAGGTTCCTGAAATTATACAAGTATATAACAAATAATTTTGATATTTTAAAACATGGTTTATGTTTTTTGAATAAAATAATGGAGTTTGGAAGATAAGAAATTAAATTAAAATATAGGTTTAGTTTTAATAAAAAGGTTTGCGCTGAGATAGCTATTGACCAGTTGATCATTCACCTCTCTCCCCGCAGTTTTTAGTATTTGTGAAATGATTTTTCTTTCAAGCCTTGTTGGTTTCGACGACAAAGAAACGGAAGGTGTTGAGGAAGAGGTTAGTTTTTGAGGTCAATCTCTTCATGTAACTAATGTTCATACCATTTTCCTTCATAATATTAGTGAATTCATTTTCGTAAGTGATTTAACCAAAGTCAATGGAAGTGAGGTACTTAAGGTAGGGCTTAACCTTGCCAGCCATTTCTTAGATAAGGCCCTTCTTTTGGAAGAGGGTCATGAGGAAATAGATCTTACCGTTATCAGCAAGTAAGTTCTTAGCAATTTCAAGAGCTTTAATTCTGTCGGGCATGAGCATGAAAGAAGAAGAGAAAATAATAACGTCGTACTTCAAAGTTTTTTCCTTTTCCATGTCATAGAAGTTCATGTATTTAATTTCAACGTTAGAGTGTTTACTGAAGATCTTCTTGGCAGCAGGAATATAGTTGGTGTCAATATCAATACCAGTTACTTAGACGCTCTTAGGGATTCTGTCAATAATAGAGTAGAGAGGATGACCAGTGCCAACACCGACATCTAAAATTCTTTTGAAGTTCTTTTCGTTACCTTTCCATTAGTCAGCCATATCAATATAAGAGTATCTAATTATTAAAATATATTATTTAGATTAAATCCTTCAAATTTTGTTTGTTTAATTTTCTCGCTTTCGCTTTGCTTTCATTTCAAAACTATTGTTGTTCTGTTATTTTTTTTTGCGATTGCTTATCTAAACCATAATGGTTGAAACAATTGTCTAAAAAATAAATGAAATTAGTTGTTACCTTGTGAGATAGACTGAGTATATCTTGTTGTAGATCAAGACGGGAATATAAGATAAGATGAATCTAATGAATTAGAAAATCTTGCTGAAGATAGTTCCGATCATTTTAGTTTGATAATTTATTTTTAAGAATATTTTTTGACAATTTTTTGTTTTACAATTTTTTTGTTTGATATTGAATTATGAACAATCGAGACAATTGTTAGGTTTTGAAGTTGAGATAATTGATTATCAAGCACTGATTATTTCCATTCAGAGTAGTAAAAAACATTATAAATTTATTAAAAGCTTCTCTTTTTTTTCTAAAAAAATACTAATGTACTCCCCTCCCCCCACCTTAATCAAATTTTTTCAATTGAGTAAAAGAATTAATCGCAAAAATAACAATTTTACCACCCTAAAATCACCTTTTTGTTTTAAGTTGATAAAAAACTCATGATCATACATTCAAACACATAATTCCTATTTTATGTAATTCTGAAGCCAAAAGTTCCTTCTTAATTTATTTATCTTCTTTTCCATTCCAAATAAATAAATAAATTATCCATTATTAATTATTGAAATGAAGTGATTAAAGTTTTGAGTCCAATTATTAATTAATTTATAAAAACTTGTATTTTTTAATTCAAAAGTGAATAAAAACCTCTTTCTCGAATTTTTCTTTTATTAAAATGTTCACACTTTCTTTGATAATTCTTTTTTTATTCCAATCTATTTTCCTATGTAGTACAGTTAATATTTTATAAATTCATTTACACACAAGAAGAATACTAAACTTCTAGATAATAACTTGTTAGTTTTTAAAATATTAAGCTATGCGAATCATAGTACTCCTAACTAATGCATGTTAATATGTTAAGATTATTTGAGATTGATTTATTCTTCCAAAGTTAGTTTTCCAGAAGAAAAAAAACAAGCAAGCTCCATTTCAAATTTCAAAGAACAAAAGTAATTAAGTTAAAATAGCTTTGAACAAATCTATTTAAAAAACACAACGTATATAAATAATTTACTAAATTTGTACAGATTCAAAAGTGAGCGAGATCTTAGGCAAATTAATATTTTTTTCAATTTCATTTAGAAGTATCAGCATTTCCACTCAAATTGGATTTACATTTGTACTTTAAATTTTTTTTCTTTGTTTCTTGAGTTTTTATCAAAGATATCCAAACAATTGTTAAAAAAATAAAAGAGACTCTTCTTAAAATAAAAAATTGCAAAAAATTTAAAAAATCCTAAATTTGGAGCTAGCTTATTTGTTTATATATTTGAATTATTAATCTTTTAATATGTAAAGTTAAGTCAATCAATTTCATAATAAAGCTCTAAGAAAGTTATTCAATAAATTTTGATGTTTACACCTCATTACAGATATTTATTTTTAAGCTAAAATCATTAATTCCCTCTTTATTTTCTAAATTGTATTTATATTATATTAGTTGAAAGACTATTTTAATTTTATCTTTTCATAATTAAAATAAATCTTTTGTTGTTGTAAAAGATTACTTTTTTAAAACAGTTGCCACGCAACTCTTAATTTTAAAGCAAATAAAAAATATATCATCATTATAATCTATATTATTTTTCCAAAAATTATAAAAATTAAGTTAATCTCTAAAACTTTTATTTGTTTTTAAAATGATAATTTTTGTTTAGTTAAATAAAAAATATAAAAAATAATTTATGCAGCTATATTCTAAATATATTATTATTTATTCATAATCTTGTAATGCTATTTTACTTAGAAAATATATTTTTTAGATTTTAAACTCTACGAATATCGAATAATAAAAAATATGCAATTAATAATTATTTCTATTTAATAAATTTCTAAAAAATAAGTATAAAATTAAATAAACATCGAAAACATTTAATAATACAAGCATTATAATAGATTATTTTTGAAATTCGAATTCCTTCTCAGTTTTTGAGTGATATTTAAAATAAAATTTGCTTAAAAAATGATAAACCTTTTGATTGATTTTATAAAACCATTATCACATATAACAATATGTTACAAAAAAGAAAGAAAGAAAAATTATATTTATTTTATAAAGCAAACAAAATAAAGACTTGTAATTAATATAAATTTCGTATAAAATCATCAAACAACGAAAACAATTTTTAATTTATTTTTAAAATGTTCAGAAAATTAAATAAATATAAAATAAATTTTTTAATTTAAAATTAAAGTTTATTTTACAAATTTATTATAAAATCAATAAAATTATTTAAAGTTTTTAAAAAAAAATAAAGCTAAATATGTCTAAATTAATTTTGAAATAACCTTAATGTTAATTTTTAATTTATATATCAATTATGTTTCAGTCATTGATTTTTTAATACTCTCAATTATTTTCAAAATGTATTTTGCTGATGTTATTAAAACTACTCTATAAATTTTGTTATTATTTGTGGAATTAATGTCAAAAGACCTAGTGCTATTGTGAAAAAAGTTTCTTAAAAATTTAACTTTAATAGATTAAAGACGTAATAGCACTTCAGTTTACTGTCTTAAATCAATTATTTTTGAATGTTCTTTAAACTTTTCAATATATTTTTTAAGATTTTTTATTATAAAATATTTTCTTAATATTTTTAATAAATAACTCCTTGAAACTATTGTTAATTCTGGATATAGAAATCAGAAACAAACATTATTTTCGAGCATAATATGTCATAGCAAGTAAATACATCCTAGTAGTCTTGTTCTAATTGTATAGAAGATGCCTACAATTTCAAATCACCTTCATTTTGCTTTTAAAAAGAACTTTTATCAAGGATTTAGGGTTTATAGTACTATTCTGTATGATCTGCGTTTTAAGGTCTAATTATATTACTACTATCCTCAATTTGATGCTAATTATCAATTTGTTTTGTTATTTGCTCATCTTTAAATTGATATCCAATTTTGTGGTCCTCGACAATTTCTAAATATTTTTATTTTGTAGTTCCTCTTTATTTAAAGTAGTAATCATATAGCTGCTCCATATCAGAAACAACTGATGCAATTGAATCTATCTAATCACTTGTTTCATCAAAAACATCATTGTACTTAGAACCAAAATATATTCTAAATAAAATTAAGGTATTAAGAAGAATAAAGGTGAAAGTAGATGATATCACAGTTAGAGGTTTTAATAATATTGATTCTTTATTAATTACAATATAAATTTCTCCATAAGCAGCTATTGTAATATTAAAGACAAATAAATAGTAAAAAAATAGACAAGTGTAGGTCCACTCAAGCTTTTTAAGTATTTCTTAATAATAATCATAAACTGCACGACGTGAGTTATCCCATGTTTCCAAGCTTTAAGCACAAGTTACATCAATAGCGTTCATATAATCTATTTCATCTCCATATAATTTAATAGCTTAGTTAATATTATTAGACATTATAGTCTTACGACGGAGATCGTAACTGCTAAGCATACAGTTTAAGCAATACACTTCGTTGATACTAAATAAAGTAATAACAGAGATATGAAATAAATCTTGAAGATTAAGTGTCTTCTACTATAAAAAAATATAGTAAACACAAAATACAATCTTAAGAAAAGTGATTGCTGATAGTGTTAAAAACTATGAAGAGCATGGAGATAGAAATTTGTTTTACCCTTTAACTAACTAGAAACCAATATACTACTTAATATTCAAATTTTTCATAAAATTAACTAAACAATTGAACCTCTAAGATTATACATCAACTTCCAAATTTTCAAAAATAATTCTCTAGTATTCTTTCAGCCATTATTTATTGTCTATAGGTGTATCCATAATAGAAGTAGAAAAGCATCCGTCTATGTGGATAAATAATACATCTTCATCTTCCTTGTTTAAACTAAAAATATTTTTGAATTTTAGAGAAAAGTCATTTTTCTTAGTCATTTATATGATAGAAAATATCATAGTATGCGTAATAAACATTATAAATCCATCTATGTACCAAAAAAAGTAGACATTCTCCTTCTTTTCATCAAAAAGAAGCTCTTTAATTGTTTCATAGCATACATAAACTATGGTAAATGAAAATATTATGCAAAATATTGGATTTACGAAGTCAGAAAGAAAATTTCTTTTACTGCATTTACATGAAAATATATATTTAATCAAAAAGAAGAACTCATCAAGAGCCATAAAAGGGTATAAGATAACTGTGTTCCAAATTAATTTAAGGATGATAGTTACAGTGATACTGAAAATAGAAAATTTATCATCTTTATTCCTTTCTTCGTAAAGATCACGATCCTGTGGTAACTATTACTCAATCTCATTTTCTATTTAACTTTGTTCACTAGGATTTTATAAATTTTAACTTTAGCTGTTTATTTCATTTTCTTATTTTTTTTCATTTTTTGATTATTCATCATCTTAGAATTCAAAAAAGCTGGCGTTTTTATCTTTAAGAGTTTTTAATTGAGACTATTACTAGCTTTAATTATCCTCAGGAGGAGGTCCCTAAGGCTTTATATACATGTAAGCTTACATTTTAAACTATTGACCTTCCACGTTTTCTTACTCCATTTTTCAAAATGATATTTAATGATTTAATCAATATTATTTTTTATTTAATAATGAAATATCTTTAAAAAATAGTTTTTATTCATAAATTTAAAGGAAATATAATAAAAAATATATTTAAATTTATTTATTTACTATCCAAACATCTAACTTTGCCGTTTTCAAATAAATAAATAATAAATACATAAAATAAAATATATATATATACTTTAAAGTTTAATCTTTTCCCCCTCCATTTCTACCTACAATACATAATAAAATTGAAAATAACTTAAAAAAGATATTAAAGGAACAACAGTACAAGCAGCATTAAAATATGAAAAATCAAGATATATATAGTAAGAGTTATAATGATTAATCAATTATTTTTATTTTTAAATTTTTATTTATATTTATTAGATTTTATATTGAAATATTAATCTAAAAAATCTTTATAAAGTAATTTTGTTGAATATTTAATTAAATAAGAAAACTTTTTGCTTAAAAAAGTACTCAAATACCTTCATTTGTAAATATTTGATACTAAAACTAGTCTAAGAAGTAATTTAAAATATTATTTTTTTCTAAAATTTTAGATAATAATAACTTTAATAGAATAATGATGTTTCATTTAAAATTGTAAAGAAGTCATATCAAAAGCTTATCATCAATGAGTTTTGTAAATAATATGTAAAATTAAAGATTAAGTTATTTCCTAAAAATAGCAAATCTTAAGTTAATTTAAATGTAGTTAGCTATTGAAAAATATAGCTAAATTATTTCAAAATAAAATTTATTTGAAATGAAATATTTGGTATAAAAGAAGATATCTATTAAAATAGTTTCTAATACTATTTTATGTCATTTTAAAGTTATTTAGAGTTAGTATATTCTTATTGAGAAATTTAACTGAAATACATATATTAAGAAACCAAAAACAATATTATCTATCTATCTATTATAATGTAAATTTTATTTATTTTTTTCAATTATTTAAATAAGAATAATGTATTAAGCAGAAATTATATTCTGCCAAATAAAAAAATAATTTAATTTTTATGATAAGAGAATAAAATGTTTATTTGTTAAACTATGAATAATATTAAAAGTAAACTTTAGATAGCTAATATAAGTAGGTATGTTAAAACAATAATAGATTTCTTAAATTAGTATAAATTCTTCTGTTTTTAATGCAATATATATAGAAAAATTTTATTGGAATTATGGTCATTGATAATGAATTATTTACAATTATATATTATGTGTTGTTTTGAGGATTGATTAAATAAAGAAATAAAATATTTATTATTATATAGGTAATAACATAAAGATGTTAATTAGTATCCTTTGTAATAATTGCTATATTTACAATGTTTTTTGATAAAATTTAATCAAATTATAATTTTTATAAGGATTTCTCTTAGACATAAATAAAAATATTTTTATTTATTTAGGGGAAAGTAAAAAAATATTTATTTTCAATACTTCTACAAGAGAAAATTGTAAATAGCTTGGCTCAAAAATAGCACAAGTTTGTATGCAAGGACTTGTAAATTATGCAAAGTTTGTTAATTATTGACAAGCTTTTAGTTATTTATTAGTAATAATTAATAGAGAATAATTAATAGTTAAATTGAAAAGAGAATCAAAAATAATTCGAAAATACATTTGCTATAACCTTTTTTTTTATTGATCAGTCAAGCAAAAAATATCTATAAAATAAGAAGTAAAATTCTAAAAATTATTGAAATATAGATTTTATTTTGAGCTAAAGCATTTTTGTAAAGTGAATCAGGTAAATAGCGTAATGGTTGATAACTAAATGCTGCAATCCTTCTCTGATTGCCTTGATTTACAACTTTTTATGTAGCATCAGTAAGAAGAAAAAGTAAAAGAAAATTAAATGTTCTACAAGTATTTACAAAATTAATTGCAGATTTTGACTACAGACTTAGAGAACGATAATATTTAAAAATAAATGCCAAAACAGAATAAAAATGGGATCACTATAAATAAAACACCTTAAAGTTAGTAGAGACTAAACAGATATTTAGAGATGAAAAGCATTATAGATATAAATTTTAAGTAAAATATATCATTTTACATCAAATAGAGAGAATTGATTAAGTTGCTTAAAGAGAGGTTATATTTTGTCAACTCTATGATAGCTAATAAAAGATAGGTTTATGAAATAGATTTAGAATCTTAAGAGACAAGAATTTTAGTTAGAGATTACTTTGAGTTAAAAGAGGATAATCCAGAGTTAAAGAATAATATCAACATTAATAATAACTTATCTGATAACTTAAATAATTGTGATTTCTTTTCAGATTCATTTGATTAATCTAACAAAGCAGGTGAAGATGATTAAGATAAGATGGATGACTGGATTAGATCTTTTAATGATAAAGTGCAGAATTATAATTTGATAGAAGTTGATTTTGGATTTGAGGATATTAAATAATAAGAACAATCTTTTGTTAATTCTTTGCAGTGGATTGTATCAGGCATGAACGGTATTTAGCTCAGTGAATCGAATAGTTCGAATTAGATTTTAGAATAAAATTAATTACAAAACCAAAAGCAGGATATTTTTTAATCTTCTTTTCTTCAAGACATAGAAAATGATAATTAGAATAAATATAGCAAAGAAAATCTAGAGCCAATTAAATTGAACAATTAAAATGATTCTATAAGTAAAAATCGTACTCAAAATAACAAGAATTAAATATATATAGAGATAGAAAGTAAAGAAGATATACAAGAGAATGAGGAAATTGAAGAGGAAGAAGACTAAGTTGAATAGGAAAAGGAAAATAAATAAGCAGTAAAATCAAAACCTTAAACTCCTTCTAAATTAAAAGAAAAAATGTCATTCGAAAATGGTGGTAGTAGAGGAGTAATTACAAGATCAGCATCTAAGAAGTTAGTTTAAATTAGTCCAGAGCAATAAGTAAAAAATTAAAGCTAAGCTCAAGAAAAAGCTAATATTTGGAATGATTCTTGTAATTTGTAATAAATGGATAATGCAATATTTATATCTAATTCGATTGAATAAGAAAACTCTCCTCGAAAGGGAAATACGATTTTATAAAAAGAATTATTGGAAATACACTCCAACTCATCTTCACTAAATAATGTTTAAAAAGAGCAGCAGAGTAAAGAAATTTAACTTAAAAAAATGTTAAAAAAAGAAACTATAAATGAAAATAGCTAAATACCTTAAAAATAAGTATTAAATAACAAAAATGAAGGTTTATAAATGAAAAAAACTATATAAATAATAAAACAAAGCGACATCGCTTCTTCCTCAATCAAACTAAATAATATACCACCGAATAATAGTAATATAAATTTAAATTCTTAATAATAGAAGTCTCTCTTATCAAAAGTCAAAAATGAGTTTAGTCAGCCAGTACCTAGAATAAGCAGCGGTTAAGGATTGAGTGTAAGTAAAACAATAAACAATGATGCAAGCAATAAAAGCAAGTAAATTTCAAAATAAAAACAAGATCAACAAATGGAATTAGAAAAGGAAATAATAATAATATCTCCTTTAGAGACAAACATCATGAGTTCTTCAGGAATATCCTCATAGAGAAGCCCAAATAACAGCTGTATCATAATAAAGCAAAATAAAATTGGTAAAAGAATAATAAAAGAAGATAAAAACTCTCCAAATTCGCACATCTCGAGAGACAATCATAAAATAAGTAGCAATGGATCTGCTAACAACCAAGCAAAATAAAAAATATAAAAAAGAAAAATTGTAAAGAGTTGAAATAATTTACCTAGCAAACTAGCTAGCTAGCTACCAAACAAATAAACAAATAAATAAACAAAATATTATCCTCTTCTTATTAAAAGAAATAATTTATAATAGAAAAAATACTTCATGTAAAATATTGCTGTACAAAAATAAATAATGGAAAATTTACTTACTTACTTATTTACTTTAAGACTTAGTCAGTTATTTGCTTTTTATTCATAATAAAAACAAGATCGATTTGTAATTTTAAAATGATTAGTTTACATCAGTCAGTCAATATCAAAAAAATAATCAATTTATCAATAAATAGAATAACTAAAAATCAATCTTTCTACCGAATATAAAAATTATGAAGAAGTGAATATTACTTTAAAATTAATTTAAATGAATAATCTAATACAATTCTAAAATTTTTTTCAATAAATAAATAAATGTAAATTGAAATCTAAAAAATTAATCAATTAATGAATGAATGAACGAATATGTATTTATAGAATATAAAAAAATAAACTATGTAAATTAATTGTAATTATTTAATCAATCAATAAATTAACATTTTTGTTTTATATTATTTTAATTTTACATAAAAATGTTTTCAGTTACCATCTGAGACTCCCCATTTATATTTTTTCATTTCAATTTTACTAACCCATTCGTCAATTATTTTATCTGTTGATTGCTCTTGAGATCCATCATTTAATATTTATTTATAAAATTAAACTGCTTCATTATAGGCTTTAGTTCCCTCATTATTAAAAGTGTAATACACTATTTCTGTTACATTTGCTAAATAAGCTGCAAGGTGCTAAACTATCCCAATTAATACCATGTTGTTTCCAAAAGCTCCACATCCCCAATTTCCTGTATGAATAATAACTTCAATGTTAATGTTTTTAGATTCTTTTTACGAAAATATTTTTGCTTATCTAAAAGATAAGTAAGCAGTTTAAAGTAATGTTTTAATTTATTTTATTGTGTAACAACCAAAGCCATTCTGCAAAGCAGCCATAGCTATTAAATTTGTGCTTGTAGGTTGATCGATGATTTCCATTCGTGTACTAATTTACTGATAGTTATATCTTTAAAAGTTATTTCCGTAGATTCCAGTTGGTATTTATTGAGTAGGAGAGAAGTTAAAACGGACTTAATGAGGAATATTATAAAGGATTATTGGAGTTGCTTAATTTAAATCAATAGTTTTAGGAATAAATAATTTATCTTTCTTTAATTTCATGGCTCGAGAAACAGGATATAGTAATGGATGTTCAGCACACTAGATTTCATCTTATGCAAAAAGTGAAGAGAGGCAGAACCCAAATAACTCAATATCTGCAAAATTAACATGCCAATGGATTTATTTATTATCTGAGGGTTGATCATAGCAAAAAATTGTTTATTTGTGACTCGATATTAATTTGTGCTTATCTAGTTTTGGATACATTAAATTTTTAACTGTCCTATTAATAATAACAGACTAATCTTATTAATTGTTACTTTAGATTAATCCAATGCACTAATTTGCTATTTATTTTTTTACATTGCTCTTAAATTACAATGTGTGAAATATTTTTATTAAATCTTAAAAAGTGAAAGAAAATTGAATGGTACTACTATTAAAATCTTAAGTAAAGTCTTCATAATTTTAATTGTTATTTTAAGATTAAGTTATATGGTTATCCTTATTTTGATATATTTTGTCAATTTCATTATAAACTTAATCTAAATTTACTTATCCTATATTTGTTTGAGGAACATTATTTATACTATTAAACAAATGCGAATACATATTATTTTGCTAGCTTTATATGTTTTAAATTTAAAAAGTTATATTTTGATTTATATTTTAATTTGAAGGATTTTGTTTATTTTAAGAAAGTTGAGTGTTAATTTGATCATTTTCAAGTTACTACTTACTATTAATAGCAGATGTCTAGAGTTTAATTTACTAAGTTTCCAAATGCTAATTATTTTCATAATGAGTTTAGCTTAGTTAACTTTTATTTTAAATTTGTTAATTTAAGCTTGAAATACCATTTTAATTATTTATTTAAGATAATTAGTTCAAATGATTTTACTAATTTGGGTTTTGTAGATTGATATTTAGTTAATAAGGAATTATCTAGGATTAATTCTTAATTATATCCTTCTCAGAAATATGTTATGGCTAATTATTATTTGAATTGTGGAAATGAAAAATCTTATTATTTTAAATTGAGTCAGTTTAAATTTAATCAGTTTAAGCATTTTAATTGACATTTTAAGATTGTAGATTAAAGATTTTGTTTGAGTGAATTTATTATCCATTAGTTTAATATGGTTGTTAATTACTATTTTAATGCTATGAATATGGGCTTTAGTTTGGTATATTTTACGAAATGTTCTAATCCACGTAGCCACTTTTACTACTTTAACTTTAATGAATTTCGTTTTAAATAGTTTAGTTCATTTTTTAATTATTTTGTGAATTAGGGTTTTCGTTTGGTATATTATAGTTATCATGAATATTTTGAGGGTAATTTGGCTAACTAACTGGAAAATTAATTGAGGATTAACTGTTATTTAGATTGTTTTAAAATGCAGTTTTCTGATTAAGAAAATGACCATTGATATTATTTTAACTTGAGTGAATTTAATCTGTATTAATTTAAGCAATTTAAGATTTATTTTCATGTTATTAGCCTATCTAAATCATCTAGTTGTTTTAAATATTTTCTTAAGTAAATTAATGATTCTCATTTAGTGCATTTTTATTATTTTAGCTCTTGTCAAAATTATTAACTATTTCTTTTTAAGCTCCTCCATTCAAGTCTTGTTAATTAGATAATAAGTTCATATGATTTTACTAATTTTGATTTTGTAAATAAGTATTTGCTTAATCAGACATTGTCTTGGTTAAATTATTATTTTTATCCTTCTCAGAAGAAAAGTTCTATTGAAATTAGGGACTCTAATTTTTTTAACTTTACTGCATCTAGTACTAATCAGTTAAATTTTGATAATTACCATTTTAGATTTATGGGTTAGAGGTATTATTTTGTAGAATTAACTAATTTTAATTTTTTTAAGGAAAATATGAAAATTTAAAAGTATGTTATGGATTATTATTTGAATTGTTTTATTCTACATCTAAAATCATATCATCTTAATTTGGGTGATGTGAGCTTTAATCAATTTAAGCTTCTTATTTGCCATTTTAAATTTGTAGATTAGAGATTTTGTTTGATAGAATTTCTTATCCATTAATTTAATCACATTGTTAAATACTACTTTAATCCTATGAATTTGGACTTTAATTTGGTACGTTTTATTAAAAGTTATAATCAGCATAATTGCTCTTACTGTTTTAACTCTTATGAATTTAGTTTTAAAAAGCTTAGTTCATTTTTTAATTGTCATTTTAACACTGCGAATTAGAGATTTCCTTTGGTATACAATTGAAATCCTGATTATTTTGAGGCTTAGCTGGCTAACTAATTGTAATTTAGGACTAATTATTATTTTTTTTGTTTTAAGATGCAATTTATTCATGAAAAGTATGATCACTGATCTTTTTTTAATTTGAGTGAGCTTAGCCTTGATTAATTTAATCATATTAAGATTTATTTCCATCTTATTAGCCACTCTAATGAAAATTGTTTTAAACATTTTCTTAAGTAGATTATTTTAATTCATTATTCTCATTTTGTTTCTAATTGAATTATGTTGAACTTGATTTACCACTATTTTAATTATTTGGATTTTATTAAACAATTTCTAGTACATCTTTATTATTTTAGCTCTTGTCGCAATTATTAACTATTTCTTTTTAAGCTCCTTCACTCAATTCGTGTTCAGTTTTGTTCTAATCCTTTAAAATTTTGATAAATATTTATATTAATTACTTTTAATGATATTAATATGATGTAGAATAGCTTATTCTCTTAAATATTTATAATTAAAAAATAACATTATAGGAGGTTTGAAAATAACTTCATTGAAGAAATAAATAAAGTATTTAATTCCAGTCAATACCTCTTTTTATTAAAATAAAATTATTAAAAAATTAGGTTCATTTTACTTTATTTTTAAACAAACTATTTGATCTCTTGATCCTTTAGGTCTATTTATAAATAAAAGTAAAATGATTCATTTCTGATATTTTAATATCTTTTAAATCCTAAAATATTTCAAATTTAAATACCTTAATACAAGCATTACCCATTTTTATTTCTTGTCTAACTACTCTATTTTATTAATTTTTATTATTTATTCTTCTTTTTGATGTTTTTATAAAAATTAATTAATAAAATCCAAAATAAAATAAATGAGTTGTTTATAAATTTGTTATCTCCTGGGCTTTTATAAAAAATAAAATACTTAAATGACGACTATATTCTAATATCTATTTATGCTTCTGATATATTAATATTTTTTGTTTATTTTTTAACTAACACAAATAATAAAAAATAAATAATGGAAAATTTCTAAAAAATATTTAAAACTATTTTGAAATAAAAATTATATAAAATAACAATTTAAAAAATAAATTGCTTCAAAAATTATGTAAATATTTTTAATCTTTTTTGTTGACTTCAGTTGCCATCTGAAACCGACCACTTGTATTTTAAATTGAAAATCTAGTTTAAGAAATATTCTACATATTATGAAAAGGATTTAGGTTAATAGTTGAAAATTTCTTTCTTTATTTTTTAGAAAACTTAAATTCCACTTATAAAGGCTTCGTAACCTTTCTGATCAAAAGTATAGTATTTTAAAACATCAACTTATGAAATTTCTGCTGCTAAAAGCTAGATAATTGCAATAAGTACAGAATTATTACCAAATGCGCCTGTTCCCCAATTACCTGTGTTTATTATCACAGGAATATTATTTTCAGAGTACAATCTTTTTACAGTATTATAAGCTTCTCTAAAAGATTTGTAAGCAGTGTTAAAAGTAAATTTTATTTAATTTAAAGTATAAGATCCCGCCTCATATGAAAGAGAACACATAGATATGATATTTACATCAACTATATCTTCTTCCTTTAGTTATTCACAAGCTTCAGCTATTTTTTTTAAATCAGCTTTTTCGAAATTTCTGCCATATATTCCTTATGGATTACTTTAAGTAGGTTTTGTGTTTACTTTTCCTTATCTTAGCGAGTTTACAATCAAAATTGGTGTAGGATTTTAATCTTCTAAAGTTAATGGTTATAGTTTAGGGTTTATTTTAGCCTAAATAACAGCCTCTTCTCTCAAGTGATATAAAAGTGGATTTTCAGCTGTCTAAATTTCATCTTGAGCAAAGAGAGAAGTTTCGTAAAATCCAAACAATTATTTATCAGCAAAATTAACATGCCATTAAAATTAATTGAAAGAATTTTTTTCATAATCATACTCTGACTAAATTGCTTCAAATTTTGTTTTCTACATTTAAAATAAATTGGGAAGTAACTAATCTGGAGGATAAGGCGTATTTTGAATACATCTAATATAAAGCATATCATGCTATACTTGAGAAATTAGCTCTTTGTGCATAAATCTATCATAAAGAAATTATTTGTTCTTATGAAGTTTCTTTAATTTAGTTTATAAAAGCTTTGATATTTAAATAATCATTCTTTAATCAAAGGCATTCAGATTTAAAGATTGGAAATCATCCTAAACGATTTTCTATTCTACTTAGTATATTAAATTTTATTGTTTTTTTTCATTCTATTCTTAAAATTAAGCATTTATTGACTTCAAAAAAATATGTTCATTAGATAATTAATTTTAATTTTATATCATTTAAGCCTAATTAAAATCTTGATTATTATTGTAATGATGATTATAATTATTATTATTATAACAAGGCATTTCTTGTTTCTAAAAGCCTTAAATTTATTCCTTTACTATATATTTAAAATTAAATAGCATTTGAATTAAGAAATATATAAGTAATAAAAATTTAATTTATTTTACTTTGGTTATTCATTTTAATTTAGTCGCATGGATTTGGAGTTTCTAATCCTTACTACTAATTTATATATTTGTTTAAATCAGGGTATTTTCCATATTAATTGTTTTGAAGTTGATCACTAGGTTCTAAAATAATGTATAGGTATTAGTTTACTAAATTTAAAACTTGATTTTCTGTTTAGGTATCTGGTTTCAAATAAAGAAATAAGTAAAATAATTAATAAATTGTTTTTTTCAATCATAAAAGTTCATTCATTAGATAAATTTTAAAGTTGTGAATAGGAAAAATGTTTAAATGCAAAGTAAATAAAATTAAAAGTGAATATTAAAATAAAAAAAGATACTTGAGTTTGAACATTGAAAATTAATTTTTTCCAAAAATTATGGGAGCTTTTATAAAAAATTTCCATTTTTATTCTGCTTAAAACTGTTTTTAATCACTGTGTAAATTCTTTAGGCAGTGAAAGCTTATTCACTCTTTAAGTGGGTATTAAAAACAATTTTTTTAATACCAACTAGGTCTGCTATTAAAAACTGTAATAAAGCCATTAAAATATGATTATTGTTATAAGTACCACAGCCTATATATCCAGTATTTATAGTTACTTTTTTCTCACCTGAAATACTCTTTAATTTTAAAAAGCAGTTTAGTATTAAAGTAATTTATGCCTTCAAAATTTTTTCAGTGTAAGTCTCCTTATTTTCCATAGCATGTGGTCTAATAGAAAAGACATTAGAAAATGAATTTTTGGAATCTGCAATGTTTTTTATTAATATAGAATAGAAAGTTTTTTTATCAGGGATAAAAAGTTTCCTAAAATCCTTTGATTAACTTGTGAATTGAATGTAATCAAGTAATTCATCGATTAGAGGAAAAATTTAGCATATTTAATAAGCTTATTCCTTTTTAGAAACTGATTCTAGAAACATACTAGAACCAAATATGATATGCCATTCTTCTTTATCTTATTATTTTTAATTTTTATAAAACCAATCCTATTAGTTTGAGTATTCTATTTCAATATCTTAATTTTCATCAAATTTAGGATTTATTAATACTAAGTTATCATAATTTGGTTAAATTAGATATTGTTCATAAGTTAAAAAATCATGAGAGCTATTTAAACTTAAATTTTATTTTAAATTTGATGGAATATTGGATTTTTTATACTTTATATTTTGTATAAAATCCAATAATGTTGAATAATCTATTTAAAAAGGTTTGCTCATTTAACAATAATTTCTTAAAAATATATTCTTTGTTAGAATATAACTATTTTCTTTTAGTTTATTTTTTTTTTCCTTAATAGTTAACACTAATAAAGAAAGATACATATGTATGTACTTATTTTTTAAGAAAATTATTTAATTAAACTGCTCAATTTTATGGTGGTAAGAATGGATTATACATACACAAATAATTAATCAATATATTTTTAAAACTAAAACTAATTTGATTGCATATTTTAAAACAATTAAAAAAATATATTTTTTTTTAACAAATATTTTAATAATCGCTACAAAATTTTTCAGTTTTTAAAAAATAAATAATTCATTTAAGCTTTAAAATTTTCATTTCAAATGTTTGAAAATTAAGAAATCAAATAATTTATTTCAATCAAAATTAATTAAATTTATAAAAAATTAATGAAAATAATCATTTTATTTTCAATTTTAAAATGATAAAATTAATTATTTATTATAAAATTTAACTCAAAAAGGTTAATATAAGACGTATTAAATAAATCAAAATTAGATTTCATATTATTAAAACTTTTTTTTTGTTAAATTAATTATAATAAAATCATATCAAATAAATTGAAAATAAATTAATTATTTTATTAGATAAAATTTTTATAGTAAATTACTATTTAAAGCAGTAATTTAGTTTTATATTTGAGTGATAAATAATTTTATTAATTTTTCCATTTAGCTTCAATGTGATATGACATAAAGACACACGAATAAAGATTTGATCACTAATTCAAAGATAAACAGATTGTTAATTAGTTAGCTATTTAGTTAGTTAGAAAGATGGCTCTAATATTTAGCAATAAAATGCTTATTAATACTTCTCTTTCCTAATTTTATCCAAAACCTTTATTACGCTGTATATAGTAGTTTAATTTGAAGTAGATAGAAATTTATTTTCATTTAATATCTAACTAAAACATGATTTATGAATTAATGCATATCAATCAGAGTTTAACGTGATCAGGAATAGGTCTGAAAGTTTGTTTGTTGGTATTAACATACTCATTGAAATCATCATCTAACTAGAATCTAGTTTCTCTCATGTGATAGCAATAAGTGAAACCACCGATGATAAACAAAATCATCATGATAGTATCCTTTTTAATTTCTCTAAGTACAGTGGCAGAATGTTTTAAACCAAACTTTTTGCCATATAATTCTTCCATTGTGTATCCATAAATTAATTAATCTCTTTCGTGATTAAATTTGAAGGGTTCTAATTCAACTTAACCAATGGTAGGGGGAGCAGGAGATTTTTCGATGTTTGCTCTGCTAAATCTTAAGTTCTATTGAACTCTCATATAATTTTTCAAAGTTCTTGCCAACATTTCTTAAACCTATCTTTTATAAAACCTATTAGATAATATTTCTTCTTCTTTCTTTTTATAGATGAAATCACTATCTTTTATCCTTTTAATATTATATTTCCCTATACATATTCATATAATTAATAATTATAAATAAAAATTTTCTTGATTTTCTTTAAAGACAATCACTTTTTATTGCTATTTATAATCCATTTACTAATTAATAAATTATATGCATATCTCATATCTATTTTTTACAATAATTAATCATCTTTCATTTATCTTTTAATTTAAATTTTTTATTAAAATATTTAATTTCTTTTTTTTAAAGATAAATTTTTTTTAAAAAATTTCTTATTCTCAACAATTAAACGATTTTAAATTAAACAAATCTAAAACATTTTTTTACTTTGACTTTTAAAAACTTCTACGAAAATATAAAAATTGAATAAAAAAATAAATAAATATGGCTTTTAAAAAATAAAATTGCATGTTTTCAAAAAATTTTTAAAATTAGTTGTAAATTTAAAATAAATTAGTTTAGCTTAATAATTTAATGATAAATTTGAAGATGGATTTTATTAGAATTATTTTTACTTTGCTTTGAATACTTCCTTAATATTCTTAATAATTAATCAATACTATTTTATAGCAGTTTAAGATAACTTAAATGTACAGAAAACAATGTTTTAAATTAAATTTTAGAAATATATTTTAGAATAAAAATAATTTAGGATTAAATTGAATTGAAATAAATTTTAAATTCACATTGATAACTGAAAAATAAGCATAGTTTAACTTATATACTGATCTTTAGACAGTTTGATAAATAGACTTTAAGTAATTTCATGATTAATTGATAAAATTTATTTTATAAGAGAGAAAACAAAATTTCTATTTTATTATTATAAAAATAAATTTCTGATAAAATATTATAAAAGTTTAATTTTTATTGAAGAACATATAAAATAAAGTAGAAAATTTAAAGCTTTTATAGAGTTGTAATATAGACAAGAAGTATCAATAGATCGATCGATCTGTTCTTTGTTTCCAAAAAAGATATAATATCTGATCAACTTAGAATTTCAAAAACACAAAACCATATAAAAAAAAATTATAAATATCTTTTAAAATAACAAACAAAAACTATAAAAGACACTTTTTATAAAATGTAGGTAAAGGCAATATAAAATTAAACTTTATACAATCTTATCTAGGTAAAATAAAATTAGCAAAATAAACTTAAATAGATAAATAACTTTTTATAATTTGTTAGGATTTAAGACATATTGTACTAATTTAGTTATCGAAAAATGAAAAAAATGATCATTTAAGATAGGCAGTCAGATTCGACTTTGAAACTTCAAAACCAGGTAATACATTATAATTTTCAATAAGGAATTATTAAAATTTAATTATAAATTAGCTGAAATACTTGAGTTGATTCATGATATGGATTAAAAAGCTATATAAAACGAGTAAAAGTATAAGTTATAAAAAATTAGAAGAATTTGCTTTATTGACTATGATCCTCTTGAGGAAAAAGACAAAAAATTGGAAAAATATCTTCAGTTATTTAGCGTAAATTAGCATCATTTAAAATTATAAATTGGAAACAATTCTAATTACTTTTTTTAAAGAATGAGAAGACCTTGGCTGAATATAAGTTTTACTGTCTTAAAGAGGGACTAAATAGTTTTTCTAAAAAGTATCCATTTTTGATGTTAAATAACGATGATTTCGAGAACATAGAAGAAAAGAAGAAAGAAGCACCTAAAGATTCAAGGGATATTTTAAATGATAAATAAAAAAAGGTTTTATATTCTTATAGTTAATTTCCTTTTGAAATAGTAGAAGATGTGCTATTCTTGGTATGAAAAATTTATGCTTATTTCTTTTATTAATTTGACTCTTATTTACTTCAAAAGGGTAATGTATATCACTCAAACAGCTAAATGTATTTGAATGACTTAAGCATCAAGATAATGATTGATTTTATTACATATAGTGAAGAAGATACTTAAAAAATACCTTCTTTTAAGACTGAAAAATTTGAATATAAAAATATTCCCCTTGATGCCAAACAGTCAGTCACCTTAGATTTTGATGAAATTAACAAATATATAGAGTAATAAATCAGTGAAAATAAAGGAAGAGTTCTTCTATATTGTTCAGTAATATATTTTTAATTCAAATCTCAATCGCTTAATATTTAAAATTAATTAATTAATTAGAATGGCTAATCAATAAGTCCTGCATTTGCTATATCCTATTTAATGTACAAACAAAAAATGAACATATAACTAGCAAGTATGAAAGTGTTTGCTTTAATAGGCAAAGTGAATATCGCTTAGTGGATATATACTTAATTATTAGTTTACAAACCAAAATATTGATATCAATTAACTAAAGTTATTTCTGTTATATAAAATATATTTATTCTACTGCAATAGTTATTTTTAATTAATTATTCAAATATCAAAAAATTATCCTCTTGTTTTTGTAATATAAAGTAAAACCATTCAGAAATGAGTTGGTGTTGAGTAAAAAATTTTGTCCAAAATAAACAGCGCCGAATTTATGGATTAATTTTATAAAGAAAAAGTTAAATTTGGGATAAAACATTTGCCATTTTTTAATAAGTGCTAATTTTTTAAGGTGCCAAGTTTAACAAGTATTAATATGAAAAAAACATTTATTTCAATCATTTTATGAATAATACTTTTTATCACACTAAAAAAAATAATAATATATTGCTATTTTCAATGATAATTTAGTGAATAGGAAATATATATTAAGTACAATAATTGTTATTTTTTTTAATATAAAATAAAATTTAATACAAAATCTGTAAACAAAAAATATTTTTAATTTTATTCACTAGTCATAAGGCATTTATTTCTAGTATAAGAAGGTAGAATTTTGATTTAATCTATATTTTAATGTGTATGCTTCTATCTTAAATGAAATATTCATGAATTTTATGGTATTTAAAATATGAATTTCAACATAAAAAGTAAATACTTGAATATAATTGCTATTAATAGATCTTATAAAATGTCAATATAAAGTTTATTAAATGAGTAAATCAATTATTTAAACTTACTTTAAATTAATTATTTATCTTATAAGTTTTATATTTAAAATTTAGTATTTTAAGAATAGTTTTTACATCATAAATTTAATATTTTCATCAAAAAAATTAAAATAAAAAATTTAAAGAAAATGGGATACTTCAATTTGATAAAACTTGAAATTAAACTTCAATAAATAAATGAATGAATTAATTATTATTATTCTTTAGCAAAATATTTTTTTAGCAAGCATCAAATTTTCAATTTCAAATAAATTTTTAAATCATTAATTCAAATAATTTATTCTTAAAGAATATTCACTTAATTGATTTAAATAATTTGAATTAGCATAAAAATTATTTGTTTAACATAATAACTTTAACGAAAAGGAAATCAAATTATTATTTAAAATTATTCTTTTTAATTATTTTTATAAAAAAATAATTTTTAGTTCTATTATTGAGAAATTATTTAATAAATTTACAATGACTAAACTATATTTATAAGACAAATATATAAAAGTATATTTCATATTTAAAATAGATGAAATTTTCTGCTATTTAGTTACTGTAAAATATACTATAATGCACAGGTATGTAACTTATTTCATTTGAATTTTGGAAAAATAAAAATGTATTTACTTAGAATTAATAAGAAAAAGATTTAATAACTTTTTTTAAAAATAAGGATTATTTATTAACCTGAAAACATATAACATAGAGATATATATTTATTTATTAGTAGGATATTTGATTTTTTAGATGGTTAATATGATAAAAATAAAAAAATATAAAGAATAATATAATAGGAATACAAAGATTTTGTTGAATGTTTTTGTTAGATAAAAGAGTAAATGCCTAATTTTGAAATATATAATCTATATGTGCAATTAAATTAAAATAAATTAAGTTTTATTTATATCTTTCCTTAAACTTAATTTTATAACTTATTCTAGCTAGAGTAAATTCTTATATATTTATTAACTACAAGAGCTTTTTGTTATATCACAACACAAACAAGTAATTAAAAGAGATCAATTACATGCAGAGTTGCGATTTCAACAACTTATAGATTTTCAATGGGAGTGCAAATATTGTAAAGTTTCTTGTGCAAAGTACTTAACATCTTTATCATTATCATTTGTTAAATTAGATAAGTTGCTATTTTATATGTAAAAAAAATTTTATTTTATTTGATTTTCCTTCTACAATATTATAATTTACCTCTTAATATCGTTTTATATAGAAGCGTTGTCTATCTTAGAAGCTAATTCTCTAAGAATTTTAACAGTGATGAATCTAATATTTGGTACAGTATCGTTTAAATGTTTAATTAAAATAGGTAATATCTTATCAGCAGCTGTTTCAGGAGCAACATTAAGAGCTAAAACCTATTAATTAATTATTTATTTAAAGATTATTTAGATTAAAAAATAATTTCTAAAATTAATTTTGTTTTATTAATTTATTTATTCATGAATTAAACATTTCTTTCTATCTATTTTCTTCATTTAAATTGTGAAATTGTATTTATTTATTTATTTATTTATTTATTTATTTATTTATTACTCTTAATGATTGAATGCCAGTAAGTCTATATAAGTATCCGTTTTCTTTAGAAATGCTTTCCAATAATTTATTGAAGAGCTTACTGTTAGACCAGTCTCTGTATGTTTAAATAAGCATTGCAAGCTTTTCAACACCATTTTCTCTTACAACAGCAATTCTATCCTTTAGGTAATTCATAAACATAGGCTCTAAGGTGCTTTGGAATAAATCAGGATTCTATTTATTTATTTAAATTAATTTTTTATAACTTTCTATAATGAAGCAAAATAATAAAATTACATGGAATACTTTAGAGAGATGAGCAATTGCATCATAAGCTTCAATACGAACTCTCCACTTGGGATCTTCAATTGATCTTTTAAAATGTGGGATAAGATTTTTTAAGCTATCTTGGCCAATAACTTCTACGAATTTGCAGGCAGCACGAGTTACTCCTTAACGTACTTCTTTGTTCTCATCTTCGAAGAGATCGATAATATGAGGAAGAAGTTTAAGATTAGTAACGTCCTTAGGGAGAAGAGTGCACATAATTTAGATGACTTCAGTGACTCCAGCTCTGACTTGAGGGACGGAGTCCTTAGCCAAATATTGCAAGTGAGGAACTATAATAACTAACTTTTCAGCTGATAAAATTTTGATGAATTTAGTCAAAGATTAGATAGAAGCTGTTCTCACATCATTTTCAGCATCTCTTAAGAGATTGGTGAAAATTTATATCAAAGAAACATTGTCAGCTTCTTCACCAAAGGCCTCAGCTATCTAATTTACATAAAAAATGGATTTAAATTAATTTTTTTAGAAAAATAAAAGATATTTTTTACTTCAGCAAAGATTTTAGAGAGAGCAAGACGAACTCTCCATGACTTATCTTCGGTGGCAGCAATTATTATAGGAAGAGTGTGTTATTTATTTTCATCTTTTCTTAATACTTTTGCTACTAACTTTAATGAATTCAATCCGAGGACACGCACCATATCTTATTCATCAGAGATTAATTGCTTTACACTTTGAATCAAATCAGTAAGGACATATTCCTTTTCAATAACGGTTGCTAATTCCTAATATTGTATGAAATTTTTTGAGTAACAAAATAAATGCAAATATGAGAAATAAATTGAAATCTTTAAAACTTACACCAATCTTAGAAGCAACAGCACGACGGACCATGGGAGTTTCTTCGCTACAAAGCTCAATAAACTTACTATTTTAAATTATTATATATTTCATTATAATTATCATTTCTATTTTTGAAAACAAACAAGTAAAAATTTACGCTCTGATCTTGTCTTTATGTTAACCTGCACGAGGATAAATAGGGCACATTAAATTAACAGCAGAGACACGGCAAGTGAAATTAGTGTCATTGTTGGCAAGTCTAAGGATCTAGATTTTTATAGAGTTGTAAGATTTATTTTAAAATTTATGAACTGTGCTAAATTTTATTTAAATGAAATAAACAATTAATAAAGAAGTAAAAATACCAATGGGACATAGAAGTTTATGATTTCGTATTCTCCTAAAAGATTTGCGATACTTATAAGTGATTTTACAGCCTTTTTTAAATTTAAATTTGTATGATTAGATGTTTATAAATAAAAGTAAAGCATAGTATTTTATGTTGATAGATGACTGATTGATTGATTAAATAGGATATTTATTAATTGAGCTTTTAATTCTTTCAAATAAAATGATTTTTCACTGCATTTAAGAATTTATCAAACTGCTCTTTTATTTAAATAACTTTTTTATGTGTCAATAGTTTTATTTTATACTAAATTTTCATTCTTCTATAAACACCTTTCAAGGCGAATAATTAAGCTATTCACATTCTAATGAAAATCCTCGTGGGTACTCATTTTATATGTCTGCCGTTCTCTTTAGATGGGTTTTTAACTTGTCTTAATAACATTATTGATTTTTTTCCTTAACTTTTAAAAATAGTCTCCTAACGTAATCAATACCCACGTAGGCTAAGAAAAAATACACATATTTCATGTTTAAAAGGATGCCACACTTTAATTTTAATTAATCACTTCAATCTCTCTTCTCAACACTTCGTATAATTAAACTTGCTAATTGAAATTACCATCTCTCTGACGACTGTTTCTTCTGAGCTTGCTAATTGCTCGAGGTTGGGTAATAAAACTGTCTAATTTCCAGGAAGTAAGGTGCTGTTGAAGTTTCATAAAAAATTGATTGATTTTTTGATAAAAAACAGAAATAAATGAATAAAATATAAGTTAAATTAATTAGCAAAGACTCTATGATAAAAATGGGAATCGTTTTAAAAAAATTTTGATTGATATAATGGCTACTTTATACTTGCAAAATGTTTAATTTTCAAAAATTTTAAATAAAACTAAATAAAAATTGGTTCGCTTAAAAGGCTTTTTTTTCTTCACCTTTTGTTAAATGAAATTCTTTGTTTTTTTGTTAATCAATCTATCTCTCTTTTCTCTCTTAAAAGCATTAAAAATTAATAGTGATTGAAAGAAGAGTGATTAAAGACAATTAATTATTCATGCTAAATGAATAGAAAAGCAAATAAAAGGATATATAATTAGAAGATAATAATAATGAAATTACGCTAAGCACTCAATTTCTTCGGCAATAGCGAAGAGAACCTCATCTTCCTCCTTCTTAATCAAATCTGTTTAAATTAATTGAAAATTGTTATTTCAGCTAAAGGTAAACATTTGATAAATTCTCTTTTTTTTGCTTAAAAGTGAGTTAGATTGGATGGCTTTATCTTCATTTGAGCCTTGAAGTATAAACGAATAAATTTTGGGAATTACGATCAATGTATGGAAGAAGAACGGTCTTTATCTATTCACTTCCCATGAGGGTGGCTACAATTTTTAATCTGTGGATTGCGTTCACACGGAGATGGGTCTCGTCAGACTCCATTTCCTCTCTTAATAAATCAAAAGCGTTGATCTCAGTCATTTCTATTTTTATTTTGCTTTTTAATTAATCTTTATGCTTATATTTGATTTTTTTTTCTTTTTTCTTTCTTCCTTTTTAGAGCTCTTTTATTTAATTTCTAAGCTTTTTAGATTTTATTAATTTTTTTATTTTCTTTCGTTTTATATAATTTTTTATTTTTTATCCAAAATTTTGTAAATATTAAGAGATTTGAATATTATTTTTCTTATTATTGCAAGTTATTCATAACCAATTTAATATATATATTAATATAAATAAATAATTCAACTATCTTATCAAACATTCTGCACTGAAATAAATAGTATTGATAAATAATTCAATCAATCAATCAATAAATGCAAACAAACAAGCAAGCAAGCAAACAATCATATATTTATTAATTTATAAAATTTCAATATCTAATATAAGCGAACAACCTTATACTAATTCTTTCATTTTAATTTCCAGATCTATTTATTAATTTCAAATTAACTTCTCTTAAAAATAAACTGATAAATAAATAATGCATTCAATTATCCTAGCCATTTTATTTCTTTAATTTATTTATTTTATTATCTTTTTAATTTCTATTTAATGTATCTAATAAATATTCATTTAATGTCATTCAAGCATATGCTGTTAAATTCTTAACTGATTAAGTCAAAATAATTTAATCATTTGCAAATTATTTACTTTTTTGATTTATTTTAGCAGATTCTTACATAAATGCTCAATTTTTTTTAATTCTTTATTTACTCTAGTTAAATCTAATTTTTATTATTATTTTAAGTTAAAAAATTTAAATAAATTTCTCTTGTCTAATTCAAAAAAATATAGTTAATAACATCTACTATCCAATATAATTTAGTACAATCTGATATAGAAATAAGAATTATCTAATTTTATCAGAACTCTTTGAGCTAATTTACTTTGTTATCTATATATCTCATAATAATCAATTTTTTATGTCTAAAAAAATAGAGTTATTTAGAGATTAAGATATTTAATCCTCCAAAATAATTTTAAAAATTATTGTAGAATTCTCAAATTATTTTATCTACCGTCAAAAGTTGTAATAAAAAACAAATCCTAAATTTAATAAAATGAAAATTTTTTAGAATTATAAAGTAAGAATTTTTATTTTTTGTATTAAAAAAAATATTTTAAAAATTTGAAATAATACAATCAATAAAATGCCATTAAATCTCTAATATATTTAATTTATATTTTAAATATAGAGTTTTTAAAATTTAAAAACAATTATTAATTATAATTTTATGCTTAGTAAGAAAAATAATTAATCAAAAGTAGAAGTTTTTTAATGAGTAATAATTATAATATTAAAAAAATTATTTTTCATATTAGATGCGTTCTTACAGTATTCCTTTTAAAAAGTAGAGAATTTACTTAAGTATCAAAAAATATACAGTCCACTAAAAAATGGAATGAATCAGTATAGAAAAATATTGAATATCTTTTTAATTATTTTAAATATTAATTTTGAATTACGATTTACATAAATAATTTAATTGGCACTAGTTGTGAAATTGAAGTTATTTCAAAAAATAGTATAAAAATACTGGATACTTTAAGTATCAGGCTGTTACTTTAGGAGATTTTTAATTAATTCTAGTTATCAGCTAAATGATTTTGATTTAGAGTTAAATTAAGTATATAAAAAGCAAAATTGTAAACAATTTGTTACCATTTAATTTTAGTAAAAAAATGATAAATTTAATAAAATAACAAATAAAATTTTTAGTCATTATAGTATATTTCACATTATTATTAAAAATAAAAATGATATTATTAAATTAATTAAATGTAAAAGGTCCAAAAAAAAACTAATTTAGAATCTCTATTTATTTATTGTGAATCATGGAAAAAAATAAGAAATTTATTTGTAGATTTTATTCAACAAAATAACTTAATTTTTTTTCTATTCTTAAAGATACTCCTTTTTTAATAAAATATTCTAGACAAAAATCAACCAGAAAAAAAGTAATCTTATTTGAAATTATTTTGATTTTAAAATACATTTGATTGAGTTGGTAAATAACAAACTTGCTTAAGTAACTCATTTTCTTAATTATATTAACATATTTTGATGAATATATAATTATATTTAATTTAACATATTTCTTTTGTGAATATTTTTTAGTAAAAACAACACAAAGTAGTAAGGGATTTAATGATAATTAGATTTTGTTTCACTAAAATCCAATCCCTCTATAAAGATTGAATTAAATTTTTTAATTAATTAATTAATGTTTATAAGTAGAGCATTTAAATTCATAAAACCATTAATCTATCAATTTTTATATAGATTTATAATAATTAATAAATGAATAAATAAATAAATTATAAAATTGATCAAATATTTGATTCCTTATTTTATTATATATGGTCTGCATAATATTTTTCAATAAAAATTTAACTATAAATACTATATTCAAAATGATCTAACTATTCTGCTATTATTTACTTATGTTTTGGCTACTTCCTTATTCTAATTAATTTTTATATTTCTTTTAAATCTACACAAAATTTAATAAATGTTATTTTATCTAAATTTCTATAAACTCCTGTTGTTGATTTGAATTCAAGTTCTTTTGGAAGAGGGACATCAAAATAATCACTATTTGATTTAGCTTTTACAATTATATTATCAAATGTAAATAGTTCTACAGGATAATCTCTATATGACTTGAAAATGCTTGTTTTAGTTGCCTCTATAATATTACTTAGCATATCAATGTAATTTTATTATTTGTTATCGTATATAGTCAATTCCCTCATGCCATTTCTTAGATATAAATGTTGCATTTAATCTTTATCAACTCCAAGCAAAGCAATTAAAGCAGGACTGAATTCAACAATATGGTAACTAGGAGTTAAGTTTAAAAAACTTGGACCACTTTGAATGGCCAAGCAAAAATCATCTTGTTGTTATGAAGCCATTAACTTATTTATATAATCTAAATAATATGCTTATCTTAGTTCTCTAATTATGTTAAAATCATTCATGCTAGTAGTTTTATAGTAATTTAGTATAGATTATACATATACTTAATAATTTTAAATAAATATTTAATACTCTTTGAGGAGATTTGAAAGTAAATGCAAGCTTTAGTCTTATTTACTCTCTAGAAGATAGCAAATAAATTAAAAATCTTTTACGATACTTTTGTTAGATTCTAAGTAAATTCTAAGAATACCTTGTATTTATTCAGCTTTGTTTACTCTTTTTAAATTTCTATAACTGACTATCCTTCTTTCTTAAGTAAATTCTAGCTCATCTTCATGGTAAAATTCTAACATCATATCTCCAGCACACAAAAAGCACTTATAATTATCAAATGGTTTTTCGATTGAGAGATGGATAGTATTATTTATACTAGTTGAAGATGTTGAAGACATTAAATCTGTTGATTATTAATCTTAATATTTTATCAAAGCCATGCTCTACTAAAATTTATTTTCATCACTTTCAGTAGATTCTACTTGATTAAGTTGGCTATCATTAATAAAATTCACTTTTGCTCTTTTTAATTTTTTATTATTTTTGTTTTAGGTATCTTTCTTTATAAACTTTTTTACACCTAAATCGATATCCTTTTCTTCTGTATTACTTTCGTATGTTTAAATTGATGGACGTGTTTCGCTGCTTTCCTCTACTAAAATTGTAGATTGGCTATTATTACTTTTTGATAATTAGCTCATTTAATTTAATATATATCACCTTTATTGTTATTTTAATTAGTTTTTTCAAAAAGTTTTATATTAAATTTGAGGTGAATAATTTAATTATTACTTTTATTTATTGATCTATTGATGTATTAATTGTTAAGCCAATGATTAATTAGCAAAATCAAATAGATAATCTCCCTAAATCAGTTTTAGTTATCATTTCTATTTAATAAAATTATAATTTTAAAATCTTTTGAAAAACAATTCAAAATTATTTATAATTTTAGTTAAATTGATAAAAAGACTATTTAAAATGTATTTTATGAAATAATTTCCTATTAAATTTCTCTTTATCACCTATTTTCTCAAAGAAAAAACTTGATTTAATAATTTTTTTTAATTATTCATCTATTTCTAGTTGAAAAATGTATCAAATAAAAACAGCCATACATACTGTAATAATTTAATAATATAAAATTCTTAACAAAAATTTTTTTCTTTGTTTGACTAGCTTACTTTTGCAAAAAAAATACAAAAAAATAATTTTTTAAAATCTCAATTTTTTCAGTAGTTGATAATTACAGAATTAAGAATAAAAATATTAAATAATCATTTAAAATTTTTTTGTACTAAAACTTTTGAATAAACAAAGTAAATTTTAATTATTTAATTTATTTTATTTTTAATGGAAATATCATTTTTTAGCTAAATTCATACGATAATAATTCTTTATCTCTTCTTTTTTGAATCTTCTAATTATATTTATTACTATTATTGAGGTGAAATTGGATTTTCAGTTCCTTAATTATTCTAAAACTCTTAAGACATTATTATAAGATTATATTTCTTTTAAGAGCTATTTTAATCAAATTATCTTGCTGAAAGTTAGCCTTTAAGATCTTAAGTGTATTCTTATTTATATGATTTAAAGTTCTTGCTTTCAATTTTTGGATTTATATGACTCAAAATATCTTTATTCTTTGAGGAAAAACCACTCAAATTACTAAATGACTTGATTTATTTTGGAAGGGATGGTCTAGCAGTAAATAAACCTAAATTAATATCACTTTCAGAGCTTCTTTTATCAGTCAATGATAGTTTATTTAAAGATTTTATATTAATTGAAGTTGTTTATCCTAAATTAATGAATTGTTTATTATTTTTCCTATCTAATTTATGGTCACTTGTTATGTACTTTAAATACCCTAGTTTTTTTTGGAAATCAATTTATTTTTATCTACTTTCAGGAGATTAATTTTTAGTTTTTTAAGATTTAAGAGGGTCTAAGGAATTTTTTTACTAAAGAACATCTTCTAACTTTTAATTTTCTAATTAATTTATTTTGTTTTTTGCTTCATTATTATTTTAAAAATTAGATGTGGTCAGTGAATGCTACTTTTAATGATGTTATTTAATTTCTTGTTTATTTTACTCACTACTATAATATTAATCTTAAATTAATTTTAAATCCTTTTAAGATACTTTTGCTGTAAGGGTATCTTCTTACAAATTTGGTTACTAGATAAATTAGTTAAGTTAATTTGAAATATCCTTACTTGACCTTTAAGTAAATGCATTTTATTTTAAACTGCTTACTTCTTCATTACTTTATTTTTCATTAAATTAGCTTTAAATAGAACTATTTTTTTTGATATCTGACGATTATTGAATATATTTTTGATTAATTTTCTTAATTTCTTATTCATTTTTATAATTTAAATATTCTTCCATTAATAATCTAATATCTGTTAATGAAGGAATATTGTGATCTATATCAGGTAATTGCTTAGTAGCATCATTTCTTACATGTGATTTTAAATTTTATAAATCAACCTTTCCATACTATTGAAAAAAGTTATATTTTAATCTTTTATGAAACATCTTTACAAATGGATCAACGTGCCCATTTTCTACAAAAGTTTTAGGTTTTTTCAATGATCTATCAAATTGATTAAAAGAAGATCTCTAAACACTTTTTTTACTTGCTTATTCTTGCATTTGTAATAGAAATTGCAGCTGTTTTTACCCTAATTCAGTTTTTGACTTATTTTTTTATCTTATCTATTGAGTATCTTAATCGTTTGTCATGAACTCGCTAGTGACAGGAAACATTGAATTACTTAAGCCTTTATTTGATGATATTTAAGTTTAATATTCATCTTACAAAGTCCCAAGTTTACTAAACGTTTATATGTCTGGATTTAGAAAATCAAATGTTTACATTGTTGCTATCTTTTACTCTGGTTTAAATTCTTAATCTATTTAGCTTGGAGTTGTATTCATCTTTTCTCCATGCTGCTAAACAATCTTTGATTGATAATATGAATTTATTTTTTAAGGTGAAAAACTGTAAGATTTCGAAGCATTACCAATTGTAAGTTAATTTAAGCTAATTTAATTTAACGAATTCTAGCTAATTTTACTTTACAAATTTTAGTTTTATTAAATTTTATTATTTTAATTTATTACTAATTCATTTTATTTTTGGTTATAACTTCTTTATATGTCATGTTAATCATCCAAATTCTATTCTGTCTTGATCTTTAATTATAACTTTATTTTTCTTTTTGGAGGACTCAAGGTATTTAATGATTAAGGACTATTCAAGCTATCTCTGCTTATGTAGCTTGGAGTATACATCTTTATATTTTCTAGAGTAATATTTTTCTTTTCTTTTAAAGAAGGAACTTGTAAGACATGTTCAACCTGATTAAGATTCTCTTGATCAGATGGAAAGTATGAATTGTAAACATACTTTTTGGTTGGTGAATTAGGTACTTAGATTAAACCTATCGATTATTATTTTAATAGTTACAAATTTGACAATGAAGATGCTGGCTCTGCTGCTAAGCTAGTTTTTCTTGAAGTAAATAATGAACTCTATAATTTCAATCTTGGTGAGCTATATCCTTTACTAGAATAAGGAAGAGGGGATTCATCTAATACGTTACTCTTTGATTGTATTCTATTGTGTTTGTAAGCATTTTCAAAAGAAAAAAAGTGATTGTATAAAGTTCCATTTTAATTTTTTGTCAGTATTTCTTGTTCCATTTAGCATATCTTGGTAGCTCTTTTAAGTAGATATTCTCTATCAAATTCTTCAGAGAGCATGTATTCTTCAAAGTCTTTTTTACTAAAAACATAAAGTTATCCTTCTTAAGAGTAACACATTAAAGTGAATTGCCTCTTTTTTAGATTATTTACTATTTCATACTCGCCAACTAAGCTTTAGCTTTGAATCAATCCAATCTTTATTTTAAATGTAGCTTTTTATAGAATTAATTGTAATTGAAAACAAAATTAATTACTTGAACATTTGATTCTTTGGGTGGTTTTTTATTTGCTTTGACAGAGCTTCTTTGGTTAACATGAATTTCATCAGGAGGAAGTTGCCAGTATTATTCGACTTCTTCTGGCTTGTTAACGATTTTTTTCATTTTCTAAGTGATAAAATATAAAAAATTTATTTATTTAAATTACTTCTTTCATTTTTAATTTCTATTTATATTGTCTCAACTAAATAAAATAAAATTTTTATTTTTAATAATAATCTAATTATCATATTAACTTTGTTATTTATTTATTTCATTTGAAATATTTTTATTCAACTTTCGACTAAATTAGCTACCTTAAAATATATTTATTAAGAAATATACGCTTTTACTTTTCAAAAAACTGAATTCTATCATTTGTTATTAATCAAACAAAGAATATATCGCACATAAAATCAAATTGTTTTTTATTTATATTGATGAATATGAAATTTTTAGAAAAAAAAAAATAATTTAATTACATTAAACTCTCCAGACCTAACGAGGTATACATCACCCACTTAAGAACCTTCCTCATATACAACCTACCCTCTATGAAAATTGATTGCTTGCCTTTTTGTAAATAGAAGTTTTATAAGTTTTTCTTTTACTTTTTTTTCATATGGAAGACTGTTTAAAAATCCTATTTCACTCATTAAGAATTTAATTCCTGCGATTTGGAGTAAGTTTTTATATCTATTTTTAGTGAGAACTGCAAACTCGCAATTAGTTTCACACTTGGCCAAAACAATCGACTATTTGTCGCTTTAAAGAGATAATTCTCCAAAAGCGTATCCCTATGGAATTTCTTTGATCTTATCATAATTGTAAGGGTCTATTTCACCATTTGTAGGATCTTTCCTTTAAATATACATGCCTACCTTTCCCTTCAAAATCAGATAGAAATACTAACCTTTTTCACCTTTTAAAAGATAAACATTAGATTTAATAATAATAATAATACTTTATTAATATCTATCTATAAATTTACCCAATGTAAACAGACTTTAATCTTTGTTAACAACAAGGTATGTCATATACTGGCAAACTAATTAATGTATTCTTTCGCCATTCTATTAATTTAGCAAATCAGTTTAAAAAAACCCATAATCTTTTGTTAATTCAGCTAATTTTTCGATATTCTAAAGAGATCTAACTGCTATAGGAATTTCCAAGAGCTCTTTTATTAACTGAGAATAATAAAATTATATAAAAAAGAGTTAAAAGAGATTTAGTTTAAATGTTTTACAGATAGCCTTGTCTCTTCTTCAATCATTATTCAAAATTTATAAATAGCGATTATCAAAAATCTTAATTTTTTATCAACTTAATATTTATGGTGATAATAATAATTTTTAATTTACACTGATTCTAATCGTATTAATTTAATAATTAGATTGATATTTTTTTATTTTACAGCGAAAAAAACTAAAATAAACTGTATAAATAGATAGTCAATCATTAACTTACTCTCATTTATAATTAATTACTGAAAATTTTGAACATATCAATTATATTTTGAAAATAGTCTACTGAATCCAAAGTCATCTAATTTTTCATAAAAAAGATTTACTAAATTTTACAAAAAATAAAAACCATAATATAAATTTTAAATTAAATTCATATTTAATTATTATTAATTAGAACTTTTTTTATTAAACAAACATATTTTATATTTTTCAAATGTTTTATAGATAAGTTTTATTCAAATATTTAAGTAAAAGCTTATTATTAAATAAGGTATACTTTAGTAAAATTTTTATTAAATTTAAATAAGAATTAAATTATATGACTATTTTTAAGCTATTAAGTAGTTTTATATTTAAGGATTGGAGTGGATAGATATATATATATTTTAGTGGGTTCTCATGTTTAAAAATTTAGTTGATTTTAATTTAAGATATAACATAAATCGTTACTTATAATTTTTAGATTAATGACTAAAAAAATTATGAATTTTGATAGAAAAATATTTTATCTGAATTATTTAAATAAAATAATTAATAACAAAATATTATTTTAATTGGTGTAATTAAAATTCATCTTTGTATTAAATTTTAATTTGGGGTATAGAATGTATGAAAACTAATTGAATGCAAAAACTAATTTAATAAATATAAAAGCAGTGAGTGAGTGAGCGACTGACTATTTTAGATTTGTTAAATATTAATTAATTGATATGAAGAGTAGAGTTTCTTTAAATTATTACTTTAATTATTAGTGCAAAAGCTGAATACAAAAAAATATGAATCTATTTAAAATGTATTTAGCATTTAGCTAAAATAAAAAATAGGGTAATATATTTCTATTTATCTCATTCTCAAAATCCTAATCTCTTAAGCCAAAAATCAATAGATTCTTTGTGGAGACCATTAACTTCCACTCTTCCAACTTTAACATGAATTTCTGCATTTGATACAACCTTAGATAATTCCTCAGTGAATTTATTAATGTCACCTTCAATATGTCTGATAATTGTTCTCTTTGATGTTCTGTTGTGATTATATTTTCTGTAGACAGGTAAATTTCCTGTATGAGTTCTTAAAATACTGAAAGGCATAATTTGATTTACTCCCAAAGGTAACATAGCTTATTCAGGAGTTTAATTAGCAGGAATATCTTATAATTTGAATTCTAATGGTTTAGGGGGTTAAGTCATTCTATTTTAAGCTTCTTTTGTTACAGGATGCATATTTCTAGGGTGAGGAGGACGCAAAATCATTTGCTATTAAATCAACTTTTTACCAGCAGCTCTCATTTGAAAATAAAACTATTTTTTCTATTCTACTTACTATTTATTTCTTTTCCTAAATCTTTAATTTTACTAACTTTTCTCTTAAAATTTAAACTTATCTAAGTCTTTCTTTCTTTTTCTTTCTATCTATCTAGCTCTTTACTAATTATAATATAAATGTATCATTAGTCTTTCTTTATTCAAGGCAAAGATTTGTCTGTCTTTATAAAAGCTCTATCGATTAGCAATCATTAAATCTAATAAAAATAAAAATTATAAATAAACATCCTTATCATTAAATCTAATTTATTTTATTAAAAACTACATATTTTATCATTTTTAAAATACAGAATACTAAAAAGAAATTAAAATATAGATTTTAATTTTAAAATACATAGAATTAGCACCAATTAAATTGATGGCTTTAAAAAATAATACTTCGTTTTACCCTATTAAGAGCTGTTAATTCTTTTTTATTTATTTATAAAAATATCAGATGAGAAACAAAATAAAAAATGAGCATATTCAAATTATGCCTTAATATGAAATGAATATGAAGGAATAATAATTATCAAATCTATTTTAAATTTTTATAAACAATTTAAATTTATTTAAAATGTTAGGAGGCAAGTCAAGAGCTTCTTTACACATAGTAATTAATTTTAGATTTTTATTTTTAAATTAATTCAAAGGAATTCAATAGTATTTAGTTAATTTTAAACTTAATAGAAAGATTTAATATAGATAGAACAAATAGTTAAAAATATAAAATAATGAATGATATTTCAAATAGAATTGATTTTATTAGTTGTAAATTAATGAAAATTATTTGAATTTTTTATAATAAATTAGTATAATTATGTCATTTTTTCTTTTTATCTTTTTCAGTAGGCAGCTTTTATCCGTTTCTATTAAATGCTATGATGGCTTTTACGAAAGAATGTTTAATTTTTCTTTCTTTTGAGGTAAGATGAGGATCAACAAAATGATAGTATAATATCATTTTCATTTTTCTCCATAGAACTTATGATGGCTTAAGAACAAAAGCAGTTGGATTCTTTCTTTTTGTTTCCTCTGAGAGAGCAAATAGCCATCTATTTATTTAATCCTTTTCACAATAAAAATCTAAAGTTCTTGACTTGAGAACTAATGAAAAACAAAGCCAAGGTTCTAATTTTTTATTAAAAGATTTTTGTAGCACATCTGTATGCTTTCCATATAAAACACCCTTTACGTCTTGCATGCAATCTAAATATTTTTTAAAAGTATTATTAAATTGATTATTACAACGTGAATCATTGATTTACAATATTAAATTTTATCTTTTTTATTGATATTTCTTTCTCTAGAAGTCCACCTGAGAGTCGAATCAGGAGCAAGTTAGAAGAATTTTTAAAGTCTTCCGTTTGTAGTTTTGTTGCATTTAAGTAGGTAATCTCCAACCATTACATATTTGTATGCCTAAAAAATCATAAAATATTAAAAAATCTTTTATTTATTTAAATCATAGTTACATTATTTATGAGAGTATCTACTCTTTTTTATTGTTTGAAAGCTTACGACATTCTAGACTTGTCAATCATGTAGTCTTAGAGTTTATCGAATGCTTCTAAATAAGTGACTGTTAGAATCATTTTTTTGAGTCTGTTAACTGCTGCTTTTAGATTATCTATGGCTGTTTTTGTGAAAGGCATTTACATTAATTATTTTTCTACAAGTGGGTGCTTTTCGTTTTTCAACATAAATATAGTCTTTTACATCTACTCCATACCCTTTTATTTATTAATTTTACAGTTAGTATTAATTTTAGAAATAAAAAATATATACTAAGCTTATTGCTTCTCTTTATTTTTTATCAATTTTTTCATCTTTCAGAAGAGATCTACTGTATGATATTGATGTGCATAATCTTAATCTTAAAGCTATTTTTTTATAAGTAAACAATATTTACACCACTATACACACAAATAAAAAATTATTTTAGTTACCTTACTTCCAAAGTGGCTCTCCATACTCATTTAGAATATCACCAATATTACTTTTCAGTATACTTTTATTAACTTAGCTTTGGAATTATTTTACAGATTATTATTCTGTTCTTTTAAGAACTGATGTTATTTATTTGGCACACTTTATTTTCTCTTCAAATTTTTTAAACAATGTATCTGGATTAACTCCTTTGAAATCTGGGTGTTTGAGTAATTCATTCATTCTATTTTAGTATTAAACTATATTTTGTTGGTCAGAATATTGTTAGCTTATCTAAATTATGTGCTTTAATGTTAACAAAGCAAAACCAGGATCATTAATTTATTCCCACATCTTCAAAGCTTTCTCATGGTAAGTTAAGGCGGCCTAATTATCATTGCAAAGCTCTCTATTAAGTGCCATACTAGAATAAAAGCATGCAAGAGTAGGTTCATCATCTTATTTTAATAAATAATCATAAATGAAAAATGCAATCAAATATTTAACATTAAAGTATTATTTAATATTTAATTTAATAATTCTCTTTTCAACACTAAAGAAAGAATAAAATTTTTACATTTAAATTCAGCATTATCAAATATTCCGTTTCCCATACTTTCGAAGCTTAAAAATCTGAAATAAAGATAAACAAGTTCCTCTAAAAGATCTCTTTTCTAAATGTCCTTGCTATTTAACATATTAAATAATTTATTATTAAATTTTTCAAGCTCAGCAGTAATATTTTCATTAAATTGTTTAAAGTAAACTTAATAATTAGCTAATTTCTAAATGAAATAAATACCTTGAATAAATAGTGTTCATCGCTTCATCGTTAGCTTAAATAGCCTCATCAAATTTATTTAAAATTATATTTACAATTGCCAAATTTGCATATACTTTTACTTGCAAAGCTGACCTATGGTCTGAGCGCTAAGAACCTTATTTAAGTAAATCAGCAGCTTCTTTTAATTATTATTCTGCTTATTTATATTAGCAACTATGGAAATAAATAACAGCTAAGTTAGATTTAATTAAAGATATTCTTTCTATATTTTAATATTTCTCAGCTTCACCTAGAGCTTTAAGATAAAAATCAATGGAAACCTTTAAATCTCTTCTTTAAAAAGCATTGTAAGCTTCTATAATAAGAGAATTATAAGTAATTTAATCAATGTTTATTTAATCTTCTTCTTCATCAGATTCCTCATCAGACATTCTTGTAGCAATTGTATGATGCATATTGGACATATCAGGCTAGTTAACGTAAGACTAATACTGCTACTATTATTAAAACTATTGTTGCTATTAAGGTGCTGTTAAGTAAGATGACTGAACAATATTTCTATTATTACTCATTTATTTCAGTTAATAAATTTGATTTTTTGTTTGTTTTAAAAATACTAATCTTTTACAAATTATTTTTTTATTTAACTTGTTTTTTTGAAATTTATATTCACTAATTAATTACTTAAAATTTTTGCAGAATTGACTGAGCAACTTTATTAAATCTGAATTTTATCATAAATCTTTACAATTTTCTATTATTTGGTATTGAAAAAAATTTAAAATTCAACTTTATTTCAAGTGAAATATTCATCTCAAGTAAATTACTTTAATAACTTAAATGTCATTAATTTCATATTTATCAGAAAAAGATATTTGAAATAGAAAATAAATTAATTTTTATCTCCTTTCAAAGTTATAGATAAATTAATTAATTAATTAACTAATATATTGCATTTTATATCTTACGCATACTCTCTATTTTACAATTATTTTAACTAATCCTAAATCATTATTTTACTGTAATCTAAAATTTAATATCAAATAATTAACTTTTGAGTAATTATTACTGATATTGTTATTTAGACAGGCATATAATTTGTTAAAAAAGTGATGAGTAATAAATATCTCATATTTAATCTAAAATTATATTAATCAAATAAATTCTTATATTAAAAGTTCAAAAAAAATATATTTATTTATTGATTTATCTTTATTCTAGATCAATAAATTCTAAAACGAAAACAAATGAAATCTCAAAAAAAAAAAAAAATTGATTGATTATCTCCTTTAAAAGCTTTAAATAAACTAATTAATTGCATTTTATATCTTTAAAATTATTTTTATTAATCGTATTATATATTTCACTATAAAAAAGATTACCAATTCTATTTTAATCGAATTTTAAAATATAAAACTTTATTGCAACAAATTATCTTTTAAGTAATTGATGATAAGCTTAGTTAGACTAAAAAATATTAAAAAGTGATGGGAGACATCTGATACTTATAAATTAAATCTACAGTTTCTTAATAAAACAAATTTATATATTTACACTTTATTTATTAAAAAATATATTTTATTTATTTATCTTTGTTCATTCTAGATCAATTAGTTCTAAAACTACTTTCGAAAGCTGTATTTCAGAGCTAAGCTTTGAATGGAAAGATCTGAAGACAGGAGATATCTCAATAAGAGCAACCATATCTTCTGTATATTTTTCAACAATTGTAATTAGTTATTTATACTATTCAGCTTATATTTATTTATCTTCCTCTTCAATTTCATCGCTTTCGAATTCTTCTCTAAGCTTTAATAACCTTTCGATAGTCTTTTCCATCATATCTATTTGAGTGACAGTTTAAAAAACTTACTTTAAGCTAGCTATTTCATTTTCAAATTCCTTTATGATTTAATGTGCTTTATGCTCTTCATATAGTTTAATTTATTAGAAGTATGAGCCTTCACTCATAGGTTGATTTAGATCAACTTTAACTTGGTCTAGCTATTTATCTACATACTAAATAGATTCTAATCCGTCTGTAAGAATGGCATTATTAACTTTAGAATTAGTAGGTATGACGATTCTCATTAATTTCTATTTTGTAACATTATTTTAATACTTCAGCTCAAGAATTTTTTGCAGTCTTTAATAATAGAAATTTCTAATATCCTCATATGATTTTTTGAACTGATTTATGTTTTCTTATTGTTTAGAATAAGAAGATTAAAATTTATCATTTAGCTATTTAACATCTTCTATAAACAAAAAGAAGAGAATTTCGAATTCAGTGGTCTATTTTGTTAAAAAGAATTGTATTTAAGATAATGAATTAAAGATCAAATTACTGAATTGTGTTCAAAATGTTCACTTAGAGGTTTAAGAACCTCTACTGTCTATTTGATATCAGCCTGAGTGTATTCGATATATTTTACTTCGTTTTCATCTTACTTAACAATTTAATCATAAAGTTTTTTGACTTCTTTTAATTTATCATTGTGGAATTAGTGAATTTTAAAGCAATGTTTGGGTAATTCTTCCATGTCAGATAAAATATTTTGATTTTTATAGCGAGGATCTTAACGCCACTCAGGATCATACTTAAATGTTTATTCAAGAATTTCTATGCTTTTTTAGCAATTCTAAACAAAATGATAGAATTGCTTTAAGTATGTGTTCAAAAGAGAAAGTTAATTTTTAAAAAAATTTTCATCTAATTAAGACAACTTTTCACTCAAGTTCATTTAGTTCATTTGATTAATTTATTTCTCAATTGTTTCTTACTAATTTTCAATCAGAGTGATCATGTTTTTTCTTTCATTACATAAAAACATAATCACCTTAATTCCCTCTTTGAGTTTTTAAATAGTTTATTTGAGAATTCCAACCATCTTTACTGGATGGTTTTCTGAACTTACATGATTAAGCTCTTCAACAGCATGTTCTAAAACAAGATTCTTGCAAAATTTTGTATATTTTTCATTCATTTATTAAGTAATTTATTCTGCATTTATATCCTTTGGCTATTTTATTATTAAAAAAATAAATACTTTAAATATTTTTGAATTTTTTTAATGTTAAATTGCTTACTCTCTCTTTATAAGTTGTCCTAGTTTCTAAATCAAGTGTCAACTAAGTATTTCTTGGGTCTTATTTATCACTGACATTTGTGTCTAACCTCAAATTGGTATCCTTTTTTTCTTCATCTAAGTTGAAATTAGAAATAATTTTATTTATATCTTGGTTCTCTTGAGAATCTTCTCCTCCAGCTTTCTAATTATTCTAAAAACTTTTGCTGACGTCAAAATTATTAAGTTCTTATTCTAGTTCTTCTTCATCTATTTCTTCTTTGTATTACTACATTCCGAATTTCAAAGAACCTGAAGATATATCACCTAGTTATAAGAAAAATAAATAAAACAAATTAATTTTATATAAATTTCCAATTCTACCTTAATTTTAAACTTCTCCTTCATTTATCTCATCAATAGCTTCATTTTTAATAGAGTTAGGTATCATCTAAGCAACATTTTATTCATCATCTGACTCATGATTATTTTCTTCTGGAATGCTATCCTAATTACTATTTGCTTTTTTGTTTATACTTTAAGCATATTCTTACATTTTTTCCTTAAATAGCGAGACTATTCTGTATTTTAAGCGGTTTTTTACTTCATTTAAAGCATCCAATAAGTTTAATTGTTTAAGTATTGATGAAGATATAAAGGCATCTCTTATTTTTATTGCCTAAAAAATACAGAAAAAAAGTTAATTAATTATAAAATTAATAAGTAAATAAATATCTAATACATCTTATTTATCATCAAAGTATACAATAATAGGTTTTCTACTTTAAAAATGAATATTTATTCTAGCATTTTGATTAGCTGCTTCTTTTTTCCATTGCTATTTCAAGCTTTCATCCTATTATTAATTTAGTAAAATGGAAACTATTAAGGATAGGCAAGATTATTAAAAAATATACCTTGATTTCAATAGTTAATCCATTATGAATAGGAAACTGCTTCTTTTCTATTTTTCCACTTTTATCTAATGAATTTAGAATGTTTAACTATTTTATTTTGAATTTATTGCAATATTTACCTTTCTATTAAATCATTTTCATGTCCTAAAATACAAGACGTCTCTATAAGGTTTTGTTAAAGGTCTTACCTTTATTTATTATAAAATTTATTTTGTAAATTTTTTAACTTCATTAATGAAAAATGTAAAAATTACTTTTTTTCTCCATTATGTATTCTTTTTACTGATCTTCCAAAGACAAAATGTAAAGTGATTAATCTTCTTATTTAAATTTTTATATAAAACCTTTGTTTAAATTTTCTATTTCGCTTAGATTTTCCTCCTTAAATATATTTTATTTCATTTTTAAAATTATAGATTTTTTATATAAACATATTTTACCTCAATCATGAGACAAAGATAGAATGCATTTATCAAATATTGAGAATAAACTTCATATTTGGATCCCTTTAACCAATCTAATTCTATTTTTCTACCTTTAACTAAATACTAAAAGTTCTCCATATTTGGTTTGATGAAAGATATACAGTTAAATTTTATATTGCTTTTATATATTTTTTATTTAATATTAAGTTATTCTTCGTATGTAAGCCTTATTTTTAGTTGATACAAAATCAATATTCTCCAATTATTTATAATAAATTTATTATTTTGATTGAATATATTGTTTGCAAAAATTCTTATTTTTATTAAATGATTTATGTTATATAGTCATAGAATATTTTATATAAATCAATTACACTTTATTATTGCCTACTATTATTGCTTATTTTAAGAATAAAATATTTGAAGTATTTATAACTCATCGCTTTCAATCCACAAAGCAAAAAAAAACAATATTTGGTTGCTTATCATAGTTATTACCCTTTAAATACTAAATTTATATCTAAATATATTATCATTTTTAAAAGTTAAGTAAAATTTTTAATTAAATTGGTAGATTTCTAAATTTTTTATTATGCTAAAATTACTAAAATATATTAAAATAAGTTTAAAAAATGAGAAAATAAAATTTTAATAAACAAAGAAACAAAATTTTATTTAGAAATGAAGTAAATTTATTATTTAAAAATATTAATTAAATAACTCAACTTATGATATTTAAAACTAAAATAATGATTAGCAATACTCAAAATAATAATATGGCTTTTATTAATACCATAAAACCTCACTTTAGATATAAATGAATTAGTGAGAGTGTGCATAATTTTTAAAAAACTAGGCACTTGAAATTATCAATTAACTAGGATACCTATACGAACAGAACGAGAAATTATGATATAAATAAGAAATTGTAAATAATAAATTATTAAAAGTTTAGTTAACTATTTTAATATACATTTTTGGATATATTTGTATAAATTTTAGCGCGATTATTTTAAATTGAAATAACTCTTTGAAATATCAACAAAAAAACTAAACATATAGAGGTGACACTGTTGTCATATGACATAATTTATATAATTTTATTATAAATAAATATTAATAATACATAATTGGTTATATTATAAGATGAGATGATAGATATTTAATTATTATAGTTTTTATTTATTTATTTGCTTTTAAGGCTCAAAATTTTCATTTATTTTTTAATTAACATTCATCCCTTGATTTTTTTTTATTGCTAATTTTTTCAGATTATTTACAAACTTGTATTGGAAAATTTAATTTAGAAATTCATGAATGAAGGATTCTTAATTTAGCTAAAGATTTATCAAATTTTATATCAAGGAGAAACAAATGACCATCCAGCAATATAGTCTTTATCTCCCTTATAATCAGTTTCTGAGAATAAATTTGGATCAAATTTTGTACTTATTCTGATCTTTCTATTTGGTCTAGGAGGTTTAAGTTTTCTATTTTAATTTTTATACAAATTTTTATAATTAATTAATTTACTAATCTAATTTATTTACCTTTAATACACGGTATTCCAATCAACATCACCAAAGAAAGGATGGGCTTTAATTTCTTCTGCATCACCTTTACCTGAACCCAATCTTTTAGCTGGGTTTCTCTAAAGTAGCTATTTAAAAATATTTTGCATTGAATTAATTTGTTATTTAAGTTAAATTTTACTGCTTTTAAGAGAGATCTAGCTTCATTTGAAAGATATGAAGGAATTTTGAGAGGAGCTTTTTCAATGTTGTAAAAGAGTTCATCCCTAAATTTAATTTAGTTTAATAAAAATCTATAAAAATTTTTAGATTATATTTTACCTGTTGTTAGCATAATATGGTGGAATACCTACTAGAAGCTCATACATAACAACACCTAATAAATACCAATCGACTGCTTTTCCATGTCCACATCTTTTTAGCATTTCAGGTGCCAAATAAGCCACTGAACCACAAAATGAGCGTGCACCAGATGAATGATCGAGTACACCTTCTTTGGAAAGACCAAAATCAGTTAATTTGACATGTCCTTCATAGTCCAACACAATATTATCAGGTTTCAGATCTCTAAATATTACGTCTCTTTTGTGCAAATCTTCTAAAGCTAAAATAGTTTCTGCAAGATAAATTTTAACAAGTTCTTCTGAAAATTTTTTTTCCTTTTGTAGATGCTCTCCTAAATCACCTCCTGGGCAATAATCCATAATCAAAAATAGTTTATCACTTGTTTAAAAGGCATAATTAAGCTTAACAATAAAAGGATGATTTGTAAGAGACATTACATTTCTTTCTGTCATAGCATACTTAGTTAAATTATGACCTTTTTATAATTGAAAATGATAAATTAATTATTACAAAAATAGAAAATGATTTACGAATAATTTTAGATTTATGGAGCACTTTCATGGCATAGAGCATTTGAGATCCCTTCTTTTCAACTAAGTAAACTTCTCCAAATGAACCTTTTCCTATTAACCCATGAACGATAAAATCAGTAGGCCCTACTTTTTCCTCTTAGGCTCCAAATGAACTTTTGCTTTCATCTGAAGTGCTAGTTTTTTCATTGATTGAGCTTTTATTGTCGTTTTCTGAAGATTTTTTCTAATTTTAATAGAATAACAATAATTAAATTAAAATTAATTTTTGATAAAAATATTTTTTTATTACATAAACACCATTGCTCTTATTTTCAACTTATATTTCAGGATTGTTGCTTTTTGGTACTTTTTAGAACATTTACTATACATTTTATGATTGTACATCATGAATTTGCAACTTTTGTTAACTTTGCAAAAGCTATTTCTATAACTGGAAGAAATTTTCGAAAGCTTTTTTAACTTCATCATTACCTGCTAATTGATATGCTTCTTAATTGTTTAAGTTCTTCTTTTTGAAAAATAAAGAAGGTTTCCTTAATAGGATATCTACTACCTTTTTATGGCAATTGATTGAAGCATAGTGAAGTGCTGTGTTTTCTTTAGAGTCAAAATTATTTATATCTGCCCCTGCAGTTATCAACAGTTAGCACACATCTTCATGGCCTCTATAATTTTAAATAATATTTTTATTTATAAATTCATTAAAGAAAGTTATTTATTAACAAAATCATATTCAAATTAAATTATATTTTTCAAGAAACTTTTAAATGATAATTAACTAAAAATATAAATTTTAAAAAGTTTAATTACTCTTTGCAAGCAAACATTAAAGGTGTTATAAGCTATTTATTTTGACTGTCAATATTTGCTTCGTTGAAAAGTAAAAAGTTTACTAATTATGCATTTCCATTTTAAGCTGCATAATGTAAAGCAGTATTTTACTCTTCATCTTTAAAATTAATCTCAGCTCTCATTTCACCTCTTTTCTTATCGAGGTATCCAATACACTCTTAGTGCTTATTCAATTTAGCACATGAAATAAACTGTAAATTGATATTTCTTTTTTCAGTCCTAAATATTTTTAACATTAAATAAATTGAATTCAATATAATTTTATCATAAATTAAATAATTTACCACCACTGCTAAAAGTTTTGTGATTAACTCTAAGCCTAAATTTCTTAGGTAGTTTATGCTTAAACGTATACTTCTGTATCTAAATTTTAGGTACTATTAGTATTTGGGTCAAACTAGACATGTGTTACTTTTTCTATATTTGAATTAGTTTAATTTATTGAGCTCGATACTTCTGATGTTAAACTGGGTTGATTTTAAGTAGTTGGAGTAGATTAATGAGTAGCACTGCTAGTAGGTTTCTTTCCACTGAAATTTATTTATGATTATGACTGTTGTCCCAAATTGTGAGATGAGGATTAATTACTCATAGGCTAATAGTTTTATATTTAGGCAGGTGACTAAGGGATAGAACTTGAAACATTAGGTGAAGACTCTTGCTTTTGAATTGATGGAGTTTTTGTTTGTGATGATTGAGAAGTCAAGTTAATGTTAGAACTTTATAATTGTATTTAAGATTAAGGTACATTAGTTTATGTTACTTAACGCTATTCTTGTAATTTTCGACTGAATAACTACTAAGTAATCGATGTTGGTAATCCCGTTTAAGAATTATTTTTGCTTTAAGTTCTGGGTGTATGAGAATTTGAAAGATTATTTGTACTTAAATTAACAGAAATATTTTAAGGTGATATGTTTCTACTGTTTGAGGCAGATTTATTCATACCGCTCATGTAAGTGAATTGAGACTACTAATAGGATGGTTTTTAATCAGATGAGCTAATAAATTTAGAATAAAAATATTAGTCTTAAATATTATAATTGTTTATTTACAATTAGTGATATCCTGTCTTTGGAGTCTACTCATTTACTTTATTCTAAAAAGCTTTTTAATAAAAATAAATAATTTTTGATATATTAGAAAGTTGATTTATTGTAAGCTACATGAATCTGTTGAGTGAGCTTAGAAGTTTGATTATTGATTCTTTTTGATATCGCTATAAGAGTTGTTTACAAGATTAGCAGGTATCGAAGCAGGGGTTGGATTATTTGAATGAGTTGGTGTCTGTGATTTGAAATTGGAAGAATAACCATCTTTTATTTAAATTAATTTAGATATTATATTTTGATTTACCTTAGATGCTAAAATAATAATTACTTGAAATGGGTATTTGCTTTTAACTTTAGTTGATATTTTAAGATGATGAATGAGAAGTGAGAAGCCTGTTATTAGAGTTTTCTTCAACAGCCTCGTTACTTTTGAAAACTATTATTTTAATATTAAATTAAACAAGAAATAGAAAAATAGAAACTGCTGCTTTGCAGATTTTTTTTGAAAAATTCTTAAAATTTGAAAATAAATAACAAACAAATAAACAAAATTAAATTTTAGAAACTCTTCTTTAAAATATGTAAATAGAAAGATAGATAAATAAATAAACAAATACTATTTATCTATCCATCTATTTTATAATTTTTTGAAGAAAAGAAAAATATTTTTTAAATAATTCACTTGATAAAAAGTACTTTCAAGTATAAATTGATAATATTATTTATTACCTCTTTATGTTTATGGGGCTTATAAATTCTTAGAGGAAGTAAATGTTGTAGAAATTGTATTTCCAATTTATTTTATTTGTTCTTTAACATTACGGGCTGATTTTAATCCTCCTCCATTTGCTAATCCTTAATCCTTTTGAGGAATGTTTGTGGAATAAGTGGTTTTGAGCCCACCAGTATAATTATTTTAAGACAATTAATAATTTGAATTAGTGTTATAATTTGTAAGAAGACCTTGTAGTGATTAGTTGACATGCTAGGAATTTTGATTTGATGTTATAGGATTTGCTTTACCAAATTATTGGGATTGATTTATTAGTTTATTTTTTTCTTCTGGATTTTATAAATTGTTTTAATTTCCTAACTTATTGCTAGAGGCATAATTTGTAAAATTCATATTTGAATATTTATTCTGTTATCCTGAGCGATTGAGTGGAGAAAGACTTTTATTTGTAGCCTACTAAAATTGTTACTGTTATTGGTATTGCTAAGGTGGTTTAGGAGTCTAAGACTCGTATGTATTTTGAATATTGTTAGTAGGTATTTTTTTAACAGTTTAATTCATGCTATATTATATTCCGTTATTTACATTACTAGTCATCATAGGGCTTTTTTCTTTATATTATTCAGTGTTATTAATATTGTATTAGTTCACATTTTATTGCTAATGAGGTACAAACCCATTTTACTAATAACCATTGCTTGAATTTAAATTTTTAGTTTGTTGGAATAAATTTTAGTATTAAGGTATTCCATTTAGTCCCTAAATATTCTAAATTTAAGAGCTTTACATTTATTGCTGATTAGTAAGTGTGTTTTATGTTTTTAAAATCTATGAGCTGTTTGTATGACTTAAAGGAGAATTAGCTTATCGAGGTGCTTGCAAATCTAGTTGATATTGCTTTGTATTATTTTGATTTGGGCTACCCTAAAATGTAGAACTCTATAAAGCGCCTTATGTTTATATGTAATAGTTATTGCTGTAATTAGGAGTACTTGACCCATTATTTTATCCATTCATGCTACTATTTAGTAACCCACCTGTGTTAGGAGAAATACTCCTATTTTGGTAGTTGCTTAATGCAGAATTCAAAGGCTACACATTATTTTAGCTGCGATTCTTTATATCATATAAATTTGTAATAGAAAAGGGATTATAACTCATATGCGAATCAATTATTCAATGACCTTTTCTCCTATCTACTAGAATCTAATAACTTTATAACTGAAAGCAAAAAATTGTGAGTGTTTATATGTTCTTAATGCTACTTATTACCTAATTACCTATTCTTAAGATAATATATGAAATAATTTCGTTTGATTACTTTTTATTGTTTTTTATCAACTAAATAATTAATTATTGTATTTTTTTGTTTTTGCGGAATGGTTTGGTTTGTTTTATCTTTTTTCTTATTAATACGATGGATGTCTGTCTGTATGTCTTTTATATTTATTTTTCATTTAATTAATTAAACATAAATAAAGAAATAAAGAAATCAAATGTTTGCTCCTTTGATTGATGATTCGCCTAATAAGTTTAAATTTTCAATATAAAAAGGCAGATATAATTTATCTTTAAAATATAAAATGAGAGATTAAAAGTGAATTATACTATTTACTACCAATAAATATATAAATCCATGAATGCACTTATAAAATTTCATTAGGGTTATTTTCACTCGACTATATTCTTTTTCTTTATTTAGCGATCTTATAAAATAATCCAGTTAAAATTCATTCATTTATTTTATTCATAACAAGTATTATTCTTATCTTATATGCTAAAATAGATAGGATGAATAAGAAGACTCTATTTTATATCTTTTACTATTATTTCTTAACTTAAAACTGAGCTGAATGATTGCCTGACTGACTGACTGATATACTGACTAAAACTAATAATATATTTTTGAAAATCTATCTATCTTTATTTAATTATTACAATAATATTTCTAGATTAATAACAACAAGTAAAGTTACTTGCTTAAATACATATGTAACAATTAGGAAACTAGTGGCATTCATTTACCAGTTGTTAAGAATATATAGTTAGTAACCAAAAAATTATATTTTATAATTACTGGCTTAATACTTCAACTTAGATGCTAGTTGCATAGAACTCAAAAATTACCCGAATCACTTTTAATTTTAGGGAAAATAAGTAGTATAACATTATCTCTAAACAAACAAAAAATTTATAATATATTATTAAAATATCTGAAGATAGTTTTAGTTATATTATTGTCTAAAAAATATCTACTAAAAAAATAGAGTAATTTAATATGTGAATTAAATGCAATCAAAATAATTTAAATCTATCATTTCTTAAATATAGTTTTAATAACTAAAACTAGTCAAAGTGGAAGATTATGTTTAGCTTATTATAATTAGATTCTTATTAAGTAATAATCATTCATTTTTAAATAACTAAAGCTTATCTTATAGAAAAAATAAAAGAAAATGTGGTAAATTATTAACTAAACTGATTTAAACAAAATTAAATTTAAGAATAAAAAAATAAATTTGTATTATTAAAACTATTTGAGTCTTTGCTAAAATAATTAAACATGTAATTTATTAATTTAAAAAAGTAATAAATTTTGTAGTGTAGATAGATAGCAAAATAGAAATAAAGGATAGTATATTTATTAAAAATAAAATTCATAATAGCATCAATATGAATTTTCATATCTATTAATACCCAAAATAAATTTAAAGATATCTAAATTATATATAAGAAGGTGGTATAAGGTAAATTTTTAAGCGAAATTACTATCAATAGCTTTTTTTTTTTGCCTAATAGAAAATAAGCAAGGATTAGGAATTAATTAATAAGACTTTTAATTCTAATTGACACACTAAAAATAAAATATTCGAGCAATTTTATGAGATTAATTGAATTTTTATTTATTGTTTTAGTGGTATTTAGGTATATTTTGATATTTACTTTTTAATATACTAATTAAAAAAGACAGTAAAACTTTATTAAATTACTGGTTAGTAAAAAAGTGAGCGAGTGAAAAAGTACTTTTAATCTTTTAATTTACAAAATAAATATTTAATATTAAAATTAAAAAAAGCTATCAATTTTTTAATTGATATTTTATGTATTTATATCAAAAGTATTTACTTAATTTATTTATTTGATCTCGATTATTTTCAACTTAAAATTCCATTTGTATCTTTTATGAGAAATATTATGTTTTCAATATATTTTGCTGCTAACTCATAAATTTTATAAACTCATTTATACAAAAATACTTTTCATATTTACTTTAAATAATCTTTAAAGACTTTATTCATTCAAATCAACTAAAGATTTAAAATAAAATTTTTTATATGCATGCTTTTTTAATAATTTAAACTTCAATTTAAAAAATTAAAAATATATTATATACAATATGATTTAAATTAAAATTTATTATTTTTATTTTTTGAAAAATTAGATCAGACTTTTCAAATAATTTCATTTTAGCCTAAAAATGCTCCTGTTTTTATTTTATGGATTTTTGGATTAAATTTTTGACTTGCATTTATATTATTAGAAATACTATTTCTTTTCTAATCTTAAATAAGCGGAAGACTTCTCTGCATATCAGAGTATTCTTTTTTAGATATGAAGCTTTAAGCATAATCCTAAAAGAAAAATTATTATAAAAAATATATTATTATTAATTTTACGTTTGACCTAGGTGATTGATCAACTCTTTTTTAATAGTATGACCTTTCGCTCTATTGTTTAACCAAATCAAATCTTTGAGGATTAAATAAAGGATTATAAGAACTACTTTATTTATTCCAGCTTGATATTAAACAATCATGCTAATTTAAGTCATAAGCTTGAGGTGATTTCTAAATTTCAGGAAAATATGGTTTAGGACTTAACTAATATAAGTGTGGTATTTCTCTGGTTTGTTTTTTTTCTGTTTTATCATAAATTTGACTGCTTTTCTATTTAACCTATTGAATATTTTCTTTTTGATAATTTTGCTATGGATTACTTAGTTAATAGTCATTAGATCCTTTATCCTGTTCATCTTTTTTAAATGAATTTACATTCCTTTTTGATTGATTTATAATTAATTTTTTATTTGAAACTTAAAAAATACTTGTTAATTTCATTAAAAATAAGAATTTATGAATTTCATAATAAATAAAAATCCTTTTAAATTATTTGAAAATTGAAAAATTGTCTTAAGAATAATAAAATATTTACTTATTCTACATTTCTAGTTTTGGAGATTAGGTTTAGAAATTTTGCATTTACTAAGTTATAGGATTATAGATAACATCTTGCCTTTGTCTTTTTATAGATTTCAGAGAAATCTAAATTTTTAATTAATTATTTATTTATTTATTTTTTTATTTGTATTATATAGATAAAAAAAGGAGATAAATATTTAATAATCAATTTATTTACTTTTTAATCTCCTGATGATGGTTTACCTTCATTTGTAATAATATCAAATTCTCTATCCTATTCTTAAACAACTCTGCTTTTATGAGCCTTTTATTGAAATAAAAATTTCTTAATATGAAATATTTTTTGTTTGTTTGTTAGTTTGTTGATTTTATAAAAATCAAAGATGAATTGACTGCTTAGTTATTTTTCATTTCTTATAAAATTCATTCTATTATAAACTTAAATTACCTTTTTTGTGCTGCCAAGAATTGTGTAGCTCTTCATTATTTCTGGATCTAAATTTCTGTGGGTAATAATATCATATTCTCTAGCCTCTAAGAGGATCAAAGGTTTATGGTGGTGCTTAGAGTCTAGTGTTTAGTTTTTAGATTTTATTTGATATTAATCAGTTTACTTTAGTGTATCCTTGCTTTGATTGCTAAGTAGCTTTGATTTAAGTGATTATTTATTAAAAATATCAAAATCGCTCTCATATTAAAATATTCCTTTTTCCTTTTTTATTTTTTTATCATTTTATTAATGTTAAATGTAAAAAAAAAATAATACCATTTTCCTTTTTTAAGTATTTTTAATAATTTCTTGAGTCTTATGAGCTTCTTCTGATTCCTTTTTGTTAGTTAAATGTAATATATTAAAGTTTCTAAGGTATTTTATTCTAGTAGAACTTGAAAACTAATACCTTTTATGGATTCAAGTAAATTCCTATAATTGGATCAAATTCTCTATGCTTTTTGTGTAAATTCTTCATTGAAAATCTATCATTTTCATTCAAGTTTAATTTCTCTCTTCTACTTTTGTCATAATCTTGAAGCATTGATTTCCATCTTTGAATTGGATCTAAATCTTTGGGTTATTCCTAAAATATATTCATCTAATTAAAAATTTTTTGAGATTGTTAAAATTTTATTTATTTATTTATAAAAGCACTTAATTAACAAATTATTTATAAAGAAGAATGAATACTTGAGATATTTTTTTCTCTTTAACATTATCAATGACTGATATTGATGAAAAGTTAATAAAGATATTATTTCATTTTTATATTTTTACAATATACAATTATTCTATAATCCATAAACAAAAAACAAACAAATACTAAATTTGTTTAGATAGTTAATTCCCCTTAGATATTTTTACTTCTTATCCTGAAATTAAAAATTTACAAAATATTTTTTGTTCTTATTTTTGAAATATTTTGCATTTTTAATTAACTTTTGTAATTAATTCTTATCATAGTATTAACAAATTTTTTAATTTTCAAATTTCTCTTTTTTTATTTATGTTAAACAAAAAATAATATAAATTTATATTTTCTTCGTATGTTAAAATATCATAACAAAAAAAATATTTTGAAATTTAATCATTGAAATTCATAAATTATATAATAATTATTTTAGAACATTTTTATTTTCTGTTTGTAAATTTAAAATACAAATAAACTGGGTATTAATTAATATAGAAATTATAAATTATATATGAAGACTTATTGATTAGATGAGTATTCATTCATCTCTTAAAATGAAAATATAAATAAACAGATAAACCTAAAATACCAAATCCAATAATTCCTAAGGTTATTGATGAGCATATATATTGAAAACCAGTAAATTCTTCTTGTATTAAAGAGTTGCAAGAAGTGCAATACACTTCAACTTTATTAAATAAACAAACAGGTTTTGGATTATCTTTAGAGTATTCTTCCAAGTAAGAACAGCAAAAACAATCATAAATTACTTTAAAAATATTTGGGCACTTTTTTTATTATTGTTATAAACAATATTAATCATATTCTTTTTTTCTGTTATAACTACTCTTGTAGTAGGGTATATCAATATTATGACTTGTAATTTAGCTAGTATTAGAAACTATATCACAACAATTATTCATAAATTTGCAGCAACTTAAAGCACAATCTTAATCAAATTTAAATTTACAATCACAACAATCACAGCAGTCACAGCAGTCACAACTGGAGCAACAATCTGAATCGCATGAATCAAAAAAACCTATCAAAGCAAGTATTATTCCAATTATTGCAGAAATCAATCCACCAATAAAAAAAAATAAAATAACCAAAGAAAAACAAAATAGGGGCCTTGTAATGTAAAGATGCTAATATGTATTTAAGTGCTTACAATATTTTATTTCATTTATATCTCTAATAGTAAAATCGATTTTTCGAGGCTAACAATCCTAATAACAAATAATTTGAGATTATCTCTTATCATCTGCTGGTGGAGGTGGAATAGGAATATCTATTTAACAATAACTTTTGTTTTAGTTTTCCATAAATTACTTCTCCATGTCATTAAATAAAAGTGGAGATGAATTTTCTAAATTTTCATTAGTTTATTAAATTTCATTAAAATCAATAAAAGATTCATTTATTGATTATTGTTTCTCCATTTTTTTATTTAGTTTTGTTCTTTATTTATACCGATTACCAAATTTTATTTTATTAATATTAATTATTTTAATTTTTTAGGAAATTTTAAGAAATTAAAAGTTAACTAAATGATATATTTAACAAATTATAAAAGAATAATTCTTTAACAAAAATATAACAAGAAAATAAACAAAAAAATCAATAAATAAACAAATAAGCAAGTAAACAAAAAGCAAATGAACAAAGAAAAAAAGAAATATTATCTATCTTTCTTCAAACCCTTTTATATAGTATTACTTTTTCATGTTTTTTAAGATAATAAAAAAAAACTATTAATTGTTTCATTATTTTTAAGATTTTAATTATTTTTATTGAGTGAATACAAATGTTTTAGTATCCTTATGTATTGATCAGATTTTTGATTGCCTGATTAGGTAAAATATGCTTTATCAAATTTAATATATATTTTTTAATATTCGATATTATGAGATCAAATATCATTTATTTTTGCATATGATTTAGAAGATCAAATAAAATTAAAATAAAAAAATGTTAAAAGGCTAACCTTTTTATAAAGGAGGATAATTATCATATAGTTATTGATAAATAATGATAGATGAATGAAAAATATATTTATTTTTTCAAATTTATCAATTATATAATAGTAACTTATTATACGAGAATAAAATAGGTTAAGCAGAGTGAATTGAATTTATGGTATTTAGATCGTTCCTCAAAATTTAAACAATTAAATCATTACCATACATCGGACTTAATTAAAATAAAATAAAAATTTGATATATAATGGTAGATAAATGATAAATATATTTACATCTTCAAATCTATTAATATAATGTTTAGCTTATAAAACGAGAATTATAATGATTATTTTAAGTGATTTTATATAATTAGATCATTCCTAAAAACTTAAACAATAATTGCTTTTATACATTGATTTAATTAAAATAAAAATAGTCTTTATGATTAGAGTATTTACCACCTTACATTATTATTTTTTATCCCTAATTTTAAAATGATCTAATAAATGACAAGAATTCAAGTATAATCAAAAAAGCTAAATTTTTTAACCATAAAATATTAGAGTAAAGCAATAAAATACGATCAAAAAATTTTGTTCAAAAATTATGATTAGCTCTATGTTACATTTTTAACATTAAAAAATAATTCTTATATTAGAGTAAATTAAGAAAATAAGATCAGAAACTTTTGTTCAAAAATCTTGATTGCTCACTGTTAAATTTTTTTACTACTTAAAAAAAATTGATTGATTATTTAGTTAATTTTTATATTTATTTTATTTATCTTCAATATTTAAAACAAATAAATCTATTATCAGAAGATAGAGCAATAAATTGAAATATCCTAGTTATAATTGTTTAAGCTTGACTCTGATGCAAATTATGTAAAATACCATCACTGATTTATTTTTTTATTATTTTTTAGACTATATTTTTGATAAATAAAATAATTAAGAAAAGAAAAGATTTGATAAATTAAATAATCTATTGGTATTCTAATATTATTTAAGAAATAATAAATGAAAATAGATATAAAAAACTAAGATAGCAATAAGCAATCATCCATTTTTAAAATCAAATGGGTAAAAATATAAAAATTTATCATAGACAAAACATTAAATAAAAATAATTAAAAATTAAATTTGATATTAAAAAATAAAATCCAAACACTTTCTTACAATATTTATAATAAAGAAACGGATAAATAAATATAATAAGTAAGTAAGTTAAAATTAGAAATATTTTTTGTTATATTTATTGAATTTAATAATATACTAAAATTAATTTAGCATGATACAAAAATAAAATAAATTTATTCCAAATTTTTATAAGTGAAGAAGTAAATATGGAAATCAATGAAATTAAATTAAAAATTATTTTAAATAATTAATTAAAATAATAAGGAATAAGTTAATTTATAATAAACAAATAAATGAAGAAAGAAATTATTTTAGTATTAAATAATATCTTCATTTTAAGAGTAAATAGAAATGGATAGAAATTCCTAATAAAGTAAAACCAATTATGCCCAAGGTTACAGATGGACATATATATTTTTATCCTGTGTATTATTCTTTTAGCTTTGAATTGCAATTAGTACAATAAACTTCTATTTTATTCATTAAGCATCCATCTACTGGCTTGTTAGTAGAGAGAATATCAAAACAAGAACAACATAGACAATTTTCAATAGCATCACATATACCTGGGTTTTTTTGATTCATTTAATACTAATTATATTCCATTTTTCGGTTTTATCTTTATGAGTAGTATGAAAAATCTATAGTTGATGATATTAATTACTGACTCTCACAGCAACTATCTAAAAAGTTAAAACAAGAAAAGTAACAATTTTTATCACAAAAATCACAACTGCTATCACAGCATGATGCACAAGGACAGTCAGAATCTAATGCATCAGAAGCTATTGCCATAATAACTATTGCCACAATCAAAGTAACTAATCCTCCGAGGAATAAAATTAATAAAATAGCAGATACATACACTAAAGGACTAGTTATATATAAGTGTTAATTTGGATTCCTATGATTGCAGTACTCTATTTCTTTTATATCTCTTATAGGTATTTAATACATATCATTAATTTAATTTTATGGTTATTTTATTTATAATTAATTTTCCATTGCTGGAGGAGGTGGAATTGGTATTTCAATTTTTAAGTCATGATTGTATGAGTTACTATTATTATAAGGATATTCCATACTTGGTATTTGCATAGAATTATAATAAATATTTGTTTTAACTTATTCTGAATTTATATCTTATTTATCATAAATGTTATTTTGAGTTTTGCTTTACAGATCACTTTTCAAAATTATTTGTTCATCTTCATAATTGAGTAGAGATTAGTGAAGAGCTTAACTATTTTATAAAATTAATAAAATATAAATTTATAAAATAAGTTTTATTTTCCAAAAATAATTCTTTAAATAATAAAAATTTTTAAAAAATGGCAATAAAAAATAGGCATTATTAGGATATTTTTGTAATTAATATGAGTTCTAATTTGATAAATTTTATATATATGTAAACCAAAATTTAAATTTAGGAAAAAGAATGTACTTGATTGAATATCTGTAATCACAATCTTCATTTAAGTTTGTATTTATTTATTTTTTATCATCTTATGAAGGAATCTAGGCTTCTAAATCTTCTCTTTCAATTTAAGAATTTCTTTTCATTTATTTTACTTTAGAAGAAAAATAATAAATACTTTACTTTTGGTTTATGATTTTTTGGTTTCTTTTTTGTTTTTAATAATTATAAACTTATTAATTAATTTCGTCATTTGTAAACGAAATTTGTAAATCCATTTTTTATATTTTAAAATCAAAATAAGCATTTTAAAAAATTGTAGTTTATAATTCAGTATATTAAATAAGCAAAACTATGTTAACTTAATTTTAAATATCATTTTAAGTAAAATTAAATATGTTATAAAACTAAATTGCAAGCTTCATAAAATACCTAAACAAATTCTTTTATTGCTTGAGAATCGAAATATTTATTTATTTTATTTTCTCATCATATAAATAAATAGGTATTTATAAGAAATTAATTATATAATTCATCATAATTCTTGCTTTTTGTATAAAGTTTAAGAGTTTTAAAATAATTTTTATCAATTAAAAATTTCTATATGCATTTTAATAGAAAATAATACATTTTAATATTAGTTTCTTTGAAAAATTTATATTGCTGAGATTGGTGAATTAAATAATGATTAAATATAATAATTTCTCGATCATTAATAATTTCAAATTTGATCAGAATTATCAAATTAGATGATCAGGAAATAGCTTATCTAATATTAATAGTATGATTACTACAAATTGTATCCGTATTCAAAATACTAAATTATTTTTAATTTATTTGGGTAAAAAAGGATTTTATAAATATAAGACCTGTTTTAAAATAGGTAGATTGATAATAATAATATGCATAATAAAAAATTTTTCATGAAACTTTAACAATTTTATACAAAAAAAATAGATTTATTATTTTCTTTACTTTTTAAAAAATACAAAATAGCTTATTTTATCTGCTGAGTATCTAAGGTACATAATTAATATAATTCAATCTATAATTAAATCGCATATTACTTTACAAATATTAAAATTGAGAATTTAAAATAGTTTTTGTTTTTTAAATACTTATATTTTAAGTAAAGTTTAATCTTCTAATAGCAATTCTGAAATATTCATAGAGTTTTTGTGAAGCTATGGATGATAAATTAAACAAATATGATTTTTCATGATGCTTGGTACTTGAATACCCTTATTTCCAAGAAATTAAATTTTAACTTCTTTTTAATAAAAAAAATATTATTAATCAACTTTTGCAATAACTTTTATCCTATAATTATCCATTAATAACTATTATTTAGGAGGTTGTAGATTTAAAAAAACACCATAAGAAATAGAATTAACTCTTAAATATAAGTAGTTAAAAGCAACATTTGGGATCTAAAATGTTTTTTTATAAATTTCTCCATATAATCTATCCATACACTAACTACAATCGCAAATTTAATTTCACTTAATTTTAAGTCTATTAACAGAAAATCAGTCGATAGGTTTACTTGCTCTTATTATAACAGATTTTATATTCCAACCAATTAACTTTTACTATGGTCAATATCTAAGCTATTGCTAAAATCTGTAGGTATTATACGTGCATCAAGAGATAATTGAAGCTTTTTGAAATGAATTTTTCTCAATTCATTAATATTTATAGAAAGAGGATTTTTAAATAAAGCTTGATAATTATTTTGCTCATACATTGTCTGAATTATTAAATTTTAATAGTTATTTAAAATTGATTCAGTTTTGCTTGGTCCTTAAAAACTATCTTGATTATCATTTTCTTCACAGCTGATATATTCCTTTTGTTCCTTTTACTTTTTCCTATCTCCTTAGTTTGTAAGGCTTTCATCGTTACTTTCTTATTCTTCCCAACTATCATCAGAACTTTCATCCAAATAATCATCTGCATTCCAGCTTTGATCTGAGCTTTCATTTGAGTCAATATTTTTATTTTATTTACTTTAATATTTAATTTCTTTGTAGTTACTGTCTGCACTTTATTCTTAGTCATCATCTTAGCTTTAGATTTTGTTTTTTTATAAGATTGCATATGCAGCCTATTCTGGAATATCATCATCATCACTACCTTTTTAATTTTAATTACCAATTTATTAACTTCTTTCTAAGCTTTTATTTTAACATTTTTAGTTTTTATTTTTAAATTCAAAATAACATTCTTCTTCAGAGTCTTCATTCTCACTTTTATCATAGCTCTCATCTGAGTCACTAACTTTATTTTATTCTTAGCTTTAATATTCATTTTTTTCATAGTTACTATCTTAACTTTAGATTTTTTTTTTTTTTTGGATTGCATATGCAGTATTATCTGAAATTTCATCATCACTCTCCTTTTAATCTTAACTATCAATTGATTAACGTCTTTCTAAGCTTAGCTTTTAACATTCTTAGCTTTTATTTTCATATTTAAAAGTAAATTCTTCTTCAGAGTTTTCTTCTTATGGGAGTAATTAACCCTTAATCATAGTCTTTTAAATAGTTTCACTTTAAGCACTTAGCATTGAGCTCTTAATTTTTTACTCTAAATAGTAAAATTTACTTAAAGACTGAGTAAATGAAAGGAGATATTTTGTAAACTCTTTTTTTATTTTAGTGATATTTATTTTTTAATTCAATTAAGAGCTAAAATCATCATTAAAGTCCATGATTTAAGTTTCCCATGATTCACAATACTTGAGATTCAAATCATTAACTGAGCAAAGGTAATACAGTTCTTCTTTTTTTTCTAGACAAATAAATTAGCTTGATTTTTACAAGCTTTGTAAGATCTGTAGTATGTTTTCCACAATCAAGTTAATTATTTTTTTTTTAAATTTAACTCAGATTTATTATTTTATTAGATTTTATAACTTTTAGATATCTTTTTAAAGTTAATTATGAAGCAGATTCAATCTCAATAATTTTATAGATTCCATAATTATGTGATATTTAATTATGAGAAAGCTAAATATTTTATTAAATACCCCAAATCATCATAAAATTTAATTCTGATAATTGTTAGAATTTTTGATGATTTTTGATATTTTAAAACCTTCTATTTTAGCTAAGAATGTTTGTTTGTTTTCGAAAAACCAATCTTAATACAGTAAATAATTTTTTTACTCTCAAAATAATAATTCCGAATATCTTATTTAGAGATTTTATTTTAAATGAAGCTATACCTTAATGCATTAATTCTTCTTTATTTTAATTTTGGTTTTATTGTTTTTTACTCATTATTTTTGTATTGTTTATTTTATGAATTGAGAAGTAGTTAATTTATTTTTATGAAAATTGAAGCGCTCTGCTATGAAGTGCTGTGTTTTCTTTAGAATCAAAATATTTCTATCTGATTTTGTTTAAAAAATATATAAAATTGTTCTAAATATTTTAAGCTATTTTTTCATTCATCATATTATACTAATATAAAGATTAAGTACTTCAAAATAGAAAATTAAGCTTACTAATTAATCATTAGCAACACAAATATACATTGATATAAATCTTCAATCTATTTTTCTAAACTTACTAATTGATTGATAATAATCTATTTTATTTATGCATATCTAATAAAATATTTTATTTGTAGATAAAAAAAGTTGTTATTATTTTTTACTTTATGAATTAAGAAGTAGATAATTTATTTTTATAATAAGAGATATACTTTTTAAATAGACTTAAAAATTGAAAACAAAATTAAATCTTATAAAGTAATAATAAGCAACATAAATAAGTATTTTAAATGTTAAATATTAATACTAATTTTTTTTATTTTATAAACTGATTCGTTGGTTGATAAATAAATATTTTATCCAAATATATATACCTGATAAAATACTTTACTAGTACAAAAAAAATTTTTTTATCCTTCTGATCATGATTGGTAATGCTTCAAAAGAAGAATAGATACTATAAGAATAATGACTCCAAAAATACCAAGGAGTAAAGAAGGAACTATATGCTTAGTTCCTGTCCATTCTTCTTTTAATTTAGTGTTACAAGCTGTGCAGTAGACTTCAACTTTATTTATCATACAACTATCAGTTGCGCTCCCAAGATTTATACTGTCCATGCAAGAACAACAACAACAGTCATATAAACAACTAAATAATGTATCACAACATGATGGACTTTAACTTTAGTAGTCATAGTAATTCCTTCTTCTATGATATTTGTGTCTGTAGTACGAATGGTCGTATCCACAATTAATATAATAAGCACTTTAGTATCTATTAAAAGTAAAAATTTCACAACATCTAAGACAACAGTCACATAAATAGTAGCATTCACAAGACCCACAATTACAATTGCAATTATTACAAGCACCAATCTTACAGTCGCAGTTTCCCTTACCATCTGTTAAAGCAAGAACTGCAACCACAATTAAAATTATTAATCCAACAATAAGAGAAATAATTCCCATTATATAGAATGCTATGATTATTACTGAGAAGAATATTTTAGGACTTGAAACATAGAGATATTTTTGAGGGTTTTGATGCTTGCATTCTTAAATTTCTTAAACTGTTCTAATTTCAAATTATTCAGCATTAAAAGGTTAGCTCAGAGAATATTCTGTTTAAATAGGATTTTATAATTGAGGTGGAGGAGGAGGAGCAACTGGTAGATTTTAGTTCTGTTGGATATTTTAATTTTAATGCATATGGCCAACATGTAAATTGCTCATGAAAGGACGCTCCATATAAGGAGGGACCTGATTATAATTTTAGTTTATATTGATTTCATATGGCTGTTACTACATATTAACAACATAAGCTCCTTGAATAGGTTCACCTTGAGGTACAGAATTGTGGAATGAACTATTACTATTTTGAAATAAAAGAAATTTAAGAATAGTTTAATTGATATTTTAAAAAGTTACTTGATTGCCTACTCGCTTGGATAATGATAATTAGGTTAATTTTACTGATTATTCTAATAATTATAGCTATTTTAGCTATTATCCATAGGTTTATAATCCATGCAGTATTTAGAGCTATTAAATCTTATGTAAAATAACTATTTGGATGGAGTATTGGTATTTTTAAATGTTCTAAAAACCTCTAATTTTTGTTTAACTCTAGTATTGTTAATTGATTAGCTGAAATTATTATTATTAAACTTATGTAAATGTTTATCTTAAGTAATTCTTATAATTTAGAAATAAGTTAATAAATTAATTAATTATCACATATTTACCAACATAGTTGCAAACAAAATTAAGTGAATATACAAATGTACAATTCATCCATCTATTTTTAATTAATTGAATTTCGATCAAATTTGAGCGTTCTATCACATAAAATACCTGTAAATTATACTTTTAGACTGTTTTTCTAAATATATTTTAATATTGAGAAGATATTTACAATTAATTTTTAATTATATTATTTTTAGACATAAAGTTAAAAAATAATTATTCTCAACAATCTATGAGAAATAAAAGTAAAAAAGAATCCTGCTATCTGAATAAATTTATATATCAATCAATTATTGGATATTTTTGAATGATTTAAAAATTTCCCTGATCATAAATTAAGGATTATTTGTTTTTATTTCTATTTCAATCAACAATTTTAATTTTTCTATATAAATTCAAAAAATAAATATATATTTTGAATCGATAAATTATTTATAATAATATTAATTATTTACCTATTCAAATAAAAAATTAAATATCTATCATAAAACTTAATGAACCAAAATATCCATAAAAATCAATTTATTTTTTAAAAAATTTTATTAATAATTGAATTAATTTTCAGGATATAACAATCTTCTACTCTTTCTATTTGATAAATTTTGATTAGTAGACTGAAAAGCAAAAATTGGCTGATCATCTATATATTTTAATATAGATAATTGTTGATAATAAATTAATTAGCTTTTCGAGAAAAAAAATATGTAATATAAACTATTTTGTGATTTTTTTATTATTTTTTTAATATTATTTATATTGAAAAATTATTGTTTAACTTAAAAATACTAGTTTTACTAAAATTCTATCATTTATTATGTAAAATTTATTTTTAAGACAATAATTCAATCATTTTCATGAATCTTTATCATATAAATTATGCTAACATTTTTATTTATCTATTTTATGTTTGTATAATTAATTTTGATTAGTGATTTATTAAAAAAATCAAATAGACTAACTTTACTGTTTTTATTTTAAATTCTTAATAAACAAAATTTGGATTTGTTAAAATATTTTTTTTTCCAAAGTCGATCTAATTTTTAATTTTATTTAATTATATAACTAACTTATTCGATTGACTTTTAAACTTTTTAATTTAAAAAATAAAGCTATGATAACTATTAATTATTTTATATTATATTTAATTATTAAGATTAAAAAATAATTCAAATAAAAAATCAATTTAAAAAGGAAAATAATATTCTAAAATCTATACTTTTATTATATTAAAGCATTTGCTTGATGTAATTTGAACTTAATACAGATAATCAATCAATTGTGTATTATGAAAACAAAATGTATGCTTAAAATGATCATTTTTTTATTCATTAATTTTTAAATTTTTCAAAGAAATGTCAACTTTTTAATACAAATATTATTAATTGATTTTTTTTTTTGCTAAAATATTAATATTTATTATTATTAATTTAATTACTTTTTTTATGTTTTCCAAGTCAAAATATTTCTTAAAAATTATTTTTTTTGATTGTAAAGTAGATTAAACTATAAAGCTCTCATCTATTTCATTTATATTTTTTGTTAGATTTTATAATTTTCGATCAAAAATATGTTTAATTTTTAGTTATTTGCTTAATAATATATTATTTATATTAAAAAAAACATTAGAGATCTTTTTAAAGTAATTCAAATTTAGATAGAAATGAACGTTGAAAAAATTTAATAGCTAGAATAGAACTTAACTACACATAAACGCCTGTTTCTTTAAAGCGATGAAATGATATAAGAGGAACCTAAAGAATTTAGATAAGTTCCAGGTGATTACTTTGACATTACAGATACATAGTAAATAGAAGAGCTAACAAATATTATAAAAACCAATCAAAAAAATAAAAAATAGTCTTTTCAGCTTTAAGGGTTGAAGTCGAAGTCAGAGTCAAAAGAAAACGTACCAGAAAATATTGAAGTGGAAAAGAGCTTTAACTAAAAGATTAACGTACTATTTTCAGCTCTAGATAACTGCAAAAAGGAAATTGATAACAAAAAATCCTAGGATATTATAGAACAAAAATATTTGTATTACACTTTAGATGATGTAGAATATAAAGACAAAGAAGTAATTTCAGAAGCATTCGCATTTTTAAAGGATTTAGAGAAAAAAGAAAAGCTAAAGTAAAAGAAAGAGTAAATGTAAAATGATGAATAATTGATTGAAGAAGAGTTTGATATTTTATCTTTTAAGCCCAGCTACTAGCAGTCATCTTAGAGGACTTAAAAATAATAATCTTAGATATAAGTCGAAGAGTAAAAATTAAAATCAAGAATTCAGAATCTAACTATTGAAGAAGATGAAGATGATGAATACGAGGAATAAAAAGAAGAATGAATATTTTAAAATTTCAATTAAACTTTTTTGAAGAATAATTTGCAAAATTTTAGATACATTTTTAAAAAAATTAACTTGGAAACAAATCTATTTCTAAATAGCTCAGTTCAAAAAGTAAATAAATATCCTATGTAAATATTATTGATAAAAACCAAATTTATATAAATATATATATGTAATTAATTAATTGAATGTTCTTGTATTTATTCATTCCAATTTTTAATTTTATAATTACTTTTTCTTAATATTGTCTATCAAGAAATCTCAAAATATTTAATTGAAGTCAAATATTTATTTTCTAGCCAATCATCTATTAAAGAATTAATAATAAACTATTGTTAATACCTTAAATTTCTACTTAAATAATAACTGATAGAATTTTTAAAAATTTAAAAACCTTAAAAAAAGAAATATCAATTTTATGTAAAAAATGCCTTAAAACTTCAAATAATAAGTTTTTTTTTAATTTCTTTTTGTTTTTTTCACTTTTCATTAAAGCAAGTGTCAAATGTTAATAAAATAAATAATAATAAAAAAAAATATAAACTCTTTAATTTAAAGTTATGACAATAGCTAAATCAATAACTCGCTTAAAAAAAATAATTTTTATTATAAAGTTTAATAAATCTAAAGTAAGTTATAAATTTTAAAAAATAAATTAACCTTTCTTTCATTCATTAGAATTAAATTTTCATTAAAAAGTTATGTTCAGATTTAATAAACATATTTTTAACTAATTCTAAGTGTTTTAAACAAAATTAATTTGTTTACATTTTATAAATAGATTTAATATTTTTAAAGATAATGAATTACTGATGAATTTAATTTTTTTTATTGAGTTAATTTATGCTAAATATAAAATGTTACAATAATGTATGAAAATAACAAGAATAAATATGGTGAATCAAATGATTAGTATTATATTGAAAATTTAAGAGAATAGCTTTTATAGAGCTTATAATTTAGTTTAGTTTAATTCAAATTTAATCAGGATCTCTTATTCCGCTTTCTACTTATAAATAATATTCTTGACTAAATATGTTTTATTATATGGTTTGGATAACATTAAATTAATCTATTTCTAAACTTACAACCTCTTCTTCCTCGTTATTGTTTAGAGCATTTTTGTAATTGATATTTAGATGTATAGCTTTTTTCAATTGTATTTTATTGCTATGATCATCTAAAATGATTTGCATTTATTTAGGTTCAGTAATGAAATACTAGATTGTTTTATTAGGAGGACACATTTTGTAAAATTAATAAGACTAAGTTCCTATTTTTTACATTTTGTGTGCTTTGTAGCCATCGAAATCAAAATGAATAAATAAATCACTTTATACTTTTAAATTTTTGTTATTATTGTCATCATAATTAAATTACAAATACTCCCAGCCTTCACAAACCCAGCAAATATCTCTGTATTTCTTTTTTTAGGGGTTTACTGTATATAAAATACCTTGAATAGAATGAGTAAAAACATTTGGTGCACCAACTTATTTAAATAACTCTTGATCTAAGTCATCAGATACTATTTTTTCATCTTTGTTAATAAAACCATTTTCATCAACAAAATAGTTGCTGTTGCCTTCAAAATGCAGTCCAAAAAGAATCGTATTCTTTTTAATAGCTTCTTAAATAAGTTAGCACTCTTGGCTTTCTAAGTTGCAATTACTCATATCTAAGTGTATTAGCTTTTTATTTGATGTAAATGCCTCTGCAAACTATTTTCCTATTGTAGGAGGTATCTCTTTCTCGTTAGCAAGTAATTTTTTTGATTAATGGCTGCCCAAATTATTAAAACTAATATCTAAAACTTTTAAAGATTAATTTTTCTTAATGCCTTAAGCGATACATATGCCCCCATCTTACCTAAAATTGTTCCATTTTAGGTATAATTCTTACAGAGTCATAGAATTTTCTAACAAATCTTTTAATTCTTAACTGCATGCATCGCCTATTTAATTCTAAGAAAGATTAAGTTTTGCTAGACTATTATTTTAAAGTAAAGCCTTAAACAATGCTTTAGCTCCCAAATCTTTAATCTTGTTATTTTCTAGGTCTAATTAAATTAATCTATTTTTAATAATTAAAAAATGTATTTAAAAATATGCTATTTGTAATTAAATAATTGATTTTCTATAAAATTGATTTATTATTTATAGCAGATGAGTAAAATTACAAAAATTATGTGTCTTTTTTATTGTTTTAAACGATAATGTGCTTTTATTTGGTTTTATTACAACTAGATAGAGTAAATAATAAAATTTAACTATTGCTCTTTTTAATGTATTTTGCAAATAAATTTGATAAAAGAATTTTATTTAAACAATATTAAAGAAAAAAATTACTGCTGATGATTGCTTTTTAGAACTTCAGAAATCTATATAAGACCCAAATTTGAAATAAAATTTTATTTTAATATGAGAACTTCGATTCTGTGAGGTAGCTATTTAATCATATTTACGAATTCAGTATCTGTTATATTGTTGTTATTTGCTGTAATTACAGTAAGATTATTTTTATAAGGTTCTGTGCTGATAACTTTGGTAAAAAATCCTGTTTGTCTAGCAGACATTTAAAAGTTATTGATGTTCAAAACACTACAATTTTGATTGTCTTTAAGGTAATTCATTTTTTAAGGAGGGAGTTAGATTTTATTTAATGTAGAAACTAAGTCAACTAAGAATGTAGATTATTACCCATAAAAATGGTTTTTTTCTTCTATTTTATCAATATTTTTGTGAATAAATCTAAATTGATCTTCAATATTTTAGCTTCCAGGGAGACACTCCTCTTCATGCTTAATTAAACCCTTAGAGTTATTCATCATTTATTCAATGTACTCTTCATCCTTTTTATTTTAGTCGTTCTTCCTTTTGTTTTTACTATTGTTTTCATCTGATTATATTTATTATTTAAAGCTATTTATAGCTGTTAAAAAGTTATCACCTATATAATTTTCTGATTCAGGAGACTTTTAGTTTTCATTATGATCACTTACTTTCTTATCAAAAAAGTATTATTTAGGAAATTTATTTGGCTTCAAGTTTGGACTCAAGAAGTTTATTTTTTTAAATGATAGATTGGTAGGTGATACTTAGTAATTCAAAGATTTTGGATTAGAGCTAAACATTGTTTATGTTTTTAATCTATTTATGTTAGGCGAATCTACTTTTAATCTTAAGCTTAATATCCTTTACTTTCCAAATTTATTTGTAGTTTATTAACCAATATTGCTGGCTGAGGCTTTATTTAAATTTTCTTGGCTTGTCAAAGTTTAAAATTCCTCGCTTCCATACGCTATAGGTTCAATATTATGCAAAGTAGACTTTTTTGTTATTTGGCTTTAAATTAAATAGTTATTATTACTATTGTGCTATGAATGGAATTACTAAGTATTTTTATTAGAATCTGCTTGCTCAATATTTTTTTGATAGCTGAAAGAAGCAACATTATGGTGCTGTGGTGAATAAAAATTGTTTGTATTTTTCTAATTATTAGCATTTGTTTGAAGGGTTAAATTATTAAGCTTTATTGGCATGGCATTTTTTTTTTCTTACTGAGTTTATTTATTTTTAAATTGGTAATCATCGTTTTTAACAATACTCAAACTATTTCTTCTTTCACCATATTCAAATTAATTATTATTAATATTGCTATTGCTAATTTTCTAATTATTTTCTTGAAAATGTTAAGAAGGTCTCTTTGAATGTTTAACCTAGATAAATTCAGTCTGGCGTTTTTATCTTATTATAGGTTTTTCTTTCTTAAATTCAGGAGAAACATCTAAGCTATTATAGTCAAACACTATATTTTGTGGGGATTTTTAATCTTAAGCTACTTCTTAGTATATCTATGGTAGAGATTACTTCATGTTGATTTTTAAAGTGGGTTTTTCACTCGCTTTAACATAGCTTGTTTTAGTGTCTTCAATTTAACTCTTCTGGAGATCATATTTGTCTCTTTCGTTCTTAATGATGTTCAGCGATCTAAGTGTTTTCATTTCAGCCTTATTTAAAAATTACTGTTAGTTTACTGATTTTTTTTTGAAAATTAATATTTTTACTTATAATTATAGTTTCTATGCTTAATAGCTCGATTATTATTATTATTATTTTTTATCATAAAAAAAATTTGAAATTTTATGATTGGGATTGGATGAATGATATAGTGTTTTTGAAAACATATCTTAATTAATTTTTTTAATTTATTATTTCACAGCTAATAAATAATTCTAAGCAATCAATATTTCTAAGATTAAATTTAATAAGATTTTGTTATTTATTGTCCATAAATTAATATTCATTGAGGATTAAAAATGAATAAACTTTTCAACCACTTGAAAATAATTAAAAAAGAATATTGTTTGATAGACTGCAAATTGATTCCTTACTATAATGCTAAAATTAATATTATGTAATAATTAAACAAATAAAATACTCTAGGAGCAATTTGTAAAATGAGTAAAAAAATAGGTCATTTAAAACTTAGCTCTAGGACTAAAGAATGTATTTCTTTGTAAATTTTTATTATTTGTAGTATAGAGCAAAAGAACAAACATATTAAATAGCCAGTTTTTTACTGATTATAAAATCTGGATTTTAAATATAATTTTTAATTAAATAAATTACCTCAATTGAAAATTAATTATATAAAATTATATTTTAGTTGTTTGAAATCTGTGCTTTTTAATATCATAGCCAAATATCATAATTTAAAGATCTTTAAAAATCAATTATTATTATTACACATTTGCTGTATTAGTTATGCCATACACTAACTTTCTTAGAATTATAAATAAAGACTTACAAATATTAGATTTTTAATAATAGCTAATAGAATTAATTTAAAAAATCACATATTTGATATAAATAAATAAATAACATAAATAATACTTTTAATCAAAAATAATTATTTTAAAATTGAATAATATATTTAATACATATTTTTATTAAACTTTCAGCTGACTAAGAATTCTTCTTTTTTTTTAGAAAATCCTTTAATTTCGAAGTAATCGCTTTGAAAAAAGTCATTTTTCTTTTTCACACTCTAAAATTCTTTTTAAGATCTATGACTTCTAAAACCAATATTATGAGTAAACATTTTTTATTCTTCTCGACTCTTTTGCATTAAATCAATAGATAATCTAGGACTTGCGAAGTTCGATTTTGAGTTTGAGTTTGTAATTTCTAGATTTAGTTTATCAAATTTTTTTTTGGATATTGCTTATTCTTATGAAGGAGACTATAGTGGAACTGTAAAGCTATGACTTTATTACTTCTAAATAGTTTTATTTTATAAAGGTTTACCTAACTTTTGGCATTAATAGATAGGTTAGAGTTAAAAGTGATCGATGCTATTTTGTGAATTATGCTCAGTTGACAAAAATATGGATTTTGATTTTTCACATTTCTTTTTCTTATGAAGATCAATATCAATTTGATAGTCGTTGCTCTCTAAGTCATTTTAATCAACAAGCATATAAAAATTCTTTAATTTTTATTATCTTGGAGTAGTCATTTAAGATTTTATTTTAGAAATAGAGCTTTGCATATCTAAAAATTTGTCAAGCTATTTTGGTTATCCTAATTCTATTTGTCTCTAACTTTAGAACTATATTGAAGTAGCAGAAATTTTTTCTGGAGATATGGACTCTTACTTTTTTACTTATAGCAAATTCATGCTGCTTTTATGCTTTTATACATTATTTAAAGGTATTTGAGTACTCTGCTCATTTGATACAGTTTTTGTTTATTAAAGTTAATTAAAAACAGTTGATATTAATTTTGGTTTGGAAGAAATCAGTTTATTAAGTCTTTTTTCTAACAAACCATATCTACTACATTCCATATTTCCTTTAAATGTTTGTCTTACTTTTTTAATGTAAGAGGGATCTTTTTCTTTTATTTGATGATTAATTTTTTTATCAAGCTATGTTTTCAAGCCCTAGTCAAACCAAAATTAATTTTACCCTGAAGGTGAGGTAGGTTATCCTTCATCCTCAATATGCTCATCGCTATAAGTTTAAACGTTTCTGAATATATCGATGTCTTCGAACATTAATTTTAAATCTTCATTATTCTAGTTATTATTTTACTCACTCATTATTGGTTATTTATGTTGTAATCTTTTTTGGCTGCTTAAGTATCCATTTTATTAGATGCTACCATTTTGTTACTGAGAACCTTCATCAATCAATTAAAGTGAAGGAATGTGATTATAATACATATTGGGATTTTATTACTAATTATCTTAAAAATTTTTAAAAGATTGTTCTGACTTATTTGCTCCTTAAATATTTGAAGAACTATTTTTCAAAGATAGTACTAGTGTCTTAGACTAAAAATTTTATTGAGGCAAAAATTGTTACATAAAATTTTGAGTAGTGTTTCTACAGAAAAAACTCTTTCGTTCAGAATTATTAGGAGCTCCAAAATCCTTCTAAGAACTACTTCTAAAAGTATTTATATTTTTTTAATTTAGTTCTAGATTGAGCTTCTTTGCTGAGGCTACACTATCTATTCTCTCTAAATGATGCTCTAATTTTGAGTGAGCATATTTTTGCATGGCAATTTTGAAGAAAAAAAACTCATTTATTAGCTTTAGTAATTAGCTCTTTTATATTACATAAACTGTTACATCTGTCAAGCATTTTGCAGTGTATGTACGAAACTTTTTATTGTAAAAAAGATCTTCTGATCCAATAAATTCTTTTGCTGAAACTATTATATAATCTAATTAGCATGTCTTTAGTTTTCCTTTCTTCGATGTAGATGGATTTGTCAGAGAATCATTCAAGTTGTTATGATTACTCTCGATGTCATATGAATATTATTAAGTTGTCTCATTATAAGTAAATCTTATATGTTTCGATAATTAAAGCTCTCCTTTCTTTATTAAATAAAGAGAATCTGTGGGATCTCCTTCCTAGAAAAGATTCCACCCTTAATTAAGTTTAATCTTAGTAGAAAAATCTAAGACAATTTAATTTAATTATTCAGGCTTAATCTTATTCTCATTAAAGCAGAGGCTTTATTAAAAAAATTTCACCTTCTTTTCCATCTTATTCTATATTTAATTAAAAGAAATTGAGACTCTAATTAATATTTTTACTGATAAAAAATAGAAGAAAAATTATAATCACTGGTTGATTTTTTTAGTAATTGTTAATTACAATTACACTCTTATTAATTTTCAAGAATAATAAACTTTTCAATCTAAATTCTTTTTAAAAATTGATAACAAAAAATGTATTTTGGTTTTGTGTGTGTGTTAAATTACTAATTTTTGCTAATATTTTATTTTTATTATTTTATATATTTTGATTATTTCTTAGTAAAATTGATGCAACTGCTAAAAAGTAGAAAATGTATGAATTGTTATATTAAAGGAGATTGAATAATTCTAATATTGTTAAAATCTTACGTAAGATATTTCCCTGATGAGTTCTTCATAATCAGACTTTTATATGGAAAGGACGATAGTATCTTGAACAGCTAGTATCGTAGCAGAACGTGGTTTTCTTATCAAAAGTCCAAAATCACCAAAAACTTCTCCATCTGTTAAAAATTTGATGTGGTTATATTTCATAATAGTAACTTCATCTTCTACTAAAAAATATTATTTCCAGTTAAATATTTCTTAGCGAGTTAAAGGGATGCCAGGAATAATTACATCATGATCTTAATACTAGTAATCATCTAGTCTTTTTTTTTTCAATAATATATTTTTCTTTATTTGTAGAGCGGGTTAAAAAGGAGATACTGTTGTGATTTTTTTAATATTTTGATTAATTTTAATTTGCCTTTCGCTGTTAATTTGCGAAAAATTAGACTTCTTCCTAGACTGCATTGCAGTTAAGGGAGAGTTATATTCATCATAATTCTTTGAACTATCTAGGGAGTGTTAAGATTTTTCAAAATCATTACTTTTATCTAATTTTTTTATATTATTTTTATTTGTGCTTATATTAGGAAAGTTCAGAAGAAGTGAATACTGATTCTATTCATGTGTCATTTTTTTTAAAGGACTCTCAATAGAATTACTTGAGAAAGAATTATTCTAAAGCTCTTCTTTGATTTATGCAATTTCATTTTTAGATTTAGGCACTAAAACACTCACTTTACCCTTTACAATTAAGTAGAATTTATCTGGACGATCTCCATACCAAAACACAGGTTTGCCTTTTTGAATTTTTTCTAATTAAACACAGTTTGAAATTTAGTTTAATAAGGATTTATTATATAATTTAGTTTTTTAAATAAACTGATTTGATTCTATCACTCTAATAATGGCTTTTTATTCTTTCAAATTGCGCTAATAAATTGGCTTTTTTAGAGCCATCAAAGCATTTTTTATTTTATCATCCATACTAAGAAATGGATTTTCAATTTCTTCTAACGTAGTTTACTTGTTGAATTATCTAACTATATTTTTGTTCATCTTTTCAATCTCATCTTAGTTTAATTTAGATTAGCTTCCAAATATCAAAGCATCTTCAATCTTTAAAGGTATTTCCCTATCGCTGTCTATAGGAGAAATGTTTTCCAATGACATTTAAATAGGAGCTTACAAATAATTTATTGAATACGCTTATTATTTATCGCTCGGTTATTCAATCATTAAAAAAAAGCTCAATTGAATAATAAATAGTTAATGTTAAGGTATTTATTAGTTTTTTGTTATTTAGTTTTTTTGTATAAATTATTAAATCCTAATTTCATCGTAATTACTTTAATTTATAATAAAATTAACATTTAAAAAACAGAATAAATATCAATAACCTAAAATTTGTAAACATTCTAATTATCTATTAAGAAATTGTAATGTAAATATCACAAAAATAATTAAGCCTATTAACTTTTTCACTTATCAAAACCACCAAGACTTTTAATGTATTTTGGTATATTTATTTTGATTTTATGATGAAGTGTTTTGTATAGTTATATTAAGAATTTTACAATTACTGAGCAAAAGTCTTAGCTAGTAAATTATGTATAATCTTGATTTACACTAATAGGAAATTGGTAAATCTATCCTTTAAAATTTTCAAAGAATTTTTAATTAATTTAAGATCATCCATCCAGGCTTAGACTTGAAATAAGTCAATTAATACCAATTATCTTTAGATACCATTGATTCTAAATATTTTATTTATATTTAACTATAAATCCATTGATATCTATGTAAAATTATTTGATCAAATAATACTTTTATAAAACTAAAGACTTACCTCAGATTATTAAAATTTTTTTGTTCATTAAAGTTTTTTAATCAAAAAAAAAAAGTTAGTTTTTAACATCAATATGAAGCAATAAAGTTTTCTTAAATAAATCCTAATTTAAAAATTTCATAGACTGGAAATATTTATTACAATTTTAAAACAAGTAATTTGACAGTATAATTTTTTAAAGAATTTATATTGATAAAAGATTCATTAAAATGAAATTTTTTTACATTTTTTATGATTCTTCAATTATATAAAAACTAAGCTTTAACTTTAAATTTATATTTATCATCATTAAATTAATTAAAAGTAATTGAGCCATAATAGCCACTAAAATTTGTTTCAAGCAAAAATTAACACTAGTTACATTGATTTTAATAATAGCTACTCTATTTTTAATGAACTAATTAGTAATTTAAAATTTTTTACCAAAATTATTATTTTATTTATTGCTATTATATTAACATTCTTCTATCTACTTTATTGTAATTTGAGAGAACTCACTTCTATTTACATTATACTGCTTAAAGAAAATAATTTTATATCAAACAAAATTTTAATTTTATTTTAATGAATACTTTCATATTAAATAATCAAAATGCAGTAAATTGAAATAACAAAAAATTCATTTTTTAAATTTGTAGATAAATTAATCTATTTATTCTCTGAAAGACATGAATCATTAAAATCCATATTTATGATTCCATTATTTTTTAATTTTAAATTATTTACTTCATTTATAATGTTTACTTTAATTAATTTTTAAATATTTTTTTACTTAATATAAAATTTGCTAAGTTACGTGAAGGAATTAAAGAAATTGATCATCAACAATAAAAACGAATTAACTTCTATTTTTATTATTTAAAATTTTTCTATAAATTTTTATTTATTTTTCAAATATTAATTTGCATAATAAATTAATAGAATTTATAATATTAATAAAGTTTATTTTCTATCTGTTTGTTTGCAAATAAATAAATCTTTTATTTAGTTTTTTTCGTTTTTGTGTTTTTTTAAAATCTAAATATAATAAAAATTATTTATGATTCTACTAAATTACTTAGAAAATATCAATTGCACAATTTCTAGAATACCTTTATTTTATTATTTTATATATAGGCAGTGAGTAAATTTATTGTCATTTAAAAACTTTTTAATTTTATAAGAGATGATTAAAAATAAGTAATTAAATTAAAATGATCCCAACCCATCCTTCTAATAATTTGATAAAATATTAATTTATTTTTGTAGATTTATGAAGATTCTAATTTATCAAATTTTTTCTTTTAATTAAAAAATAAACAATTAATATAGAAATCCCTGATTGGAATATAGTCAGAATGATATAGCTTTTAAAGAAAAGAAGAAGTTAATGGTTTTTTGAAAGCAGCTAAGAGTTTACTGAGCAGGAAATTCATGTTAGATAAGAAATTCTCTCTAAACAAGAATAAAAGAACATGGAATTTTGGTAGAAATGCAAAGAACTTAAAAAAAGGCCTCACCTTTTTTAAACAGAAAAAAAAATAGACTTAGATCACTACTAAGAAAAAGATTTTGATGAGAAAGATGTCATAGTTATCCCAATATCAACAAAGAAGAACAATTTAATAATCAATTTAGAAGACTCTCCAATAAGGCATGAGGATCACCAACTAGTAGTTTTAGAGGACATTAATGATTGTATAGATATCAGCCAAGATAATATAGTACCGAACTTCTAAATTGAAAGAGCTAATGGAAATTTATTGAATATATAAATTGAAAAAGACAACGAAATTACAAGTGAAAAAATGATCAATGACACATTTTAAGCTGTCAAAGATAATCATGAAGAGTCGAAAGTAAATGAAGATATTAATGCTAGTTAAGACACTACTATATTCAACAGAACACTTGTCTAATAATTCATTAATGAGAGAAAGTAAGCCATTACCGAAAATTAGGTAGCTATAGAAGGTAATTTATATTTTAATTACTAAAATTACTATAATTAAACTTGTTTTATTTTTATTAGAAAATATCGACAAGACAAAAGAAGCAACTACTGAAACAAATTTTAACCTTTAAACAGAAAAATAAGTTCAAATATAACATCAAATCAATGAAAACTAGATGTAGGATATTTCATTTAATTAAGGTAAAGCAGTTGTTAGCGTTTCATCAAGTAATAATCTATCTGAAAATTAAAGTAATTGTTTATTTATTTTAAGTTTTTAAATTTAAATAAAATCTCTTTGAATGCATTAAAAAGAAATTTAAAGACCAATTGTAATAGAAGAAGATAAGATTAATGAGGAGTAGAATAAATTGGATGATGAATGTTAAGAAGATTAAGCCAACTGGATCTGGCTTCCTTTGAAGGCTCCATAATAAATTCCTATATCTTACTTTGCCGATTGGAAATTTAAAGGTTAGGATAAAGTTAATTTGGAGTATGGAAAAAATTATGATGCCTCTACTATATTTAGGATGCTATTTACTCAGCCTTTATACACTCACATTATTTAAAATATTTACAAAAAATTTAACAAGAGAATAACTAAGAGAAATATTTTCAAAGATCCAATTGAAATAAACTCTTATGACATAGATGCATACATATCACTTTTACTCCATTCTCAATGTTTACAGCATCCTAACTTAATCAGTATTTCTTTTCAAATTATTTAAAATAAATTAATTTATTTTATTTCAAGTGTGCTTTTGAAAACGAAATTCAATGATTTTTTTTTTTGAAATTTTTCCCAATTATTTTAGGATTTTTATTAATTATATTATTATTTATAGATACCATAAATAAGATAAATTAAGACATGGATCATCACATTTTAGAGTTTATTTAAAATAACTTCTCAGTAGGAGCTAAAGTTTAAGATGAAAATGGCTGTTTTAATGAAATTGCAAAGATTGAATAGTTTATTTCTATGGTTAACTAAAGGTTAAAGTAACTAGTTTAACCAAAAGAGTATCTATAATTGTTACATAAAACTATAGAAGGTAACTATTTTAAAAGCAACTCTCAATATTTTTTGGATGAATTCAGATTGTATGACTATAGTAACTCGTTTATCGTTGATGTTTAATTTGATAAAAGTACTCCAGAATTGAAAAAGTCTTAAGATTATGTTTAGAAATTAATGAGGGTGTAAGCGAATGTGCTTGATAATTATAAAGGTAAAGGTCATAAAGTTGTTATTCAAAATCAGCTATTTGATGCTGATATCCTTCGTAGTTTGAGACACTAAAACATTGGTGTTGTTACCAGATCTCATATAGAAAATATTTAATTTACACCAAAATAATTGAAAATTATTTCTGAAAATAAATTATTCAAAAATTTTTTCTTTATTTATGAAAGAGAAGTATAGGCAGTTATAACACCATATTCTTTTTCTCATAAATACGCATTTATTTCTAATTTTTTAGGTCTTGAAGATACAAAAGATTTAGCAAATCCTAAAATGGTATTCTATTTTTTCTTTATTGATATTTTTTTTTAATTCTAAAATTATTTTTTGCTTTTTTATTGAAAATTATTTATTTATCATCAAAAAAGCAACAAATTTATTCTGAAAAAGGAGTTGTACTAGATTACAAGGATATTAATCCTAGAGATGTTGAAGGAGTTAAGTGGGATTAATTAGTCTTCTTGCGTGTACTCGATGTTATTGTAAAAAATACCCACTCTTTGTACCAGTACATTAATAACGATTCTAAGATTACAAAGGAGTAAATCATAAAAGATCTTAAGAAACAATTTCTATAATCTTACTAAGCTCATAGAGAGCTCTAGCACAAAATATGTATTGAAAAGATATCAACATCTAAGGATTTTAGGGTTCACTTTTGGGAAGAAAATTAAGGAGGTAAGAAATAAGAGTGTATAGTGTGCCACACAAAAACTAGAAATTATTGTATTCAATGCAGCGAAAAAAAGAAGTAAATTATTGGATTTTGTGGAAACTCTAACTGTCTGCAAAAGCATAATGAGCTACCTGCTAAATTGCTCAATTAATAATTTTAATCTGTTGATGTTGATAAAAAGAAAAATCAATATGATAGGCCATATGAAAGTGCTTCAGAAAGCGGAGGAGGATTTAAAAGTAAACTCGGATTCCGTCCTTTCGATTCTAATAAAGACTAGAGTTCTTTTAAATCTTCTTCAATGAAACGACTCGATGGTTATTAGAGCGGTATACATTTTTTTCTAAAACATAAAGTTAAATTTAATTTTTATAAACAAATTTATAGAGGCCGTCTCAAGTATAAAATCGAAAAACTTTTCTATTTACTAGCACGATGATGGATTTAAGTCAGGTAATTTATTTAATGAGTTTGGAAGCATACCTTATTTAATATCAATAATAAATAAATATTCTTAGATGCTGGTACATCGTTTAATATTTTCTCTCACAAAAAGAAGAACAATGAAAGTTAAACGTTTAAAACTATTCAGTAGTTAGCAAAAGAACATGACAGCTAATTTAATTCTTCTAAAAATATTCGTTCTTATAATAATGAAAATAGTTCACTTGCAGATGAAATAATCAACGTTTACCAAAAGAAAAAGACAGCAAGTTCGAATAACCTTGATAAGAATTCACAAGAAACTCAATTACCTACAAAAGATGCTTCTAATTAGCTAAGAGAGGAAGATAAAAATTATGCATCTGGAAGTGAAAAAGTTCCTCTTAAATTAAGAGATTTTGCTCAATTAAAGTCAAAAGGAAGTTTATCCGATATTGAAGGCCAATCTAATAATAGAAATTAAGATAACTAAGGTAGAGGGGAAACCAAAAATAACTAAGAGAAAAAAAAGAGGCAAAGCAAAGTACCATGGTATAACACAGAGATGGAAGAAGAGGAGGATCGTAAATTTAAGGAGTAGGATCGCAGAAATGCTTAGCAAATATTATAAAACCCAAAAGTTAGAGAAATACTTTTTGAAAGTGATAACACTAAGAGAAGTTTAGCAAAAAAACTTGAAAAAAATTAAAAAATGGCAATTGAGTCTAAATTATAAGAAAAAGAAAGGAAGACTGATTCCAATAAATAGCAACAATAGTTTAGCAATACTCATCATTAATCTAAAAAGTAAGTATTTTAATTTGAGCAAGAAGACCATGAAAATTAAATCGAAAAAGAAAAAAATTCTTTTGGAGGAAAAAATCAGAATTTCCCAGAACAAAGTAAAAAATAATTTCATTTTTTAAAAAAAAATTATTTTCATCTTCAAAAATTTTTAATTGTAAAAGAAACTAAAAGCGAAGTCCCCAATATTTTGCAATAATCGTAATCATTTGGCATACAAGCAACTCCAACATTGGGAGATAACTAGACTGCTTCTTTCTCTGCTCAAAATCAATTGAAAGATAAAAATAATTTGAAAGAAACAGCTACACATGTAGAAAAGAAAAGATTCTAATTTGAAGAGGAAGAAGATGATGCTCCAGCAGTTTAAAATAGTATTTTATCTTAAGAAATAAAGCAACTATCTAAATCATAATAATCTATTCATAATTCTATTTAAGAAAGTTAAAATAATAAAATTTTGAACAACTAGGATTTAGAAAACAGTTTAAAAATAAGCTCTTAATAATCTTTATCTAAGAAATTAGAAAAAGATAAAAGCAACAATATAATTATTGATACATAATCAAATTAATCTTCTGAATCGAAGGGAAAAATTGTTTAAAGCCAACAAAAATTTAAAAGCACATCCCTTGAAAAATCTGAAAACTCCCTTTAAGGGATCATAAAAATATAGAAAGGTAGTTTTTAGAATATGGAAGAAGTATAGAATGGCTTGTAAAATATTGAAAAAGATAATCAAAACTAAAAACTATTAGAAACATCTAACATTTCATCATAAATGAGCAAATAAGAAATAATAAATCAAGAAACTAAGAAGTAAGCTAGAACGATTATAAAAGCTCTCCAATAAACAGGGAACAACTAACTAATAAGTAATAAATGAAAATTAGCTTAGATTTTTATATAAAAATATTATTTGGATATTTGTAATTTATAATATTTTTTATATTGTTCATTAAATATTAGAAATATATTATCACATTATTTTAAATTTATTATATATTTATTAATCTTATAATTAAGTTTATTCTGGTAGCTTAAACTGAATAGGTTAATTTGCTATGAAAATAATTTAATAATAACTGAATTTAATTTGAAATCGTTAAAAAAGATGAATTATTTTAGAAAAATAGAGGGATTAAATTTTGAGCAAATAAAAAGATTTTCTAAAAAATAAGTTTTTAAATCTCATTACTTTTTGAAAAAAATAACTATTTTACCAATAAAATATGCCAAATTCCTTCATTCTTTATTAATCATATTGATTTGTAAATCCTTCAATCTCAAGCAAACTTTTGTAATCTTTTATGCAATAATGACTTTATTTTGCTTATTATAATTTGGTTTTATGTTTTATTAGAATGCATTTAAACCTTTAAGAAAGAGTTAACTGATGATAAGAGTTGACATTAATTAATTTTACAATTTATAATTGATAAATGAAAGATAAAGATAAAGAGATAAATATAGATAAATAAAAATGCAGAATAAATTAAACATAAATAATTTAATTATCTAAATACTTTATGTGGTAGGAGGATACCTCATTTTATAAATATGATAGTTTTGTAGAAATCGAAATCAAAGAAAGTAAATTAAATTTGATACTGTAACTAACCAACATCTTTTTTCACTTGAAGGACAACTCAAGTATGAAGTTGAAGTTTTTTGATTAAAAAATTTATTAAAACATTTTTATGAAATTCGAAATATATATTAGCTTGATAAAATAAGTAAAATTTTTCATTATTTCTTATTAAGTTAAGTACATTTCCTCTTATATGTAATATCTTGGCTTTAGTTATAGTTAAAGATGGTTTGTGAGTAATTCATAAAGGGAAAATAATATTTATACTCTTTAATCAAATCAAAATCACAAAGTTATTAAAATTTTTCATGCTTTTCACTATTAGGATAATTGTGGACGAGACCAGCAGAATTAATTAAATTATTATTTTGTTAATTATTTTAATTATGATTTTATTGATTTTACTATCCTTCTGAAGGTATAATATTAAAACTATGCATAAACTAACCTTTTTATGATATTATACTTGGCTAAGGATCTATTTTTATTTACGTCATTGATACAATATTATTTTTTTTATTTTAGTTGCTAAACAATTAGTTTTAGTTTTATTAAACTGAAAGATTTTGATTTTAATTCTGAGAATTATGTAGTATCATTTACAATTAATTAATGATCTATAATAAGGTCATATTATTATTGTTATTTTATTACATCTACACTAAGTCTGTATTTGTGCTATAGATATCTTGATTTGAGTTTGCTTACTGCTGAATTAAAATAGGATTGTGAGTCATTATAGATATTCTCCGATTTACTTATTATTTCTATTACTATAGCTGAGGATTTTGGTTAATCTCTTTGGCACTTGTCTTTAAGCTTGGCATTTTCATTATACATTTGTCTATTTTATCTCGCTAGCTTGATAAGTCTTTATCAGATGAGCTTTTTTGACTTTCATCATCTTGTTCTAAATCTGAGGTTACAGTCAAGTTATTCCAAAGGTTTTTCTTTAGTGGGGAAAGGATAATATCTACTTATTCATTAATTTGCTAAGCTTATAAAGATTAAAAATTTTATTAATCATTATTTTGAGTTTTAGCCACCTTGAGTAAAATGTTATCAATATAATTTGATTCTTTACTTCCACTTAAATTGTTACCTTAATTTATTTGGTTATTTTGAAGACAAACAGTTGGAGGATTCTGAAAAATTAAAGACTCAGTATCTAAGTCTTCGAATGAATATTTTAATTCCTCCATAGAATTAATTTCAATGTATTTATCAGAATTCATCTGTAGTTGAGGAAAATATCTGAAAAATTAATTATCACTAAAATTTCTATTAATTAAATCTTAGAAAGTTCCTAATCTATCTCCCATAATCATATATGTAAGCTAGATTCTGAGTAATCGAAGTGCTTGTTTAACTTCTTAGTTATTAACTAGAGAGTTTTACTTTTTTTCAAGAAATCTTTTCTTCTTACATCTATTTAAAACAGGAATATTATATTGCTCTTTAGCAATAAGATTAGGTTTATTCGGCATGTATCTGATCAAGTTACAGTTAAGCACTGAATGGCTGTAATTTAAACAGGATAAGCATTGCTCTCCTAATGTTATACTTTCTTACAAATATTTATCTCTTATCATGCAATATTTCTCCTAAATATTCAAATATAAAATCAATAATGTATAAATTAAATAGTTTTATTAATTTTTGAATGGATTTAAAGTTCTTTAAATTTGTAAAAATGAGCTACATATTCATCTTTATTTTGTTTAAGTATCCTCTAAAAGTCCTCTTGATTGAGAAATATGATTTATGTTATCTATTTGCACCTAGCAGTCACCTCGTGTATTTTATCAACAAAGAGTCCTTAGTGGTTAAATGAGTCTCCTTTCTACATTTAGTAAATATTATTTTAAAATATAAATTATTTATTTATTAACATTTTTTAATTACCTTCAGAAAACCTAAGGAAATATTATTTTTACCTTAAACCTCAATATCAAATTCAATTTATCCTTTGTTGATAAAAAAAAAATTACTGTTTTTCTCTCCTTATTTAAAGATTTCTTCGCCAGGCCCATAAGTTTTTTCTTTCATTAAAACAGACAGTGATTACAAAAAATCTTTTGAGAAATTCATACTAAAAAGTTTAATTTCTTGCAATATTCTTCCATAATATTCTTAATAAACCTTAAGTAAAAAATAATGATAAAAAGTCAACAAAAATTCTAAATTTACTTGTTATCGGAGTTTCTAGGGTATCGATTACAAGAAATTCTCTCCTGATAACGAATACTAAAGCTCTTTTTCTTATTTGATTGTAAACTCTAAAAATTTAACAACTGAAATTTAAATTGATTTTGAAATTTTCCTTTCCTCCATGTAATTGACAATTTCAAACTTCTTTTAATTATATTTTCCCTCTTATCGAGATAACTCTTAAAATAAAGCACCTATTGTATTGACAACATATGCAAATGTTATAGCAGAAATAAGGACAAAAAATATAACGTAAATTCTTTCGTTAACCGTCTTAGGTACTATGTCACCATAACCAACTGTGACCATAGTAATAAAAGAAAAGTAAAGTGCTGTTATATATTAAATTTCCCAATCTTAATTTTATAAATTGTAAAATTAGAGCCAAGTTTGATCTGAACTATTATAATTCTAGCTAAAAAAAAAGTAACCACAAGCATTATAATGAGCTAATAAAATAATAATTATAAAAAGCCTTAAAAGTGTTTCACTAACAGGATGCTTTTATTTAAGCTAAAAGTTTTATTCAAAATGATAATAAGATTGGTATAGCCACTTAATTCTAAAAATAAAAACAAGTTCTAACGGTCCTTGATCATTAAAAACTAAAGCAATTAAAGACAATAAAATCATACTTATATTAAATAAATTGTATTTAATAATTTTAACTCTTGTTGTAACTATTTCTACTCCTTGATAGTATCCAGTATTAATTATTATTATTAAATCAGCTAATAAGAAACAAATAGAAAATATTTTAATGTAGTAATTAAGCACAATTCCAAAGCCGAAGCGAAATCCGAAAGCAATTACATGAAAAAAAATGAATAATATTTCAAATACTTCCCACATTATAGAGAATATTTCATTAGGCTTTAATATGAAGGTAGCTAAATTAAATCTTTCATTATATATTTTAGAAGTTATTACTTAAATAACATCTCCAATTACTTCAAAGTGAAAATCTCTTAATCTTCTATAATTGTACTAGGGTGAAAGACTCGTCATCTTTTTTACAAACTTCTTAATGTTATTTAGCTTATTAAAATCTGAAAGAATTTTTTTAATTTTTATTTCTTTTTAGGCTTATCTCTAAAGCATGGTTCCCTCTTTTCTAAGCACATGTTAACTTGGAAATTAATTGCAAATCCCTTCTTAAACAGTATCATTACATGCATTGACTTCATATTTTATAGCATCTTCCCCACCTTGAACTGTAAAATCGAATTGTGTTTAATTTAAGATTGTTTGATTCTATTAGTTATTTAAAGAGCAATCTTGACATTCCTAGCCAGAAGCTGCCATATATTTAAAAAAACTTTCATAGTTTTCTCCACTAACTCTCTTAGGAGAAGACTCTTTTTCAATTAGCAGACTTCCATTTCTATTTTTCATAACTCTTATCCCTGTTTTAGTAGCAACAGAAATGGGAGATTGCAATTTTGTTGAATCTCTTTTAGATAATTTCTATAATGCCTTCACCATATAAGGGTTTTTAGTTGCATTTAATATTGATGAGTTTAAGCTCAAGTCAATTAATAATTCCTAATTGTTTTACTTGCCATTATTTTTGTTGGAATCTGTAAGAGATTAATTATTGAGATCTTTATTGAATTAATTAATGTCTTCAAAACCATTATCATCTGCAATACTATCTCTTTTTATATACAAATCATAATAATCTCTATTATCTACAGAATATTGATTTGATATTTTGCTTTTTATGTCCTCTATGTTGCTGTCTTATTAATTGCAATAATAGTTATTTTAATGCTAATCGCTCTTTTAAGAATTTTAAAAAGAGTCTGATCTTTAAATATCTGACATAACTAGCCCTTCTTAAAAAGTAAATTTATGAAAAGAGTTTATCAAAAAAATACTCCTACTAACAAAAAATTAAATATACTAAACTTAATTAACAATCAATTTTTTGTTTTAACATATAAATTTTTCTATTTAATCAAAATGTATTTGATCATTATATTCATATATTAAATACAAAAAACTAGAATTATAGAATCTCAATACCATTTAGTTAACAAAATCAATACACTATAATTATATATAACAGTATTATGCTTAATTAAAAATACAATTATTAAGTATAATTTTATTATATTTATATAGCTTTATCGTCACACCATTAATTATTGGTTAAATAACTACAATAAAATTATTCAAAATTTCAATATAATATTTTAAAAATTGAACTGATCTTTGAAAGAAATAATTCTATCCAACCAACATTTTAATAAAATAGTTAATTAAGTAATGCTGAATATTATTACATATATAATATCGATCTATTATCATGAAATTATAAAATAAAAATAAGCTGATGAAAAATCTTTTTATTAATTTCAATTATTCAAAAATTAGTTTTTATTTTAAAATATTTAAAAACATTCTTATCAATAAAAACAAACTGAAGATAATCTTTTATTTAATTTAAAAACACATATTTAAAATGAATAAATTATATTGTATTTTTCCAAAATTATTTCAAATTTTTATCATTTAAATAATTTGATACTTCAATAAGTACTGACTAATTAAAATTAAAACTATTAATTAATATGTAATTCTTTCAAGCTCTCTATTCTATGATTAAATTATTAGTTATATTTCATAGAATTTAAAGATTTACACTGATAAATATTATTATTAAAACTTTTATTGTCTGATAACATTTTTGATATTTCATATAATTAAAGGATTTACATTTTAATTGATAAATATGATGAATTAATTAATTTATTTTTGATTTTTAATAGATGAGAAATGATAATTAATAAAAAATAAAATGATTAATTTATTATATTTAATTATATTCAAACACTTTATATTCTGATAAAATTATAAGTGATATTTCATAGAATTAATGGATTTACATTTTAATTGATAAATATGAAGAATTAATTTATTTATTTTTGATATTAAATAGATGAGAAATGATCATTAATAAATAATAAAATGATTAATTTATCATATTTAATAAATTATGTTCAAACATTTTATATTCTAAAAAAATTATTATTGATATTTCATAGAATTAATAGATTTACATATTAATTGATATAAATTACAAATTAATTTTACATATTTTTCATTAATAATAGATAGATTCTCAGATGAAAATTAAAAAATTTATTCAAAGTGTCAAACATTATTAATTTATTTTTCTTTTTCATTCAAGAGATCAAATTTAAATTAAATTATGGTTTGTAGCAAATTCCCAATATCTTTTTCTAATTTTGTTTTAAATTCAAGTATTTTTCCTTTTGAAGCCTCTTCTTCTTCAGAGCTCTCTTTACTTTAATTGTTAGAAAGTTATGAAATTTGTTAATTATAATACTAGCTTTATAAATCCTCTTTGTTTTACTCAGAATGTTAAATTAATTATATTATTAAATGTTCTACTAATCGTTCTTTTTTAGATAAATCCTCTTATATTTGTTAAAACATCAATAATGTACTCTCTACTTACTTTAGATATAATTACTTAAGATTTAAAATTTATTATAAATTTTGATTTTCTATGAGTTAAGTCTTATTTGATTATTTCCTCTCCAATTATTAGCATTAATCAATTTATCCTTAGCTTTCATCTTGAATATTTTAGAAATTAAAAATATTTTCTAATAGCATGTGTTTATGAGTCATATGATATTATCTAAGGCATTTTAAACAACTGAATCTAAAACCATATTCACAATTTGCTTCAATACAAACGATTGAGATATCAAAATTAGGATGAAATTTACAATTTTTATGCATATAAGTAGGAATTATTTTAACTAATACTTCTCTTTATTTGATATTTATGATAATAATAATAATAATAAATATAAATCAACTAATTTATTTAAAATTTCATAAATAGCTTTAAGTATTTTTAATCTAATTTAATAAAAATTAGACCATTCATTTTAAGAATCAAAATATTTTCAAAAATTCATAAAACAATGAATATAATTTCTTTTTTGACTATTATTTTTTATTAGTTTAAAACTAAAAGTATTAATGTTTAACTTTAAATAGTATTAATTTTTTTAATTTTGATTAAAAATTATTTTAAATAAAAAATTATAAATTTAAAATAACCTATAACACTACAATTTATATGTATTAAAATCTTAAAGTTTTCTGGTTTTTAAATTAAAAAAAAAGCTAAAATAAACCCTTTTAAGCAAAAGAATTCTTAAATTGGGTTATCAGTAAACTATAAACATCAAATTTAAACTTTTTAAATAAATTTTACTTTGATTTTTTGTTGATTAAAGTTAGAAAAGGAAATTTACTTATAAAAAAATATGATTATATTTTTCAGAAAAGTGAAGGATATAACAAATTAAATCTGAATAAATTTTTAGTAAAAAATAAATAAAAATAAGTTGATAAGAAATAAAGATAGATAGCTTGCTCATTTTTGTATTTTATTTATCACAAATTTTAATTTATTTTATTCATTATTATCTATTTTAGTTTTTAATCTTTATACTATTTTTATTATCCTCTAATAGGAAAATAATGAATTTATTTTTATAAAGATTTTTTGCTTTTCTAAATAAATTTAATATTGAAATCAGACGAATAAATAACTAAATTTAATTCATTAGAGTATTGCAACTTGAATTTTGATAAAAATGTATTCTAAGTAACTTAAAAAATAGAAATTTCTTTTTTTTGATTAGAGGGTAATACTTTAATATTTTGTATTTTTATGTAGGTCTAAATAACTATTCAATTTCAATAATACATAAATTTTACAATTTTTTTATTTATTAAGTTACCACTATTAAATTTCTTTTTGTAACTTTAAGAGTTTCTTAATTAAAAGATTTGGAGGTAGAAAGGCTTGAATCAATTAGGTTAAACTTCAAACAAAGTAAAATTTTTTTATAAACAATCGTTGTGTAATTAAATTGTTTATTTATTTATTCTTTTAAAGGATAGTGAGTTATAATTTACTTATTTATAAAAAAATTGTTAAATATTTTTTTATAAAATTGGTAAAATAAAAGTTAAATTAGTTTTTGAAAAGTCTTTTTGATTTAAGAAAGTAATTTTGCTGAAAATTTAAATAAAACTTGTTCATAATGTAATTCTATTTGAATCTGATATTTATTTCAATTAATTTGCTTTCTATTTAGTTAGATTTGTAATGTATTTAAAAGAATGATCAAATATTGATAGAATTATATCTTGAATTTTATCGAATGTTAAGGTCCAAAAAGCGTGGGTGATCAAACTTCTGATCATCTTTCGAATTTTTAATTGTGAAAGTAGAAAATTTTACTTACGTATTTTTTTTATTCAATTTAGTAAATGTAAAAAACTAGCTTTACATTTTAAGAAATAAAAAGTGCTTTAGTTTTTTATTTTTGAAAAAAATTGAAGTTGTTTCATCAAATTAAATCATATTAACTTATGTACTTCTATTTAGTATACTTTCAGTTAATCTTAAAATAAAATAAAAAATTTAACCAGTAAAAGAAGAAAAACGATCTGTATACATTTTATTTGTAAACTACAAAATTATATAATATTTAGCTTTAATTAAATATTTTTCTTATTTTTATTTAAACTCTTTATGGAATTAGACATTAGACTCTATTAAGGCCTTTTTACAATAAAGCAAATATATAGAAATCAAAGCAAATTATTAAATAATTCTAAATATAGTAAAAACACTATAATAATGTCAGCAGATGTAACCATACTCAATCATTAATTAATATTTTTTTTTTTAAATTCAGGTAAATAATTAAAAATCTTTCTAATACTGCAATATTCTTAATAATCTTTTATATCTTCAATTTGTAATAAATAAGTAACGAGAAGAGGAAACAGATCTGAATAAATTCAGTTTTACACATTTTTACTTTAATAAAAATACACAATAATGCATATTAGCTAATCAAGATTTTAAAGCAAACATTTTTATTTCTTTGAATTTATAATAACTTATTTCAATTTGAACTAATTTTATTTAGCTATTTTTTTAAAGAAATAAGAAAAAAAGATGACTGAACTATTGTTGCTTACATTTAGATAAAATAAATAAAAATACATTTATTTATATTTATATTACTATGATATAAATAAGAATAGTATTTTAGTAACTTTTAATTTAAAAAATCAAAGTAATCTATTTAGTAAAAAGTCTTACTTAATTAAATAAAGAAATATTTAAATTTTGGTAAATATTGCTAATCAATTTTACAGTATGTTTTTGTGAAATTATCAAGCGAAGCAAAAAATGCCTAAAATTAAAACTATCTCAGGAATCACTTTTTTTTTGTTTTCTCATAATTATGATAAATAAATTAATGCCTGATTTCAGGCTAAAAATTGCTGATTAATTAAAGGAAATTAAGTAAATTTATTGCATAGATAATTAAATTGACGATAAATAAATATCCGCGCTTATAGACTTTGCTCATAGAAAAAATTAACAAAGACATAAAAACTAATAAATAATGAATATTTAAATTATTAATACAATAAAAACAGAAACAAAAGAAATTCAAACATATTTGAAAATCAATCAATTTAAAAATATCTCAACTAATCTACAATACATAATAATCAAATTTTCTCTGACATTTCTTAATATAATAACAAAAACAAAGAGCCCAAGAATAATCATTGGCAACATTCCCAAGAGTTCATCCTATATTTTTGTATTTAATTTAATTTTAGAAAGTTAGATACATGGAAAATATCGAATATATTAGTGAGCTTATAAGACTCGAATATCTTCAATCTTTGTAATAAAATCGTGGAAAATCCTTTGAAACTTTACAGAGAGAAGAAGATATAATGATCACTTTCTCAGATCTAAATGTTTGGTTTTTAAATAATGACTCTGATAAAATTGATGAAATTAAATAAATATTTGACTCCTTAGAGCAAAACAAGCTTGGAAAGGCAAGCTTGAGGGATTTCATGAGATTATATTCTTAAAAACTGATGGATTCTGTTCAATCTATTCAGTCTTAGTAATTGAAAATTTCATCTCTTTAAAATGTAATTAGTAATGCTTAGTGCATTTAGCATTATTTAGCTGCTTGCGAATTTCAAACAAGTGAAGATTTATCAACACGTTCTGATTCAGCCTCTGATTTAAAAAGAACAAAAGAAAATAATTACTCTGATGATAAAAATTTACAATAAAATCAGGTCAAATATTCAAAAGAAATTCTTAGAAAAATGAGACTCTAAATAAAATTAAAAGAAATATTAAACATTGACTTAAAGCCTTCATTTTCTAACCCTAACTTGGAAGGTTATATGATCGAAATAGGGGAAGAAAAAAAGTCTCTAAAAAGTGGGTTAAACTGTCTTGAGGGTGCAACAATTAATTTCAGAGACGAAGTTATTAACCTAACAATAAGACCTAAGTGCAAAGCTATTTTCATAAAATTATACGAAGTTCTGGCTTCATGCAACAATTTGGTCGCCTAAATCATCATAGACCCTTTTTCTTTATTATTCCACTAATCTTTTAATAATCAATCATCTTAATACAACAATTTTATTTCTACACCTAATTCAATTTTTCATCTTATCCCACTCTAATCAATCAATAATAATAATCAAATTTATTGTAACCTATAAATACAAGCTTCTGTTTTCCCTCTTAAAAGAGGTTCAACTACAAATGGTGACTAAGTCGATCTAATTTCTGTTCTATTCGATGAATAAGAATGGATAAACAGCATTCTTCAAGCTCGCTCTGATTATATGAGCGAAAAACTTAATTAGGCTTTATCGAAATGCTCAAAAACGATAACAAATTTACACAGATATCTAAAACCATTCAAATCTATAAAACTTGGAGATAATTATTAAAAATTTTGTTAAATATGAACCTGACTCTCATACGAAATAGTTAATACATACCTAAACAGTATAGTAAATAATAATGATAAAAAAATAAAAAATTCTATTTAAAAGCTATAAAAATTCAAATTATCTTTTCATTGAAATAAGCTGATTAATAAATATAATCAAAAAATTGATAATAATTGATTCTTAAACAAAAAATATTAGCAAACTAACTAGTTGGGGAAATTACTCTTTTTGATTAAATCAAAGACCTGATAATAATTAAATGAGGCAAAAATTCGCTTCGAATGTTTTTTTTTAATAAATTTGAGTTGAGTCTGCAAAAAATTAACCTGTTCAAAAATATTAAATTTAAACCAGTTTCAAAGCTTAGATTGGTCGATGTAATCCTTATTTTGCAAAAAAAAAAAAGTAATTACTTCTTGAAGAATAGTTAAAATTACTTTCTATCAATTTTGAGAATAATTTCTTTTCATAAATAGCTATTAACAAAGTAAAGAATAATCTATTTAAATACTCTCAATTGGTCACTTCAGATAAAAAATTTGCAAAATAATTAATTATAGACCCATTTAAGTTATATTTGGTTCTAGAGGTTTAAAAATTAAAAGTAGTCGCTTTTTCACACTTAAAAAGTGTTTTGATTTAATTATCTCATTTACTACTCAATGTTTCACTCTTGTAATAAAATGTAAATACATCTCAAAAATGCTTCAATCTCTTCTAATTTCAGAATAAAAATATTGACTAAAATAAATAATAAAAAAATTACTATTGACTTATAAATATACTCTCCTCTCACCTTTTATCAAATCAGAACAAATTACATTAAAAAATATTAATATATTAATTTTCAATTTACATCATCTTATTTACTACAAATTTTATATTTTAATGTCTCTATTTATTAAAAAATGTTAAAAAATTCATTAGTAAGATATCTCCATCTTTCATTATTAAATTATTTATAAAAAGGCACTAACTTTTCTTCTTTTTATCTTAGTTTTAGTTCTAAAATATTTCAGAATTTTATGCATAAAATTTGATTCTTTAATTTAATAAGATGAAAACCATTAATAAACAACCTCAGTATACATATATCAATTTATAAAAGAATACTATTAAATTTTTTGCACTAAAATACTGTAAATCAGTTAAGATTTAAATATTTCTTTTATATTTAATTAAATTATAAAAATTTTACAATTATGCTTCAGATTTGCAGTAACATAGAAAGAAATTATAGAATACTTAGCCTATTAATATGTAAGAAATTACCAGAGAATCTAATCTCTTCATAAAATAATCAAAAAATGTAAATAAATTATTACAGACAGATTTAAATTGATATTTATTTTGTCACAGAATACCTACATAAATCATGTATATATTGATAAGATTTTATGCACAAAAGTTAATATTTACTTTTTAGCATAATCTCCACAAATATTAAATTAAAATAAAATAGAATTATTAAATTATTTGTATTTTTATTTTAAGATAAATTAAAAGACATGTTTTGACATCTAAAGTTTATCATTTATAAATTAACAGTAAATTTATAAATAAAGTTAACAAATAACAAAAATATATTAAGAATGTGGAGGAAGTGATTTATCTATTGATTTTAAAGAAATTTAATCAAATTTTCACACGAAAGCCTTTATGGTTAAGCTAAAAATTTTTGTAAGAGGAAAGTAGATAGATTTATTAGGTTGATTTTTGTTTATAGTAGAAAGTAAATTTCTTTCAAGAAAAACCTTGATTATTGGCATTATTTTTTTTGTTATCTCTATATTAGTTTATAAATTTCTTTATTAGATGAGAAAAAAATAAACAACAAATTAGTTACTATAGATATATTGATTATTTTTAATGGACAACTAGAAAAATTAAATTATTTCTATGTAATCTTTTGATGAATAAAAGCTCAATTGTTTTTCACCTGAATTTTTCTTTTTTCTAAGTAATTTAAATCTATCTCACTCTCTGTCTCAATATATTCTTTTTTAAATAAAAATTTACATCATAGTAACTCCTTATTACAGACCTGAAATTTGTTGGAGAATCTATTTTGTAAATTTAGGCTGTATATTGTTTATAAAAAATTAAAATTTATACTAAAATTTCAACATCAATTATCTATTCTAATTGCTCAACAGGGAATAACGCTTATAGTAGATAAATTGGCTAAAGTAATATATTTTTTAACATTATTTAGTATAAATTATGGAAAGAGTTTACGTTATTTTATTGGCTTTCTTAATTAATTAATTATAATAATTTTTTACAAAAAATCAAAGTTCTATTTTTTCTATCTAAAAATTCACGCACGTATTAACATTTCTTAAAAATTAAAAAGTTTTATTTTTCGAAAATAGAAAAATTTAGTTTTCGATTTATATATATAAAAGAATTTTTTAGGTTTTAAGTATAAATAATTTGAAAAGTATATCTTAACATAAAAAAATGTAAATAATTCTTCAAAGATTAGATATATTTATTATTTTAATAACTTTAAGGAGAAATCTAAATTAAAGTTTTATAATCAAAATATTATGTACGAATAATCAGCGCAAAAATTTTTTTGTAAAAATGAATGTAATATTTAGATTTTATTAAAAAAAATATTTACCTTACTGTTTATTCAGAATTTATAAGATTTTTTCAATAATAAATAAAGGATGTATGTGTTAAAGAAAAGAAATCAAAATATTGCTTTTTATAAAATTAATTTCCCCCGATTTAAAAATTATTTTTTTAAAATGATCAAAACTAAAACTGATTCAAATCATAATTATATATTTTGGTACTGCTTTTTTTAAAAATAATTTTTTGGTAAATTTATAATAATGTTTAAAAAATGATTAATTGATAAATAATAATTTAAAACAAATAATTGAAATTAGCTATAAAAATAAAATAATAATCAATAAGCAAATAAAGTTTTAGAAAAAATAAATTATTAATGAAATATTTTATAAGCAAATTTAATTTATCTTTGTTAGTAAAAGTTTATTTAACTTTGAAATTTTTTTAATTGAACTATTTAAATTTATTTTTATTTACAAAATATAAATTGATAGATTTTGTTATTTGACAATATCTAAGATTAAATTATAAATTCTGTTTGTTTTTTCATTTATATGTTATGTATTTTTTAGGGAATATTTCTTTTTAACAAAATATAGGGTTATAGAGAATGTTTGCTCTATCAAAAAATTTATATAATTCTAATTGTAGACGAGACCCATGGAGACCATAGTTCAAGAAAAGATCTTGCTTTTTGAAAAAGTTTTTTATTTCTAAATTACTGCAATATATCAACTACCCATAATCATTCACTACATGATTTATAAGCTTTTTGGCAAAAGATTTACGAGGATCTTCTTAAATGAGGGGTGAGGCAGATATTGGGTGCTGCTTGACTAGTTTCTACAAACCAAAATCTTATTTTTAAGGATTCCAGTAGTTTTATATGTATTTGAAGAGACCATATTTTTATAATGTTGGGCTAATTAAAGGATCATCTTTGTCTGGTATATATGCAGGGAGTAATGATTAATTCATTAAAAAGTCTTTGTGACGTAATAAATCTTCAGAGTTTTCATTATAATTTAAACTCAAATTTATCATTTTACTGTTCAAATCGAAAATCAAATAAAAGTCGGAGTATTAATTGTAGTTGTCATTTAAGTAAGAAAGAAATTTAGACATTTCTTTTGGAAAGTTTTCATTAGCAACTTTAAAGCTCAATTCAATATTAAATGGTGATTTTTTAGGAAGGGATGAAAATAACTCCTTTGGAAATTCATTTTATACTTCTATATCGGATATGACCCACTTATCCAAGAAGTTTCCCTTGAGGAGATGCTCCTTCCATTTATTAATTAACTTTTCATTCTCTGTAGGATAAGCTTTGTCCATGCATATTACAAGGCGTTTTTCTTATGGAGTTACTTCTAATTCAGATAAATAACGATTTTATTTAGCATCATAAAGATTTTTAATTAGATAATTGATTTGAGTCCAAGAAGTATATTGATTTAAGTGTATTATCAATTTATGAAAATTCTTAGGCAGCCTAAATACTCTCACGTCGACTTCTGTAGCGATTCCTATATTTGCATTTGATCCAAAGAATAATTCCTTTAAGTTAATTCCAGGACCTACATTATGAGTTCCTATTTAGGCTTCACCATTAGGTAAAAATACAAGCATATCTCCTACTATTTACTTGAAAAACTTATGAATTGGATGTAAAAGCTTTCCTTCATCTTAATTTATTAAATCGAATATAGTTTAGTTATTATGCTTTGGGTCTAGAGGAATGTAAAATCCTTTCTTCATTAATTCTGAATTTAATTCATGTATGCGCCAACCAACACCTATACGGGCTATCTTTTGGTCTTCTAAGAGCTTAAATTGTTTCATATTCTTTGGGTTTAGCACTACGAAATGGTTTTTAATTTTAAGATCGTTTTCTGGGTCTATCTGCGTATTAAAATCATTTATACTATCTGTGCATAAAATACCTAAGTTACTTTTTGCTATTTGTTTCAGGATTTGCTTTACCCTCTCAGGTCTCTTTGGAGAAAGAATAGCTAAAGGCTTTGTTTAGTCGTCATTATGAATATCAATATATCTTTGAAATCTTGAAGAATCCTAATCTCTTCTTTGAAACTCATCTTCAGTTAAGATAATTTCAAGTTTATCAATACCCTTAACTTTTAAATAATACTTTTAACGAATATAGTAACTAAACCCTCCTGCTCCTGCGAGTGCTAAGCCAGCTTTTATCCTAAATGACTGCGAGTTTTTAAAGTTTGTTTTGAACCAATTATAATTTTCTTTGATTCTAAGTACTTTAGAAATGCCTGAAACAAGAGAAATCATGAGAAATGTATAGGAAGATAAAACACTTAAATAAATAAGCAATAAATAAGAAAACGGCTTTTACTTAGATTTAATATCCTATATAATTTATGAATAAGTAAATACTACTCTCTAAATTCTGCTTCCAATAAACTTTGCTAGCTAAATATTTATTGTTTTGTATTTATTTTTATCTATTTGTAAAAATTTCAAATAATACAATCTAAATAGTTAAATATATATACTTGATTGACAATTTTAAGATTCTAAAACATTCTCTTTTTATGTATTTGAAATCATATCCTATAATTTAATGTATATTCTCTAGCAATTAAATGGTTATTTTCTGAGGTGACAATTAAAGAATACAAATCTATAAAGATGTAATAGACTTATTTTTTATAAACATATCAGATCAGTGATTATTTAAAAATTTACTTAAAATATCAATCAATATGTTGAATCTCTTTAAATAAAAATTAATTCTTGAAAGTTCTATAAGAAATTTCTCCCTAAGAATGAATGTAATCTGTTTGGAAAAATAAATAAATATTAAAAGTGACATCCCAAACAAAATTTTGTAATAACAAATTTAAGCATCCAATTAAATTTAATAATTTCACGAGAGTAAATTCGTCAAGTAATAAAAACAAACAAATAAATAGAAATAAATTAACATGGCCAAATAATTTTTGTATTTTTTGATTTTCAATTTTTTTTTTTCAAATATTAATTTTTTTTATTTTACAATTATTTTTTTGAAATTTCTTTCTTAGAATAAATTGTTTTTATTTTATTTGAGTTTTATTTTGAAAGTAATTATTTTTACTATTCTTCAGTCAAGTTTATATCAGAAATCTTTAATTCTTCACTAAAATGCTTTGAAAGCTGCTTAATGCTATTCATAGTCAAATTATTATTATAATAAATAAAACTTTTGCATCTCCCTTAAGAACTTATATTTTATTAAGATTAAGCTATTTATAATGTTTAAGTTGACTCTAAACTTTTTGAATTTCCCCTCTATCCTATAAAATTATTATTTTGATGTATATTTTGAAGTGCTTTTTATGTAGCAGCAACTTCAATTTTATCTTTTGTTTACAAGTGATCCCTCTAAGTAAGATTATTAGAGCTATTGAGGAGATTGTGGTTGGAGCTTTTGTTGAAATGATTGTTGCTTATTTAAATTTAAATTGATGAGTTTCTCCTTATATTTGAGTTATTCTTGCACTCTCTAGTAGAAAGACTCTCTTGTTTCATTCTTTCCCCTGTATCAACAGAACTAAAGGTTAATATTTATTCGAATAATCAAATTTTCGAAATATTTTAATTTAATCTAAAAACTAATTTATTATTTTTTACATACTTTTCTAAATTAACTCTAAAATTTGTTTTCAAATCTAAATTTTTTCTAAAATTTTAAGATTTTAAAAAAATTTTACTGATAAAGTGGTTTTAAAATTGGAATGGCTTTCTAGAAGTTTTTGATTGGATAGTAATTCGTGTCGTCATAGTTTATAGTGTTGCTTAAATTTACAGGAGATACATTTTTACTAAAAGCATTTCTATTTAATAAACTTCCTTTGGGAAGAAGGAATCCTCTATGATTTCTTGAATTTTTATTCACTACATAATCCTTCACATTAAATAAAATATAATAAGATAAAATTGGATTTAATAAATATCTTTTTAATTTACTTGCTCTATATTATTTTACAAATTACTATAATGGTTACTTAAATCACTATGTCTACCATTTGCTTAACTATAAAAAGATGAATCATTTTTCGTGGTGCTATATTAATTTTCTTGTAAAATTAGTTTATCTTCTTTCCTACTAATTTCTAGTTCCTCTTCTTACAATAGTTTTCTCTATTATTGCAGCTTATTTTTCTTTTGATTGCGAGTGACTAATAAATTCTATTTATTCAGAGAGAAAGAGTTGTTGATTGGGTCTAAATTATTTCTTCTTCCTACAGAAAGACTACTTGTTTCTTGATATACCTTGTTATAATTTCTACTACTTTGTATGATTTATTCTGTCTCTTAATCATAAACTTAATTTTCTATGTTAAATTTTTACAGCACAACTTTATCAAGCCTAATATTTTATTCTTCATTTTATCCAGTTAAATTGATTGTACTTTAATTTTTATTTTCATTTTATTGCTAGTTATTTAATACTTCAGTCTGGGAGCAAGGCTGAGTAATTTAAGAAATTGATTTTTCTGGTTCATCTTATTTCCTCTCAGCGGTTAGAGTTGAAGATTGCTGTTTAATTTTTTTAGGCACTTTTAATTGAATAGAACTGTTTTCATTTATTTAAATTGTTGAATTATTTGAAGGAGATGGACTCAAAGTCATTAGACAAAAAGCTCTATAGCTAGAAGGAGTTTATACCTAAACTCTATTTGAAATAGTTTTCAGTTAGACAAAATATTTACCATTTCCTTAAGTATCTGGACTTATTTCTTAATTAAAATTTCCTTCTGTTTCTTTGCCTTTTGTAGAAGATGAAGCCATTATTTATGATTTTTAGTTTCCTATTTCAGAAATAGTTTGATAAAGCCATTTCCTGCTTTATGTGTTATCCATTTATTTGTTTTCTTAATTTTAATTATTCTGAGTATTCTTTTTTGCAGAAGAGAAGTTGTTTGATGAAGATCTTAAATTCTTTACAGTTTTGATAATTAATTAATAAATACATATTTATGCATATAAAAAAATATTTTACTGTGTGAGTAGGAGAGTTTTACTTTTTAACAATATTAGATGAATTAGATTCAACTCCATCTAAGAATTAATATCTCTTTATGTTCAAAGTTTTAGCCAGAGGTCTCAATATTACAGAATATTTTGGATCTAAATATTTATGAGATTCAAATTACTCCATTGTATTAAATAGCTTCTCAAAATATGAAGTAAATTTATTTTCATCAATTCTTTCTATTTATTAAAAACAGTATTTTAGGGATATATTAAATGAGAATAGTAAACATTAGGATAGGGTAGAATTTGATTACCATTTTTGATAGCTTTTACTATGTATGTTTGAAGTAAAAAGAATGTTTATTCTAAAAGAATATTGTAATCCTATTCTTATTTCCTTGTAGAAAATCCATTATAAATAGACATTAGTTCAAAATTTATTTTTTTCTAATTAAAATAGTTTACAGATTCCTAAATAGTCTTAATATATTTTTATGATTTTATTATTTATTTACAAAGATACTAGACAATATTGTAGCAAAAATATTGTAAATTTAGTAAGTATTTGATGTTGTTGTTACTTTATGTATTTAAGTAGAGTAAATATTAATTTTAATAAAATATTGTTTGATTTAATTATTTTGCTTTTTTTTAACTTTTCAACTGATAAATTCATCATCAAAAATTTGATTAATTTCTTTGGATAATTCATTGTGGTAATAAATGACAAAATGAAAAAAAGTATATTCATACATTAAATACATTTTTACATATGCTCATACATCTTTATCTTTTATTGTAGATTACTTTTGCATATCCATCCATCCATCCATCCATCCAAAATATTTATAGGTTGATTAATAATAAAAAAATATTATTTGTTCTTTTATATTTATTTACATTTATTTTTTTAATATATACTTGCAAAATTTTTGATAGAATAATCAGAAAATAAATAGGAAAAAAGTTAGATATTTTATCAAATAGGACTAGGTTATAATCTTGGGGAAACTATTTTTAGTGAGGATTAATCTGTTGGTTATTTTTTTAAATTATAATTTTTCATTCCAAGGTGATGTTTTTAGACAATTTTATATTAATTTACAAAGTATTTTAGGGGAAGTTTTTATATTTTAGTAGGAGAAGTATCTTTCATCTTAAAATAAGATTCCATTTTTGTATCTAAATCTTTACTTTTAAATGAGGAAGAGTCGTTTGTTAGGCTTTGAAAATTAATAAACTTTTAATCTGAGTTAGTTATTGATCTAGACTTTACTATAAATGAATTTGAATCTAAAATGTTTATCTGGTACTTATTGCAATTAATGTTTTGATTAGCAGATGCTAAATTTTATAAATTTTCATATGGTTATGTGTTGTAGCTGATGCAAGTTTTTAATGGAATCATTTCAAAAGAATCGTCTATTTAATGAGGTTAAGTTATATATCTCATAATGCTTTAATGCTATTTTTTGGAAGAAGAGCTTATACATTTATTAGGGATAAATCCATTTCCACTTTATGTATAGAGCTTAGGGTAAGAAGCTTTGGTAATTAAATTTTTGTTAGAGGTTTCAGTTTCATTTATATTTAAATGAGTTACCTTAGACTTAGAGGATTTTCTTAAATTATCTGATTAATTTAAAATTTGGTTTTCTCTAAGTATGAGTGTGCTCTAATTTTAATCTGTGCTCATAGAACTTGATAAATTGTTGATTTATGAGTTTTTTAGTTAATATTCTTATAATGGAATAGAAGATTTTATGAAAAACTATGGTAAATAATTCGTTTGTTGCTCTCTTTTCAAAAAACTGATAACTCTCTTCTTTTTTATAGATTCTTAGCCCTAGTTACCTGAGGAATATTCTGAACTCAATTATCTATCCTAATTATTTGAGCTGTTTCTTTATTTGACTTAAATTTCTTAATTTTTACTAGTTTGTTTGATGTTTCTTATTGGAGATAAGCTAACAGTATTTAAATTTTTTGTACTCTAAGAGCATTTTATTTGCTTTGTTGTTTCTTTGTAGTTTTTAGGAAGAACATGTGAACTCTTGTTTGCTAATAAATCAATTTTTGAGGTTTGTTACTTTTGACTTTCAGCTGATATGGACTTTTATGTTAAGTATTAAGGCGTTAAGTAGTTTTCCTCATTTTAAGTAAGTTAAATATCTACCTTACTCCTTACAAAAGTACTTGATTAAGAATTTTCATTATGTAAGCTTGGTCTCTTTATAGTATTTGAGAGTTAATTTAACTCTAATTAACAGTCTTAGTTTCTTGGAGAACCCTTTATTTTACTTTATGATTATTATTCTAGCTTAGAGATAACTAAATGTTCTTTCTTCTTTCTTTCAATTAAATTTAAATGAAGAAACTAATGCCTGCTTTCTCTAAGCTTAGTTAACTCTCTAGCAATGTTACTTACTTTTAAGTTTCTTTCCTTATCTTCTCTTTTGATTCTCACCTATAGCTAGTTTAAAGTTTATTGCAAATATTTTGTAGCAGCTTTGTGTTGTTCTAACAATTTGGCTTTTACCTCATCTTGCTCTTGTTTCCATTTTATTTGTTTTAATTATTAACTTTAGGATACTTCTTAAACTTAACTGGTCAGAATTTAAGGATTTAAAACTTATTCTATTCTATGATTAATCCATTCATTCAATTAATCATTAAGTTCTGACAAATGGGTAAATATTTATCTATGATTGTTGATAAGCTTAAGAAATTTAAAATAGGAAAAACGATAGCAAATTCCTTAATCGGACATACATTAGATTGAAAACTCCCTTTTTTTTTTGTTTTTATGAAAACTAATACTTTCTTAATTCTATAAATCATCAATTATTTCTTTTTCACCAAAAAATGTTCCCCTCTCATAAATTATCAAAGTAATTTGGTCTTATTTTTAACTCCATTTTTTTTTTTTTTTTTGTAGCATCTGAGAATAAAGATCCTTTAGCTTTTTATTGTGAAAAGTGTTTTTATCGTCAGCAGATTATTATATAGAAGAAGCCGGTAATTTATCTTGATTTTATTGATTTTTTTAAATGAATTATTTTGGAATCATGGCAAGTAGTTTTTTGTTATGGTGAGGATCATTTATTTATCTTTAATCAGATTCAAGTTCTTAGCTACTATTTGCCCTCCTTTATTTATTAAGCTTTAATAATAATTTATTAAATTTTTGTTATTAAAAAATAAAAAAATAAATATTAATTTCTTTACTCTAAATTCTCCCTCAAAAACAAAATAAATATAATTAGAATCATCACCATCCTTGTATACATACTGCATTCTATTAAAGTTTTATTTTTCACATTAGAGTATAACTTCTACCAAAGTCATATCTTCAAAATTCTGGAATATTGAAATACTCCTAAAGAATTCGATGAGTTCTCTTTTTTCCTATCTAAATTTCAACACTTTTGTTAAAATATTTTTTTTAGTTTCCTAAAAAGTAATTTATTAATTAAGAATACAAAATTTTATATTAAGAATGCAATTCATTTTTCTAAAAATTTATTGTTGAATTATTTTTATAGTAGTTTACATTTAATTTATGAGAATGATTATTTATCTAAGAAAGCAAACTCACAAAATTCTTCACAATAAATAGAATATATTTTATTTTAGCTCTACCGTACACTATCTTATTCATATTCATAAGCTCCTAGAGTGAAACCCTCGCTGACTAATTTACTATTCTCTTCAAAATCACATTTTTGATTAAGAATATATTTTAACGAGCACTCTCTATCATAAAAAACTCTACATTTTCCTTTTATCAAAATCATTACTCCTCTAACATCAGGTTCAATTTCTCCTAATGCTTAAAATTTATAAAAAAAATAATTTTATTATTTATATGTGGAAATTTCATTTTATTATTTATAATTAATTAATCAATCTATTTACATGAATTAAACATAAGAGTATTTTTTTTGAATGACTTGCAAGTCAAGTTATCTGTACATTAATTTACAAATTCTTAACCTTCTTAAGCAAGTAAATTTTGAAAAAACTAGTATTCCTGAAAATATATCCTCATTTATCGAAGTCCTTTTATTCTTCTCTAATCTAATGGTTGTTCTAGCAATTAAATCACATCTTCGGTTGTAAATAAAGTATGAAAAGAAGATGCAAGTGAGTCTAAAGTTTTATTTTTTTAATATTATTCTTATAATTACTATTTTTGTAATTAGCAAAAACTATAAATATCAACAATATGATTTTCATTTTTATGATAAATAGGGATTCTCTGTGAATTATTTTCGCATTTAGGTGAGTTCCTTTTATTATTTTCTTCTTTAAAATTATGAAACTTTGGAGTTTAAGAAGGGCTTTGACTATATAAGCTTAATTATTTTACAAATCTTTGTTAATTTTTATTTATACTATTAACTTTAGGTGAGCTTAGATTACTCTCATCTAGCTAAGTACTACTATTAATCATTTAGCTTGAGACTTGGATCATCTACTCTATAAATAATTTATACTTCTAACTGTGAAACTAACTACGAAAAATGATATCTATTCTACCTATTCAAAGTTAAAAAGTTCTATTAAGTCTCTTAAGTAGACTATAAAAATAATTATTACAACTTAAAATTTTTTAATTAATTTACAATTTCTAGTTAATTTTAAAATATTTCATATAAATCTACTCCTTTAAAACTGAATGAATTTTCAAATAATATAAATAAGATTATAAAAAAATTATTTTATTTAAATATAAATTTAAATCATATTTTTTATTTATATTTTGTACAAAAATATTTTTTTTCTATAATTGAATTTTAAGCAACGATGTGAGTCTATTAGACTATACAATAAATTTGCTTACAATTAATTAAATATATTATACACAGTTTATTAATTGTAGATTCTATGAATAGCAAAGTTTTTGTATTAAATTTTTTTAAATGAAATGGTTACAAAAAATAAATGTTAGTTATTTTCAATACATTAATTTAAAGACTTTTTTTATAATAAAATAGCAAATTAATTTATTAAAAACAAAAATTTTTAAGATGAATTTAAAAATTAGAAGAACTATTTTTAATCAAAGATAAGCAATAATAATTTTTTTAATTAGTTCTAATAAGGATGGACATAAATTTTGTTTTAAATAGATAATAGGCAATATTATTTAAATCAATGCTTTATTTATCAATTACAAAAATACAAATCGATTTGCTTTTTTTATTTATATTTTTATTAGTAAAACTAGTACTTTTTACAGTAATTCATATTTTATTATGGATAGATGCTCTTCAATAAGGATTTAAAAACTCTCTAAGTTTTCTAACACAAGACATGAGATAAAAAAGATAATTTATACTAAGTATTTTATTATTGTATAAGATGGAGTTTATTCTGTAAATTAGATAAGTTAAGAGAGAATGAATGAGAGTATATTTGAAATTAAGCAAACTAGAAGTGTTAGTATGAATTGTTTTTTTTAAAAGAAACTCTCTAAGTATAAAAATAATTTGTAATCAATTGTTAGATAAGTGATAGAAATATGTGCTCTAACATCAAACACACGATTGACTCAATATTTGGTGTTTGTGGTATTACAATATTTATATTTTTATAAGTAATCCCAAAAATTGTAAAGGTAAGGTGAAGATATAGATAAATTGCTGATAATATCTCCGCAATTTAATAATTTTATTAATAAGTTAAATGATTCTAATAATAATTATAATTCTGCATATCAATCAATTGCTGATTAATTACTTACAAAAACTTTTTGCTGGCTTTTACTTGGAATTGATATAATTTTGTAATTAAAAATATCAAATGATTGAAGTTTGTCATAATAATTTTAATGATAAAAATTTCAAAAAATTTAGCATTAAATTATAGGAATAATTAACTATTCAAAAGTTAAGGTGAATTCAGTATAAAAAATATATCAAAAGCAAAAAAATATCTATCTAACTAACTAAAAACAAAATTAAAATGGGAGCTTGTTCTAACAAACCTCAACGCAAGACTAAGTATAAACCAAATACAGGAATATGGGGCACTAGCACTACAGCTTCCACTGAAGATATTAACTATTTTTATAAGATTATCTCGTAGCTAGGAAAAGGCTCATTCGGCTCTGTCAAACTAGCTACTTATAGATAAGGCCAAAATGATCGCCGCGAAAAAAAATTGTTTGCAATAAAAACTATCTTAAAGGACAGAGTTAAAGATAAAATTTATATGCTCCAAAGAGAATTAGAAGTTCTAAAAACTCTTGACCATCCAAATATTATAAAATTTTATGAAACATATCATGATAAAATGTATATTCATTTTGTAATGGAGTATTGCCCAGGAGGTGATCTCTTTGAATATGTAGCCAACAAAGGTCCTCTTGAAGAATTTGAAGCTGCTTAAATTATGAAAAAACTCTTCTCTGCAGTAGCTCACATTCATTCTAAAAATATAGTGCATAGGTAAATTATTAAATTTGTTAAGTTAAAAGGGATTTTTTCATTTTTAATAATCATTTTTAGCAAATCTAAATTGAATAAAATATTTAAATTATCTAAAAGCTCAAATCAACAAAAAATAAAAATGATTTAGTAGTTAATGGCATAAAAATAGCTTAATTAAAAATGATAAATCATCATGCTAATGCATCAATCATAGAATTTAAAAATATTTTTCTTAATCTTAATTTAAATTATATATTTTATAAAGAGATTTAAAGCCTGAAAACATACTCTTTACTAGCAAAGACAAGACTAGCTGGGACATTAAGATTATAGATTTTGGTCTTTCTAGATAATTTAATTCAAATGATAAAAAGCACATGTCAGTAGTTGGAACCCCACTTTATGTTGCCCCAGAAATTATAGGAGAGAAGAATTATGAAAAAGAATGCGATAACTGGAGTTTAGGAGTTATTATGTATATTTTGCTTAGTGGAAGAGAGCCTTTTTATGCTAAGAGTTTAAAAGAAGTGTATGATAAAATAAGAAATCAGCGTTACGATTTTAACGATTCATGCTGGGAGAATATCACAAAGTAAGCAAAAGATCTTATTTCTAAACTTCTTACTGTAGATCCTAAGAAGCGTTTTACTTGTGAATAAGCATTAAAACATTAATGGTTTAGTTAATTTTCAGAAAACAAAGACCAAAAGGAAATTAAAAAAGCTTAAGAGCGTATTAGCAATTTATTGAGCTATAACAATTCAGCAAGATTTAAAAAAGAAGTTGTTAAAATATTTATTAATCATTAAATTAAGTAAGAGGAATTAAAGGAAATAGAAAGCGCCTTCAAAATGCTTGATAAAGATGGAAATGGAGAGCTTTCCTTTTATGAGCTACTTGATGCCCTTAAAAGTTAAAACATAAATATCACTGAATAAGAGCTTCTTAGAGTTATCAATAATGTGCATGACTCTAATGAACGTAATTTAAACAAATTACATGTAAACTATACTGAATTTATTGGAGCCGTGATTGATTGGAGGTCAAACATGAATGATGAGAAAATGTGGAATCTTTTCAAATATTTTGATGTAAATAATACAGGTTACATAACAAAAGAAAGTCTAAAGGAAGTAATATCAAGAGAAGGACGTAGAATGAAAAATGAAGATTTAGAATAAATGATAGGCGAAATAGATTAGAATAAAGATGGTATGATCGATTTTAATGACTTTAAGAAAATGATGGAAAAAGACATTGAAAATGCACCTGTACCTGATGTCTAGATAGATGAAAAAACAGGAAAAAAAAAAACTGTCATAGTACGCAATACTTCATAATAGCAATAAGAAGATTTGGATTAATATTGAGTGACTTTACTCTACAATTTTGTTTTTTCCACATAAACATAATATTTAAACGTTGCCTTAAATTATATCCAATTTATAGCTTTAGTCATAATAATTATTCCAATCAATCAAACAACCTTTTAGTAGATAAGTAAATAAATAATAGTTTGTTGGGAAAACTCAGTTAATAAAAAAAAAAACAAACAAACAATCCAATTTTCGAAACCATCTTAAAAATTAGTTACAGTTTCCAGTCTCATAAAATAAAATATGAATACTTTTTATAAAATTATTTACAAAGAAGCAAAACTCAATTGATTTTATTCATTCATTCAGACATCTTTTTGTCTTGTTTTTGTAAAATATTTGCTATATAATATATAGATAGTATCTTTCTTAAGTTGAAATTAATTTATTACTCTAAATTAAATAAGCTAAAAACTCTTCAAATTGGCTATGTTTTCCTTTTCTTTTAATTTAACAGTAAAAATTTAGATTAAGGTTAGTTAATTTTGTTATTTAGTTATTACTAAATGTTTTTACTGTCAATAAATAACTCGAAAATTTAATCAATAAATTTTTATCAGTAATTTATTCACTTTTAGAAAAATAAAACATGTAAATAAATTCTTCACCAAAGTATAATCTACTAATTCTTTATTAAAATAGTTACCAGTACAAAAAATTAAAAAAAAAATTTAATTTTCAAAATTTTCTTACTCATAATTCATTTTAATTAACTTACTCAGTTATCAATTTAATGTTTTTTTTATTTAATTTATTTAATGATAAATATTGTACAATTTTGGTAAATTCATTTCTTGATAAGTATTGTTCTAGTTTTGGTAAATTTCTTTATAAATAAATATGATTTATATTTTCATTTATTAATTCTTTGTGAAAAAAGATAATATTTTTAATTAATTATAAAAGAAAATTAATTTTATGATTTATAAATTTATTTTTAATATAATTATTTATACAGAAACATATTTTTTTATAGATGAAATCAATTAACTTTTTTCATAAGGATCCTGTAAGGACGGACATCTTTTAAATTTGAAATCAAATATATATTTTAATTATTTTCAGGACATTTAAGTGTGTCTATGTTGATTCTACAAAGATAGGCAAGTTTATACTTTAAACTAATTTAAATAATGGAGTAAAATAATTAAAAATTAAATTGTTAATATACTTACTTTGTTAAAGGATCAGTTATAATATGACATTTTTATTCCATTTCTTCAGGTTTACGATAAACTGTTATAGAACTTCCAACTTCACTTTAGGTAAATTTATCTTTTGATTCAGAATATTAAAGCCTATCTTATGGAGTTAAAGGATTTATAGTTGCTGGTAAATATCCAACTGGCCATGCTCTGGGATTATTTTCTTCCATAGAAAGCCAATTTTGGTCATAAGGATCCAATTTTGAAACATCAACTGCAAATCCATACCATGAAAATGGGAAGAAGTAATCTTATTTTTATCCATTTTTTATACCTATTTTTTTATGTGATTAACAAAAATATATCAAATCAAAATAAATTTACCTCTTTTATCTGATTTCATTTTTATATTTTCCCAACCCCTAGAATAATCTTTCAAGAATTAACTATATGCAAGAGTAATAGTCTTTGTTACTTTTTTTTAACAGACTGAAATATTTGAACAAAATCCTGTTTTGATAGTGTTAGTTAATTCTTTACTTAAAGCATCGAAATTAACTGTTTTACTACTATGCTCAATATCCGCTATTTTTTAAATAAAATAAAAGAAATAATGCTTTATAAGCTTCGAAGAAAATATATTTTACACTCATCCAGTATAAAGTGTACTTCTATGTCTGAGTTAGAATTTGCAGATTAGCTTATACCTAAAATGTTAACACTTTCTTTTTTAAAATTATTTTTCATTACAGAAAAAACACCCCATTATACTAAATCGCATAAATAGCTTATTTCGTTAGGATTATTCATTAGCTAAGTGTAAGATAATTAGTAATTCTTAAAAATAGCACAATACTTAAAGTTTGTTGTGTCATTTAATGTTAACATTCTCCATATTCCATACTATTTCTCTTATGGATCTAATTGACTATCATTGATGTGGAATTTTAACTCACAATCACAATCTTTAAGATATTATCTCAATACTCTTAAAAAAAGACTTAGTTACTTATTCCAACCACCTGGATTTGGTTAATTATCAAGTCCATCTATTTTTTTTGCTTTTATAACAACAGGATATACTTTGTTATCCTGTACTTATTAAATATTATCAGTTGTTGTTTTTTAAATTTCCAAATTTTATTCCATTTATTTTTATATATCATTAAAAATTTTTGTCAATTATGAGTTAGTGACTTCACTTTTAGGATCTATGATATGCTAGCTGACCATTAAAAACGCATTATTTATATTTAAGTTCACATTGCTAATTAATATTATTAAAGTTATTAATGTCACTTTAAAACTTTCTAAGTATTTACTTGGGCTTTTACTCTTAATCAAAGATACCTGGCAATCCCTGTTATAAAAGTTTGAATAAAACATTTATTTTAAGTTTAAAAATTTTACTTAATATGTTATGTTTTTTGGTTGCATTTTTCTAAATTATACACTTTTAAATTTTTTTCTAATTAATTGTTAATTATTTATTAATATACTAACATCTATCTATCTATTCTTTTTGAATATCAAATTTTCTTCTTCTTACTTTCAAACCTTATATCCAAGCCTATTTATTTTTTGCTTATTAATAAATAGATACTTTATTTTTAACTTGTCTCTTTATTATATTAAATATTCTAATTAGGATTATAAATAACTATTTTTTAATTGGCAAATAAGCATTTAAAAAAAAGTTATATAGATTGCTTTTGTATTTTACAAATAATTTTAAAAAATCTAAATATATGCTAAAAATTCTAAAATTGTCTAAATAATTTAATTTAATTAAAAAATCAATAATAATAATAATAATAATAATAGCTTTTTATTTTATTATAAATATTTGAATGATAAAAATGCAAGTTAACCTAATGAACTAAAATCAAAATTTTTTTAAGGTTAAATCTGTAATAACTTGCTTTTCTTTACATTTTTAATTTTAAGAATTTTATGATTTAAACGCACAAAAATATCTGTCTACTATAAATTCTATTTTAAGAAGACATGAAATACAGAATGCATTTTTGTACTTGAATAATTAGCTTGTAAAAAAATAAAGCAAATAAAATCTATGCTATAGCTTTAGCTAAAAATTTTCACCAATTTTAAAAAAGATAAGATTATAAATAAATTATTACATAATAAAAAAGTGCGAAAAAAAAAAGATATTAATTTCAATTATAATAGATACATTTAATTAAATTTAAACTAAGTAAAAAGTAATAGCTAGATAGATAGATCGCAAAAATAAAAAAAACTATATAGGAGGAATCATGGAGTAGCTAGTCCAAGCAATAGGAGTTTTCGTCAATCCTTAAAGTTAATCAGAGTAGGTTAACCAAGCAGATAAATATTTAAAAAACATTGAAAGAACAAAGGAATGTTGGCTTCTCGCTTTATAAATATTAGAAATCCCTAAAGGAAACTTTTAACAAGAAGTTTATTTATTAGCAGCTAAAATGTTAAAATCTAAAATGGAATACGATTTTGCTTAACTTTCTGCAGAAGAATAACAAGAACTTCCTTCTAAGTTGATGAGAATTATTTAACTCCACAAGGAAGGATCTAGAGGAACACAATCTTCTCTTGTAGACGCCTTTATATTTTGCTATCTTCACATGTATGATAAATGGCCAGATTTCATAGATTTTATGAAATCTAACTTCTATACTGACCCTTCTATGCAAAACTATATATTTTTAATATATGAGTATCTTCCAGATAATGTCTATAGTACCACTATTGTAATTGATGATGAACACAGAAACAAAATGGTAAAGTGTCTTTTTTTTATTATAACTAATTCTAAAATACAATAAACTATGAAAGGAATATGATAATATTTTTCAAAAAATTCTACCTTTTGAATTTTGAGTTAAAAATGTAAAATTAGCATCGCATTAATTTATAAAAAATTTTATTTGATCTATTTTATAATCTCTATTTTCTAATATTTTGACAATTTAACACACATAAAAAATATATTTCAATTCATTTTTTTTAAATAAATAGATTACCTACTTCAAAGAGAATTTACAAAAGAGAGTAGTAGAAGAGTTAAATTTAATAGCTTAAAGCTAAAACATTAATGAAAAAAGTTAGTACTCTTTGCTTAAAATTATGTCTAATTGGGTTGATTTTAAGACAAACTCTTCTTTACTTTCTGTTTTGTAAAATCATGCTGTCTTCAATTTAGCTTTAAGAAGTATGAATAACGAAACTTTGCAAAAGTACAGTGCTAAAACAATTGTAGCTGCCCTTCGTTAGTTAAAAAACCAAAAAGAATAGCTTGAGTACAAAGAACTCTTTTTACACATTGCATCATTTGTTTTTAACTATTTTACTGATTGTGAACGTGCTTATTAAAATGAAGACTATGAATCTGTCTAAAACTATTCTTTAGTATTCTCAAAATTTGGCTCCCGCGCTATTTCTTAGTTTATGAACCCTGATTCAATAGATGCAGCTTGTGAATAGTTCCTATTAAATATGCTTAAAGTAACAAAATATGAATCCGCTGAACATGAAGAAGATCTTGCTGATTTTTGGATTGAATTTTTGTTAAAAATAATTGTTAATAAAGATGCTAATCAAAAGAAGATCTTAACAGATCGTTACACTGTGCTTATTTAAGATTTACTAAATACTTGTATATTAAAATCCATGTATGACCAAGAGATATTTTAACTTTTCTAAGAAAAAAACTCAAAAGAAATAGACAATATGAAGGAAGAATTTGAGAGCAAAAACAAATTAAGATTCCACATGAAAGAATTAGTCAACAATATTAGCAATTTAATCGGAGCTGAGTAATTTATTAGATACTGTGCATTTTAAATGTAAAGCAATGGCATTTTGGAAGAAATCGGACCTAATTATCCCATCCTTAAAGCAAGATAGTTAGAAAGTATTTTATCATGTCTCAATGAAGTTGTTTTTAAAGCTAAAAGAAATGAGCCCATTTTGCCTAACTAAGGAGATGATGGTAATTTGGGAGATAGTGAAGATGAAGAAGATTACAGAGAAATATTTTCAGAGACTTCGAAGACACACATTTTTGATATATTACAAAATGTTTTAAAGGCTTAATATGTATGGATAAGACTCAATAGAACTATTCTCAATTTAATTATCTCCAGTTCTGATTTCTTACAATAAAATTTAGAAGTCTGTGGATTGGCCTTTGAATTAATAGTCCTCCACCTAGAAACACCTTTGGTTACAGATTTATCTTAAAGTGGATTTGAAGTTTTGTGCAGAGATTGCCCTTTGTTTGTCTAAAAAAATATTGAAACATTCATTTAGAAAGTTTATAGCAAAATGATGTTTAATTATAATATAATTGCTGGTATTTCCCATGCAATTTGTGCTACTGATGAGTGTATTAGTTCCCACCTTATCAGCCTTTGTTCTCCATATGCAAATGACATTTTAAATTACACAAAACTTCCTATTGAGCAATAAAATGATAAGGAAATTATTGAAAGCCTTAAAAAGCCTATTAAAGCAATTAAAAATATAATTTAATGTGTACCAGAGCGTGAACAATAAGGTGCTTTCCCTCATAGTATCCTTTAGGAAATATTTAAATAAATCTGGGATGTTCTCAAGTTTATTATGGAAAATAAGAAAAACTATACAAGCTTGATTGAAAATATTGTCTCTGTAATTAAGCAATTTATCGTCAAGATGAATGTTGATTTTGACATCTTTTTCATTGAATTCCTCCAACAAATTATCATTTTATTCAAGCATACTTACTAATCAGGAATTCTATACATCATTGAAAAATGTGTTAAAATATTTTAAAATAGTAAATATCATGAATAATTTATTCCTTATCTTCAACAAGCTTTTGAAACCTTGGTTGAGACTACACTTTAAAACTTAAAATCAATTAATGATTATACTGAAAACCCAGACCTAGTTGAAGATTTCTATGGCTTTGTGGGGCGTTTTTTGAAATATTTCCCTTCAATTTTTTTGTCTAGCAAGTTTTTAAACAATATCCTAAGTTCTGTTTAAATTGGAATTCAATTATAGCACAGAGAGGCAGCCAAAGCCCTTTTTGCTTTGATGGAATTACTGTATGAAATAATAAGTCAAAATCATATTTAAAAGATTTAACACCTTGCTCATCTTATTGAACCTTACAAAAATTCTTTAATTAACTAATATACTCTTTAATATAACGTTTTGCTATTTTAGGAGCTCTCAGAGGTTCCAAGCAAGGAAATACGTCAATATATTTATGATATCTTTATTGCATAAATCAGTTGTTTTGGATCTGCTTCAATTAATTTCTTCTACCCAATACTCTAAAATATCAAAGAAGATATTTGCACCAATAAAGAAAAAGATAAATTCTGCAAAATACTTTCTAATTTATAATAATAACAAATGGATGAATAGGCAGAAGATGAAATAGCTGATTTCTTTGTTCTTTTAGGTGAAAGATTTAAGAAGTCATATCGTAGAAATAATTGATATAAAATTAATTATTTTCTAAATGGCTTCATCAAATAATTATAAAATGGAATGAGATTAAAAATAAATTGATTGATTGATTAATATTTATCTGTTTTATTTTAAGTTTATATTTGTTTGCTTCTTTAAATTTTATTATGATAATTCACAATTTTTATTTATTTAAGCTGATAAATATCTCAAAATTATTTTGCAATTTATCATTTACGTTAAATTCTAAATTACAAAATGTTTATAAAAATATTAAAAATTTTCAAATAAAATATTTTTTCTGAAAATTTAATGAAAAACTAGAGAAATTTTTTTTAGAGGTAAAAGTAAAATTAATGATTGAATAAACATAAAATTTGTTATAAAGTAAAATAAACTTATATTATTTAATTGAATTAATTATTTTGTGTTTATTTCAAATAATTTTACAAATCTGCTTCTATAATATATTTTAATTAATTAATTATTGAATTTGTCATTTAATTTTTGAGAATGAGGGTCCAAGAGATGTGTTTTAAAGAGGGACAGTCTGCATTTCTTTGATTTCATTGACAAGTTTAGATTGAGATAATTTTTTATTTACTGAATAATTCTAGTTTAATACTTTGAGAGGGTCATTTCTATTATACTTTTCAAGCTCAGAAGGAGTGTAAAGATCAAGGAATTCCTCAAGACCTATAAAGCCACCACCTGTACGAATCAAAACCTTATCTTACTCAATTTTAACATAAACTTTTTTAGAACCAAATTGGTATACTCCAGAACCTTCTCTTATGAATAATGTACGAGCTTTTCTTTTATCACCATTAAAGTTGTTTAAATACTATGCTAAGCAAGAGTCTATGGGGTCTCCCTTAATAGGTATATAATCAGAGTGAGATTCGCGCAATTCAAAAATTAATTGCTTAAGACTTTAAGCATATTCTTCTCCTTCATCAACCAAATTAGTTAACTCACGAATATTTTACTTTAATTGAGAAATTTCATTATTTTAGGTACTTAGCAATTCACATTATTCATAACTTCTTTTCTTTAATTCATTTAGTTCTAACGATAGACGTTCACCTCTTTTCTTTTCACTTGTTAATTGCTCTTCTAAATCATTAAGGAGTTATTTTCTAATTTCATTCTAATTATTTTCTTGCTTATTTAAGAAACTAACTTTTGACATCTCAGTTAATGCTTCACTTTGATCGTGAATTGTTTGCTAGGATTTTTCCAGGGTCCTCTTTAAGAGATTTATGTCTTCTTTATATCTTGTGACGATTTCTTCTCTTTCTATTTTTAAATCCATAATTTATCTGTGAAGGTTATCAGCCATTTCTCTTGCTTCTAATTTCTGTCTTTACTCTTCCTTGAGTTAAATATTTAGTGCTTCAACCTAATTTTATTATTTTCAGTTAAAATTAATCTTAAAAATTAACATTACTTAAGCATTATTTATTCTTAATCCGTCTTCATATGCTGTTTGGAGTGATAGCTTACGAAGTAGAGAATCAATTTCATACTACTTTTGAATATTCGATTCATGCAAATTTTAATTTTCTAGTTAGAATTAACTAACTCTATTTTATAATTCTGCTTTTTAATTAGAAAGAAGTGCCTTTTCTTCTTCTAAAATATTTATGCTTTTGTATAGTTTGTCAAATCTATCATCAAAATCAAAAGTAGAATTTCTTAGTTTTGACATCAGGTTATTCAAATCTTCACGGTATAATAAGTTTTGCTATTTCAATTCGTCAAAAGACAAATAGCTTACTTTCAAATTGTGATAATCTTTATCTAATTATCTTAAGTCATGTGACATTTAATCAAGCTATCTTATGAGTGAAGTTATTTCATTTTCTTTTGATATAATCACATTGTGCATTTCCTGTTTATCTCTGATCAATTCAGCCAACCTCCTTTCAATATCTGTTCTACTCTCTACTTCTATCTCTACTTAACGCTACAAAACTAGCTGTAATTCTTTCCTAGCCTCTTCACTTCTTTTTAATTCTTCAGTTAAAAACCTATTCATTTCCTCTGTTTGTTGCAAATTCTTCAATTTTCCATCTAAGCTGTAAATAACTGTTTTTAGATTTTCTATTTCATGCTTAGACTCTCTCTTAGAACCATCTAAGTTAAGTAAATAATTCAAGCCATTACCTGCAGGTGACAAGTAACCACTTTTAGATAGAGGACTAGTGCTATTTAAGTTACTTTTTTTAATGTTTCCTATTGATGATTTTCTAAAAAAAAAAAATATGAATAAAAGAATAATTGATTATTTTATTTTTTATATTAAAAAGTTAAATATAAATTTATCTATCTACCTAACAGGTGACATTTTTTCAGGCTAATAGCTACTCAATCGAAGTGGTGATGTAGATTAAATTCTCTTCTTTAAGGGACTATCAGGTAATTCTATTGGTGATTGAGTATAGAGCTATTTATCTCTGTTTAGCTAAGAATCAAAATCAGAAGTAGCTGGATATCTTGTATTTTAAAGGCTATTGCTTTAGTACATGTTATTTAAATTAGATTTAGTGTCACTTCCCCCAAATTAATTTCTACGATTGTCGCTATTTTAGAGGTGATTTACCCTATTCTCACTGTTACCTTATTCTAATTAAGATGGCTTTTTCTCGCTATTTTTTTACGATTATATACCAGTTGCTGTATGAATGTTATTTGTATAATAATCAGAATGCTTTTCAGCACTATTATTATTTACAGGTTTAGTAGCACTGCTTAAGATACCACTTTTTTAGGCACTTTAATTATTTGAGCTTGGGATTTAGTTTTACTACAAGTTATTATGAGATTAATGATTTGAGCTTGTTGCTTGCTATTGATGCTATTCTTTAGCTGCACTTCCAATAGGTGAAATAGTTGATGTATCTTTTTTCAATATTGATCTATATGGGGAATGATTTTTTGGAGGAGAATACTTAAATATTTTTTCAAATCTATCCATTTTATTATCATTTCTAAAATTGCTTGCAGACTTTGCTCCTTCAGAGACTCCAGATTGCTTTCCTGGGTTGCTGGCTTTCTCTAAAGTTGATTATTCTTATTCAGCTTGTTAACTATGAGTTATGTCCTTGCTTTACCTTCTTTAATCTTTACCTAAAGTTTCATTATTTTAACCAGCTTATGTGTTCTGTGCATTGGAGGGAGTTGCTACTCCAATGTTTTAACTATTTGATAAATTTGTTTTCTAAGCGGAGGAAGAAGTAGGATTTTATCTTGAATTTGAGTTGCTTCTAGTAGGAAGAAAGGAATTTTAAACAAGATATGTTTAAGTAATACTTGCTTTTTGAGGCGTAGTATTAATACCAGAAGTACTTGAATTTCTTTTATGACTGGAATTTGTGTTGCTATTATACTAACTCGAGGGTTAAGAGTTTTATTCATTAGTATTATTTGCAACACTTGGTTTCAGATATGATGAAGTAGTAGAAGCTGCTGAATTTGCATTTGACTTGCTTTTTAAAGACTATAAATAACGTTTATTCGAAGGACTCTTCTCAATTCTTTACTTATTTGCAGATCCTTAAAGAGTTTAAGAAGAATTGCTAGCTAATTAAGATTTAAGCTTTCCTTCATCTTTGTCTTTTGCTTAGTTACCGAATGTGGTGAGTCTTTCATCAACCTATTCCTAAAAAAAAATTATAGCAACAATTATAATATTAAATGACAAAGTACTTTCAAACTTGAAGATTGTTTTCCACTATTTTTATCCATAAAAACTTATTTGTTAAGAATAATAATATAATAAGAGCCTTTCAAATTTTAATCTGAAGTAGGTAGACCAAACTAAAATTGTTTCACTATCTCTATTTCATCTTTTTCGTTTACGTTCTGTGGTATTAAAATAGGAAGACTTCCGAATGGGAGAAGCTCTTTCTAAGTTCTAAATTGCAATTAAAACGGTGTGGTCCTTTCCAAATGGTCTGTGTTAAAAAAGATTGCTTGAGAGAAAGGATAAACAACTATTTATTCCTGTTTATCTAAAGTGATTACACATTCTATTTTTTCCGTTAAGGCCTAGTTTAAAAAAAATTTATGTTGTTAAATATTAATCTCACAGCAGCTAAGTTGGTTGTTTAACAAAATATTTTACAACAAAAAGCTAGAAACATATTATAAATAATAATTTACGAAATCTGAAAGATTTTTAATTGCTACTATAATTTTAAAATTCTTTTCTTAAAGTCTACTCATAAAATTGTATTATTTTTTATGGCTAACTCTATAAATTGTTATCTTTATTACCTTTAACTATATTGCGCTTATTAATGATTTTTAATTATAACAACTTTTTGGAAAATTATTCGTTTAGATATATTTAAATCATGGGTGGTGGATATTAATTATCAGTTAAAAACTTTTATTTAATTTTATTTTAATATTCAAAAGATAAATGATGATGATGAGATATCGTCGCGATTTAAATTAAGTTTTACTTAACAAAAAGATAGAAAAAAAAACAACACAATCTTTATTTCAAAAAATTATTAATTATGTTATACTCCAAAAATCTTCTAAATTTTTAAAAGCCAAAAGTAATATGATATTTTTTTTTTATTTGTAAAAGATTTTTTTTTTCTATTTCATAAAATATTTTTTTTAAATATTTACAACAAAATTTCAAATTAAAGATTTGAGCATATAATTATTGTTATTAAAAAAATAAATCTTTTATCTCAATTAATTCTGAGTTATCTATCTCTGATTTATCTCGAATATACCAAAGAATTGACTGTAAACAACCATTAATAATTAAATATTTTATTTTTTAAAAATTCTATCTATAAAATAATTTCTTACATTTGAAGCAAAAATATTTTAATTTACCTTTATTAAAAATATTTAATACAAAGTAAAAAAAACATAAACAAATAATTTAAAATCATAAAAAAAATCTATACAATAGTTTACTTAGCAAAATATGTTTGATTAAATATTATTATATTTATAGAAGTTTGCATGTATGCTTTTTTGCTTGCTTGCAAATATATGATTTTCATAAATCGAAGTCATCTTTTTATTCAGAGTCTTTATTATCACCCAACTCTACCATAACCTTTTATTTTCTTCTATTTAGGTTAAGATTATCTTTAAAAGATCCTACTGAATTTCTTCCAAAAGGAGAATCATCATTCCTCTTTCTGCTAGGTGTAAATTCAGCAGCGTTTTTATTTAAAGGAAATTTATCTTATTAGGTTGAAGCTTCTTAGTTATCTAAATTTATAATTTCTTCTTATATACTATCAAAATTACCAATCAATTATGGAGAATTTTGAGTTTATTGCTATTTGATCTTTACTATATTTGGATTTAATACAGGATATCCTGCATCTATATAATAAAAATTAATTAGAAAATATACTTAAACACAATTTTAATACTTAATTGAGGTGAGCGAGATATTTCACTTGATTGGTATGTTGTCGTTTCTTATACTAGAATTAATTGAAATTATTATTATTTTATTGAATAATATTATTTTACTTTTGGTTGCTTTTCCTTCAAATTAGTTATCTCCTAAATTTTTGCTGTTTATTTAAAAAACGTGATGATATGATGAAATTTAGATAAAAAATTACAATTTTATTTTCTCATCACTTGACTATTAGTTTATTGGCTTTTCTTCTTCATTTTCTATTGGTCTTATTGGTTTTAACTATTCATCTAGACGAACATTTACCAATTTCAAATCAGGATCTTCTTTTCTTAACTTAAACCACTTGTGTACAAACATGCTGGTCCTTCTCCATAAATAAGTTACTCTTTCAATTGGCACATAAGCTTGATGCTAAAGTTTATTTTTAAGTGAATAAAATTTCAATATAATATTTTAATTTTACCTTCTTTGCTATAAATTTTGCAAGCAAAGGATATTTAGAAAGTATTTTTGTTATCTTTTCAAATTACTGATTGATTATATCATCAACTTTTTTAGTGTATCCTCTAAGTAGACCTCTTATAATATCTAAAACAAACAATATATTAACAAATCCAAGGACAATATAGCCTATTACAATTAAGTAATCATAAGAATTTTAGTATATGAATACACCCATTATCATGCTAATAGCAGCTGCCTCATTACCTCTTTAATCCAAACGATTTTATTCATTTTCTATGTAAGGCTTAAAAATGTAAGAGAATATCAAGTAAACAACTACTGTTAAAAAACAGAGTACACCTTTTACTTTTGTATCATCACCGTAAACATTAACAATAATAGTGAGAGTGATTTTTTCAAACATCTTTACAAATTCCCAAAAATAAGCTCTAGGGTGATATTCCATATATAGATAACCATATCTATATCTTATCCATATATTGCTATATATCTTTAAAAATGTTTGAATAAATTTAAATTTAAATTATAAAAATGAATGCATACTTTATCTCTGCTAGAATACAGTTTTTAGAAAAAGATTAATGGTATCACTATTGCCCAAATTAGTAACCAAGGAATAACTAGAGTAACTAAATAATAAATATGTTCATTTGTATAACATTCATATGCTACATTTGCCTTAATGTATTCTACTTTAGCAATAGTTCTACAAGAAGCAGTAGAGATAAACGAAAGTATGACAGAAGGTTATAATGTAATAAAAAGGAAAATGAAAGTACACCAGATATATCCTGAGTTTTTTCTCACTTTCTTCAAAATAACACCAACTATGTAAATTAATACCGAAACTACAACAAATATCATAGGATTAATCAGTTGCCAAACTAATCTGAAATAAAGCACAGGCATATTAGACATCTGTAAGAAAAAGCAATCCATGGAAACACTCATTTACTGTGATGGATTACCAACTGTTGTACTTACAGTAGAAAAGAAACTTGGTGTTGTGAGATTAAACGTGAATATAACAGAAATGACCTAAGAATTACATTAAAAATATTTTTTTGTATTTATTTTAAAATTTAAATTTTACCTAAAAATAACTTGTTAAAATTTTAATTAAAACACCAGCTTGGTTTTTAGAGTGACTAGATTTTCCACCCAGAATAAAACCTGAAACAATTAATATTTAGGTTTAAATATATTATTAGACTTATTAGATAGTTGATTTAACAGATAAAAGAGTTGATATTAGAGTCCAGATCATAATTAAAACTACTTTTTACACATTTCCAGATACCTGTGAGCACTTACCACAAGAAAAGCTTCCACTTAAAGCATATGCTTCTCCCCAATACTTTCCATAAAGATCACATTCTTCACACAGAGCACCTATAAATTTTGTTTTAAAATATTTAATTTTGTTTGCTTTTTTTTAGTTAGTATGTTACCAATATGACCAGTATAACAAAGTTAGTCTTCTTAACCTCCAACACAATTAGAGGCAGCATTTGAGCAAGGTTCTATAAGATCGGAAGATGTATTTTTTCTCCAATAACCAGCTGATATCTTCATTATATTATATCCTGGACAACTATCTACTCCTATTTTAGGACAAGATAAACACTGTTCAGCTCCTAAAACTAGTGAATATTTTGTGCTAGGGCATGCATAACATTACCCTGTAGTAGCTTGATAAATTTCTCCATAAGTACCTTTATAAATAATAAAATATAACAAACTTTTAATAATTAATTTTTAATTTACAGCTTCTCATATTGATAACCAGAGGGAAAACATAGCTCGTATCGTATCCAGTAATAGTTCCAGTACTGTCTAAAATTGGTATTATTACAGCTGGAGAAGAAAATTTAACTTTTATTTAATTAGGAGGCTTAGCAATAAATATTAAGCTAGTGATATTATATCCCGCTATACCTTCATTATAACTAAATACTTTTGTACCTACCAGCTAAACTGTGCTATCTATATAATCTCCTGAAGCAAAATTTAAAGCAACTGTAACTGTACTAGTTTATTATCTTAAAACAGTACCGTCAGAGCCAATTAGCTAGATTACCATTCCCCCTGGAGTTTGACCACTGCCATAATTTTTTATAGTTGGAATATTAGTAGAACCTTATGCATAATTATATGCTTTTCCATTATATATTAACCTCATAGACACTGGAGATTATACTTTATCATTTCCATAAAATGTAGCAGTATTTGATGTAAAAGTGTTAGGAGTAATGGAACTTAAGGTGGGACTTATTCCTTCGATTAGATAAGCTCCTATTAAATAAGAAATTTATAAAATTTAATAAAATAGTGAAATAAAAAATTCATTAAACTATTAGAGAAACTATTAAATTAATAAAAAATTTTGTATCACAGTCATTTTTAATTAAATATTTTTACCTCCTTATCCTGCTTGATTGTTTGTAAATGTATTCCCAGTAAAAGTTATAGTATTTGTTGAAGTTGATAATTAGTAAGAGTAGATTGCTCCTCCAACACTAGTGGCATAGTTATTCTAAAATGTAGAACCACTAATTTATATAGTAGTATAATAAGAACTTAATGCAGCACCTTAAACTGCATAATTTCCATTGAAAATAGAATTCTAAATAAGAGCTGTATATGCATTAGATGATAAAATTCTCTACATAAACTCAGCTTCAGTATCTTCTGCTATTGTACTATTAGAGCATGAAATTTAGTTTTCTTAACCTTCATTTTACAAAAGTCTACTTGAGGTCAAAGTTGTGCTACTTTAAGATAGGAATAAGACACCATTTTATCCAGTATTATAATTGAAAGTGCTTTAAGCAATTTTTAAGAAACCACTCCATTATTAGAATTATGCAAAACCATATTTGGTATACTATCTATTTGATTAAAATGTAACTCCTGTGTATGTAATATCTATATCTTAGTTGTGAAGTACAACAGAATTCTAAGTATTATCAATATAAGTAAAGAACTCAATACCTGTGCTATGTGAATATGGAGAAACGTTTGTGATCATTGTATTTGTAAAAGATATAGCAGTGCATTTGTAAGTATAAATTAACGGATATGTAGACATATAATATCCTTATATTATACTACCAGTTTCTTACCAAGAGGTGAGTTGGTAAAGATAAAATAGTTACTAATACCTTAATCCAGAGAAGATATTATTTGTAGTGATTAAATTTCCCTTAGAAATCCATATTTGTGAATGCTGACTAAGTGCAGAGAACAAAAGTGGATCTGGAACAGAATTTGAAGGAACAAGAGTGCTGGTTAAATAATTATAAATTTAGCTCTAATCATCCCATTATATTACATTATTTGTAAAAGTAACTTTAGAATTGCTATTTATTTGTTAACTATAAATAATAGATCCCTGAGGAGCATAAACATTTGAAATTAAGCTATTCTTTATAGTTACATCTGCTGATAAAGGTCCAGAATTAAGATATAGAAGTCCTCCAATTGTTCTTGCATAAACATCTTAAAAAGTAGCCCCATCAATTACTAAAGTTAGTGGAGATTACGTGCAATCTATATAAATTGCTCCTCCAGAACCATCAGTTATAGAGTTAGTAGTTGTTATTGTTTAATAAAAATGTGTATTTCCATTAATATTTATTACGCCAGGAGGTATTGTTATCAAATATAATGCTCCTCCTAATTTTATTTATTCAAAATAAAAGATGTTAATTCAAATAAAAATAAAAAAATGTTAATATTAATTATTAAACTCAATTTATAATGTGTGAAATGAAAATTTAAACTAAAAAAAGACTCTAATCTTAAAATTCTTTCTTAATATTTAAAATAAAATATCAAAATTAATACCAAAGTTTGCTACACTAGTCTGGAAATTTACATCTATAAAATTCATTGTGGCAGCTCTTGCATATACGAAACCTCCTGAGGTTGAAACTAAATTTCCTTGCTATTGTTTGTTTCCATTTCTAAATAAAGTATTTTAGATTGTTAAAAAATTCACGGTTACAGCAAAAGCATTCTATGAAAATAAGCACGTGGTATCTTATATCTTTGAATTAGTTACAGTGAGATATGATTCAATAGAATCAACTAATAGGACAGTGCTTGAAGAGTAAGTAGTTAAACCCAGTTAATTTAGAGGTGAAAGTTAGGAAATGCTAACTGCAACATTACTTATTTAGATGTTAAAAACAGAATACTTGTTTACTATTTAAAAAGGTGAAACCTATAAATATGATAAGTCTTGGAAAATAACAGAGTTAGAAATAGAAAAATTATTTATAGTGATAGGTATTTGTGTAGCTATATTCGACTCGTTTAAGATATCTTATGTGCAAATTATCTAAAAAGGAGATTGGTCTAGACCTGAGTAATTTTTTAATACAATTGTATCAGCACTAAAAGAGCTTTAACAAAAGACTGCATTTAAGCAATATCCATGCAATTTTGATTAGTCTAACTAGCTTAGTTAACCCTAGAATGGAATATTTTGACTGTAAACAGTATTATCAGGATCTCCACATATGAAATTAGTAATAGTCAAAGTAACAGGATTGTAAATGTGAATGCCTTAAAATTTCTAATTCCTTAAAATATTAATTGCTAAAAATTATAAGCTATTAACGGTATTAATATTTATAAGCTTCCATAGTAATTAAAGCTAGTTTGAATCTGTATATGTATTTTAAATAGTCACTTGACTCAGCATTACATTTAACATGAAACTGTTAGGGTTGTAAGGAGTATTTAAATCAAAAAAACAAGAATAGACACCTAGAGAATTAGTGCTTGCTGATAAGTTGCATTTAGCCTTTTAAATTAGAATCAATTAAATTTAATTTAAATAAATAATTAAACTTACTGAATCGATTGAAACAGATGAGTATCTATGATTAATTTACAATTAATTCTAAACTAGTAGAGAATATGAAGGTGTAGAAAACATAGTAACTTAATTCAGGAAGAAACGACTTTATTGAGAGGAAGTAACAGTTACTCCTGAAATTGAGATAAGGTTAGTACAAATTAAGGATGTTATTTTTGTACTTGAAATTGCTGTAAACGGTGCTTAAAAAACCCACTAAGAGGCTTTAAATCTAACTGCATTCATTACATATATTAAAAATGAATCTACCATATTCAAGTTAGAAAATGTTATCTGACTTAGATCAAACTATTTTATTCAAAGTTAATAAAATTAATTTTTTCAACTGAGAATTTATAAATAAATATTTGAATTTACTCTTAAGAAAGATTCTCCTAATCCTTGTAATTCATAAATAAAGTATGCGTTGTCAAAAGTAGAACCTGATACTTAAACTGAGGTGAAAGATATTTGAGAGTTGGTGTTATTCATGCTAAACATTGAAATATACTGGAGAGATAATCCTGTGAATTAGACAGTATTTAAAGTGAAAGTAGTTGCTAAATTTGCTGTTCCGGGATCATAAAAGTTTATTTTTGGAGGATAATAAATCTGTTTGAGTACAAAATTGTTTAAATTGAGTGAAACCAAGTTAGGAGCAATTAAACTAAAGTATTAACTTGTACCTTTGTCTGTATAGTCTCCTAATTAGACGTTTATTGGATTTGTGTTTCCAATTACACAATTATTAAAAGTAACAGAAGAAGTTTTCAACACGTTTGTCAGCTATATAAAGAATGGATTTTTTAAAGCGTTACTATCATTATTTTAAATTGGATAGAACTCAACATTGTTGAATTCTACTGTAGAGAAAGCAGTGAATATAAGTGAATCTTTAATGTAAATTTTCATTTTTTTATTTCCCACTGAGCTAAAATCACCTGATATCATTGTGTTAACACTCGCTTTCAGATCGACTAGAGTCGGAATCATCGAAAATGCTTCAGATATAAGTTATAAATTAAAATCCAAAACTGCACTAGATAAATAAGTGGCATCAACACTGGAACCTACAAATATAATTTAGAACACTATTTATTCGACTCCCTCTTCAGCAAACTTTACATAATTTTGACTAAATTGTAAAGCTTCTCTTAGATTTAACTGTTAATGGGCCATCTCTTGAGAAGACAGATAAGGTAGAGAATAAGCATTATATCCTGTAAATTTAGTTTGAGGGTTATACGAAGATATATCTTAATTTAAGTTAATAGTAGTATCAAAATAATAAGGAATAATAACTCTATTTTTTTAAAAATAATTTTTTTAAAATCATAAACTTGAAATGTGCTAAATAAATTAAATATAAAAGGAATTTAAATTGTGAAATTAATTCTAATTCTAATTAATCCTAAGATTTTGATTTAGGGGAAAAAAAATACTACTATAGTTCCTCTTTTAAAGATAACTAATGTTTTTTGTGTTAAAAAGAGTGATTTTTTAAATTTGCAGAAATTATAAATTCTAAAATTTTTAATTTTGGGGATAATTTAAAAATAAATACAATAATCAAATTTTACTATTTCTTGCATCCTGCACTTGTTTAGCAAACTTAACATTTTTGATTATAAGAATTGAAAAACATATATCTATTTGCATAGTAAGTCACAGTGGATCCTACATCACTACTAATGGTTCTACATTAATTTGCTTTTGTCCATCTAACTATATTTCCAAACTAAGCTGAATTTGCGTAGTAAGGGTTTTTTACCTATTATTCAGGACCTTTTATTTCAATGCAATTTTATTCATAATCTGAACACTAAATATTAATAATTTGTATAAATAATAAAAATATTAATTAATATTTAAATCTATTTTACCAAAGTGCAACCTATTTTAGACAAAGTCTATGATCTTTTCACTGATAATCCACTTGTAATTTATAAATTGCTTAAATTACACTTATAACAGTTTGGTAAACCAAATTTTGGAGTACAACCATCACAAGTTGATAAACAACCATAGCATTATCCTTTTTTTATTTATTTAAATAATTTGAATTACAAAAAGCTAAAATTTGAATTTTTACCAGTCCATGGATCTTATAAATTAGGTGAATTACAATTTAAACACCATAGAGTATCTTAGAGTTGAAGTGTTTATTCGTAAGAACTAAATTAATCTTTTTGGAAGTAATAATAATTATAATAAGTAGTTTGGAAAATTATTTATACTGCTTGTAAGATATGGACGCTAAAATTATAAATAATCAATCAAGTTGAATCTCCAATTCCATTAAGTACACTAAGAACAAACTCCAGTACTATCACAATTTGAACATGAATTTGTGTTGTAGTTTGGATATCCTTAAGAAGATGTACTAGGCCCTCCATATTAATCGCAACTTAAGCAATAAGTAACAGTCTATTACCCACTTGTGGCAGTGTAATATTACCCACAGTTTGAGACTATCATTTATTAAGAAATAGTTAGAAACAAAAATAGATATTAATAATAGAAACTTACAAGTTGAACCATTGTAGGTGTTACAATTACCATTATTTGAGACATAACCATCATTACAAATTAAGCACTATCCTTTGACTGATGATATACATTAACTAGGAATATTTTAATCACCTATTAATTAAAAATTAACATGAAATTTTCATTACAAAAATAAACTAAAAGCTATAAAATTTACATGTCCCATCACTTTTTCTGTTATATCCCTTATTGCAAACAGCGCAAAAAACAGTATTTCCGTTGTAGCTATTTTAAGGAAGGATTTGAGAGTCTTGCACACTGAAATTATTTACATTAAGTGTATAATATGTTTCAGAACTTCCATTTGTTCCATATACGCATTTCTAACAATTTTAAATGTTACAAACTTCACAAGTTCCATGAGGATTTAAAACATAACCACTTGCACATACTCTACACCTCTATTAATAAGAACTTTGTTGATTTGTAGGAATAATTCTAGGATTTAAAGAGTGAATTTCTTATCCATTTTGTGTTGTGCTAAAATCGCACCTTAAGCAATTGTTAGAGCAGCTTAGGCATGACTTTAAATCGAGAGATGGTATCATTTAAACATTTATTTATATAGTTTTAATAGTGGAACCTCCGGCTCTTTTGAATAATTTATTAATTTTTTTAATTTATCAACAATAATACTAATAAATACTGATTGCTTTGGGTTTTTGCACATTTTGAACATCGAAGGTATGTATTAGCAGGTAAAGGCTATCCTACAAAATTTTAAGGATCTTGAGAATAGTTTCTACCTGAATCATCTCCATAGTAACACTACTAACAATCAGGTATAACTGTTGAACATTAGATACAAATTCCATTTTAATTAAGTGCGTATCCATCCATACAAACCATACAAATTGGTGAATTGTTAACTTTTTTACATCTATAATTTAATTAGATAATGTAATTTAAATTTTTTAGGTGAAATTTTAATCGTATTAAAAATTTTAAATAAATTTCTTAATATAAAGGGAAATCTTAATCAATAAATAATAGATAATTTGTTTTTTTGTAATTCGCAGTATTAGCTGAAATATTGATTTAGTTTTGAAAAATTTGTGTTAATTTGAATAAAGTAAATTTAAAATGACCTTTAAAAAATTATAAAAATTGTTATTATGGTAAAGGTAATATTTTTATTTGCATTATAAAAATTTAAAATTAATTTAGATGATTACTTTTAGCATGTTAGATCAGCACTGCATTTATTGTTACAGCTATTTTTATCCCAAAAATAACCCTATCTACAAATCACTGCAGCTTGGATTGAATCATTCGTTGAGGGAGATATATACTGATTGCAACCTTACTAAAGAATGTTATTTCCGCAAAAAGAAAGGCAACCTAAGCATTCTTAAACAGTGGATGTATAAGAAGAACCTTATTATTAGACAGAAACAAGAAAAAGTTAAATTGTATCTAAAGAAACTCTCATAATAACTTCAGAACTCATATCTCTTTAAGCTGCCGTATTGGCATTTATTGTATATTAGTATGTGCATTATCTACTTTAAGCCCTTTAAAATAAAAGAAAATTTTGAATGTAGCTATATATATATTTTTGATTAATTTTATTAAGTAGAAATAACTTTAAATACAAAATATCAATCTAATGTCTTACCACAATGAAGGATTATCTACACAATCACCACAAGGAATGTAAGAAAGTGTAGCTTAAGAGTAATTTGGGCTTTTATTTTATATAAAATATTCTTTTATTTTTATTATTAGTAAGTTATTTCTATTTTACCATTGTACGCAAATGTATTAAATTGATGTATATCCTTAATCTGGATCAAAAGTTTATGGTATTTGATATAAAAAATAACCAAGTTAACATCTTGTGCATGAAGCTGTTCCTCCAGGGTTATTTGGACACTCTGTACAGTATTGGATGTTACAATTAAAAGCTGTTTCTGTTATTTGTGATAACCTATTTAAATTAAATAAGAATATTTATTAAACGATAGACTAACTGTTAACGATTATATAAAGTATTAAATAAACTACTAGCTGGCAGTAAAATCTCCTATTGTAAGCTTAAAAAAAAGCAGTAGAATGGAAATACCTCTGAAAATATTTTTCATATTTTCAAAATAAGCAAATTAAGGCTAAGAATTTTTAAAATTAATTCTAAATATTAAAATATGGATTGATAAAGATGAGTTAAATTATGAGTTATAGATTGTTAATTTTTAAATCTAATCTTATTGATTGCTTTTATTCTTATTTTTTTTGATTTTACTGATTTTTGTTTTCTTTTTGTATTTATTTTTTAAGAGAAGAGCAGCTATTTATCAACAAGTAATTCGTTTAATTAAATTAGTTTATTGGTTTTCTATAAAATAAAGCTAGTAACTTATCAATAAAAAAGCAACTTTTTAAAAGAAAATTTGACGTTTGTCGTTTAGTAAATTTTTATTTGCTTTTTTGATTAACAACTTCTTAAAAACTGATTAAATTAATGAGTTAGGTAAATAGTTTGTTTTTTCGTAGTTTTTATGTAAGACTTCATTTTGAAGAACATATTTTAAAAATGAATTCTTATTGCATATTTATTGATTTCTCCCATCTTTATTATCAAATTTTATTTAAAATTTATTATAAATAAATATTTATTAGCATTCATTGAATTTTTATTAATCAAGAGTCTAAGCTATTAAATTTTAATACTTAAAATAGATAAATTAAGAAAAACATATATAAGTTGGTTATAAAAATATTTAATATTAATTTGGAAATATTTCCTAACAAAAACATAAATTCTAAGTAAGTTTACTTCTTTATTATGAAATTGATTTTAAACTTTTTCCAACGTATTTAAAAATAATCCAAACAGAAATTAAAAGTGATAAATAACTGTAAAATAAATTAAAATTTTATAAAGAGCTAGCTGACTTATTTTTCTTTTTAATTTAAAATATAAATTTTCTAGTAAAAACAGCATTTAAGCCTTTGAGGAAAACAAAATTTAATTTTATATATTTTTGTTTTTTTATTTATTTTTTTAAAATTTAACTCATAATTTAAGTAATCTGTTAATATATTATTAATACCTAGAGTCTTATTTAATGTACTTCACTAAAAAACATTCAAGAAAGTTATTAGTTGTAATCCTTTTATATTATTGAATGAAAAAAATTATATTAAATTAAAGAAGTTAGTTATATTATATTTAATAAATCAGGTAAAAAATGAATTGTTTTTTACATTAAGGTTGTCAAAAAATAAATAATAAATTTTAATGTATTACTTTTATTTATTTAAAATAAAATATGGGTAGGGTAGGGTAGGCGATCTTAATTTATTAGGATTGATAATAAAAAGAAAAACTTATAAGCTGAAAAAAAAATCAAATGGAGTATATATGTTATATATTTGAAGATGGGAATTTAAATAAACTGAAGTTAAAAAGAGATGAAAATTGATTCCTAATTTTAGATAATATATTAAAAACTTATAATTAAATAGAGTTAATTAACAAAAAAAGGCATACAAAATATTCAATAAATAAGTTTTCACACAAAAAAAATAAAAATAACTATTAAATGTAAAAATCTAAAAAAATAACTGATAAGAATAATAAAGCTATTTTATAATAAACTTATTATAATGTCTTCAACTCATTCTATTTATTATTAATTTGGAACATTTTCTATAATTAAATTATTTTGTTGATTTTTCTAATCTGATTTAATACTTTAATTCTTATCTAATTCGTTTTCTAGATTAAAGTCATCTTGAATATCTAAAAAACTATTTTATTTGCTCATTTTACCTTATTTATTCTAAGATATCATTATCTGAAGAGGTTAGACCTTTATATTACCTTTTAAATCTTAAAAAATAAATTTATTTATATTAAAAATATCATTAATTTTGTGTTAGTAATAGGTTATATCTCAAGATAAATAGTTTTTAAATAAAATTGAAATCTTTACTGGTTATACTTGTCAGTAAAGGTGTTGGAGAATCGTATTTTTACTTAAATCTTTCAACAGAAAATATTGAATTATACCTAAATAAAAATAATTTAAAATATGTAATTTATTAAATTTAAAAATTACGACTATTCATCAGAAATCTATTTTGCTATTTTTTTATTATCTGGAGTATTTTAAATATCAAGAAATTTAGCTTAAGAATTTTTCTTTCTCGCTTAAACCCATAATTTATATCTCTTATTTATGACTCGCCATAATTATTGAACTCTTTAAGTGCTTACATATTTCTTTATCTAGAAAAAAATTTAATTTATAAAACTTAAATAATTAATTAATTATTTACCTTTCCTTGCAAAAAATGTTAAATTTTAGGAAAACAGGATAACTTTTTAACTATCTTATCAAAATTATTATAGAATAATTTATCTATAATAGATGCAAATCCTTTAAATAAGTTTCTCAAAATTATAAGTAAGAAATAAATATTAAAAAACCCTAAGAAGAAATATCCCAAGTAAACTAAATAACCAAAATTATTGTTGTTTATGAAAACACCAATAATTATGCTCAAAGCACAAATCTCATTAGCTAATTAATCCAAACGATTCAATTAGATATCATGGTATGGTTTAAAGGTGTAACTCAAAATTAGATAAATAATTATGCACATAAACGATAAAACTCCTTTTACCTTAACATCACTTTCATATATATTCACAAAAATAATAATCATCACTTTCTCAAACATTTTAACAAATTCCCACAAATAGGCTTTTGGTTAATACTCCTGATAAAGATATCCAAATGCGTACTTTAAACTTGATTTATAGTAAATCTATTTGATAGAATAATTTAAAATTACTTTTAATCATTAAATCATTTTTACCTAATCGCGATTGACATAAAGCTTTGTAAAAAAAAGCATAGGAATTACAAAAACCCAAATAAGTAAAATAGGAAGAATAAGCTTTATCAAATAGTTAATATGTTCAGGGGTATAGTATTCAAGACTTACATTTGCTTTTACATACTCTGTATCTCCAATAGTTCTACAAGAAGAAGTAGCTATATAAGCAGACACGATAGATGGCTAGAAAGTAATAAACAAAAAGATAAAAGTACACCAAATGTAACTTAAATTTTTTTTTACTTCTTATAATTTTTTTATTATTATCAAATAAAATGAATAAAATAAGAAAAAGACCAAAGCAAGTCCTAAGTAAAGCAAAGGGTTTACAAGCATCCACAATAAAGAAAAGTATGTTATGGGAATATTTCCTGAAAAATCAACTAAAAAGCAATTAATTGACATTCCCATTTACTTTGAAGGATTACCAACCGTGTTAGTAATATTTGATAAAGTTGCAGGTGTATTAAGCTTAAACGTAAATAGAACTGATATAATCTATAAATTATTTTTTTTAGCTATTAATTTTTTAAAGTATTAAATTTTACCTAAAAGTAACTTGTCAAAATTTTGATCAATACACTCGTTAAGTTTGATTTTTCTGTTGATTTCCCAGCTGAAATAGTTCCTAGCAAAATAAAAATATTTCTCATGGTATTGTGTTATACTAATTATATAGATGACGAAGCAGAAAGATAGATACTTATTATTGTCCAAAGAGATATAGCTACAATTTTTATTACATTATCAGATATTTGAGAGCATTTTCCACAAGTAAAATCCGATGAATGTGAGTATCTTTCACCCCACACTTTACCATCAATATCACATTCTTCGCAAAGTGCTCCTTTTAATATTATTTAAAAAAAAATATATTTATTCTCAACCTACACAATATATTTTGCAGATTAAATTATTTCAGTTCATACATTTTTAACTAAAAGAATAATAATAATATACCGATATGCCCTTCATAACACATCTTGCTTGTACTTCCACCCAAGCAATTACTTTCCAAATTGTTACACTAAATAATAATATCGCTGCTTGTATTTTTCCTCCAATAACCTGCAGATATCACCATATTATTGTAGCCTTCACATTTATCTACTCCTATTTTTGGGCAAGCTAAGCAACTATCAGCTCCTTATACTAGAGAATATTTGCCTGCTGGACATGCATAGCATTGACCTGAAGATGATTGATATACTTCTCCAACTGCACCTAATGTATTCATTAAATTTAAATTAATTCATATAGAAATAATTATTTTTTTACAGTCTCTCATGCTTATGATAAGAGGGAAAAAATATGTTGTGTCATATGAATTAGAATTAGCATTTTAAGATGGATTTTTTATTGCATCACAGGATATTTTTACATTTAGAGAATTCGGTGGTTATATAATAAAGTTAATTCCAGTAATATTAAAACCTTTTACAATATTGCTAAACTAAACTCTGGTAGAACCAATTAGCTAAGCTGTGTTTGGTATCGATTACCCATTATAATTTAACGATACTGTACAATAAGTGTTTTCTGCGTAAAATATCTTGCCATCACTTCCAAGCAGTTATATTACAAAACTACCTGGATTTTAACCACTCCCATAATTTTTAATTGTTATAACTGGTGTTTATGTACTATCTTTATATTTTAGTATGCAACCATTATAAATAAGTTGGATTGACCTAGGATAATCGGCATTATTTGTTCCATAAATCAAGGCTTAATTATTAGTACTAACAATATTTGAGCTTGGATCAAAATATGCTGGAACTCCTTACATTTAATAAGCACCTTTTTATTTTACCAAAAAAATTAATTATTAATTTTTTTAAATTTAAAAAAAAAAATTATTTTAAGATATTACCTCCAATTCTTGCAATATTATTAGTAAAAGTAGCTCCATAAAACATTAACTAAGAACTTTGATCATTGGTATCCCCATAGAAGTAAATTGCTCCTCCAAAATTCTAAGCTAAGTTGTTGCTAAAAGTACAAGATTAGATTTTCAAATCCGAATTAAGGCTATTTATCGCCGTCCCATTTACACCTTTATTAAAACTAAATGAAGCTCCTATTATTTGAACAGTAGGATTACTAATTGCAGAAAGAACTCTTGTATTAGAAGATACATAGCTTTATTTTTCAATATAAATAACTCCAAAAGTGCTATAATTATTTGTAAAAATACCTCCTATAATTTTTAAAGTACCTGTAGGTAGAATAAATGACAAAAGTCCTGTGTTAGTTAATAAAATATTATTAGTGAAAACTAAATTTGTATATGTTATAGCAGCAACTGAGTTTTCTGTTAATATTAAAGCGTTAGCAGTATTCTTAAATAATGAAATAAAATGGCTTTTATTAGGATTGCATAATTGTTATGGACATACCTATATTCCTGTTATAGTTGTTGAAGTAAATTAGACAGAAATTTATGGTGTATCAAAATAAATTAACGGATAGCTTACCATTAAAAACCCATTTATTTGTGAAGAATTATCACTAAATTAATTGATTTATGATAAAATCATCAAACTTTAATACTTTATACCAAAGAAAATGTTTTAATTCATAGTCAATGTGCCTTTTTTCATAAATATAAAAGAATGCTACTACCAAGCTTACTCTAAAAGTGAATCTTTTACTGATTGATAATTAGTATAAATTCCTGCAATTTGTTAGTCAATTAATCCTTAATCATCCCAAATAAATTAATTATTATTTAAAACTATGCTACTAGCTGAGTTAGTGGTTGACCAAAATAGTAATGAACCTTATGGTGCATATATATTTGATAAAGTTGATGACTGTATAGTCAAACTAGTAATTCTTGATCCTGACTCCATGTATACAATTCCACCCATAGTTCTAGCAAATACACCTGCAAAAGTGCAGGTATCGATCAATAAGTTGAATTGTGAAGATCTTGCATCTGCATAAATGGCCCCTCCTTAACCATCTGATTAAGATAAGTAAGGAGTATATACATGCGAGAATACAGAATTTTGTATTATAGCATTCGTTTACTATAGACCATTTAAGAAAATTGCTCCTCCTAAATTAAAATAGTTAATTTTACACTTTTTAAATAATAATAAATAATAATTGCAAAAAAGAATACCTTAATTAGCATAAATTGTTTTGAAGTTGCAATTTATAATCTTTATTGAAGAGGCACTTAAATATAAAGCACCACCAGAAGATTAGGAAAATTAATTTGAATCAGCCACATTTGAGTTTTAGAATAGAGAATTTTAAATCGTAACACTCTGGCTTTATATATAAACTGAATTCTATGTTTTATAGCTGATTGTTGACTGAAATGTGGAATAATCAACTAAAATAGTAGAAGAAACAGAATCTAAATAAATCCCTGAAGCAGAAGAAAAAGTCATAGTTATTATTGAGTTAAGAGGAATAAGATAAGATCCATTAATTTAAATATTTGATATTTATATTTAAAATTAAAAGTTGCTAATAAATTAAATTGGGGCGACTTAGATATTAGGGTCTGTTAATAAAATTATTGAGTTTGTTATTGTAAAATCTTGGATATTGACAGGGGAATAAGTTTAACTATTTAATTTAATTTCAGATGGGCAATTTATGTAAAAAGGAGATTAATCTAGTCCGATGTAATTTTAAAGATATAATTTTTTTAACACGATACTTTCTTAGCAGTAGGAGAGATTCATGCAAAACCCCTAAACAATTTAAGTTGATATTATATTATTTAAAGAAAAATTATCTATCCAACTTAAAGCAGTAGAAAAATTATTACTGGAAACTTCTCCACAAACAAAGTTATTAATAACAAGATTAGAAGGATTATAAATTGTTATTCCATCAAAATTAAAATTTGAAAATAACTTTAAATTACTTATTGAAACAGAATTGACTTACTTTATAGATACTAGATAGCTATGGCTCTCTGTGTTAAAATTGTTAGAAGATTTAATGTTTTATATGGTAATATCTTAGAATTAAACATTTAAAAGATAATCATAGTTATTATAAGGAGCTGATAAACTAAATATGCAGTCCGAAACTTAAATTTAATCTGTCTTTTATGATAAATTGCAATATACCTATTTTATAAAATAGAAAAATATTTCCATGTCTAATTAAATAAATTAAATTAAATTAAAATATAAATAATAAATAAATAATGATAGTAAAAATAATTACTCCATCTACAACGATGTTTGAGTATATGTGATTTATTTATTAGTTATACAAAACATTCAAGCTATAGGGAGGGGTCTTGAATAGCGATGCTTTATTCAGTACTAGTTTAAAGGGTTGTGGAGGATTTTAAGTGTTATCAGTAACAGTTACTACTTAAAAATTATTTAAATTAATCAAATTGGTTTAAAATGCAGCTGTAATCTCTTATGAAGAGGTCATATAAAAAGGAGTTTTAATAGTCCAAATTTAAGCTTAAAATCTGATAGCGTTTAAGACATTAATTAGGAATGAATCGATTAAATTAATATTTTCAAAAGTTATTTATTGTAAATTTAACTAATTTAAATAAAGCTAAAGTTAAATGATAATTTCATTAATAAGTATTTTACCATAATATTTGAGGAAGTTAAGTTAGATGATTCAGAAACAAAATTACTTGAAGTAAGGCTAAGCTATTTCAGATAAACTTAGTTAAAATTAAATTGGGTGTTTGTATTATTAGCAGCAAAGATGTTAACATAACTAAAAGATAAATCAAAAAAGTTAGAATTTTAGAAATTAAAATTTATAGCATTATTTTAATTCCCTGGAAAGTACCAATTGATTCCAGTTGGATAATAAAATTAATTTAGAGTGAAATTATTTAAGTCTAATTCCTACAAATTAGGAGTTGTTAATAAAAAATAACTGCTAATACCTGAAGAAATAAAATTAGTTTATTATTACTAAATTGTTTGTTGAGTAGTAATTTAGCAATTATTAAATTAGACAGTTATTGGTAATAATGTATTTGTTAAAGAAATTCCAAAGATATTTATACTTTAAAATTGATTTAAATCAGAGGTAGGAGATAAATTTATATTATTGATTGATACATTAGAAAATGAATCAATTTAAATGATACTTGAAAGATATAGTGGTAAAGTATAAACTCCAATTGAGCTATATACACCCTATTTCATAGTCGTAAGAGTCAAGGTTACTTTATTCAAAGAAGGGATCATTTAAAAAGCATTTTAAGTGATTGCTAATTAAAATCCTAAGCTTACTGCATTCAATAAATTTGGGTTTGTAGAAATTGTACTAACAATAATGAACTAAAACTAGATTTCATCTACTCCTTCATCTGCATACTTTAGATAATTCAATGATACTCCATCAAACATGCTACTTAATACACTTCCTAAGTTGATAACTTTACTGTTTCCTTCAGTATTTATTTAAGATAATAAATAAACTTGACTATTAAAAACAATATTGTTAGGAAGTGATCCTAAATTGGATGAATATTAACTCCATAAAACAGTATCACTCATAGTTGAAGTAGTAGCCACAGTATCAAAAAATGTCTGAATTACCACTCTATTAATAAAGAATTGATTTAATAAAATAATAAAAATAATAATAAAATTGATGATTACTTTTTTCTGCATGCTACTCCTGCTGAGTTACAAATCAAACATTTTTGTAATTATGAATTAAATACTACATTATTTACATTTTAGCATTAATTTGCCATTGTCCATAATACAGTACCAATGTAGTTACTGTTTTGAGACAAGAAAGGGTTTTTCGCTATTTTATCAGTATCACTGATTGAAAGGCAGCTATTTTAGTAATCAGAACACTTTTATATAAAATTATTTAATATTTAAATTTATTATTCTTTTTTATACATAAACTGTTCCTGTTCTATCAGCGGATTAAGAAGTACTCCGAGTATTCCCTCTGTAATTTGTTTACGCAGTTAAGGCACTGTTTAAACAAAATGCTCCAAACTAATCAAATAAGCATGTAGTAGGTGATATTTAACAAGAAGTCTAAGAACAAGAGTTGCATTTACCTAAAAAGTAAAATTATTTAATTTTAATATCTGTTTAACTAATTTACCAGTCAATGGATTAATCTTTCCGCTCCCTCCACAAGTTTTACACCATAAAGTAGGTTATAGCTTAAATGTTTACTTGTAAAATTACTATTAATCTTTTTTAAAAGTAAATAATAGCTTAGATTTAAAATAATAATCATACCTTCACTTATCTGAGGGAAGAGTAGCATCTTGACATCATCAAAAAAGAATCTTGTATTAAACTCAGTGCATAAAAAACAGTTTTAATCACAGTTCTGGCAAGATCTTTACTAATAGTCTGGATATTAACCTGTACTGCCAGGTTAACAAGTTAAACAGTTATATTATGAACCATCATAATAAAAAGAACCACAATTGTTAATATTAGAAAATTTTTATGCTATTTAAAAATTAAGAGATTAAGCTTAATTGATTTTATTTAAGTGATTTACTTGGTGGTGATTAAGGATTAATCGTTACACACTATTTTTGTGCATTAAGATATGATCCTTATTTGCATGCAATACAATTTAAATTAGAATAATTTTAGCAATTATCAGTAGGAGGAACAGGAACACTACATACGTAAGGTTTTTAAGTACTTCCTTTGAAACCAGGTACACAAATAGCACAATATTTAACATAGCTTGCAGGGTAAGGCTACTGTAATATAGATTAATCTATGAATAGTACTTAGTTACCTTATATTTATACATTTAAAGTTGGGTACTTAATAGATTGATTTGAGCTAGTGTAATCCCCTTAAACTGGTACCATACAATTAGCATGTGCTATTGGGTCAAAAGGAGAACAAGTAAATGAAGGGTTAACATAATATCCATCTATACACCTTCTGCATCTTAATGAATAATTACCTTATTGGGATGATGTAATTACTTATGGTTACTCACTATGAATATACTAAGACTAATTCTTAGCATAATCACATTTTATACAATTTGATATTAAAACTGAGCATTATAAGCATTAAGTCATATCAAGAGAAGGAATAGCCATTTGTGTAATATCTGGAATTGTAATAGTTTATCCACCAAGTCTTTTTAAAAATTAATTTTTTGGGATTTAAATAAATGAATAAATAAATAAATTATTTTTGATTTTTCAATACTTCCAGCAAAAATTGAATTAGACATAAAATTTTAATTTATACTAAATAAATTTACGTTTATTGCTGATAAACAGTACAAACTTTGCATCTCAAACTTAAAACAACATTAGGGTTTACAGTATATTAAGAAGGATTATCTGAGTAATCATTTCCACTAGAATCTCCATAAAAACAAGATGAGCAGTTTGGTATCGCTTACTAACATGAATCACAAGAGGATAATTTGTTTAAGGCATAGCCTGAAGCACATTGGGTGCATTTACTAGAGTTTTAGCATCTTTATTTAATTTTTGAATAAAATAAATTTGTAAAGAATAATATTTTACTTGCTACAAGATAAATTAGCAGAACATATCTTGCACTGATTTTACTAGAAGTAATAACCTTATTAGCATGTGAATGCAGTTTAAAGAATTTCTTAGCTAGGGATAGTTGATTTATTACATCCATTTAATGATGTTTGATTTCCACAAAACTATTAACATCCCACGCATTCTTAAATTTAGTATGAATTCTAAACATTTTTAATGAAAAAAAGCTTTTTAACTGGCGAAGGTAATTTAGAATATATATTGTAGTATGTTTTAGAATTATCTTTCATTCCATATGAATATGAACAAGTTCTACTATTTTACCTTTAAAAATATAATTTTTTTGTAAATTTTTAATTTCTAAATGTAATTATTTTATTACCAGGTATTAGGATTATCAAGACAATCTCCACACTAAATAAAATTCTATAAAGGCATCTGATAGTATGGGCTATATATCATCCAAAGTATAAATTTTATATTGCTTTTTAATCAAGAAAAAAAAAATCATTATTACCATTAAACACAATAATTTTTGCTGCTTTATAAGCCACCATTTTAAGGATCAAAACTAACAGAGGCAGAATATAAGAAATATCCTAGTTAGCAATGAGTACAAGAACCTTCACTAGTGCAAGCTACACAGTTGCTACCTTAAACAGTACAAGTTAAATCAAGAGTTTAAATGCTTTAATATAATAGTAGTTTTTAATTGTTATTTTAAAGTAATAAATATTATTTGAATTAAATATAATAGCAATCAAATACTCGCTAAATGAAACAGATACCCCATATAACTTCCTAATTAAAGCAAGTATCAGCAGCATTTCAAGAATTAAAACTCTTTTATTAAATGAATTACTCATTTTTATATTTGCTTTTTAATAGATAAATTATTATTTAGAATAATATATAATTATTTATTAATCACGAACAGTAATTATAAAAAAATAATACATAAGTAAAAAAAATATATATTATTAGATTTTTTAATTAAAATTTATATAAATGGTTAACATAATTTTATTATAATTTTAAGCTGATTTTTTCAAGTTATTTTTTATTACTTGTGATTATAAACAATTTAAATTTTACTTTAAAAGAATTTGGTAATATTGAAATCGATGTAAAGTTGGAATATTTTTTCCCTTTTTCAAAATAAATACAATTTATAGCTTCAATTTTGATATATCATGTTAAGTAAATTTAATTTTTGTCAATTTTTATCTATTTTAAAAATCAAATTATACGTTAAGAAAAACAATAAGTTAGCAATGTTAAGATAAATCAAATAAGAGCAACCAGCTTAATTTTATCGAATTACAAATAAAGTAAAACCAAACAGTAATTAAATGAACTTTTATTAATCTAATTTTTTTGTTTGTTATTTATTATTTCCAATTTCGTTCAATTAAAAATAATATTTAATTATTTATTAATTTCATTTATTTCTATCTAAAAATCAGTAATACGTTAATGATATAATAATTTAAAAAAATTAACTAAATTAATAACTTAAAGAAAGTTAAGCTAGCCAAAGTCATCTTTTTATATAAAACAGTATAATAAACATCCATTTTTGATTGAATTTTGAAATATAAAATAACTAAAAATAAAAAATAAAATATTTTGTTATTTTTTTGTTTTTTAATTTGTTTTGTATTTTGTTAAGATTATTTAATATTTTCTTAAGTCAATAAAGGTTTAATCACAAAAAAAAATGATTCAGAAATTTTAAATTTACATAAAATTAATAGAAAAAAAATATATTAGATACTTTAATTAAAATATCTGTAATTTATAATATAAATTTTCATGAATAGTAAATGCTATTTTAAAAACATAAAATTAAATAATTTAAAATTATTTTACAAAATATGAAAATAAGAATTAATCAATAAAAAATTAGTTTTATACCACAACAAAAATATTTAAATCATTCAATTATATAAATTCTTATATATTATTTTATTAAAGTGTTTCATTCTTTTTGAATGAAATGATCTTCCTATTAGTTATCTTCTTAGTGTGAAGTAGGTTATTTAGGTTCATTTCCTAAATTATAATCATCATTTTCAAATATTTGTTCAAAAGTACTTGGTTTTCTTAATTATTCGTTATTTTTTCTAATTATAACTTATAGTGGGGAGATAACTTTTGATGCTCCTTAATTTAATTTATAAGAATATTAATATTAAAAAATGAAAATATATAGTTTAATAAGTACTTATAGAGTCAACAAGTAGAGGAGTTGGAGATTCATATTTTTATTTTGGTTATTCACCTGCAGAAAAGCCAGATTATGAACTATTTTTTAAATAAATAATGTTAAAATAATTAAAAAACAAATTATTTTATTACTGTAAACCTTCTATGATTAATTTTTATTAAGGAAGACCTTTTACATAAATATTATGATTCGCAATAAATTAAGCATTTAAATCATTTTCTCTTTCTTTGACCCACAATTTAAATCTTTTATTAATAATCTTCCATAATCCTTAAACTCTCTAAGGACTGACATATTTTTTGATCTATTTGATTTAAAAGCTAGTTAATAAATTAAATTTAATTAATTATAAAATTTACTTTTCGTTATAAGAATGCTTATATCTTAGGGAAGCTAGATAATTTTTTTATTATTTTGTCAAAATTTTCATAAAATTTCTTATCTATTATCTATGCAAACCCTTTAAAAAGATTTCTGAAAATGACAACTAAAAAGTAAGTATTGAATCCTATTAATAAGATATATCCCAAGTAAACTAGATAACTATAGCTATTGTTATTTATAAAAACACCAATGATTATGCTTATTGAGCAAACCTCATTTGCTAACTGATCTAAGCGATTTAAAACGATATCATGATATGGTTTAAATGTATAGCTCAAAATTAAGTATATAATTATACACATAAACGATAAAACTCCTTTAACTTTAACATCACTATCATAAATGTTTATGAAAATAATTATCATAATTTTTTCAAACATTTTAACAAATTCCCATAGGTATGCTCTAGGATTATACTCTTAGTAAAGATAACCAAAAGCATATTTTAAGCTTGAACTTTTATAAATCTATTTTTAATATTAATTAGTATTAGCCAAATAAAAATTAACAAAAAAATTCTTTAATTTAGATAAAATAATTCTCAAAAATAATAATATAAAAAATTAAATAATAGAATTTGTTTTTACAGATTGGCGATTATAGTATAATTTAACAAAGAAAAACAATGGGATTATAAAGACCCATAGAGTTAAAACAGGTAAGATAAGCTTAAGCAGATAACTGATATGCTATGATGAATAACATTCAAGAGAAACATTGGCCTTAATATAATCTGTATCCCCAATAGTCCTACAGGAAGCTGTTGAAATGTAAGCAGATACAATCGAAGGTTGGAATGTAATAAATAAAAATATACAAGTGCACCAAATATAACTGACACTTTTATTAGCCTCTGAAATTTTTTTTTTAAAAAACATAACTGTGGCATAAATTAAAAAGATGAACACGCTTAAGCCAATATAAAGGAGTGGATTAACAAGCATCCAAATCAAAGAAAAATAAGTTATTGGTACATTTCCAGAGAATGTAATTAAGAAACAATCCATAGACATACCCATTTACTTAGAGGGATTTCCAACTGTGTTAGTAATATTTGAAAAGGCTGCTGGTGTATTCAAATTAAAAGTAAACAGTACAGAAATAATCTATATTAAGTTAAAATATTTATTTATTTATTAAATTTTTCTTAATTTTCAAAGTGTTTTTACCTAGAAATAGCTTGTTAAAATTTTTATTAAAACACTAGTTTAATTAGATTTTTCAGTTGATTTACCCGCAGATATAGCTCCAAGTAGAATAAAAATATTACGTGTTATGTTGTATTATACCAATTCTTTTGATGAAGAAACTGAAAGATAGATGCTGAATAAAGTCCATAAAGAAATTGCTACAATCTTTAAAACATTTCCGGATATCTCAGAGCACAAACCACAAGTATATTCAGAAGAATGAGACCAACTTTTCCCCCATACAGTACCATCAATATCGCATTCCTCACATAGAGCTCCTAAATTTTATTTCAAATAAAGTTAATTTAGAAAATCTTCAAAAAAAAACTTCAAATTTTTAATATTTTTTATTTAATATTTAAAATACTGCTAACCCTCTAAATGTTAGCTCAAACCCTTTAAATAATTATATAAAGGAAGACAAAATTTAAATAATTAAACATCGCTCGTTCCCTCGAAATATCCAAAGTATTCAAAAATGAGGAAATACAATAGTATTCTTTAATGAAATGATTAAGCTTTATGAATTTCATTTTTTAAAAGTAAAAAAAAATAAACACTAAATTCATTAATCAATTAGCTAGAACATTTAATAATATTAATAATTCAGATGAAAATGCTTAATTTAGTTGGTTTAAATATTAAAAAGAAAAATTCAGATAAAATTTACCGATATGTCCTTCATAACATGTCTAATTAGAGCTTCCACCTACACAATTGCTTTACAAATTAGAGCATTAAACTATGATATCACTACTTGTATTCTTTCTCCAATAACCAGCTGAAATAATCATATTATTGTAGCCTTCGCATTTATCAACACCGACTTTTGGACAAGTAAGACAAGATTCTGCTCCATATACCAGAGAGTACTTGCCTTCAGGACATGCATAGCATTAACCACTGGATGGTTGATATATCTCTCCAACAACACCTTATTATAAATATATAATTTTTAAAAATTCCAAAAATGTTTCTAATTTTTAATTACAATCTCTCATTGTTATAGTTAAGGGAAATGTGTAAGATGTATCATAAGAATTGGAACTAGAACTAGTAGATGGATTTTTAATTGCATCACAAGTTATCAATAGGTTTAGAGTATCAGGAGGTTTTAAAATAAAATTTATTCCAGTAATGTTAAAACCTTTTACTACATCACTAAAAATAGGTCTTGTTGTTCCTACTAACTATGCAGTACTAGGTTTAGTTGAGCTTACATAATTTAAAGCTACAGTGCAATATGTATTCTCTGCATAAAATATTTTACCATCACTACCAAGAAGCTGTATTACCATGCTACCAGGATTTTATCCACTACCGTAATTACTTATATTAATTACTGGCGTTTATTGACTATTTTTATATTTTAGGATATATCCGTTATAAATTAGTTAAAGAGATCTTGGGTAATCAGCATTATTCTTTCCATAGATTTAAGCTTAATTATTACTCATAACTAAAGGAGAGCTAGGATCCTCATATATAGGTACTCCTTACATATAATAGGCGCCTTTTTAAATATAATATATTAAAAGTTTTTTAAATAAATTTAATTTTACCACCAATTCTAGCTATGTTATTTAAGAAACTAGATCCATAAAACATTAATTAAGAACTTTGATCACTGATATCTCCAATAAAAAATATTGCTCCTCCATAATTCTAAGCAACGTTACCACTAAAAGTACATGCTTATATTTTTAGATCTGAATTAAGTGTATTGATTGCTGTCCCATTAACACCTTAATTGTTGATAAAAGAAGCCCCAATAATTTAAACAGTTGGGTCAGTTATAGGAGAAAGTATCCTTCTACTTGAAGAACTTTATTTTTGGATATTTATAACACCAAATTTGCTATAATTGTTAATAAATGTGCCTCCATTCACTAATAAACTGCCTTTACCAACAAGAGTAAAAGATAAAAGTCCTTAGTTTGTTTAGAGGATGTTATTAGAAAACATAATGTTATTATAATTTATTTATACTCCAGAGTTTTGTGTCAAAATCAAAGCACTGGGAGTGTTTTGAACTTAAGAGCAAAAAGAAAATTTTCCTTAGTCACACATCTTTGATGAACAAAGTATTACTCCGTTTATTGTTGTTGAAGTAAAAGAAATACTATATTAAGGAGTATCAAATAGGATTAATGGGTAAGTTACCATTTCATAACCATTGATTTCTGAAGAAGTGTCACTAAATTTACTTATTTCTGAGAGAATCATTAAACTTTAATATTTGATTCCAAAAAATAGGTTTGAATTCATAGTTAGAGAACCCTTTTACATGTAAATAAAAGAATGTTATAACCATGCTTATGTTAAAAGGAAATCTTTAGAATCTTAATAATAACTATAGATGCTTTATATTTGTTAGTCAATCTATCCTTAATCATCCCATAAAAAATTATTATTATTCAAGACAACTGTGCTAGCAGCGTTTGTTGTTATCCAGTAAATTAAAGAACCCTAAGGAGCATACATATTTGATAAAGAAGATGAGGTAATTATTACTGTGGATTATCTTGATCCTGATTCCATATATATAACTCCACCCATAGTTCTTGCAAAGATCCCAGAAAAAGTGCAGGTATCAACTGTTAAGTTAAATTAAGTTGACCTTGCATCTATGTAAATAGCACCTCCCTATCCATCTGATTTAGAAAGATAAGGTGTTTATATTGTTGAAAATATAGAATATTGAATGTAAGCGTTTGTTGTTGATAAACCATTTATGTATATTGCTCCTCCTAGATTATCAATTAGAAATAAATATTTAGATATTTTAACAAAAAAAAAATCAAAATGAATGATACCTTGATTTGCTTAGATATTTCTGAAGTTACAATTAATTACATTTATTTGAGAAGCACTCAAATATAAAGCACCTCCTTATGAAACTGAAGATTAAGCAGTGTCAGGTATGTTAGCTGATTAAAATAATGAATTTTGAATTGTAACGGTTTAACATAAGATATAAACACAATTTTAAGATTTGTAGCTAGTTGTTTATTAAAAGGTAGATTAATCAACTAAAATTGTTGAAGAAACAGAATTTAAGTAAATGCCTGCGGCAGATGGAAAGGTCATAGATATTATTGAGGTCAAAGGAATTAAATAAGAGCCATTAATTTAGATATTATTTATTTAAATGTAGAATTAATAATCGCTAGTGAACTGAATGGGAGCAACTTATTTGTTAGGGTTAGTGAGAAGAATAATTGAATTTGTGATCGTGAAATCTTAAATATTGACTGGAGCAACAGACTAGCTTGGTAGTTTGATTTCAGAAGGACAGTTTATATAAAAAGGAGATTTATCTTAACCGACATAATTTTAAAGATATAGCTTTTTAAGCACTATATTTTCTTGGCAGTAAAACAAATTCATGCAAAATCCTTGAATGAAATTTGAGGAATCCAAGTTACTCTAAGTAAAATTATCTATCCAACTTTGTGCATTTTAGAAATTTTTATTTTTATTCTCTCCACATAAAAAGTTGTTGATCACTAAGTTATTAGGATTGTAAATTGTCATACCATCAAAATTATAGTTAGAAAGGAAAAATATATTAGAAATTGAAACAGAATCCACTTCTTTAATAGACACCATCTGAGTTAAATTACTATCATGCTAATTTGAAGATTTTATATTTTAAATAGTTAATGTGTCTATGACAATATTTAAAAGATAACCATAATTATTATAGGGAGCTGCTAAGCTAAATATACAATCTGTGACTTATATTTAATCTGTCGTAGAAGATAAGTTGCAATAAGCCTAAAATTTTTATCAAATATATTGTTTATAAAATTTTTATTTTTTAAATAGTTTTAAATAAATATTTTTTCTTTTTTTCTTATAATTAGAAATATACACCTAAAATCAATCTTTCTAAAAATTATCAAATATACTGTTATTATTCTCATTCAAACACTACCATTTTCTAGAAAGTTTCCAAATTTAATGAACATTTTAAATACTTCATGGGAAAGGGTTTAATTTTTTAGTAGAGCTTATAGAAGAATTATAACAGTATATCTATGATTTATTTTATTGTTTTAACTCGAAAGGGATATAAAAAAATAAATAAATTTAAATACACCATCTATTGTCACCTATTAGTATATGTGATTGATTTACTGGCTGTACAAAACATTCAAGCTATATGGAGGAGTTCTAAACAAAGAGGCTTTATTTAAAGTAAGTTTATAAGATGCAGGAGGATTATGGGAGTTATCTTATTAAACTATTACGCTAAATGTGTTTAAAACAATTAAGTTTGATTAAAATGCTGCTGTTATCTCTGTTGAAGATGTCACTGTAAAGGGGGTTTTAATAGTCCATTAGTTAGCTATAAATCTGATAGCATTCATGATATTAATTATGAAAGAGTCAACCATTTAAATATTTTCAAATGTTATAGTTTACAAGCTTAGCTAATAATTATTATAAATCAAAAATTAAATATTTTAAATGAAATCATAAATATCATACAATAATGTTGGAGGAGGTTAAATTTGATGATTCACAAATAAAATTACTTGAGCTTAAAGTTATTTACTTTAAATAAACGTTATTCAATGTAAATTATGTATTCGTATTGTTAGCAGCAAACACATTTACATAACTAAAAGATAGTTGAAAGAAGTTCGAATTTTAAATGTTAAATAAAATAGCATTGTTTTATGTTCCAGGATAGTACCAGTTAATGCCTGTCGGATAGTAAAATTGCTAAAGAGTAAAATTATTTAAATCAAGTTCTTTCAAATTAGGAGCAGATAATAAAAAGTAGCTACTTACACCTTGAGTCACAAATTAGCTTTTCTGTGATTGAAGACTTTGTTAGGTTTAAATTTAGCAATTATTAAATGTGACCGTGATAGGAAGGAGAGCGTTTGTTAACTAAATTCCAAATATATTTGTTCCATAAAATGGGTTTAAATCTGATAATGGGGATAAATTAATATTATTGAGTTGAAGGGAGGTAAAGGAGTCTGCTATTATATAATCTTAAAGATAAATCTATAAAGTATTAACTCCAATAGAATTGTAATTTCCTTACTGCATAGTTGTAATTGTTAATTTTGCTTTTTGTAAAGAGGGAATCATTTAAAATGCATTCTAGGTAATTGTAAGAGTTAATCCTAAATTTACTGGATTTAATACTCCTGCATTTGCTGACATTGTGCTGACAATAATAAATTAAAATTCTATTTCCTCAACACCTTCATCAGAATATTTAAGATAATTTAAGGAGAGGTTATCGAAACTACCTCCTAAAGCTTTTCCTAAATTTATCACTTTACTATTTCCTTCAGTAACTAACTAAGTCAACAGATAAACATCTGTATTTATTACAACATTATTAGGTATAGTTCCTAAATTTGATGAATATGAGCTCCAGCTACTAGAGTCACTTTAGTTTGAGCTTGTTGCAATTGTGTCAAAGAAAGTTTAAATTGTTACTCTATTTAATTAATTGTAAATTTTATTAAATAAATAGAATGATTGAAGAAAATAATACTTTTTTCTGCAAACGACTCCTGCAGTATTACAATATAAACACCTTTAAATTAGAGAGTTATAAACTACGTTATTCACACTCTAACATTAATTAGCTTTAGTCCATAGAATTTTATCAACATAATTACTAGATTAAGCCAAAAAGGGATTTAAAGCTTTTTTTTAGCTATCAGTAATTGACACACAACTATTTTAGTAATCAGAACACTTAATTTTATAATATAAATGATTCAATATTCATATCAACAAAAGAAAATTAATTACATAAACTGTTCCAAGCCTATCAAGCGATTAAGAAGTACTACGCTAGTTGCCTCTATAATTTAAAGAAATTGCTAAACTAGTTTTCAGACAAAAAGCACCATATTAATCATATTAACATGAAGAAACAGGTGCCATCAAACATGTCGTTTGAGAGCACCCATTGCATTAACCTATTTGAAATAAATGTTATTAGAGTTAGATACATCAATTTTTTACCTGTTAAAGGATTTATTTTGCCACCTCCTCCACATGTTTTACACCAAGTAGTAGATTGAAGCTTGAAAGTTTGCTTGTAGAACTATTATTAATCTAATAAATTATTAGTAAATATATTTTAAGATATAATTTTACCTTCTCCAATTTTTGGAAAAAGGAGCATTTTTACATCATCAAAAAAGAACCTAGTGTTAAATTCAGTGCATAGTTAGCAATTTGAATCACAGCTTTCACAAGATCTTTATTGATAATCAGGATAATTTCCTGTCTGAGTTGAAGGATCAGCTTGGCAAGTAAGACAGTTGTACTAACTTCCATCATTATAATAAGATCCACAACCATTAACATTTGAATAAGATGGAGCTTTTAAAAAATTTTATTAAATTAATTCAATATTTTTTTTTAATTTTACCTGGATTAGGTTAAGGATTAGGAGGACTAGTAGAAATGCAAGTTTTTGGTAATGTTGAAGATAAATAATACCCATTTTTGCATGCAATACAGCTATCATTAGAATAATTTTAACAACCATCATCTGGTGTAACAGCAACATTACATACATAAGGTTTTATAGCAGGATTAGCTTTGAAACCTTTGGCACATACTGCACAATATTTAACATAACTAAGTGGATAAGGCTGGGGTATTACAGGCTAATCAATGAATAATACCTAATCACCTGTAATTTCTATGTTTAATGTAGGGTATTTAATATTTTATATTAAACTTGTGTAATCTCCTTAAGTAGGTACCATGCAATTTGTATGAGCAATAGGATCTAAGGGAGCGCATGTAAAAGATGGGGTGATATAATATCCATCCATACATCTTCTGCATCTTAGAGAAAAATTACTTTGTTAGGAGGTAGGAATAACTTTAGGTTCTTCACTATGAATGTACTAAGATTAGTTCTAAGAGTAATCACATTTTATACAAAAAGATATTAAAGTTGAGCATTATTAGCATTGAGTCAAGTCAAGTGAGGGAATGGCCATTTAAGTTATATCAAGAATTGTTTAAGTTTAACCTCCAATACTGTATATATTTAAAATGGAAAAAATTATTAAAATTTCAATAAATCAGTTAATTTTTGAATAAAAAGTTATTTATTATATGACATATGACAATTAAAAGATAAAAAATTTATAAATTAGATTAAATTTTTACGTTTAAGAAGTGTAAACAGAGCAAACCTTGCATCTCATAGTTAGAGCAACATTTTAATTCTATGCATATTGATTTGGATTATCAGAGTAGTTATTCCCGTTGACGTCATCAAAGTAACAAGTAGAACATGCAGCATTTCCATTAGTAATTTAGTTACACTATTTACATTTGTAGTCTTTATATAAGGCATAGCCACTTGCACATTAGTCGCAGTTTTAGCTATTTTAACATCTAATTTAAAGAAAAAAATTTATTTGAATAAATAAATACTATTAGAGAGATTTATTCATATTTAAGTTTGTTTTGAAAGTTAATTTAATTTATTTAAAATTTTTATAAGGTAGAAATAAATAAATATTAATTTATATAGTTTTATTTGAATTTTTAGTAATTTGGATAATTTTTATTTACCTATTGCAGGAAAGATCTGAAGAACATTATTAGCATTTATTTGAAGAGTAATAATAACCTAGCATGCAAGTAAATGCACTTTAAAGAGTATCAGGATTTGGTTGTTTTAACTTATTGCATCCATACAAAGATGTATTATTTCCACAAAACTAGCCACATCCTTAGCATTTACTAACTTAATATTAATTTCCATTCTAATTAATAAAGTAAAGCTGTTATTGTTAAGATTATTGCTTTGAATAAACATTTAATAAATCTTTGGAATTATCTTTCATTTTATACTCATAAGTGCATGCCCTACTATTTTGCCTTTTAATAATTAAGAAAAAGTAATATTTATCTTTTTTTGTAGTAAATATTAATGATTATACCATGTGTTTGGATTATCTAAACAATCAGCACATTTAATTAAATTAGATAGAGGCATTTAATAATAAGGGCTTTTATAATACATTTTTTTGTAAATTTCATTTAGGGAGTTTAAAAAATAACAATTACCATTGCACACAATAATATTAATTTGTAGCAATTCCTCCAGTAGTTGGATTAAAGGTAACCGGAGCTTAGTAAAGAAAGTATCCAAGTTAACAGTGAGTGCAAGATCCATCACTAGAGCATGAAGCGCATGTAGTATTTGGAAAATTACAAGTTAAGTCTATAGTTTATATGCTAAATTAAAATAATAAAAGTAATTATTTTTTATATTATTCTATAAATTAAACATGTTTGAAATATCAATCAATTTAATGTCTATTTAATATTTAAATCAAAACAATACTCATTGAATGAAACCGTTAGCTGCTATGTAATCCTAGTTAACACAATTAATATTAGGAAAAGATATAAAATCGTTAACATTTTAATCTAAATACTTTATTGTTTGATTTGTTTAGTATCTAAATTCTTGATTAAATCTTAATATTAATTATTAGTTTTTATAATATATACATAAGAACTTATAGCCTCAAATAATGGTGATTCTATCTTATCGTAACCAAATATTATTTCTTTATCGTATTTAAATAAAAATAAAGATTAATAGTATAAGCATGATTTACTTTTAACAAGCTAGGGCTTAATTCAGTTAAAAAATAATAGAACATATGTATAAGTTTTAATGAGTTAATATTTTGTATGAATACTAAGAAGCTTAAGTATGTTATTAGATAAAAAAATTTTCATTGAGTACAAATTCAGGTTAATTGTATCATGTTAATTTCGAATTCGATGTATTACCTGATTTTATAAGAATGTGGTAAATTTTGTTACTTTAACTTATAAATTAAAATATTCATTCTTTGAAAGCAATCTATTTAAGTTTAATAGCTAATTTTGTTAAGATGCTCTATTTATGAGAAAATATCGAAAAAGGAACTTATATTTTTAATTAGGTTTTAACGCATCAAACGTAAAATATTTGAAAAATATTCCAAAACCCTTAACATATAATTATTAAATATTTCTACTTATTAAAGGCTACTGTAACCTTATTCATGTATATAAAAGCAAGTTTTAATTTACAAGAGACTTATTTGTATTCTAAAACAATTTATTATTACAATTTCTTATATTTAATTTTGCTTTAAAAAAAAAATATTTTTTTTATCTTAAACTTTTAATTTTTTACAAATTAAAAAAAATATTTTTAATTTCTTAATTTAAAAATTAATGCTTGTCTAAAATCGCAGAGATTCAAAAATTTTTAATCAATAAAATAATAAAATGGTATTAAAATTAAATTAATTAGGAATAATATCTAACCACTTTCTTTAATTTAAAATTAATTAAATTATTCATACTCAAAAATCTAAATTTCAATCAAAAAATTAATCTTTTGATTAAATTCATTAATAATGATGTAATTTATATATTTAATAATAAATATATATATATATATTCTTATATACAAAATTTTTACAAAAAGAAAGAAAGAAATACTAGATCAATACTTCAAATCAAAATCATAACTCCTCATCCCACTCATTTTCTTCATTCTATACAAAAGTTTATCTTTTATCATAAACAAAATCTTTGTCTCCAGGTTTCTTTTAATTCTTGTTAAAATCTTTATCCATAATAGCTTTATGCTTATCTAATTCCTCTTTTGACAATTTATTAAGATCCGTGTTATTATAATCAATTTTAGTTGCAGAGCTTGCAACACTTTCGAAATCTTCTTCGTAAATTTCCTCATACATTTCTTCTTCTTCTTCTTTTTCTTCTTACTTAGAAGGTTTAGAAGATTATTATGTTTATTTTGTTATTTATTTTGATTCTTATACAGTCGCTGGTTTTGATTCTTCTTCATCCTCAAAATCAGAAAGATCATCAAATTCAAAATCGTTTTTCTTAGTTTCAATTTTATTAGCAACATTAGAACTATTATTCTTTTACTCTTATTACTACTTTTAGCTGTTATTTACCTATGATGTTACTCCTGCTGATTATTATTTTAGCTAAGCAATAGTTTATACAATTGGCTTGACTGGTGCAGATACTTTTTCTTCTGTACTATCATAATCACTTAAACTAAAGTTATATTAATTAGATTCATCTTTTTCCATTTTCTTTTGTTATACTTATATAAGTGGTGATGGTTTAATAACATTATTAGCTATATTTTTATTAGTTTATAATATTTCTCCTTTTTCATCAGCTTTGCTTTATTAAGAAATATTGGCAAACTAAGTATTTTGAGTTTAAGATGTAACTTAAGAAAGAGTTGGCTTCTAAAATATGTTTTTATTATCATTTTAAGATGTTTTAAGGAGAGATTGCATTGAACTAGTTTGCTCAATTTACTTTGAGTTGTTTTTATTAATAATTTAGCTAATCTAAGGTTACTGAGCTAAATACTAATTTTTATTTTCATTTATAATTTTATAGTTACTGTTTTAGTTTATACTTTCTATTTATTTAATAGGTTTTTTTGGTAAGTATTACTTCATTTTATAAATCAATTCTATTTTTATATAAAATTATAAATAAGAAGCTAGTCGTAAAAAGATCAATCAGATTAAATAAATATTCATTCATTACTTTCTACTTGTTAGGATGTAATTTTATTGTTTGTAAAATAAGTATGATGCTTTTTTTATATTATATCCAACACATCGCTTACATTAGAATCTGAGCTCATAAAATCCAACTTGATTTTGTGATGATAAAGCTTTCCTGTGGAAGGAACAAGATATTCTAAAACTAAATATTACAAAAAGAGGAGTCATTAAATATATATCATAGAAATAAAACTTACTTATTTAAGGAGGATCATATTTTAATCCAAATCTTTTTGCAATATAATCTTATGGATTTAACTTATTGGTACCTTTTTAGAAAATAAATGCATGCAATTAAAATTTCAAATCTCAATCGAGTTAAAAAAATAGTTTTACTCATATATTTATAAAAATATTATCTCTTTTGCTGAAAACTTTTATTATATTGATGAAAATATGGCTCAAATGATAATTTTTCTCCTATTTCAAAATTATTACTGTTAGTAAAAATTGAGTTTATTAAATTAATATATATTACCAAGGATATGAAATAAATTTTCGATAAAAATAAATAAAGACGTTTAAATTTTTTCAATACTTTGCTAAATACAAATAACAAATCAGTACATTTTTATTCATAAAAATATGATAAACTCAAGAATAAATTATAAAAAATCTAATATGTGATATTTGAATTTATTTTAAAGTAAAAAATAATTTTTTAGTTTAATTAAAAAATGAAAAAATTAAATTTTCCTATTTTTGTTTCGTTTTTTTTAACTATTTTTCTTAATTAAGAATAAATCACATTAATTCATAAATATATATTTCATTCTAATAAATGTTGAAATTATTGTAAACTATGATTCACTCATTAAGTTATTATTTTTTTAAATTTCATTTTAAAAAAAATATCTTTTTTATTTTAAAATTTTTAAAAAAGTAAAAGTATAATTTTATAACAGAAATAAAAATATATGCAAAAATGACCTAAATTATTATTAATTTAATGTATAATTTTAAATAAATGCAAAATAAAAAAAATTATTTAAAAAGATTAATAAGTTTAAAAAGATAAATTAAACTTAATGTTCAATATACAAGCTTTTATAAAGCTAATAAAGTCATTTTCAAAAAAAAATTTAAGAAAAATGTACTTATTTAAAATATGTTGAAAATATTTACAATTTAATTCGTCTTTAAATTATTAATATTCTCCATCAATTATTTATAAATCAATAAAATCTATGATGATAGTTAATGCTTATATAAAAGTAATAATTAATTTTACAATGATTAAGTATTTAATTCTAGAAATCTTCTTTTTCTGATTGATTCATAAAAAGATTGCCAAATATTACAAATAAAAAATAAATAGTATCTTAAAAAAATAAGTAAACTTAATAAATCAGAAATCAGATCTTAATGGATAACAGTTTCTAAGATTACAAAATTTCAATAAATGAAAAGGGTGAAGTAGTAATTCTACCTTTTGACGGAAAATATGATTATGTTCTGGTTTTTATTCATGGACTTAACTGTTTCCCCGTTTCGTTTTTAAAAACTTTCTTATCAGAACCTCTTAAGAGTGCCACAAAAAATTTCAAAATTGTTATTCCTATTGCTCCTGTGAGAAAAGTTACTTCTAGAAATATTGAGGCTATATCTTGGTTTGATATAAAGACATACGAAAGAAGCTTTGAAAGACCTTTCGATGAAGCATTTTCAAGCTAGGAAGTTCAAGGTAAGAAGAGTAAAAATATTTATCCAAAGTTTAATTTTTTTTTAATATAAATAGAAAGCTTCTAGTAATTAAAGCTAGTTATTGAATAAGAGGCAAAGCTTTTAAATGGAGATTATAAGAAAATATTCATATCTGGTTTTAGCTAGGGATGCGGTATGAGTATTTACACAGCTTATGGTCTTGAACATGATGTTGGCGGTGTTGTAGGACTTGCTGGATATTTTTTTGAAATAACAAAGTATGATAAGCAGAGAAACATTCCCACTTTGATTCTTCATGGGCAAAAAGATAATTTGAGAATTTGGGAAGAAGTGAAAAAATCTTATGAAAAGTTTTAAGGTTCTGATAAAGTAATTTTGGTATAAGAAATGGCTCACGAAGTTGAGAGCTTAGAGGCTAGAAAGCTGTTTGCAGAATTTTTAATCAAATAAACAAAATTATGACACAATGATTTATATTTTTTGGCGAATATATTAATTAATACTATGTAGAATATATCTTGTTTAAAAAAATGTATGTATTTTCTCTAAATATGCATAAGTTAGAATTCAAGAATTTTTATTTTTTTACTTCAAACTATCACATAAAAGGTAAATAAAATTATGATACAAGAAAATTCCAATATTTTGCCTGAGGATTGTATACTTACAACTTATTTTTTAAAATAATGATAAGAAAGTTTTTGTTTTATAAAAAAAATTTTTACCTGTTTATTGTACATCCGTTGTGTAAGAAAGTTAATACATTGATTTTTAATCTTGTAAATCTGGGAAACCTGGTTAATCAGATCCAACAACTACAAAAACATTATACTTTGTGCTTGGTTTCAAGGATGTTATGACAAAAGAACTTGTGCTTGAAGCACCAATGTAAGTTGAATTTGAAGGCATCTATTAATTTAAGCTATTTAAGCCTCTATAAACCTAAATTGGAGTTGGGATAGTAGTATCTGTTGACTATATAATTACACAATACACATAAACAGGATTTGAACCAGATTAAAAGCTTAAAATATTGAAAAATTATTTAAATCTTTTTAAGTTTAGTTATGGTGAAATTTATTTTACTTAACACTGATAGAAGTAGTTTATTTAGTGCCAATTGTTGGAGCTGCAGCTAGTGTTGGAGTAGTTTTTGGATATTCTTAAAAAGTAATTGTCCATGTAGGATCATAATTAGCAAGTGTAGTAATGAGCTGTTGCTTTTTTGAGCCATTTAGTAAAGCAATCATATCAACTGGAGCAGGGAAGTTACTACTAGTGTAGTCAGAGACAAGGTACATTGTCTCTAAGATGGTTTATAAATTTCTATTTTATTGTTGTGCATTTGAATTTATATTTGTTATTAATTTATTTTAATCTAATAAAATTTCTTTATTTTAATGTTCATTTTCTAATAAAGCACGACGATTTCCAGTTATTGAAGATAAGATTCTATTTTTTTTAGTTAAAATTGTATTATAAATAATATAATAATTAATGTAGTAATAATTACTGATTTGATGAGACTGAAAGTATGAATGCTAGTGTATTTCTTGCAACCTAGAGCTACACTTAATTCATGCTTGCTTAATTAAACCTTAGAACGAATTATGCAGTTCTATATTTAGCTTATTTATTGATTAAATTATGTAAAACTAAGTTAATTTAAAAAACTTACGTAATGTAGAAAACTTCAATTATTATATAGAGCTAAAGTACTATCCTCTATCTTATGCTATTGCATAAAATACATAATCGTTTCCAGCTATCAAATTAGTGTAAGAAACAAGAGCTATTTAAGTATTTATATCTGTTTATGAGTTTCCGTATATAGATTAGGTTGTAAGTAGTGATGGAGGACCTCCATTTACTAGCTCTAGTTTAGTAGGCTAGGCAGTTCCAGCTAAAGCAATCATGTAATATACTATGGAAATTTCAGAAACAAGGATAGATATATTTGCTACTGTTTATGAAAGAGTTGCTGGGTCTACTAAAATAGATTTTATTGTTGGTAATTAGTAGTCTCTTTGTACAACTGTGAAATCTAAAAAGTTTGTTTACAGTTGATAGACATTCTGTTTTAAGTTTAAAAATTAATCTTAATAAAAAAATAAAAATAATTACCTTATTTGTTCCAGATAAAGTTAAAATAATAGTTCCTCTATCTGCATAGTTTTCGTCGTTTATTTGTTTAGAGTAAACATAAAATTAACCAGATGTAACTCCTTATGGGAAGACGAGTGAACTTTAAGAGAGATAAACGCCTTCATAAAAACTCGAAAACGCTAAATATATGGTAATATCAGAATCAGGAGGATTTTTTATAGAAATTGTAGTCAGCAGAGAATTTCCCATATAAGGAATTGGATTAAGTGGGCTTATACTGATTAAGTTCTTGCCTACAGCTGTAACCTTTTTTTTAAAAAAAAATCATTCACTTTATAACATTTAAATATAGCGAAATGCTTACTATAACTGTAGTGTCCTGAATAGGAGTGTAATATGGTACTGATAGATCACCAATAATTTACCACTAAATAGTGTAAGTACCAATATCTAAATTTTGAGGAACTGATATTCTAAAATTTGTTGATAGTGCCCCTCTATTCAGTGATATTGTGCTTGGCAATAAATTGAGTGATCCCTTTGAAATAGCCTAAATTGTTAAATTTAGAGCACATGGGTAGCTTAAGCTTATTGGTATATAGTCACTTACTGTTCCACCATCGATAGTTATTGGATTTCCATTATTAACACTAATCAAGGGACCACTATAGACAAACGAAGATGAAGTTGGGTCTAAATTCGAATACGTTCTTTCCAATATTTTCATATTGAAACCATCATACACAAATATTTAGATATTGCTGATAGATGTTTCTTTTAAAAAATTTTATTATTTTAATAGAATAATTAAAAACGTTAAGAAATTTATATTACATAAGGTTGGATTTTTTATTGTCTACAAGGTGAGCTAAATATTTCCATTATAACTATTCTAATTTCCTAAAACACTAACCTAGTTATTTGTAACACTGCACTATAAACCGTTAATTGCATAACTGCTAGTACTGGAACCACAATTTAAATAGTTTTAGTTTGGTATGTTATATTAACTTGGGAACTATATTATCAATGATCCTTTATTAGTTTAACTTGGAATAGATTTGAAAGTTTAGAGATTAAAAGCATAACTTGCTAACTATCTGCTATATGTGTTTGAAATGGTTAAATTGTATAGTATTGACCATCCAGGAGAAGGCAACATTTCAAGAACTATGGCTGTAGAATTGGAATCTATAAATTTTTAAGAGTTGCTAAGAGCAGTTGCAATTCTAATTGTATTATGATTAATTATTAGGTTTCATAAAAACAAAAATTATTTACGTAAAGAATCCAGTGTTTGAGTTAACAACTTAATTTGGATTAACTATGTTAGAAATAGATAGTACCTAAGTTTAAATAAGTAATTTAAAAGTGAAAAAGTTTGAAACAATTATTTTATTACTATTGGATTGTTGCTAGAAGGTATATAACTCACTATTCCTGTGATTGTTACAATTCGATTGCTGACTGAACAACTGATTTGCGTGTTTAATCCTAAACTTGAGCAATATACATTATTTCCTAAATTTCTGTCATAAACAGATGGAAATTAGATATAAATTACATTAGCTGAGCTTAAACTAGAAGTAGTTATAAATGAAAAAGTGTAAGTTGAAATTTCAGCTTAATTTCTTGGTTAAAAGACTACGCTCTATACATTTATTGGGTTACCCTAAGGCTGCAAATCAATGTATCTGTTAGTTATAGTACTTGAATCAGTCAGATTTATTATTGTCCCATCATAAATAGTAGTGATTTAAAATGGCTAGGTTGTATCAGCATTAGGATTGAGAATATTTTCAATTACCAAATTTATGATACCAGGCTAATAATTGCTAATTGTAGTTATCACAAATGTAGTTCCTTTTAACTAACAGCTTTAAAAACCTTATAAACCCGAAGTAACTATGCAGCTAGGATTTTATGGAAGTTAAACATATTAAGAAGAAGGAAATTATATCTAAATTTATGTTCCTATAGCCAGAGAGTTTGAAAATTAAAAGCTGAAATAGTAATTAGCATACAAATTTACATTTGTTGGATAACTACTTATCGATATGAATTTTACATAGCTTGGGGTAAATGTGCCAGTCACAGTGAATGCACCAAATTGAGGTGAAACATTTATAAAATATCCATTTATGGACGTTTAAATAACCCAATTACCTGTGTTGGTACCTTCAGATTTAGGATTCTTTTTGATAAAATGTTTTTTTTTATTTTTGCATATACAAAGCTAAACTAAAAAATTTATTTTTGTGTTTGAGAAACTTAATTGTTACCTTTATACCACTTATCGCAATATCAATCAATGTGTTAGCACTTACTGCTGCAAAGTTACTAATGCTAATAACATTTTAATTGAATGAAACTGTAATTTAACTTGAGCTTGATGTTCCAATCAGAGTCTATGAGGATGCTTGAGGCAAAGGATTGCTGTTTTAAATGTTATACTAGATATTTATAATAAAGTTAATTAGTTAAGATAATAAATATATATCTTACTATTGAAGGGAAAATTATCTAGATAATAGCTCCTGCTGGAATAGCATCCTGAGGAGTAAACGTAAAAGAGTAGACTACTCCTACATAATTGGCACCTTGCTAAGATGGTGTTAAAGAATATGTGGCGAAGGACCTTACTTAGGCAACAGGGAAATTATTATCTTAGTAAATACCATATTCAGTGTTATCAAAGCTAAATTTATACCATACTAATGGATTCAATGAAGGATTACTGTAAGAAGGATAAATTAAATTGTTTAACACTAATGTAGGAAATTAACCATTCTACCATGATGTGCTTTGCTTAGGTATCTTTTAATTATATAGGATTTATTGAAAATTTGTTTTTATTTTAAAATTATTACCTAAATAATAGCTTAATCTAAAGTTGGAAAGTAGTAACAATCTGAATTTACAGTAGTGCTAGGTTAACAAGAATTTACAGCACCTTATCTTATAAAACCATTAGCATAGGTAGGTAAAATGACATAAAGCAAACTTCCTATTCTTGAAGAAAGAGTTGTAGGATAAATAAGAGAGAAAGGTTAACCTATTTATATAGATGAAGTAGGACTAGCATATGTGCTAGATTAAACATTTATTGAATTAGTATTCTAAGGTATATTATATAATTTAGACCCGGTTGAGTAGAGATAGTATTTAAAATTATTAACTATCTTTCCTATAGACAACATATAATTAAATTAGTTCTAATTTGCTGTCATTTATATGTTTGGTATAAAAATTGAAGCTAATTTTCCTGAATTAGTTTAAGAAAACCCACTTATATAAATTCCTGGTTGAATTCCATTAATCCTTATACGGCAAGCAAATTAATTTGAAACAGGTTAGAGATCAGATTCAGTGGCTACTGCACAAGGTATTGACTAAAAATCAGATGTCCCAGTCATTCCAAAATTAATATCAAATGTGCTGGTTGTTACAGTATATTCAATAAAACTATTATCTGTAGTACCTAGCAAAGTAACTGGTAAAGTAAGCCTTATATTTAATATAGTTAGCGCGTTAAATGATGAATAACTTCCAAGCATCATCGTTGAATCTTAAACTGTAATAGGCTAAGGTGATAATTAAATATATTCTGAATAACTTTCAATTAAAGTAACTCCATCTGATTGTAAAAAAACAAGATCAACTAAGGCTGTATAGCTCTAAGCTGGTTTTTTAATTTTGTTGATAATTTGAAGTGAGTATTATTATCCTGGTAATCTAGCTAAGTTGTTTACAATTTTTATTATATTTCCAACTAATGAACATCCTAATGAATTAGCTCCATTAAATTAACAATCACCTTATAAATTAAAATTAAAAGTTCAAATCTAATATTAAAATGATTCAATTGATTTTTAAATAAATTTTAAAAATAATCTTATTCTCTTTTAATTTTTGTAAAAATAATTTTTAATTTTCATCTTGTGTTATTATGAAATAAAATTAAAATGATTTGTTCTTAAAATAAAGATAAATGACTTTCTTAAATTTTTAAATTAGATCTATTATTTTAGTTATTTTTTTTAAATAAATATTATACTTGATGCAGATACACTAATCTAAAAATCAGAAGGGAATAGAATTTATATTAAAGCATTTTATGGTAGAGCTTATGTTGGTAAAACAGTAAATGTAAATGTATCAAGTGTCCCATCTGCAACATTAGAGACTAGTCCTACTCCAAAAGGATCTGGAGAAGAAATGTTTAAAACTGTGACATACCCAACATTTCCTTAATATATCAACTACGTGCCTAAATAAATACCCACGCTAAACTATGCTGTAGCACCCTAAACATCTGGGTTTCTTAACCTAACTAAAACTTAAATGAGTGTAGTTCCACTTACAGACTAAAAATTAGAAATTTATATTTAATTAGAGCCGATATACTAAACATTTATTATTTGATTATTTGCATTTTGTAAACCTGAAACAACATAAGCTAAATCATAGCCAGAATCTTTATTTTAAACCAATAAAATAAATTTAATTAGCTTCTATAACATGCAAAAATTTAATTATATTTTCTAATAATGAATTACTTTGTAAAATAGTGAATGTGGAGGGAATAGTAATAGTAATAAAATATCCTGCTGAAAGAGCTGTTTATGGATCAAAAGATATTAAATAATCCATTCTTTTTTATTTACTAATTACTGCGTTTGGAATTTTAGTTGTAATAGTTGTTGATATCAATGGAGAAGGTGCTATATACACTCCACTAACATCATTTCTCCAAGAATAAATGTAAGTAGTTTTTGCTCTAAACAAAGCAATAATAAAGTATCCAGTAGTTTAAGAATATGGAGGATTCTATAATGTCATTTAAATACCTATATCTGCATTTGCTGATACAGGACTATTGAAGCCTGACACTTAAATCTAACTGGAGCTTAGTCTAGTACATACAAACGAGGCATCAACCAAATAACCATTTATATTATAAGGTTAACAAGCGATATTTGTATTTGCCGGATTGTAAGGAAAACCTGCTGAAGTATCTAAGGTAATTAATACATAGGCATCTTATGGAAAATATATACTAGTTTTAAACTCAAAACTATAGAGCGAAGTAGCCCCTGCTGCATTATTTGCAACAGTTACTTTTGTAAATGGAAATTTTAAAACTTTATCTCCTATCCCTATGCTTGCGAAGGCTAAATTTTCATCGTAGACCATTTATCCTATGAGAGAACGAACAATAAAATTTCCACTCCCACCTTTTTATGATGGATTAGCAACTCCAGTTATTTTAACACTAATCTCTTTAAAAATATTGGATAAATTATATTTTTTTACTAACTAAATATATCATTTTATGATAATTACAAATCAATTTAATAAACATAAATTACGATTAGAAGTAGGGTTATTTGGATCGTATTTAGCTACTGATTAGGGGATTGTAAAGCTAACTGTTCTTGAAGAAAGAGTGCAAGTAGGAATACAAGCAGTGCTTGTAAGATAAGAAATACCTAATTCATCTTCATATGAATTTGGAAAAACCACCTAAACTACATTTCCTATTGGCAGCCCACTTTAAAAACTCATGACAAATATGTAATCTGATACCTAATCCTTGTTAGAAATTGTTGTTAGTATGGGATTCTATGCTGGAATAACAGTACCTTTTTAATTATTGATTTAATAAAGAATCTTTAACAATTTTTAAGAAAAAAAATTAAAGATTCTACCTCCATTAGCTTTAGAAGCAAAAATGCATAAAACGATAAAGATGCTCAGTAGTGTAATCAATCCCATTTATCTATGATATGTACCTCAAAATGGCTACTGAGAGTAAAGTTTTTAAATTAGATTTATATATCTTAAAGTTCAACTATTATCTAAATAAATTAGGATTCGAATTTGTTCACTTTAATCCTATTGATAAGTGTTATGAATAGTGATGTAAGTGTATTAAAAATCTCTAAATTATTGATTATTAACTAAGATCTACAAAAAAAATAAAGCGAATCAGAAATTAATAATGTTTCAAATAAAACATAATAAGATTTCTTTGTTCAATTCAGGCTAAAAGTGAATCTAAAGTCTCCATTACATTAATCAATAATAAAAGTCTTTTAAAAATATAATATAATTTCTTCCTTTTTTAAAAAAAAATCTTTTATTTTAAAATAAAAAAAATATTGAAGCAATTAAAATTCTTTTTTTATTAAAAAAATAATAATAAAAATATTAAATATAAAATTAAAATATTTACTTATTTTACTAATATGAAATATTTTCAGTTGTTTTATGTTAAATGACTAGACTTCATAAAATTTCAGATTAATATCATTTTTTAAAATCCTTAGAATAAATTAATCACTTTAAAAAAATGTATTAACAAAAGAGTTCATTAATAATAAAATATATTAATAATTTATATAAAAATATGATCTTTTATATTTCAATTTTAATTTCTAAAAAAAGGTATAAATAATTTAATTGTGTTAAAAAATCAAAAAGAAAATGTATTATTGCTACTATAATTTAAAAAATTGGAAAAGGCATTCTAAAAATGAATTTCATATAATTTCAAAATTTAGTTATTATTCACTTCGAATGACTATTTTTATAAATTTTTAACATTTAAAATATCTTCTAATTATTCAATTTTTTCGTTTGTCTACATACAATAAAAAGTTAGATTTTAACCAGTATTCAGTTATTTCCTAAATTATTATAAAATAATATAAAAAATTTCTAATAGAGTAATTTAAAAACTCATAACCACAAATGATTAAAAATACAAAATTGAATAAAAAAAATAAATAACTTTATTAAAATAATTCCTATTTTAAAAAAATATCCATTTTTGATAAATTATTTGTTCTAAATGACTTAAATAATTAACTATATTTGAAAAAATATACTTTTATATCTTCTAATAGTATATCCTAGTTTGCTTTATCAAATATCAGTTAAGTAAATGTATTTTTTTAGAAGGTAAAAGTATAACATTATTAAGAATTTCAAAAAATTATATTTATTAAATAAAGCATAAAATTGCTTTTATATAGTAACTTAGAACTCTTTTTTAAAATCATTATTCATTAATTTATCTTTTCTTCAAATAAATTTGATTTTATTGCTTATTCAAAGATATAAGTCAAATTTAAAATAATAACATTGACACTAAAAGTCAATCTATCTATTTCAATTATTTTTTATATTTTTAATTTATTAATTTAACTAATTTATAAAATTTCCCACTTTAGCTATTAAGCTCTATATCCACTGAAATTTTTATTAAGGTGTCTTTATCTGTTTATCTACCTATCTATTAATTGAAACGAGGTAAGATTTTTTTTAAAAAAAATGAGTATATTTTGTAAGTAAAAAATTTATATTTAGAATAAAGTGTTTATAAATAATCTCTACTTAGTCAAAACTATTCAGTTTAATTTGAAATAATATTTAAGATCTGTACCTAAAGTTTGAATCAAGTTATATGAATGTTTTATGATGAAGTATTTTAATTTACAAATTTATATTTTAGAGAGATAACTTTTCATTTTTATATTCAAAAGGCGCATTATAATTAATTGCTCTACTGAAAATATGTAAATAACTTAATGCTTTTCAAAATATAATTTAATTTTCTTTTAGAAAAATGCTCAAAAAAACATTTTTAGGTAATACACATAATTAAAAAATACTATTATAGCTATTTTATAAGGTTTAAAGATTATATAACACTTTTTGATATTGTTTCAAATTATTCAAAAGAATATTAACTTTAATAGACTAACTAAAATAATTTGATTTGCTAGCAAATTAATTGCATTTTTATATATTAATTCATGTAATTAAATTGCCAATATTTATTTGTGGTTAATTTTATCAGAATTAAGCAAGGAATTATATTAGATAGGTATAATAAAAAGAAGCAGATTATATAAAGAATAGAAGAAAGGATTGAATATAAAAATGTTAGAAGTAGGTATTCAATTGAATTAAGGAAAAAGTATAACGTTTTTAAATATAAATTTTCATCAAATTTGTTACATTTTATATAAATTAGTATATTTTTTTAAAATTTAATTATAATTTTATTATAGAGAATAAGATTTTAGTTTGTTAGTGCTAAATTATTATAAAGAAAAGTTGTTAATAAAGTTATTTTATTGTTTTTCAATGAGCAGATGTTGATTTTGTAGGTTACTAAGAAGAAAAACGTCTTTATTAGATGTTATCATTACCATCGCATAAAATGTATTCTGAGCAAATAGATAGATCGTCATTTTATATTGATTTTCTTAATCTTGATAGTTTTTACTTTCTATCTTCGAAATTTTATTTATAGCAAAGGAGTAGTTAATATAATTAAAGTTGATCTTTAGAAGAGTTATTGATTATATATTGAAGGTCATATTCTAAAGATTAGTATGATGGCATTTCCAATTCGCATACTTGATAGAGGCAATTTCTAAGTACGTTCATTTCGTTTTTAACATTAAAAAAAGAGTTACTGAGCTTTTTACTTTTCATTTAGGAATTATAGCAACCCATGATTAGATTAATTAGCAAATTACTAGGGTCTTTTGAATTATTAAAAGAATGCTTTGTTTTTGAGTGATATTTTGTTTTTTACTAAGGTTATTTTTGTTTTAATTAATTGTTATTAATTTATTATACGGAATCTTTTAAACAATAATTAGCTATAATAAATTAACACAACTTGAGTAAATCTATTAAAATCTATATCATTCTAGTTCCTATAATTACATTCATTTGGATGAAATTTTGGTAATTACACTGATTTAGTGCTTCTTTTGTATTCTTACTTATCTATGATTTTCATTCTTTTAGTTGTTTTGATATGTACTTTCATATATAAAATAATTCTCTTAAATAAAACCTTTTTTTTCTTAATATTTATAGCTATATAAAGTATGCATGTTTAGTAAATCACTCAGTAAACTACTTGAAATAAAAATAGAATCTAAGTATGAAATAAAATAAATTTATAGCATTCATATTTATTTGATAACTGTCTATTTTATTTTAGATCTTTCACTTGTTTTAAACAATTAAATATTTAAAATTCTTTCTAAATTAAATTCACCATGCAACTAAGTAATTTGGGAGAATAAATGACAAATAACTATTTCATTAAGCCTGCTAGAAGTATGTATTTGATTTTTAGGCTAAGTATATATTTATTTGCAGTTTTAAGTTATTAATTTTTGCAGTAAATAATTAGCTAGTGATTCGCCTAATTAAAATTACTCATTTAGAAGAAATAGATAATTATTTTAATTAATTTTTTTGATAACTAATTCAGACAATATGATAATTTACACAAATTAATATACTAAAATGATAGCAAAATATGATTTTAAAGAAAAAGTATTCTTTATTCAATGCTCGATTACTCTAAGTAAATGAAAAAACTTTCATTTTGCAATCATTCTAATGAGTGAATAAAGTTTATTATTGTAATAAAAGAAAATCTTAAATTAATTAACCATTTCCAAATTTATTTATTTTTCTCTTTAAATTAATTTAAAGTAAGCCCAATTCTAATTGTGAATTGATAAAAAGAAGCAACTTAAAATTGCTAGCCACAAAAAATAACTTTTTAAAACTCTATGCGTATTTTGTAATAAAAAATCCCTTAAAAAAACAAATTAACATGATATTGAAATTGAAAATATGCTATACAAACATAAAATAGATAAGATATTACGTAGAATATAGAAGTTTAATTAATTAAATTAAGTAACTATTATATAAATGAGCTTCTTATATTACAACATGTTAATAATTGTTAACTTGAATAAGTAAAATTGGTTATATAAAGTTTTTTGATTGATTAAATTAAATTAACGATATGATTATAATTTATTTGTCCATTATTTATATGTAATAAGTAAGGGTTTCCTTTCTATTTAGACAATATTTTGTCTAAAGGAGCATATAAAATTAGCTTAATTTGTGAATTTTAAAGTAAAAGTATTTAGTTTTTTTATTTTTATAGGAGGAGTAATTGAAGTATTTCTATTATAATATTATATATCTTTCTTGTTTTTATTAAAAATGTTGTTTTAAGATTTATTAGATCATCTATCAAATGATCAATATCTTCACTTAATTTATAGTTATTAGATATTTGCCTACACACCAAATGGTAATTGAAGATCATGCATGCTTTCTTGAGTGCTTTATTCTTATATGGGTAATTTGTTTGTTATAGCAATTATCTATTTTTTCCTTATTAAGATATTCCTTTCGTATAAATTAAGAAGTTCTTATAAGTCTTTTTCTCTAAAATAGCTATTCTAGAGAATAAAGTCGACTTCTTATTCTAAAGGTAATTGTTGATAAGGTTTTTAGACTCCTGTAACATCATAAAGACAATCTCTTAGTATATCCATCTCTTTTTAAATCTTTTTTATTTTTTTCTGAGCTTTTATTAAGTTTTTACTCAAAGATGAGTTACCCATTTTTAGATATATTTTTTTAATTTGCTTGTTTGGAATCAATATTTTTTATGTTCAGCTAATTTTTTTTGTTTTTTTGTATTATTAAATTTTTTTATTCTTATTAAATTATAGATCAGCCTAGAGCCAATAGTTACAAGTGCCTTTTATTAGCAAAGGACTCATGCTTTGAAGTTACATATAAATATACAAATTAATTAATTATCCAAAAATCTTCTTTTAGTTGTGGTATTATGCATTATAATCAAAAAGTTAATTTAAATAAATTAACAATTAATTGCTTAAAGAGAAAACAAGCATTTTTACTTGTAATTTAAAAAATAAACTAGAGAATAATATTAATTTTTCAAAAATTATTATCAAAAGATTGAAATGTCTCTCCACGTTTGAATACTTTTTTTTCTAAAAAAAATAGCTTAATAAGTAAATAAACTAACCTCGCTTTTGTTCCTCTAGTATTTTTAAATAATTTCTAATTTTATCTTCGAAATCAAAGTTAAATAATGCCATTTTTATCTTGCCTTTTTAATGAAAATATTGAGACATCATTTAATTAAAGTATATTTTAACAAATGATACATTAATTAAGATATTGTCTATTTAGTTAAATACTACTAAAACAATAATTAATATCCCATTTAATTATTAGAATAAATATTGCAAAATATGTGATTGATTGTAATAATTGCGATGTAAAAAAAAATTAACCTTGTCATTATTTTTAATTAAAATAGAGTTTATTAAAAGTTAATATACAAAAGTATAAAGCAATAAATTAAGTTAATGATTAAATAATTATTTACTAGTTCATATTTTATTCTATGCATTATAATATAAAAATTTATTATTTTACTTATATTGATTTTGATTAGTATGTTTATTTTTGATTTTGATTGAAAATGGAAGTCATCTGTGTGTGTGTGTGTGTGTGTGGGTGAGTTTGTTATTATGTTTGTATTTTTAATGTGTACAAATAAATAGTTGAAATAAAAGTATTATCAAAGAGGATTTATAATAGCTTTTCAGTAGAGTTCGGAAGGAATTTCTAAGCTATCAAAATCGTCTTCGTCTTAGTTAACTAAAGGCTCACTTTTAATTTCAAAATATTTTTCTATGGCCAATGCGTATTTTACTATCATTGGGCTACAAATATTATGTTATCTTATTTAATTCATTCTTTTATTAAATAAATTTTTTTGTTCTAAAATTTTATCATAATAAATTCTTAATTTTTCCTTTAGGCATATGGAAAAAGATTAATTCATCCTTGAGGTTATAATGTTAAATTATTTTTCAATAGTCATCATATCTTTGTTGATAGTAGATTAAGTTACAATTATACCTTTAAATCCAATTAGATTATACATTTATTATCTATTAAAATCTATTTAGTAATGGATTTCATTTAGGCTTTATTCTAAATATCTTATGGTGTCCTAGGGACTTTAAAGAGAGGAAAAGCTTGAAACAGAACCAGCGGAGTTAAAGCTTTAAAAATTACTCATAGTAAATTAAATTAAATTATAAATTTATTTTATTATTCTTATTTATGTTAGTCTTTAGTTTTATGTATTATATTTATTTTTTTTTTAATTTTATTATAAGGGAAAAGCTTTTCCTGATCAATCAATTATTTATTAAGTTAGAAGTAAAGGAAATTTCATTGTTTTTAATTTATTTCTTACTTTATATTACTTACAAATTTTCTTTTTTTTATCTGTCTGTTATAATCTATTTCTCACTTATTTCTTAGCTCAAATTTCATTTAAAATTTTTGAAATTTCTGTCTATTTTATTTAATTTTTCTTCTTCATTAGATATCAAAATAAATTATTCTCTCTTTTACTCCAAAATAAATTCAATCACCCTTTTTATTATTAATTAATTTAATATCTTATGTAAAAATGTGCTATAAAATGACAAGCGAAGATTGAGGAGATTTTAAAAGTAGTATTTGCAAAAAATAATTAAAATCAACATCAAAGAAGTTTGGTATAAAAATAAAAATATAAATTTAAAGGTAGTACAAAATGTAAGTTTATACTTTAACTTAATCACCTTTCGATGTAATTTTTAATGTAGACCTATAATATTCATTAAGATTTATACAATTTAATCGAATATATTATTTCAATCGCTTATGATCATCAAAATAATTAATTTGAATTATTATCAGAATTTATTTCTTGGTTATTCGATTTTGAAATATTTACAAAGTAATTAAAATAGAATACAAGAATAAAAATAGCTATGACTATTCAATTTAAAATTTACTATCATATAGCTTTAATTTAAATAAAGTAAGCTATTTATAATTTAATCATTTTTAATTCTTTAATATTTAGCTAATTACTATTCTTACCTTACTTCTGCTAAGTTTTACACTAAATATTTATAATTACCTTAAATATATGTTTATTTTTTTTAAAGTGAAATTATTTATTAAGTTAAAAACTAATAGCTTTTATTTAATTCTAATATTATGAAATTTAAATAATTTTCTATTTCATTATTTGACTATAAAAATCTATTTTTGAACAACTTCTAATTAAAGGTACTATATCATAACGCAATTTAACTTAGTAATCCTTGCTTATTTTTAAATTTATTGAAACTCAGAATTATCTCCTCTTACGATGAATGTTACACTTACAGATAATTCATTTTAATTTAAAAAGTAATGGTTTCAAAAATCATATTAAATGAAATATTATTGCTCATAAAAACAAATTGTAAAAATCCAAAGATAGAAAATAAAATTGCTCTATTAGAATTCAACGATAAAATATAAGAAAGAAAATAATAATATATTTTTAATTATATAGTTTGCACCCTTTAAATTAAATATAAATAAAATAAAATACTAACGTTAGTATGTAATTCTTACAATATGAGAGTATTACTTTTTTATTATTTTTCAGTGTTAAGAATAATTAGATAAGAAAATTTTTATTATATATATTATTATTCTATTATTATTATTATTTTTTTTTTAATTAAAGATATCTTCCTATTATATTTTATATACAGATCATTAGATTTTTTATATATTTTGTAGACTTATGATATTAAAATCTAAGTGTTCTTTGAAAGTAGATGAGCTAAATTATTTTTTCTTTAAAATGTTATATTATTTAAGCATAAATTGTAAGATCATTCTAATATTTAGATTTAAAGCTTCAAGCTCCATATTCTGTCATTCTAACCTCAATTTCATAATGGTTTTCAGTTAGATCTTAATCCTACAAAGATTTTAGCTCATCTAATTTTTTTCTCTCATTTGGTGATTTTACTAATGAAAACTCAAGTTATCTGCCAAACAAATCTAAATCTTTTATAAAATATCATTTAAATTAATTGCAAATTATCTTTTTAAATACTGAAATCATTTTTAAACTAATATAACTAAATGAAGTATATCTTTTTAATATTTACCTAAGACTTTTGCGAAAGTATATCTCAATTCTATCAAACAAAATTTACGAGGGAATTCAAACTATACGAACTTTTAAACTTCTGCGAAATTAAACTTAACTGAAATTTTTTCATTTGCTTATGCATTAGCTCCTTGTGCTCTTGGTCCATTAGGAGCTGACTATCTATTACTTTATTATGCTTCTACCTAGGAATTGTTATTCATTTTATAAAATCAATAATAAATATATAAGCCTTTAATTTTATTATTTATCTATATTAAGTAATAAAAATTAGCTAATTCATAATATATATTTGTATAGACAAAGAGAATTAATAAAAATTAATAATTTAGAGGCAAAAAAAAAATAATTTAATTAATTTGCATTATTACAAACAAAACAGTCGAAAGAAAATAGTTAATAGTTAAAATTATCAGTAAACAATCAAATTTTTTATAAAAATATTTATAGTATTAGTATAAAGAAATGAAGTCCAATTTAAATGATAATAATATATATTATTATTTTTTAAATCTTTAATTCAATTACTTTTTAATAACTTTATAAAAAATGATAGATGGAGAGATGTGATATTAATGTTTAATTAATATCAACACTAGTCCTTTCTTTTCATTTTGAATAATTATAATTAAACATGAAAAATCACTTAATTACAGACTATCATATAATTTACAAAATATTCACTAAACATTGTATAAAGCTATTTACAAACTGCATTAATTTATTTTATTTTTATAAGATTAATTCATAGTTACAACAAAAATGTGTTCCAATATTTTTTAATTTCTTTTACAAAAATCATTTCAAAATTTAATGGTAATACCAAATTTATAAGTTCCTCAGATGCATAAAAAAAGTTGATACTACTAATAAAATTCTTAATTAACAAAGAAAATTTTTTGGTTCAAAATTTCTAAAATTGTTTATCCAATTTCTTATGTATAAAACAAATATCAAAAAATTATTAATAAAGTTGTTGAATTGAAAAAATGATTAACCTCCTTGATTTCTTATTTAAAATTTTAAAAATGCAAATATGAATTTAAATTATGTTATGGGAGGTGTTATCATTTTTTTTCGACTCTGTATTTAATTAAACTTTACATTTAATATTTAATCTCAAAAATTTAAATAAATATATATCTTATTAAATTCATTTTTTAGTTTAATTTATTGAAAATAAAGCAACATATAAAGTATTTTATTCATTATTTTAATCCAATTTATTTGAATATAAAATATGTTAGCTTCTTTGATTGAAATTCAAAAGCATTTGTTATTGATAATATATAGTTTTTTTAATATAAATACTTGATTATTATTTAGATTTACTCTTGTAGAACTTTTGTAAAAATCGTCTAATTTTTAATTTAAATAAAAAGAAAAATATGTCAAAAAAAACTAAGGTAAATAATTTGAAAAAGAAAATCACAATTTAAAAAAATAAAAATGAGGATTTAGTTGAAGAACAAATTAAGTTAATATCAGAATGGGATGAAGATGAAAACAGTTAAATATAAAATAATGGTAGTAATTATGAAGTAAATAAATAATAATAATAAAATTAAAATATAAAATAAGCTTCAATCCATTAAAATATTATCTACAAAACTGATAACTAATAAAAAAATGTATTAAATATTGACTAAAAATAAAATTAGGATTAAGAATTTGTATCTTAATTAAATAGTATAAATGATGTATCTTAAAAGTTATTAACAAATTTGCCATATAACGCAAAAAATATGACAAGAGATAAATTCGATCCTAAAAGCTCTTAAAATTAAAAGCTGTTAAAGCTAAATACAAACGATTAAAATAATTTATTTTCTGCGTAAAATATTAAATCAACAAGAGTTATATAAGATGAAAAGTCAAATTAAAGAAGAAAATCTTTGAAAGGAACTGCTGATTAAAAAAAAACTACAACTAAAAATGAAGATGGTGATTAAGATGATTTTGAGTAGAATTTTGAAAATTTTTTTGGTAAGTTAGAAAAAAAGACAGGAGCTTAAGGAGTCTAGAAAAATAAATAACCACTTAAACTTGGATAATTTAAATTTAAATAAAAACCCATTAAGTAATCCTCGATAGAAATTTTACAAGAAGAATATTATACAAATTTATTTAAATTGGTCTACTAAGATTATAATCCTCCTTCAATAACAAAAAATAATTAAACTAATAACTAGAATAACAGTGCTGATTTATTTGATAAAATTTAGTAGTCAGAAAAAAATGTAAATAATTTATTTAATTGTTTTATGAATATTTTTTAAATTGAAGATTTTATTTAAAATAATAAATTTGATAGTTTCTTCAGTAGGAATTAGAATAGTTGGCAATATAAATGGGATTTAGTCCAAAAGAAGTTGAATAGGATTATGAGTTATTTTAAAAAATGGTTTTGACGTAAATTGATGATGAAATTGAAAAAGAAACAGATCCATTAAATAATGTTGTTTACTTTAATAACTAAATTTTAAAAATAGAAAATAAGCACCCTTTTTTTAATAGATACATGACTATAATTGAAGATTTGCAAAAACAATATATTACAAATAAAAATATAAATGAAGAAGAATAAGAAGGATATTTTAGTAAAAAAAAAGTTGCAACTCAAGTACAGTTTAAATAGCAATCATAATAATAATAGCTTACTTCTTAAAACTCAGCTTAGTTAAGTCGTTTATCAAGTAAAAGTAGTGTTGTTACAAGAGACAACCTTTCTTCTGTTTCATATGTCACCAAGGGATTAAGAAGAAAAAGAACTTAATAGTCTTCACAGGCTTCTGTCAATAGCATAAGATCAACTAAATCTAATGTAATAGTTAAAAAACCAAATAAAAAACATCTTTACAATCATCCTGAAGTGTTCACAATTGTAGATAATAATTGTTAAATGACGTAATTAAAAATTATATTTGACAAGAAAAATTTTTTGATTTAAAAACATTCATTTTTCTGCTTAGGTAAACAAAGTTAAACGAAGTTCTTGGCTAATTAGAAGAGATTAAAGAAGATTTCGGCGATAATTTAAAGATTAACAATTTTGAATATGCGACTCCAAAATAAATTATCAATTTATTAAATAAAGCTTAAACATATTATGAAGTAAATATTTATTTTATTTGAATTGAGAAATTATGAAATTTTGATGTAAAGGATTATTACGGGTTTAATCTAGAATAGCTTCAGTATTTAATTCAAAACTAAATTTCTTACTGGAAGTTAGATCCTTAGGATGTTGCTTAAGAGATTGTAAATCTATAGATTTATGATTTTGAGGATATATATTGGATAGCTAGAGTTAAACTTAGCATAGAATTACCACCAGACTGGATTAAAATCTACCATAATTAACTCATTTATAAAAATATTATCAGTAACTTAGCTATGACTATTCATCCTTGTCATTCTTATATTAGAGCACTTATTAAAAATGAATATGATAAATTAAAGGAAGGAAAAAATTAAAATAAAAATAATAATTTAATCTTATTATACAAAGACTAATAAGGTGGTACACAAATGTAAATCTTATTAAAATTCAATTTCAATTAAAATTTAAAGCTTTTTATTAATCTTAGAGTCTTCTAATTTAGCAAATCTCATTTCATGATTTTTAAAAATCACCTAAATGAAGAATATAGCATAGATATAAACTTAATTGTAGCTGACATTTTAAACAATACTAGTGAAAAAGTTAAAGATTTAATGTAACATAAAATTAGCTAGTAAAATAATTATTACTTTATTTAAATAGCTCTTTTATACAAAAAAAACTATTATTTAATTTTATAAAAATAGAAATGATAAAAAAGATAATAATTACAAGTCTGTAAAAGAATTAATAATGGAAACTGAAAATATAGAAAATCAAATTTTAAAAGTAAAAAATAAAAATGAAGAAGATGATATATTAAATAACTAAGAAGAGCATGGATAACTCAGTTTAGATTAATTAGAAAAGGAAGAAGAAATAAAATAAGATACAGACTTTGGATACTATGATAACTAGAATTAATAAGCAATATAAGAAAATTAAAAACAAAAGATATTAAAAAAAAATAAAAAAAGGAAGCAAATTTATTAAGAAAATTTGCTAGATGATCATCTTTTAATAATCTGCTAGGAGGTAGATATTCAATTACCTTAGGAAGTTCATTTATTAGCATTAGTATCAGAATACCTACTTTATATCGAAAAAGACCCTAAAAAAAGTATTTTTTGATTATTATTTTTAATATTATATTTTTAAAAAATTAAAATAGCAAATTGGAGATTCAGAGTTAATTAAGAAACAGGTTTTCATTATTGGATCAATAAAGAAAAAAATGAAACAGTCAAATAATTTCCTTACAAATAAGAATTAGAAGAGATATTAGACTATTATTAGAAAACATTAGATCAAGAATCTCAAAGATTCAAACTAAAAAAGGGAGTGTTAAAACACATTCTTTAATACATTGTTAAATCTGAGGAAGAGAACGAAATTACTATTTTTTCTCAGCTTTAAAAAGAAGCCCAAAATTTTGTGCTTCATTTTATTTCACATTACAAAAAATTTGAAAATATTTATGAATATGATCCTATCTTAAATCACCCTTAAATTACTTATCGTCACTTTTTATTAGAATAGGTAAAAATAAAATTATTAAACCAAGATTTTCAACTTTTTTATTTTTTAATTTAACAGGAAGGAATTGAATTTTATTCCTTAAATAACATTAATAAGTATTTAATTGGTGATAAAATAATTTTACAAGATGATTTGAAGTAGTAGCTACTATTTTGGTGGCCTTACTAGCTTTAACTTAAAAAATACCTTGATAAAGATGTAGCTTAAAAGGTTAAGAATACAAATGAATTACTTTAAGATGAACAATTTTTATCTAATGCATTTGATAAAGATGAGTTTGAAGAGGTTCTTGAGCTATCTATTCATCTAGAGGCTTCATCGGAAGAAGAAGATGAAGCAGAAGAAGAATATGAAAGTTATGAAGATGATGATGACGAAGAAGAAGAAGTTGAAGGAGAAGAAGAGGTTAATGGTCAGTCGAGTCACTCTTAATCTGTTTCTAGTGAAGGGAGTGCTAAAAACTAATCTGATTTATCTGATTCATCCTCTTCCAGCTCTCTTGATTCAGATGATAAATAATTAAAAAATTCAAAAGAGCTTGATGAAAAGAGTAATAAAAGTTAAAAAGGAAGTGCTCCTTAAAGTCCTACTTTATCAAATTCTGTAAGCAGATAAAGTAGTTTGCTAAAACATGGTCTTTTTTAAATGTTACAAGAAAGATAAAGAAGCAGATCCTTATTAGGTAGCAGAAAAAATAGTATTGATTAAAAATAAATTAATTCTAAAGTAAAAATTGTTTAATTTTTATATTAAATTAAATGTATTAAATTATTTTAAAATACTAAGTTTAATTAATCTTCTAATGGAGGAAAACCTGGTATACTCAAGGTGCTATAAATGTTAAAGGAGAATAAAAGTGTTTCAACAAATATTTCAGAAGAAAGCAAAGAGCAGACTGATGCATCATAAAATACTGAACAAAATAGTGCAGAACCATAAAAACCATTATCAGTGCTTTCCAGATTTAAAAGAGCAGCAATTAATGCTGCCTAGTAAAATTTACATATAAAGAATTAAACTTCATAATTGAATAGCATTTAAGAGAACGAAAATAATATTTAAGAAGATTAAAATGAAAAAAATTAATAAAACTAATTAGGTAATCAAGTTTAATAATAAGAATAAATTTAAGGTGCTCAAATTAATGAAGACTAACTAAATGCTTAACAACAAGTAATATTGTCAAATCACAATAAAAATTTAGCTCATTCTAATATAAAAAAAAACATATTTATAGCAGTAAAAAATATATTTGATTTACCAAATATACTTTTTATTTTAATTAAAAAAGAAGAGTTAAACAATAAAATATATGCTAAAAAAAATAATCAATTAGTTATCAAAGTTATTGGTTTATTTTTTTTTAATTTTTCTCATTTTAATGAAATAAAAATAATAAATATGTTTTTTTTGAAGTAAATTTTATTTAAAGTTTTTATACATTTTAACAACAATAAAAAATTTTTAATATATTAATTATAATAAATATTTAGCATGGTTAAGAGACTGATAATAAATAAAACAAAAAACATTAGAAAGATAGAAAAAAATAAGAAGAAAAAAATAAAAATAAAGTTGATGATGATCAAATTATGGGTATTGCTCAATTAGCTGGTGAAATTTTTGAAAAGGTGCATAAAAAAACTAAAAAAAGAAGGAAAAAAGTGGTTGAAAAAAAGCCAGAAAAACTTGCCTTAAATCAAATTTTCAAAAAATACAATGGCAATATCAGAAAAAATAGAATTAAAGAAAAGTTCGAATAAGAAAGGCAAAAAGTTTTATTAGTAAAAAATCTAAAAATTTTTATAAAGATCTTATTAATTATTCTATATTAAAAGGAACTTAAGCTTTTAAGATAAGAGCAAAATAAGAATATTGAAAAAAAGAAAATGCCCAAGAAAAAAAAGAAAATAAATCTCTAAAATAGCAGTGATGAAGAGGAGGAAGACTTTCTTAATGAGTCTGCTTTTTTAAGTTAAGCTTCCACTTAAAGAGATTACTTTAGATCATCTTAAACCTGGTTTGAAGATTAAAATTCAACAATCCCAAATAATGAGCAGAAAGATGGGAAGAAAGCTAAAAAACCTACATATGAACAAAAGATTAAATGTAAATTATATTGCAACTAATTACTGAAAATAAATTTAATTTAAAAAATATAAAGAACAAGTTGTTCAGAAAACTCAAATTGATTTAAAGAAAAAGAAAGAAGCAATTAAAAAATTTAATTATCAAGATTTTTTTATGAGAGAAATAAATGAAAATTATTTCTACAAGCAGGATTTAAAGAAAATGAGAGCTGATATAAGAGAATAGAGAAGATGCAAAATCAAAGAGCTTTTTGATATGATGTAAAAAGAATATATGGAGCTAAAATAAGAGCAAGCTTAAATCAAAGTAATTGAGTAATTCCAATTTATTAATGAGCAAAATCAAAAACCAGATTCATTTTTATCCCAATTCGAAAGTAAAAGTTTAATCATATAAAATTCATAAAATTAAATAAATTTTTAATCAATAGAATATTACTTGTAAAAGAAAGAAATGTTCAAAGGAATTTCTGATAAACTTGATTCTTTGTTGTTAATTACTTCGAACCCTAATGACAGAATTTCACTCCCTAAGAAAGCTATTCCAGAAAATTAAGAAAACAACAGATAAAATATAATCCATAATTTTCATAAAGACAGTGTTGTTAAAGTTTACAAAATCAATAATACTATTCCTTAATTTAAAGTAGACAGATTTCGCTCTGCATCACCAATCTCTAAAAACAACTAATAAAATAAAAAATATCAAAATATATTTGAGTAAGAAATATAAGTTGAATAAGTGAATCAATGTTTAAAACCAAAATTATAACCATTACAATCTCGCCCATCAACTTCTTCTTAATCAACAAGGTAAATAGTATAAAATGAAAAAATTTTTAAAGATTTTAAAAACTAAATTAATTATAAGACCTAACGATAAACAATGAGTATTAAAATAAATTAAAATTGTATATTATTATAAATATTTTTAAAGTAATATTAATAATTTTTTTTATTAATTACCCATTTTTTTTTATTTAATATGATTTTTAAATTAATCTTATTTATTTGCAAATGAAATAAACCCAACTATTAAATATTAATTATTTATCTTTTTAAAAAATATATTATTTTTATTAGACCATGCACAGCAAGGAGCACAAGTGCGAAATCTAGTAAAAGAAAAGTTATTGACGCGTCTTTAAAAATACCAAACCAAAACAAAATTTAGGAAATAAAAGTAAAAAACTAAAATTTTATCAAAGTTCAAAATATAATTGATGCAAATCTTGATAATGAAAACATAAATAAATAACAATAAGAAGAATTTAAGTTGCAAGAATAAGTATTAAAAGGTTGTGATAAAATAGAGAATTAAAGAAGCTAATCTCCTTCCTCTAAACAAATTAAACCTTCATCTCCTAATAATTAAAATCAACAATAGATTTCTTGTATTTATTAACCAAAAAAATTAGATTTTTCTATTTCCAGAGATTTGATGAGTAGGATAAGAGTGAATAGACTTTTAGAGAATCTTTGTGATTAAAAATCAGATTATATAAAAGTAGAATAAAAAGATGGAAATAAATTTAGAAATTACTTTAAGTTAATATCTCTTGATCAGTTATTTGATTTAAAATATTCTTTATTAGAAGAAAAGCTTAATCAGTTGATTTTTGAGTTTATTATGAAAACTTGTAAAGGGATTTAACCTCAATAAAAACTTGCTTTTGAAGAGTCTTCTGAGCTTAAAATTAGATTTTATTTTATGTTTTAAGATCTTTTTCATAGAATAAAACTATTTTTATATTCTCTTTCTTCTATTTAATGCTATAAAGATTATTTTTATGCTTTTTTGAATAGAAAAACATAACTGCTTTACAAAATAATTAATGTAAAATTTGGTATTGAGATTTAAAATAAAATTAATGATAAAATTTAATTGATATTTCCTAAGCTTTTAGAGGAATAAGAGCTATATTTAGATTAATTTTAAAATGGTTTTGATTATGTAGATTCCCCTTTTACCCATAATCCTTTCAAAGTAAATTACTTTTATATTTAATTTTATATTAATAAATATTTTATATATAGATAAATTTCAACATAATTGAATAAGACTTCTTCATTGATTAAATCAAAGATTATGTTTAAAATAAATATGAATCTGAAATTAGGAAAATAGAGAACTATAAAAGACATTTATGGAGATAAGAAAAACTTTAATAGATTATTTAAAGAAGAAAATTAAATAAATAATTGGATGATGAGTTAAAAATATTGGAAAGAGAGAATGAATCAGAAAGCGACGATGAGCAAGAAGATGAAATAAAAAGATTAGAAAAACTTACACCAGAGCAGCTGCATTTACAATTTATGTTAGAAAAATACAATGAAAATTAAATTCCTTATTAAAGATAAAAAGATAAATCAAAGAATATTTAAGAAAATCCTTAAATAGTAGTGAAATTCTTACCAAGGATTATAGAAAATTAAGAAAAAGTTTATTATTTAAAATAAAATCATAGGATGTTTAGAATTTTGCTAACTGAAATAGGTTAAATTCATAAAGTTAATAAAAATAATATCTTAAAGTATGAAGTTTTTAACAGTAGTCTTTTAACTCCAGATCATGTATTCAGAATGGCTAAAAAGCTAAAATTTGACAAAAATTTTTCTCTCTACTGGATTTCTTATCTATATTGCATTTTTATTATAAGATATTCTCAAGATTTGATTTAATAATAATTTAAAAATAATGAAGCTTTAGGCAAAAATGATTCTTCTAATTATTTAAGCGATTAGAAAAATACCTAATAAAATAATTAAGGAAATGACTTTCTAGAAAAATTCATTGAATCAGAGAATGATTATGATATTTATTTTGAGGTATTAGCTGAATTTTAAGCTATAAAAAGTGATCTTCTACAGGAATTCTTAGTTCCTAAACAAAAGTTAGAGTATTTAGAGGTTATTAACTGGTTTTAGTTTATTGATGAGACAATACCTTTTTAGGTAGTTGAAGAAAAAATAGATTTAGTTCAACTGTACAAATAGCCAATTAAACTCAAGCCAAAAGAAGAAATATTCTTTTTGAATGAAGTCAGGCACAATCCAAAAGTATTTTATTTTAATACTTTTACCTAAACTAAAAGAGCAGATATGCCATAAAACATTATAGACTTGAAAAGTAAATACTTAAACTCAGAAAAAGTATTACTATCTGATATAATTTATTAAATATCTGAATTAATTATGGCAAAGCATTGATTATGTTTATATAATTATAAAATTAATTTCCAAACAAAATTTAAAAAATTAAAAAATTTTGAAGAGTTTTATGTTTATTATTTGATTTGTATTACAAAAATTTCATCACTAATTATTTCTTATAAATTATTTTTTTTCAATACTTTAAAATAATTTTATGTTTCTTGACTAACCTGTTTAAAAGAAAAATTATAAAATATATCTGAATTGATAAAGAATTCTTTGTTTTTATTTTAGTTGATAATTACTTTTTTAATAGGGGGTGTGGGGTTGGGGTTGGGGT